TCTATTAGTATAAGAGATAACTCTATTAGGATATATAGCTCTACCATTTCAACTAAGAAGATCAAGGGCTGTTCATCTCTTTACTCAAGCTTCTCCTTATAAGATAGAGTATTAGTAATAATATTTATCTTACTAGGTTAATATCTAATAATAAAGTAGAATCGAGAAAGGAGTTCACTCTAATATATCTATTTAAGACTAAGTACCTTTTTTATTATAAAGTATTATAAGGTATAGTAATCCATATAGATACTAAACCTATTATCCTATTATAACCCTTCTAATTCCAGATATTACTTATCTAATATATATATAATAGTAAGTAACTCTTAATCTAGAGTATTATAATTTTATTTTACTAAGTCTATTAACTTTAAGAAGAAGGCTATAGGTCTTTATAAATTATCCTTATTTATTTATTAAGAGAGAACTATATCTATATATCCTTCTAATATATTAGTTTTAATCTTTATTTCTAGACCTAGTTTATAGTATTAAAGGACTAGAGCTTCTATTAGTCTTTTTTTAATCTCTTTAAATATTATCTAATAACTAGTATCCTATTAAAAAGTAATATCTTTCTATATTAGAAGGTATAAAAGCTATATAATATAGCTATAATCCTTAATAAATCTCTAATAGAAATTATTAAATCCTAAGAATAATTATATATCTTTAACTATCTCTAGTTATTACTAATTCTATATAGCTTTAATTTTCTAGGAGTTAACTTCTAGATCTTCTATATTAATAAAGAATCCTAGGAATTTAGTATAAGTTATATAGAACTTATATTTCTCTAAAAAAACTTATAAACTGGTATTGATCAGTTGTTATAGCATTTTATTTATATACTTAATATATTCCTCTAGTAAGTTATTATAAATTAAGATATTATCTATATATACTATATAAAAGTTATTAAGGTATTCCACTAATATTATATTAATAAAACATTAAAATATAATAGGGATATTAGTAAGCCTGAATAGTATTACTTTATATTTAAATATCCTATATTACGTCTGAAAGGTTATTAAATCCTCTAAGTCTATATATATCCGGATATAGTAGAATCCCTATTAGATATCTAGTCTTGTAAAGATCTTTATATCTACTACTTACTGTAATAGCTTATTAATTAGTAGGATAGGATATTTATCCTTCTTAGTAATAGTATTTAGCCTCTAGTAATTAATATAGAAGTATATCTTCCCACTAGGTATCCTGACTATTAGGACAAGTAACACAAAGGGCATAGAGCTTAGCTTAATAAAGCTAAGGTAGAGCTTCTCAATGATATACTTCTTATAGACTTTTAGCTCTTTAAGAGATTACTTATAGAGAAAGTAGTATTCTGGATTAAAGGTACTATCTGTCTGAATAATATAATTAGTACTACCCTACTATAGTAGTATACTATTTAACTCTAGTTTAGAAAATACTTATACTAAGTAGTAGTATACTATTAATATCTTCTTCTTAATCTCTATAACCTCTTCTTGTAGAGATATCTCTTTAATAATATGATTAATCTTATAGAGTAAAGTTATAAAGGTCTCTATATCTTTCTTCTTTATATATTAATAGAATCCTATTACTCTAATTATTGTAATCTTAGGGGGAGGAAGAAGATAGAATAATATCTTCTTAGACTACTTTAGGAGTAATTTAGTACTAGTTAAAGCTCTATCTATCTTTACTTATAATTCTTAGTAGTTATATTATTATCTAACTAGATAGCTATATCTTAATTAGGACTCTAGAGACTTTTCTTAAGATATAGGCTCTTTAGATATAGGAATAGGATCATTCAGCTAAATAAGCCTATTATTATAATAGTCTATTAGGATATAGTATTATATAAACTAGTCCTGATCTAGGATTATATAATATTAACCTAGATCTATAATTAAGAAGAGTAGCTTAGTTATCTTCTATTTATCTATTATTAAATTTAATTATACTTTATAGATAATAGACTTATCTTCATATCTATTAAAGCCCTTTAGGATTATTAGAACTAAAAGATAATAGTTCTTTAATCTAAACTTTTCTAAAGATGTGATAAATACTATATCTATATATATAAATCTAGTAGCTCTAGTGTTATCTAATACTAATATAGGATAAGAATATTTATTAAAGGCTATCTTTATCTTAAGTATAAATTTCTTATTTATAGATATATCTTCTATATTTAACTTAAGGATTAATATCTTTTTGTTTATCAAGAAGACTAATAATAAGCCTAATCTTTTCCTATCTTAGTATTTACTTCTAGCTCTACTACTTTAGCTATAATAGGGGTTTTTCTAGCTATAGCTTTAGCTATAAGATAAGTTGTACAAATAGGATAATCCTTATTATAATAGCCTTATTTATTATACTTATAATAATATCCTTCCTTTTATTATCTCTAGAGTTTAGCTATATCTAACTTTAGGTATAAGATAGCTAAAGAGGACTAGTTAAGAAGGTCTATAATAAGCTTTGTATTCTATATGTTCTATACCCTACTAGTATTATTAGTAATATTAATAATAGTAGCTATAGCTATAGTAACCTTTATAACCTTTATCTACTAGGTATCAGTATCTATAATCTCTAGGGTAGATATAATATAATAAGCCTTCTCCATATAGTCTAAGAAAGTAATACTAATCTTTAAGGCCTTTCTAATAAGCTTATGTTATAGCTTAGGGATTAACTTCTAATAGAGAAGTTTTATATATTTATTATAAGGAATAATAATATTATTAGCTAGTTAGGTAAATTTAGTAAGGAAAACTATAAATTTCTCTATTTCTTTTATATAAAGCTTCTTAAAATTAAATTTAGTATAGTCCTAATAGACTAGGTCTCTATAGATCTACTCTAGGTAGTCTAAGATATTATTACTATTATTAAGAGTATTATTATTATTATTATTTAAGAGAGGTATAATCTAATTATATATAGCTCTAGTTAACTAACTTATTATATATATCTTATATAGATTAGGGGTTAAGAAATAATCTATATTTATATATAGCTTTAATTCTATAGTAGTATACTAACTATAGAACTTTATATTAATCCTACTTCTATTAGTAAATAATAGGAGGTTAATAAACTTATAGATCCTTACTTTAGTTCTCTTAGATATTAGTACCTCTAGTTAGGGAGTATTATATATATTATTAAGGGCCTATTAAAGTTTATCTCTCTCTTACTTAGCTTCTTAAAGCTATTAAAGATATTACTTTAAAAGATCCTAGAGCTAAGTAATATCTATATAATTCTACTTATAGATATTAATCCTCTTATAAACTATATTCAGCTTATTTACTATATCTTCCTAGATATTAAATAAATATCTATATTAGTATAGATCCTTCTATAAGTACTCCTATAGATCCTTAGGTTAGTTAAACTTAATAAAGTTATTCTCTAGATCTAGTTTAGAGAGATCTAGATAGATAAAGATAAATAATCTCTAATCTTTCTTTAGGCTTAGAGGATTAAGCTTCTCTGTACTGTCGGGTTATCTATAACTACCGTTACTGTTAGTAGGTTCTTTAGATTTAGTTCTATATATTGGTATTTTGCTAATAGTAGGGGTTTTATAAACCATAGTAATTTGTTTGTTTAGGGAATATAAGATAGGTAAGACATAATCTAATTGGCTAAGATATACTTCTAAATAGATATAGATCTATACAGCTTCAAGTGACGTAAAATAATCTTTGATATAATGTAAGAACCAGAAAACAGAAGAACTTTCGTACGATTTAACTAAAGTATTAAAGATAAGGAAAAAGGAAAGAGGGGAGTTAGGCTCCTACACATTATCATACAGGAGAATCAGACGGGTGTGGGATCATATGATCCGTCATGTGATCCCGCAACCTCGCAACCTCAACATTAGCATCAACTCGGCATCGGTTCGTTACAAAAAGCTAGTGTACTCTAGCATCATGATCATGGGTACATTGTCCACAACGTATATAATGTCTTTCTACGTTCAATCTATCTGGGATTATAACACATGAGCCATTTACTCGATTGACCACGTAGGCCAAAGCCGATTCCCATTAGTAGCATTGGAGCTAGTGGCAGTTAAATCTCCATGACTGCACATGGAAGTTCACTACCTAGTACTTCCTAGTATTCAAGGCTACTATACGATACATTCGAGCTGACACTGCTTAGGTACGGTTACTAGTATCTCATTAAGGGGCTAAGTGAGCTGCCCAGTCTACCTGAATACGATGCGAATGTCTAAAATCGGGGAGATAGATCCCGTGGTGTCTCCATCATGATGTTCATGGAACATTTGAAGCGGGGTACTCCACGTTTTGTCAGCAGCAAAGGACTGAAGGAGCAGGGTAATGGCTCCATTGTGCAACCCCTCTCGCCCCACTTTCCGACAAGTGGACACGAAGACCAAACGAAACTCTTTCATCAATAACGCACAGGCTACAGGAAGCTACATTCCTTCTTGAATAAATGCATATGCGTGAACTGAAAAGGGTCCAAGAAAACATTCTATATGTCAACGAAACATCAACACGCTCACCATGGACCGTGGGAATAATATCCCTTTTTCCATTCTGATAGCTGTCCTTGGGTTATTAATACATGTATGAGCTACATTCACAAGTGAACTTGAAGTTTACCGGGGCTCAGAGATATTTTACTGACTTTCTCTTCGCATGACTCAGTTTATTGTCAAGGGCCTCAAAGCACCCCTTGGACATATTCCCGGCCCCTTTCTGACTCGCTTCACGCGATTGCCTCTCGGATTTGCGACTGTAAGCGGGGTCCAACTATTTTATATCCATGATCTACATGAGAAATATGGACCGGTTGTCCGTATATCACCATATGAGGTAGCCGTCTCATCTTGGGCGGATGCGAGGGAAGTTCATCGCGCTGGATCAGGATTCCTGAAAACAAAATGGTATGATGATCTTGTGCGTGGTCAAGGAGGGGTGTTTTCTCTGCGAGATTCCAAAATGCACGCCCAAAGACGCAAACTATTATCACGTCCATTTTCGAAATCTGTTATTCGAAACACATGGGAGCCAGTCGTTAGGGAGAAGGCCCGGTTGGCAGTTTCTCAAATTCAGAATGAGCTCACGACAGCCGGTGTTTCTGATGTGCTTAAGTGGTCAACGTTTCTCGCTACTGATGTTATTTCGGTCTTGATGTTCGGGGCATCATTTGATATGCTGCAAAAAGGAGAGGTGAGTAGCCTCATAATCCTTGATATGAAAATTATTATCTACTAACCTTTACGCAGAAAAATGATTATATTCGCACCCTGGAAACTACCCTGAAGGGTTCTGGCATCATGGCAGAGATTCCTATTTTAAAAACTATTATTCCCCTCATTCCTCTCCGCTGTGTCCGGGAGATATTTGGAATTGACAGTACAATTGCCGAGCATAGCAAACAGCTATTGACGCGCGGGAAAGAGGATCCAGGATCACATCGAAACATATTTTACGGACTTATCAATGAAGCTGAAAAATATGAAACATCACTTACCGAAACGGAAGTTGCCTACGAGGCTAAAAATTTGGTTGTTGCTGGCTCAGATACGACTGCTGTCACCCTGACTTATTTCATTTGGGCCGTCTTATCTCGCCCAGAACTACATTCCAAAATCAAGGCTGAGCTTTCTACATTAGATGGAGATTGGGCTGAAAGCCAACTTGAGGAACTACCATTGCTGAACGCTACTTTGACAGAGACATTGAGATTATACGGTGCTGCTCCAGGGGGACTCCCTCGCACAGTTCCAAAAGAAGGTGCTACATTATCTGGGTATCATATTCCTGGAGGTATGGTCGTAAGTACTCAATGTTGGACAGCACATAGAGATCCTACACTCTTCCCAGACCCAGAGAAATTCGATCCTTCAAGGTGGCTCCCTGGACGGAATGAGGCATCTGAGAAGGCGCGCTCCGCCATGTCGCCGTTTGGGTCTGGATCGCGAATCTGTCTGGGTATTCATCTTGCATGGATGGAATTGCGACTAGCAACAGCCGAGTTCATTCTTCGGTGTGGAGATGTGAAGCTAGCACCTAGTGTGACAGAAGAGAGTATGAAGCCACAGCACTTCTTCTTAATTGCACCGGTCGCACATAAATGCGAGATAATGAGAGCTTGAAATTCTTTGATTGGTATCATAGCAGTGTGAGTATGAAGTCCACGAAATTCATGACAGTCCATCTAGGCTATCAAAGTAACTCTTTACGGAAGTATACTCGTTCAAATCCATCTTCAGTTCTTCTTCCAGTCTCAACAAACCCCATTTTAACGTACATTCCAACATTTTCGTACATTTTCTCATTCGTATAAAGCGTTAATGCTGTGCAGTTCTGTGATTGAGCGACTTGTTCAGCACACTCTAACAATATGCGACCATAGCCACGACCTTGAGTCGCAGGGCTCACGACCAAATTATTGACTTCAACGGAGTGGGTATCCACATTGACTGAAAGTACGATCGCGCCGACGATTTCCTGTGTTTCATTCCGCAAAACAAAGACGTTGGATGTTTGAACGACTTCATAATAGTTTGCCAACATGGGCGCTGGTGGCTTGCCAATACGTTTGATGTATTTCGAATATGCGGCATCAATCATTGTCTGGATAGCTGGCACATGCTCAGGCAACGCCCTTATCATAGTGAGGCCAGGTCTGGCAATACTTGGCGGGCCAATCATTTCTCATATAACCACAGACTTGACTCCCTGGATCTCGAAGTAAAGAATCGGTTGTTGACAATGTTAAAATTTGAAATCCCAAGATCTATGAACCATAATAAGTGCTGACAAATTACGGTAGATGAGTCACGGCGGGCCGATGTCCGGTTCCGTGTAATGAGAGTCTAGGGACAGAGCAACAATACTCCAGGATTTCAATTCATCTCTACTTGAATGGGAAAATGTGCATGGCAATTATTCCATCCAATTATCATGAAAGTGAGAAGATTTCTCGAGTGCTTATTCAATCTGAATTCTCACTTTCATCCGCACAATACACGATTCCATCGTCCCCATGTGATTTCTCGAAGGAACATTTGAATCGCCATGGCCATCACAACGATCAAGCAGGAGGAAGAGCAGCCTTTCCGGCCTTCCATTTGCCGTCAGAGAACATCCACTCAGAGATTCCGCTAACGTGCTCTCCTTTCTGGAAATAAAGTCTCATTTGCACATTCTTTTCGCTTCCCCAACAAGCTGCAGCGACTTCACTTCCCGGGATGCAACCAACTTTCAGGTCTCCCTTTTGCCACTGGCCGTCAAATTTCATTTCCTGTAGGCTAAGTGAACAGACATAAAATAAGCTCATGCCAACTTTGTTGTTACCCAGCATATGGCTGGTACATGCCAGTGAAGCTCTGGGCGGCACAGGGTCGGAGCTTGCGGTTTTGAAATGCCCATCATACCAGCCTCTTTCCTGATCCCAGCATTTCTCTTCCAACACATGATGATCATCTTGGAAGAAGACGCTGGTCGAAATTAGCCAAATATCTCTCTAACCATTTTCTCAAATGGATAAAGGCAGATGATTTCACTAACCGAAGTCTCATATGAGTTGTCTTGAAGCTCGTGCACGTAATCGACGATCCAGGCATAGCCACGCCCAGATTTTGCAGTTCCTTCCATCCGGTATTGTCGTCTAAGATGAGTACAACATGAGCTCAAATCTTGTTGCAGGAAGGGGATATTCTTACTATTCCAGCCATACTCCTGGATAGTATTATCAGGCTTCTGGCAGTACACCTCAAAGTCATGTTTGCTCCATCAAGAAAGCAAGCGGCCATACTAGAATATGGAGCCATGTGGAACTTCTTTTTGCCTATGTCGCCCTCATACCAACCCTTAGACTGGTCATACGCAGATTCTTTCAGCATGTTGTCATTCGTCAAATAGAACATTCGGATCTGCCAAGAAGGTTAACATCATTCACCGCAAGCCGACTTCGATAATGATGCACTGACGTGCTCCGGCTTGAAAGCGACGGCAATGGGCGAGTCAAGTCTTGCTTCAGCAACAACATTCTTCTCAGTGCCATTGGTCCATTCCCGCTCATACATAGTCTCTCGAACTTTGCCGAGGACATCCTGCATGTACACTCGCAAGTAGCCCTCCGAGTTACAGGCGCCGATGCATGTTCCTGTTGTTTGATCAAGATTAGTCACAGTGCCGATTCAATTTAAGTAATTACAGATTCCGTGTCACACTGAAATATATTTCCTGGGCGTTGCTGGGCATTTTGATGGTGAAGAACGCGTCTTTTCTTTGGAAGAGATGAGAAGTGGAAGCTGAATTCGAAATGATAGTTCTCAAGTATCAAGTTCTTGGCAAGCTTGAAGACCTGGAAATTGAATCTCAGAACAGCGGGAGAGACTCGGAATTTATATTCTTTAGCTCCACAGCTCGCCGATTTACAACCTTAATGCCTCGCATTAATCACTCTGAAATGAGACGGGTAATACATGCACGGTGGCAGCTTTGTGCATGCGCGATCAAGCAGCCATCTCTTGATCATTTGATTGATCCCCGGAGAACACAGCCAATATACTATGTGAGTCTGGTGAGGTTTGTACAATCCGAATATCCCGATGCTTCAAATGCTCAGTACAATCCAGATCTACCTGCACAAAACATATGTACGTAGCAGATTTTGTCTACGAAGAGCAAAAGGGAAATCAATCAATGAGTACACGGAGCTCACACATAGCTATTATTTCGAACCTTACATCATGATATTGTCCATTAACAAATTTACCTAGACATTTGCGTAAATGGAACTTGCAATGATCAGTCAATAGCTACCAGTGGGCACTTGTGAAAAATCATATATTTGTCTATCCCTTTCAGACTTATTGAGTAGCTGAGATACCCAACGAATGAAGTTAATTCCAACCTCCGAGCCAGGAGCCTTTGGGCAAATGTAAAGGTCTTGATAATATGGACAGCGGAATGTATATACTGATTACATCCACGAGAGCCGATTCGTAAAAACCGTGAACTTGAACTTGAACAACTTGAATTCAATATGAAGTACAAAGACCTGGGTTTGTGAGGTGCCTATTTTAAGAATTTATTTTCTTGGAGATTATACAAGGTAGCATCTATATATATGTATTTTTATACTATACTAAAATTTAGACCTGGTGTTCAAAGAACTTTGATCTTATCTTACAGAGCCGCCTTAGTGGACGAAAAGTGCAATATATCCATACGAACACGCAGCCGACTTCAAGTTCTTAGATCTGAGGCTGAAAATCTACCTAAGCCCTGGAGCCCTGTCATATTATGTATATTACACAAGTCAAGGGTATAGATCAGGTCTGATGAAAGTGACCCAAAAGCAAGTTTAAATTATAGGGTAGCGACCACCTTGAAAGAAAACTGGAGGTTTCCTTGGAAACAGGGAGGATGGGATCATGTAGCTGTATTCTCTAAAGGAAAGACTTTTCTGGTTCAGAAAGTACTAAAGAAAAAAGCATACGGCGAAGCCAATGTGCGAAATAAAACTTCCGGTCGGCCAATCGTGCAAGGCATCCATATGCGCAAGTTGATAACTTTAGGTTTGGTGAAAGACACCATAGGTACCATTACTATGACGACTAGGATTTTTACAAGCTATTCGAAGACGGATAGTTAAACATTAACCAGAAGGGATCGACATGGTACAACAAAAATTATTGTCCAGGAAGTTAACAAACACTCATGTACAGAGTAACTCGGTCATTGTCTCATCCAAGGCGCATGGGTTAGCGAATGTCATGGTTTCACCACTCCGCTACACACGGAAGATGAGATGGGCCCGAACTTTGGACGACTACTTAAATATTGTCTTAAAATAGAGGAGGTGGAAATGAAAGGAATATCGCGCTAATAGCCAATTATTACCCCCATGTCTAAGGAAATTGTGGCCAAGATGTAGGTTGGTACGTGGCGTGAGACACCTAGCGCCCACGGGGAAACACATGCATAAAGCCAATATAGCTAGCAGCTGACGTCAGTCTTTGAAGTGCTTTGACGCCCATGATTTAGATGCTGCATCTGAGGAACATTGCATGTCTCATGCGGATAGCCACGCTTTGAAGATGTGCTACCCAAGTTCAGCAAATAAATCCGACCGCACTCGAAGGTTTGGATTTGATCAAGATAAGATTTTGAGCACTCCTGGCCGAGAGCTTAATTAACCTTGGGAACCAGAGGATAAAAAGTCGGTCAACCAATGAGACACTCGACTTTAATTTGAAATCCGTGATTCAGAAATCGATATACAGTAATTTGCGTTCTTGATAATTTCACCGAATCAATTAAACACATCAAACTGAGGTGTTCAACTAAGTGGGTCTGGATAAACCAGTCGCGGTGCTCCTTCCGAGGTTGATGAAGGGGCACACGACTGGTCAACTAGTGCTACAGATTGATGGCAAGTCAAGCGGGGCCTTAGCCTTGTTTAGCCTTGCAAGGGGGAACGGTCTTCTTTGCTGTGAATAACTTGAATGAGAAACAACCTCGGCGTTAGCCCATCCCTTGATATATCACACCAATTTGCAAGCTAGCCAAGGTCAATGCGACACATCTAGCTGGTTCAAGTTAATCTTGGAACAAGGGCTCCTCTTCATCTATCTGGAACTCTCATGATTCTAATTATGCAGCCCTTTTGGCACCGCAGCATCGAGCCGATCATGCAAATCAGGGGAATCGCCTGAGCGTGGATCAGTGGACCTGCGGAACAGTGGATCTTGCACAACTCTCGGATCTTCATTTCGGCCAATCAAGGGATCGGGCGACAAGAATGCATATTTATTTTGGGTCTCAATTATGTGTCGCAAAGCTCATCTCAAGTGATTAGAGCGATGATATTTAAGATGGACGCATTCACCAAATTCTTGAGAGGGGTAGGTCTTCTCGTGCTGGCACGCCTCAATCATGTTGTTCTCAGCTGGTCGTCTTTTTGTTCCTGCACTCACAGCGTCTCTCCTACTACCATGTGTTTCTCTCGCCGAAGACCCCAAATCAAGAGCCGTGATCGCTCTTGACGCCCTTCAGGAGTGGTACAATACGACCAGTGGCCTATGGGATACGGTCGGTTGGTGGAATGGCGCCAATTGCATGACTACGATCGCAGACCTAGCCGCCATAGATCCATCTGCGATGGAGACAGCCGACTTCGTCTTCAACAACACGTTTCTTAACGCCCCGTCGTCTAACCCGAACCCCGGCCCGGAGACAAGAACCAACACGAAGCGCAACGTTCTAACGACCCGGGCGAATAATGCTGGAAATTCTTCACAATGGCTCGATTCGGCCTATGACGACGATGGATGGTGGGCCCTTGCATGGATAGCTGCATACGATGTTACCGAAGAGAACAGCTATCTGGATCTAGCTGAGGGGATTTTTGCAAGCTTGGTAAGATTTACTGCCCAGAGGATTTGCGTCTTTTGTACGTTCGCCCTTACTTACTGATGCTCTTCTAGGCCGATACCTGGGGTACCCGATGTGGCAACGGTGGTATTTACTGGAGCACCTCAAGCTCCTACATAAATGCAATTACCAATGAGCTGTTCCTTTCAATTGCAGCCCATCTGAGCAATCGTGTGCCATCCCGAAAAGAATTTTATGTCAGCTGGGCCCAGAAAGAATGGAACTGGTTCGCGGCCCAGGGCTTCATTGCTGCGAACAACACCATTAATGATGGGCTCACTGATAGCTGCGAGAACAATGCTCAAACTGTGTAAGCATTCAATTCCTAACCATCGAATGAATCAAGCTAATAAATGCTTCAGATGGTCATACAACCAAGGTGTCGTTCTCGGTGGACTTGTCGAGTTGAACAAGGCTGCGCCGAACAGTTCCTACCTTGAGTCCGCGAACAAAATCGCTAAGGCTGCAATTGAGACATTGGCTGATACGAGTGGAGTGATCCATGAAGCATGTGAGCCCAACAACTGTCAGCCAGACGCAACAGTATTCAAGGGTGTCTTCCTTCGCAACCTTCAGATGCTGCAAAGTGCGTCACCGCATGATATCTATAAGAAAACCATCAACGACTGTGCAAACAGTATATGGGAAAATGACAGAAACTCCCAAAATGAGCTTGGTGTTGTCTGGTCTGGTCCGGTCGTGAGTACAGTAGACCCATCTACACAAAGCTCAGCGATGGATGCGCTGGTTGCTGCTCTCGCTCTCTAAGCGACATTCTTGGAGTTTGTTTTTTGATACCATATAATTTTGTAATGGAACATCCGCATATGGAAAGTTGGGGTTCCATTTCATGTTAATAAATGAATCTTTATTATGACATTTTTGAAGTCGAATCCTTCTACAGGCTCATTTCCACCTTGTCCTTCTAGTATACCCCAGGTCGGCGCGTCCACGCAGGTTGTGGCGCAGCGTTCGGTGTGCGGTATCCAGAGCGAATAATTGCAGTTGGTACTAGGTCTATGCCACCGAGCCTAGCCCCCTCTTCATCTTGAGCCCACAGGCTCAATGCTATGTAGTTAGTCCCACTGTAATTCAGGATTCCCTCTGGAACCGGGTACGACAGCTGGGGTCCTAGATTATTGACTGTATTGAAATCAGCAGGTACAATAGGCTACGAGAATATTATCAGTAAGACTTACTATACTTGCCAAATTGGTATCCATTGACATAAAGCTGACACCGATAATTGCTCCCCTTTCCGGCATTTGAACGGTCGTTCGATGAAGTATTGAAAACAATACTCATAGGGATGTCCCATCCGTTGGGAATCTGAAGTTCAAAAGAAGTGGTATAAAAACCAACACCAGCCTGAGAAAGTCCAGCTTCTACTGGATTCGCGACTTCCCAATTGGCATTAGGTGGGCTGGGGTAGTGAAACCCTTGTCGCTCAGCATACATTGCACCCTCGTTCAGGGGACCACGGACTAGATCCTGATACTGCTCGCCACCAAAATTACCTGTTACCTTCCAGGAAACATCGGCTTGTTGATGTCCTGATAGTGTATAGTTCAATATTCCTTTAGGAAACTTGATTACGTCTGTTCCTGGCGCCTCCTCATCTTGCCCCATATCATCTATCAGAATGGTCAAAACGTAGGGATTCGTCGGGTGTAGCTTTTGCGCAATTGGTAGTGTTTGAATGGCAGTGGAGTTTGTACTTGTTCCACTCCACGATCCAAGAAAGGTGCTGTTCAACCAAACAGAATGGCTAAAGCCGGTACCACCGGAGATGTTAAGCCTTATGTATGACTCCTGTCCGTTGGCAAGAAATTGACCACGGTAGATAAGAGACCCTGTATGGAATCCATAATCCATGGCATACAGATTCTTTGGAGTGTTCAGAGCCCGAGGATTGTTTGTGGAAGCCTTCGAGCAACTTGTCCAGTCTGTATCATCGTATTCGTCATGTAACTCAGGAAGCGTATCCAGGTACTTCCATTTCAATTTGCCAAGTACAGGTAATTTGAGAGATGGCGGATTGTACTCAGCTGTAGCGGAGAGCAGTTTGCTCTTCGTTTCTGAGCTTTTCAATTTTTCACCATTGAATAGTATAATTGCGTTGGCCGTCTCTACCGGCGATGAGATCAATTCAATTTCGGTTGTTGCATTGATATCGCCAGTTAAGCAAATATCTCGACCACATAATTGTGCGCTACGAACCAAATAGCCCGCTTTGACAACTATCAGATCTTTAGATGGAGATGAGAAGTTTCCGATCGGTTCTTTAGCTTCAACCTCCATTGGCCAATAGTTGTACGCCTCATTGCGCCAGAGAAGATAAACCCGGAGGTCTCCTATTAAGAGAACACGACGCTCATTCTGAACCTTCCACTGTATGACCCAAGCAGAGCCTTTTGGTCTGATTGTTATCCCACTCCCCTCAACTACCGTCGGATTTCCAAGATGACGAGCAAATGCAAGCTCATGCGTTTCGCCTGCTCCGCCATACACGATTAACACACGTGTCGATCCGGCACCCCGAGCCCAAGTCAATATCTCAGCTGAAGAGTAGATCAAGTTAATGCCGCCAAGATCATAATCCGTGACGTGGAATTTAGAATCGCGACCGGCGAGGGTCAAACTGTTACCGAGCTGAGGTATAGTAACGTTCCCAACACTTGTCGGCAAGGTAACTGTGTATTGTGTATCTTCTTGAGAGCTGAAGTCGGCGTGTCTAATAACGTAAAAATTTGTGTGTGTACCATTGCCAAGTAAGGGCGTGACTGCAATTGAAGCGGGCGCACCAAATGATCCATTGACGCCGATTCCTGGTGTCGCCGTTAAATAGGCGGGTGATACTTTGAGAAAGTTGGCTTGTAATTTTTCTTCACTAAATTTCTCGCGCCAGACTCCACGCTCCTCGGTTATTGCCGCTCCGTAGTCATAAGATGTGTATCCGTTCATATAACCTAGGTTTCCCCAGTTTGTGCCACCGAATGTCTATGTGGGTCAGCAAGTCTGACTGGCACAATTGATGTAAAATTATGACCATCGTCTTACCATGTAGATGTTGAAAAGCTTCACGCCAAAACTGTAATTATTCTTGTACACGACTCTCACTGCTTCTTCGTTAATGAGCTCGGCGCACATCTCTTCAAGCACGCCTCCCCTATTTTCAGATTAGGCGAAGATCACGACAGGAATACTACGAGATTTGGAAACGTACCAGCCTTCGCCGGATCCTCCCTGAAACTCAGCTATCGCGAAGGGGGTAGTCGGGCTCTCCTGCTCATGAATAACTTGCCAGTCGTGAGGAAATTCGTACGTGGGCCAGACGGATGGATTTGCACCTTTTAGCATCAGAGGTTAGCATGCAAAAGCTTCAGGTCTTGGTGTTGATTTCTCGTAAGAGCTCGTGCATACAATCATATCGTAGGGGGTAAGCATCAATTCCATAAATGTCTGTTGCTCCTAACCCTGACCCTGGTGCCCAATAGCCCTTTACTTGATTGTCATTAACAATCAATGGCACAGTTATTCCAGCATCAAGAAGCTGTTGCTCCACGAACTTCATGTATTGTCGGTTCGCATCTGATGGAAAATCTGTCACGCCTGGCCAAGTCGAAAACTCATTCTCGGGTTGGACCATTATAACCGGGCCGCCATGAGTTATCTGCGCCTTCTCAATGATTCGACCTACAGTAGCCATATATTCCTTTGTCGCATCGAGGTATTCAGGATCGTCCGATCTAATGGTCGCATTCTTTCGAAGAACCCATCCAGGAATACCCCCGGCTGAGGTTTCCGCATTGATATACGGACCTGGTCGAGCAATAAGATAGATTCCTGCTTCACGAGCAGCTTGGAAAAACTTTTCCATATCCAATATGCCGTCGGTAACAACGTGCCCTGGATTTCCTTCCACAAGTCCCCAGTCCATGTAGAAGGAAACCCCGGTAAATCCCATGCTTTTGATCTTTTGAAACACATCTAGCCATAGATCAGGAACGGGCAAGCGGAATGGGTGAAATTCTCCGGAGAAAATCATCAAGCGCTCTCCATGGACGAGGATAGAGTGTTCATCCCAAGTAACCTAAATTTGGTTCAAATGTCAAATTTTTGTTCAATCAATGCCTTGTTGGCTGTTGACATACGATGTTTTGTAATCCATTGTTGCTCGCATTCACAATATTTGGTAGGAAGGATGAGACCGCGACCCATAGCGAAATGCTAAACAGCAACCGCATCGAGAACATTTTCAGTCCAAGACTTCAACTTCTATTGAAAATTTTATGACTTGCTTTGGTTTTCTTGGGCCCTTGGACTTTTCGGTGTTTTTAGTCCCGGGCGAACCCCGGCTAAATTGGCTACCCCGCAAAACAGCTCCATCTCCGAAAACAAAACAAAGCTGGGGTCAAGATGACTTCAGCCATGAATTATGCGGTATCAGGCTAAATGATTATGAAAGCCATGTTCGAGGCGTGCGCTTAGTTGAGGGCTATTAGCTAAGGGAATTTTAAGTTGGTGGCTGGTCTCATAGTGTGAGGAGCATAGCTGCCACGTCTTACTTCAATCACCACGACAGCAGCTACAGGCCAATTCTTAGAAAGTGTAAAGTGCCTAACACATTAATATGAAGATGAAACACTAAATATAATGACTAACAGCGCGCTTTCAAACTACAATCTGTACTTCTTCGGTGATAGCTCCACGCCTCAATTCATGACATCATGTTCAAATCATCTCCCCGCCCTCGCCTTCTCCCCCCGCATTGATCATTTTACAACCCTCACAATTCCAAACTCGCCCAATTGTGAATCATGGCTGCGCATACGAAACCACTCATCTTACACGCCCACGCGACCGGGCCAAATCCAATCAAGATCGCGATCGCACTGGAAGCACTGAAAGTTCCATACGTTGTCAAACAGTGGGATTTTAGTGATAGCCCAGACACTGGCGTCAAAGGAAAAACATTCCTCAAAGTCAACGAGAACGGCAGGGTACCAGCGCTCGAGGATCCAATGACTGGCGTTGTCTCGTGGGAGTCTGGGGCATGTATGAACTATATTCGAAGGGTGTACGACACGAGTAACATTATTGGACCACCTGGAACTTCAGCTCAAGACTTGGTTGATTTCGATAAGTGGGAATATTTCCTGTTGACTACCCTAGGTCCAATGACTGGACAGGTAAATTGGTTCAAGTGAGTTCACGAGACCTTCTCAAATAATACAAGCTCGGCCTCTAATTTCTTAGGCACTACCATTCACAGAAGAACGACGATGCATTACAGAGATACGTTGCTCAGGTTTATCGGTGCTATGACGTTGTTGAAGGCCAGTTGAAGAGGTCGAACGGCACAAGTATCTTGCCTACTCGAGTGAGTGCCGTCGACTTTCATTTCGAACCCTGGGTGCGACAGCATGCGTTCGCTGGTCTCTCGCTAGACAACTACCCGTTGATCCATAAGTGGCTCGGTTTGATGGCGGCTCGAGAGGATGTCGAAGAGGCTTACGCGAAGGTCCAGCTTTCTGCAAAGAAATAATCCTATCGAGAATACCGACTAGCCTTGTGCTTCACTGCACAGAGCCTCAACATAAAAGTATATAAGAATGCAAACGTGTAATTTTCTTGTCTATATAACTTTTCTTTTAGCCTGTTAGCAAAACTTTTGGAACATTTACAAGGACCTGCATCAATGCCTTCCCATTATGGGACTTCCCTGGCATTTTCCCACCCCGAACGTTCACCTGCATTGCCTGGTGGATCAATTCCGGTTCAGGAATATCATAGTCTCTCCGATTTCTAAATTCGATGAAGTCCTCCTTCTTCACCCCGTGTTTAAGATGCTTATTCAGATTGTTCTGTTCTTCAACAGTCATGAATGACACCGGATCTCGAGCAGAAGCTTCATCATTGGGAGGATAGTCGTGCCCAACATACAGCCGAGTTTCTGGTGGCAAGCTTAGCAATCGCTGCAAAGACTGCCATAGAACTTTTGCATCTCCACCAGGAAAGTCACACCGACCACTTCCAACGTCAGGATTGAAGACTGTGTCCCCAACAAAGACATTCGATTCAATCTTGTATCCTCCATGATCTGGTGTGTGGCCTGGTAAATCCATGAACATCACAGTCAACTCGCCGATTTTGAAGACTTCATCGGAACGGAAAAGGTGGTCGAAACAGTTTTGCAGTTCTCGTTCTGGGATGTTGTATCTGTTCGCAAAATATCGTTGCACGATTGTCACGTTCTCTCCGATGCAGCTTAGGGGATGCGGCTGGCCTTGAGTCCAGAGGGTGGATTGAATATAGTATGCTGCTGATAGGTGGTCCGCGTGGATATGTGTTTCAAGGATATGGGTAACGTTGTACCCTTCCTTTCGCACGGCGTCGATGAGGGAATCGGCTGCCTCAGTGTTGATCGTGAAATGCAATAGGTCGAAATCAAGTACAGGGTCGATTATGGCACAGTCTTTCGTCTTAGGACAGGCTACTATGTATTGCCACGAGCCAGTTTTGGGCTCAAAAACCGGATGGATGATGGGATTCATTTGAGAAGAAAAGCTTGAACGTTATAAAACCTTGATTGCGATCGGTATTTTTTATCATTGAGTTACAATGCTTTTGGAGATCAAACTGGGCGATGCCGAGATGGCAATGATTAAGTGTGGCCGAGCCACATTACGTATTTGCAAGTCATCACCAGTGACAGACTCGGAGGCAACTTGGACCGTGTAATCTACCTACTTGCCACAGTCAATCTAGTAGCAGCTGTCAGTGTCAGTATATATAAACTTTTGTGAGATTTACGAACTTGAAGATCCCGGTCTGTTGTGCATTTATAAAGTTTCGAAAGGGTAATTGGAAACAGGTATACTACACATTTTCAGTCCATTTTCATAAGCCGACATGAATTGAGTAATTTCTCGTGACCAAAGTAGCAATATGGTATTGGCTAGATCATTCTAAAGCCATCGTCATTCCAGTAAAAAGCAACGCACCGGGTTAAGTGACGTTCAAATGAGCACGGAAAGGACTTTTGAGGAAAGAAACATATTTTGCGGCTAGTAAACACTTCATATTGTATTACCACCGCGCTTTTAGTGCATGGTAATTACATTCCGGTAACTGAAATGGTTTTACACACTAGGCAAAAGTTGAAATCAACATTTCTCCTTTCTTCTTTTAGTTTAAGCCAACTTGCAACAGGCCATTTTCTATCCCGAGACAATGCTCAGCCAAGGAATTTAGCATCTCAAATCAAGACAACTATCTCAGTCGACGACAAATGAAAATGACCTCCAGCCTTTCCTTTCTCTTTTAACTTTCTCACGCATACAGAGGGCGATTGAGATAACGCATCAGTAAGCGAGGGTTTGGACGTCTAAAATCTACCGGGGTTGGCGAGATTTGAGAGAACTTAGTTGAAGAAGACAGTGCTTGGCGACTGGCTTTCAAACGATTCGCCACTGATAGAAGAGTGGTCATCATAATCTGGCTCACTCTGATCGATGGGTGCAACCCACTGAGCAACATTGAGATCGAGAGAGTGCGCATGTTGGTTAAATCGGCACTGCCAGCTTTTCACAGCTTTGCAATTGGGCTTTTGGCAGATATGGCCCATGTAGCACTTGATAGATCGACAAGCCCCGGCACGAGAGCAAGGGTGTTGAAGGAGGATGTACTTGAGTACGTTAATCACGGTGTTTGAAACATCGCCGTGGTCATAGGGACAGCTCATATCACCACATTCGCCGGAGAGATGATAGCTATTGCAAACTTTGCGCTCCTTAGCTCGGCGATGATATGCTTCCATAGCATCTGGAGGCGGGTGGGGGAAATATGTGTCCAGGCGGTCTCCATCTTTATTGATGGGGATAAAGTCTTCAGATTTGAGGCTCTGGGGTGGCAGTGTTGTGAAGAGAAAATCTAGCGAGCGGCCCACGACGGGTGAAGTAGACCACAGCTGATGAGGTGACGGCGGCTCGGTGAGATCACTTGTTGTTTTGGACAACTGCTGGTTTGGCATAACGTGTTGCTTGTTGCAGCCAGTGCCGAATTTGCAAATTCCCTAATCGTGCGCAAGTGTGTTAGTTTTTGACTAGCCCGATGGACATTACAATGAGGACGCAATACCCTTTGGAAGTGTTTGCAAACAGGCTTAAAGCCATTGGTTGAATTAGCAACCTTTGTAATGATTGTGTTAGCCGGCCCAGTTGGCTTTGAACTAGTAATAGGTGTTGACATGAACACAGCGGGCAGTTCTCTAATTGGGAGGCCTAGATCTTCGAATTCGCGATGAAAAGAAGCTGCTTTTAGAAGGGTAATACGTTCGCTTTTGCCTTTGTAGGGAGTCAACAAAGATCCGAACCCACTATCGTGGCAGCCTGCGAAGTAGATGTGACGGCACTGATTAGAATCCACAAATAAGCGGAACATCTCTGTTACAACAGCTGTTTAGCATAGAACGACATGTCGATGGGGTGGGTTGCTTATTACCTCTGATTTTGTAGTCGCTGCCCTCCTTTTTCTCAGCAGCGTCGACAAAATCAAAAAGATCCTGAGAGCGAGTGAAAGATGAGGTGAACGGAGACAGGGAGCGAGCTTCATGCCCGACCATGCCAGCACGCGCGAGAGCTTTAGATAGGCCAAGAATATTGGCATAAACGCGAACCATAATTCGACATTGGTCAGCTTGCATTCCCATAGTTGAATGCATCAGCTCCCTAATTGAGTCACTCAATGCACGCGCAGCATTAATACCGCCCTCGCTGCCAGCCTTTAGGAAATGCTCTTTGAACTAAAGTATAATGTTAGCTGGAACGAATAATATGGATTGATGAAGGATCAAAGGAGACCCACAAGGTATCCATCGCCGTCAATAAGCACCAACACGAATGGGTTGCGATCCTAGTCCTTACGGTTAGTGGCTTTTCCAGAAACGTTTAGGCGCCCGCTAGCTTCCTACCTGACCCCGAGCCTGTCTCTTGTACTTCTCACGACCTTCCTTGACTTCCTCGTAATCGCTTTTCAAGGAACTGTAATCTTCCAATAGACTTTTAAACTGGCTGAGCAAATTTTGCATATTGTCATTGTGACGCTGATTTTCCTGGGACAACGATGCTAGGTGGTTACCCAAGGAATCTATATCAGATTCCCGCAGCATCTTGAAGGTAAGGGGAAGGCATATATGCCTGTCCCATACAAGAAAATAAATGAATGGAAATGATGAGCATCCAACTTAAACAACAGAACTTCTTGAGAAGGCGAACAATTCAACGAAAGCGACCGAAGGTGAATGTTGATATGTGGGGGGGAAGGGAAACAAATTTGGAGCTGTGTTGGCAGAAGCGGTCAAACGAACCAAACACAGTGGGGTGATCCCATCATAATCACCTGACTGGCTGCGTGCATATTAGTCTTGCATGTTTGACGTGGTCTTTCAACTCTTCAGCCTATAACAAGCCATGGACCCCGGTCGGAGCTGCGGTTTCAACAGTGTTGCTGAGAGACATTTTAATTCACATGTTCGATTACAAACACTCTACTCACCGCCAAAGAAATGAAGAGGCCATATTCAGCTCTACAATCCCATTTAGCATGGATTCAAGGGATTATAGAAATCCAAAGCACCCCCTAGGGTTGAGTTCTATGCATTCACTATGCCGTTCAAGTTCATATCGAGCACGGTCCCCTATTAGGCTTCGATCATATAACACGCTGGGAGGCTAGGAAGCCCCCAATGTCTCAGAAATCATTCCCTCTGTTGAATGGAATACATCTACGCAGCCATGTCTGTGAAGCCAACGCACGATCCACAATCGTTAGTGCCTACCTTACAACCCGTTTACCCTCCTGATATCTCTTCAAAAATGTCCCAGTGTGCTTTTTGACCAGTTCGTGGGCCTACCACTCTCGGAAGTGGCTGGGCGAACCATCCCACCCAGCGAGTGCGTCGGAATCGTGGTGGCCTTGCCTCAAAAAATAACTGGGTTACTCATGTCAAATACCTTCCAGAAAGTCCGAGGAGATTCTTGGACTTTTGTGCCACCTTTAAACATGGTTTTTGGCGAGAAGGTAATATCATCGAAGTCGATTGCAAAAGCCTTCACATGTCCACACACCCCATTCAGCCAGGTACGCGTTGGTCCCTGCACCTGATAGTGACACAAACCAGTCCCATACGATCGGGTCGCTAGGATACTTTCCCAAGGCTTATCCAGATACTTCGGGGCGGTGTCATGCCTGCCCAGCGGGTAACACAAGCCATTGTCGCGTTTGGCATTGCTCCGGTGATAAACGACAGGCGCGCAGTGTCGCAGCTGGTTACATGCTTCTCTACGATTGCCTTTAGATGTTTTCCCCGCTCAGTCATAATAAAAGTTGAGCAGCCTGAATATGGAGGATCATGTCCTTCCTTACGCCCAATTACGCACCCTTCATGCAGGCTATGATCATTCCCCCCAGGTCGCAAAAGAATAATGGGCGGAGATTCTTTCATTTTACTCATGAACACCCAGAGAATTCAATGGGAGTTTCGTTGCACTGCCACTCGTCGTCCCTGTGAAAAGGTTGGCACCACCGGGTTGACTACTTACTATTGATACGATGCAAATCCTTTCGCCTTCTTCAATGTCTCCACAGAATCTAGGCAAGGATGAAGATATCATCAATGTTTAGAAATTACTCAAATAAATTGACCGCCAATTTCTTGATGTGACTATAACAAGCCAATTGACGCATGATCCACATCGTTGAACAGTGCAGCTGAAGATCCTTCGGAGATGATACAGGGACCTTTTTTCCGCCATGGAGAATATCTCCAATTCGAAGAAGCCAGAAGTACCATGGCCGTCTACCAAATTGCCGTGAATACCTCCTCATTTCCAGGAAACCCGATGTGGCGAAATGTAGAGTGGGTTCTGGCATAATTGGTTGTATTTCAACTGTAGAAGGCTAGAAGGCGTTTATCCTTTCATTCGTAGTTCTTATAGACAATTTTTTACCTTGCTGCCGATTTTTCCAAATCTCCAAGTGTGACAACTTATGTATAGATTCTGTCATCCTCGTTTGGCAGTTTCTCTTCCCCAAATTCAAATTGTGACCAAAGCAACATTTGAGTGGACGGTTTTTTTACTTTAATAATCGAACTTGAACGTGTCGCGATAAGTTGAAGTCTCACGGCGCGTATGCATCTACGATTGGGATGGAGCAAATATTCTGCCCAGAACTGCTAGTCCAAAATCGGTATGCAGGATGCTCAATACGACCAGTGGAGTTGAGCGCGGGCCTCACGTGAAAATGTCAATGATCGACAGCCGATGAGGTTCAGTTGCACAAAATGTCGATTCTGGGGAACCGTCGGTGTGTCCAGCGGCAATGTATGTCAACCTCGGTACTAAGGTTCCACACGCCATATGATGCTCGGGGCCAAATTGTCATCGATCTCCGATGACAACCGCGAGATCAATTATAAACATTCGGCCCCCTCCAATGGATTTTTGATTTCAAGACCCCTTTTCAACTCCCCGCACACCAACCACAATCATGAGGGCCGTTCTATTCTCGCTCAGTGCGTTTGTATGCTATGCCATCTTCTATTTCTCCCATGCCAATGGACTCAACGAGCTAGCCTTCAAAGCCATCGCATCCGGCAAGCTCCCCGGGAACAATGAGCCTCTGCGAACAGTCTATACTGGGGTTGAACACATCGACAAGCTGCTTACTGTCCTCACCACCTTTTTTTACCCAGTTCTAGATGGGCAGGACGCTACACTTTTTCTTCATAGCATCGGATTCTCCGGCACATTCGGTGCGACATGGACTCTGGTTGTCTTGGAATCATGGCGCAAGGGCAATTCCGGCACCATCGCAGCTTAGTAGGTTACCCCTGGAACCGCATATTCAAATTTCAAACTTCAAACTTCCAGGTATCTGACTTCCATGCAGCCCTACAATCTTTGGTCTAATGGCCCAAGTCTTTACTTTTGCCTTTGCCACTCCTCTGGTTTGCGCCCTGCAACTAGGTTGCTCAATCACTGCCCGGCGCCCCCACGCAGAAAACATCCGCGTCCCTCGAGTCGTGCTTGCTGTTATCCCGACCGTGTTCATCATTGGATTCCTGGTCCCCACTAATTTAATGGCCCTACCAGCGCCCGAGATAATTCCCGTCGACTGGAAACAAATCGCGATTGCTTCATGGCACCCATGGCCAGCATATGTTTCGATCCTCACAACTGTGGCCTACTACGTCCTAGGTCCATTTTTCTCTAACAACCACCGTGCCTCCATGTCCGGCTTGCGGTGGGTCTACGCATCAGCATTCATCCACGCTTCCCTTAGCCATCTTGTCACCCTGGTTCTTTCCGTTGGCACGGTCGTGGCTCCCGCCTTGTTTGACGATCGATTTGTCGTTGCTCTTCACCCATGCAAGGTGTATTCTTTCCCTCTTCCTTGGTCCGGATTGACGGTTGATACCGTGGCTGAAGGCGTGCACGTCTTTCTTCGCTGGGACTACATGATTGGATCCGCCGGAATTTTGCTCTGGGCTTTGAAATTGCACATTGTTGCGCAGCGACAAATTGTCAGCGGTGTCTCGTGGCTCAGCCTTCTTTTCAAGGTCGGCCTGTTGACAGCTTTGACTGGTCCAGCTGGTGCGGCAGTGGAGTTGATGTGGGAGCGAGATGAGCTCGTCTTTCGTGAAACCGGAGGCTCGAGGCAGCAGGTTACTACCGCTAAGAAATCTTCATAAGAAAGAAAGGTCGCTAATGTACAAGTATGATTGTCCTTCGTTTGGACTGACGAGAGCTACGGGTTCGGGCTCTGCTGGATGATCCCACGAGACACAAATGCTAGCAATGTGATATTGAATGGATCTTTATTCAAGGATTTCAAGTTAGGTCATTAGTTGCTAACATTGAAAGATCTTAACCCAGAAAAAGACCCCTGGAGAGAATACCACATATATATCATGCCATATCAATAAACAAATATATGTTTTTTATATCGATCATGATGTTAAAAGAGGGATCGATTTACCAGCTCATAAATCTCCCGAATGTAGGCCTCTGTATTGGGGTTTCCAAGGGTGCCAGTCGCCGCCATGTTATTCATGACATAGCCGATAGTAACACGTCGCTTTCGATCCATGATAACAAAGGAACCACCCCAACCTCCCCAGAAGCAGGTATCACCCACGGGGATCCATGGACGAGTTCGTGTGTCTCCTAGGCCCACCCCAAGGCCAAATCGAACATAATCAAAAGTAATTCGATCAACCCCATCGGTTCGCTCTTCAAGGAGTTTGTCAATAGCGCTAGGCTGCAAAATGCGCGTATTTCCATCAACAGTGCCACCAAGTGATACAATAGAGCAAATACGGGCCAGACCACGCGCATTAGAGAATCCGTTAGAGGCCGGCGAAACAGCCTTTTGAAACACGGGGCCCATTGATGTCTCGGCCGTCATAGGACTTCCCATAATTGCTCTGACAGGGGTTGTATTTGGGTCGAGATCCTGGAACGAAAACCTCGGTGGCGGAATGATCTCCACCGTACGTGTCTTTTCGTCATCCGGAAGTCCATATTGGAAATCAGCACCCAACGGCCCGGTGATTTCATCAGCGACAAACTCCTTAAAGGGTTTGCCACTAACGCGTTGGACAATCTCACCCACAAGATACCCCTGACTTGAGAGGTGGTAACCGCTACCGTCTCCAGGAGTCCACCAGGGAGCCTGGGACGCCAGTCTTTCAGTGGATATTTTCCAGTCCAGTGTATCCTCGATTGTTACGGGAGGCTCCCAAGCAGGCAAACCCGAAGTATGGCTGAGGATATGGGACACCTTAACATTTTCTTTACCATTGGCGGCAAACTCGGGCCAATATTTTGCGACATTCTCGTTGACATCGAGCAGGCCGCGGTCAATGAGAATCAAAGCTGCGAGGTTGGTGACTACCTTTGAGCAGGACCAGACTGGAGCGACGGTGTCCTTGTCCCATAATTTGGTGCGCGCGACATCGGTATATCCACCCCACAAGTCGAGTACATCTTTCCCGTCAATATTCACAAAAAGAGAAGCACCTAGTTCATCTCCTGAAGAAATTCGTTGCTTCAGCAGCTCCCTGACGGAGTCAAATGCGGGGTCATTGGTTCCGCAGACCTCGGCCATTATGGAGACGGATGATGACTTTGTGGGTTGAGATTGATAGAAAACAAATTAACTTAGCGTTTACGGTTTTTATCTGATTCAGTTTTCTTTGAGCGGGGATACTTGTCAGGGAGAGGGTTAGTATTAGATCCTTGTTTTATTAGAAATCGAGGGGTATGCACCAGGCTGTGTTATCAAGCAAGTTAGAACAGCCTTGGACTCTTCGGACGTTTTACTGGAAAGGGCAACATTTTAGCCCCCACGTAAACATGTCGAAATATCATGATTAGCTGGAGAGCAGGGGTGTGGATTCAAATATGATCAGGCACAGCCAATAATAGACGCGTCGGTTGAGTCTCAACTACAGTATCATGGTCGTAGCCTGAGGTGTCGACATAAAGAATATCCATGATCAGGAGTTTATGTATTTGCTGAATGAGATTTTTTTCAAGCAGATTTTCTAGTGTATCTTCCATTATTTATATTATAGGTTAGAATTTGTGGTTAAACTTTGGATGTAAGTGGTGACGTGGGTCGTTAGCATTCCTCTTAGATGACAGGGACAGGAATCCACAGAGACCGATGCTGTGATAATTGTTCTACGTTAGCAAAACATGAACAAATCGTTTTTCATTTTGCATATATTGACTCGTATCGCAGGTTATTGCTCTTTCAAGCTCGAATTCAATGCCTTGCCGAATTGCCGTTGCTCGGATCAACCGGGGAAGGAAACCACTCGATGACGCCGTGGCCGTAGACAACGGCACTGGTCCGTAGATACTTCAGGTCCAACGTCCCGAGAACTAAAATCTACTTAAATCTACTTAAAATGTTGATCCAATCGAAACTTCTCTCACTTGATTACCGGTGCCAATCACAACACCTTGCCTATTTGAACGTACCTCTGAAGTTCTATGCAGTAATGGAGGAATCTAGCTCCTCCCCTCAGGAGTCTCACAGATCAGGTACGGATGATAGCGATCACCTCACAACCGTCATCACTGGCTGCGAGCAGAATAGCTCTGAATTGGCAAATATCCGGACCCCAACTCTTAGCCGACGACCAACGAACCTGAATGATGTCGAGCTCGAGCGCATAAACACCTATCGACTGCAGCATAAGTCGACCGTTGGATCGGGTATAAGAGTTTACCCCCGTGAAAAATGGCTTCCAATGGGCGCTGGAAAACCATACCCGCCTGACCTTCCCGACCCGGAACAATTTATCGTGGAATTTACCGGGGCAGACGATCCATTGCATCCGCAGAACTGGTCGATGAAGAAGAAAGTTGTGATTTCTGTCGTTTTGGCCTATTCAACATTTGTGTCATCATTTTCCAGTGCTATTTATTCGTCAGCCGTGGGCGAGATAAGCGTGAAATTCCACATCAGCACAGAAGTGGCTATACTTGGTGTCACTCTCTATGTTCTGGGTTTCGCTTCCGGGCCTACCGTATGGGCACCCGCAAGCGAGCTGATAGGAAGACGATGGCCAATAATTGTCGGAATATTTGGCTTCTCAATCTTTACCATTGCTACTGCTACCAGCAAGGATGTCCAAACTCTCATGTTGACCCGCTTCTTTGCGGGATTCTTCGCAGCAAGCCCGATTGCCATTGTGCCTGCTGTTTTTGCCGATGTTTATAACAATCAAACACGAGGCGTTGCGATCGCAATGTTTGCGATGGCGGTTTTTGTGGGCCCATTTGCCTCCCCCTTTACTGGTGGGTTTATAACCATGTCATACCTTGGGTGGAGGTGGACCATGTATATCGCAAGCATTATGGGCTTCCTAGCCACGGGGCTATGTCTATTGTTTTTGAAAGAAACATATGCTCCTGCGATTTTGGTCGAGAAAGCCGTGACACTTCGCAGACAGACTCATAATTGGGGAATTCGCGCCAGACAAGAGCAAGTCGAGTTGGACTTCGAAGAGCTGATGACGAATAACTTTAGTCGTCCATTCAGGATGCTCTTCACGGAGCCTATCGTTTTTCTGGTAAGGTGACTTCCCCAAAAACGGGAAGTAAGATGAATCTGCTGACCCTGGATAGATCTCGCTTTGGATGAGCTTTGTTTATGGTTTGATGTACGCGCTTTTGGGTGCATACCCCGTTGTATTTCAAGGAATACATGGCATGAACCTTGGCGTCGGTAGTCTCCCATTCATCGGGTTGATCATTGGCGAGCTTCTTGCTGGAGCATACATTCTGTTCGACCAAAGATCATATTCTAAGCGATTAGCCGCTAACAACAATATTCCCATACCGGAATGGCGTCTTCCTCCGTCTATTCTGGGGGGTGTTTGTTTCACCGTAGGTCTTTTCTGGTTTGGGTGGACAGGGTGGACTAGATCCATTCACTGGATGGCTCCAACTGCAAGTGGAGTGGTCACCGGATTCGGAATCTATGTGATCTTTTTGCAATGTTTCAACTACTTGATTGATTCATATCTGACATTGTGAGTTACCTCATCCCAGACGCCGATTCGTGCGCAGCTGCTAATAACAATTATCTTAGTGCTGCATCTGTTTTTGCTGCAAACACGATCATTCGATCGGCTGTAGGCGCGGCATTTCCACTTTTCTCGAAGCAGATGTTCAATAACCTAGGTGTTCAATGGGCTGGTACACTGCTAGGATGCCTCGCTCTTATAATGGTTCCGATCCCTCTCGCGTTCATTAAATTTGGTCCGCTGTTGAGGAAGAAGTCGAATTTTGCGCCCAATCTTGAGCAGCGACTGTCTCTTATTACCGAGAAATATGTACGCGCAAGTGTATAATGCTTGTCTGCCATCACTTCTTATCATAGCATAGATTCGAAATAGTGATATACCTTTTCAAACAATATGATGAGAATAATATGATGATAATGATATTGTAGAGTGGTTGTAGAAGCAATGTATTGATGGCCCACATAGTAATAATCGAGCCTATCAGCGTCCCCCGATTCAAAAGTCACATTCAAATGTTCGGACCCTGTAAATTCCCACGAAATCTCCGCGATAAGAGAACTACTACCGCCAAGGGACTCCTCCGACGCTATGATCTTGGCAAGTCAGCACACACAGATATCAGTTTTTTCTTTTTTTCGTATTGTATTAGAAGGCTGTTTGCTTTCGAAGATACGATATTTATACACATGAACCCCGAACCCTTTCTATGTCGTTCAATAGCTGCACCTTACAACCCCTTAACAATTTGCATATTGAAGACCCACAACCAGAGTTGCCGAGCCCGGAACTGTGGAAACCCACATTTCGGCAACCATGTGGCCAATAAAAAGACTACTACAGGCTGCCAAGTCTGCCAAGGGTCCATGACGAAGTGACATTGACTTGGATTTGCCAGATGAATTTTTCTTTGCTGAGTCTTATCAAAAGATTGTGGTTGGCGGAGGGACCGGATAGGTCTCTTGTCTTTTAAATGGGCTGAGTTTTATAAACCCCACTGCCTAGAAAGTTTTGTATCTTGCAATCGACTGTAGTCTTTCATTAACACTGTTTGCTTGAAAACGGGCATTGCCCATAGTTCTGCCAATATGGGTATTAAAACTTGGACCAACGACACCAACTTGAAGATTGCACGCAGTCCGGTGGGAAGATGGTTTCGACTGGAGAACTGTGGCCATGTAAGTTACGCTGAAGAGCAGAAAACAAGTCACCATCATTAACCTGCATGAATTGTAGCCCCGAGAGAGAAAGGGTGCCTTCTTCTTCAATGAGTTGCGTGCTGGTCTAGCGACCTTCTTTGCCATGGCTTATATCATCTCTGTCAACAGTAACATCACTTCCCTCACTGGAGGAACCTGTGTATGTCCGCCAGAGAGCATGTCAGATCACTGCGCTACAAACTCGGAGTATCTTCTTTGTACGCAAGAGATCAAACGTGACTTGGTAACGGCAACTGCAGCGATCGCTGCCCTTTCCACGTTTTGCATGGGTCTTTTCGCCAATCTCCCCATCGCGCTGGCTCCTGGAATGGGCCTGAATGCTTACTTCGCATATACAGTTGTGGGCGAACGTGGCTCTGGTATGATTCCATACCGAGTAGCCTTAACCGCTGTTTTTGTCGAGGGCTGGGTATTCTTTGGATTGACGCTTCTTGGTATGCGTCAATGGTTGGCACGTGCTCTGCCAGCTTCGATTAAGCTAGCGACAGGCTGTGGTATTGGATTGTATCTCGCTCTCATCGGGTTGACATATAGTGCTGGAATTGGGCTGGTACAGGGTGCAACGGACACGCCTATTGAGCTGGCAGGGTGCGCTTCTCAGTATATCGATGCAGAGACCAATCTGTGTATAACCAGTGAGAAGATGCGAAGTGCCACAATGTGGGTTGGCATTTTCTGCGGTGGTATTTTCACTGCACTTTTGATGATGTATCGCATCAAGGGTGCTGTGATCATTGGAATATTGCTTGTTTCAATCATTTCATGGCCTCGGACCACCCCTGTCACCTACTTCCCATACACAGAACTAGGAACCAGCATGTTCGACTTCTTCAAGCAAGTCGTCACTTTCCATCCGATCAAACATATCCTTGTTGCGCAAGACTGGAACATATCCGGTCACGGAAGTCAATTCGGCCTCGCCTTTATTACCTTCCTATACGTGGATATTCTGGATACCACAGGTACTATGTACTCTATGGCTCGGTTTGCAGGCACTGTCGATGAGCGAACTCAAGACTTTGAAGGAAGTGCGGCCGCCTATGTAAGCAATTCTCCATGTATTTGATGATAAATTGTGAAGCTGACAAGATTATCTGACAGATGGTTGATGCGATTTCCATTTCAATCGGCTCTCTTCTTGGTAGTCCACCAGTGACTGCCTTCGTGGAATCAGGGGCTGGAATTTCCGAAGGCGGCAAGACAGGTCTTACATCCTGTATGACTGGCATCGCTTTCTTCATCTCCGTATTCTTTGCACCAATTTTCGCGTCGATCCCAGCTTGGGCAACAGGATGTACACTCGTGATTGTTGGCGCCTTAATGGCAAAGGCAGCTGCTGAGATCAACTGGAGGTACTATGGCGATGCAATCCCCGCCTTCCTCACTATTGCTATCATGCCATTCACATACAGCATTGCGTACGGACTGATTGCAGGCATTCTCAGTTATATCGTCCTAAACGGAACTGCATGGATTATCGAGAAGGCCAGTGGCGGTCGCATTGTTCCCCCAAATAAAGAGGAATCGGACCCGTGGTCTTGGAAAGTTCCCGGGGGTATCTTGCCGCCATGGGTTAAGCGTGCTGCGAAGGGCCAGAAAGACTTTTGGAGGCGGGATGAAGAGAGCTTCAATCTTGAGGAGTCTGGTTCCTCCAGCTCGGTGGAGCAGGAACGCGTGACCGTCGAGAAGCCTCAAAACGCAGGCAACCTTTAATAACTAGTTACTTTGAATGTATGACACCATGCTTTTTGACTAGTTTTGAAGTTCCTGTAGATATTCCAATTAATGTAAAGAATGTAAGACGGCTGATTCCAATGCTACATTTAACAATTGTACGAGAACTTGACGTGACTTCTTTCCCCTAAAAATGATTTTAGATATGCTTTTTTAACTATTTGAAGTCAACGGCTCAGAAAATTTGTAAATAAGCATCAAGTTGAGCGGCGTAAGTAGAATGGAGGCACTGGCAATATGATATCTTTGATATTTCTTTGGAACAAACAAAAAGATCTTATCTGATTTTGATTTCAAGGTCTTTGTAGTTCAAATCCGACAAATAGATAAGCGTGGTTTTCTGGGTATTGTGCGATAAATATTCCCTAGAACAACAATGACAGTAGAAGTACATCAATTTTCTTGAGAATGATTTCCGAGCATAGATTTTTCGGAAGCTCGCAAGCATGATCTTTCCACAGGGTTTCGGAATCCTTGGTCATTGTGCAAGAAGCGGGCGGGTAGTTAGTTAGTCAGTGTGGGACGGGATTTCCTGGGATGATTCTCGGACTTGTGGGGTGAGCGACCCAATAGATAGTTTTTTCCAAGGTTTCAAGTGAGAAGTGTCAGCTCGTGAATTTAGCCATATCACAACAGAGCAGGGCAAGGCTCGAAAGGGTGCTGGCCTACATGGCTAAGCACCACTGGTCCGTTGAGTCTCAAGCGGAATTGCTGGTACAAGTAGTAAAAGTCAATGATCATTATTAATTAAAAATGGCAATGCCAAAGGGACAAAACTAGATCGCTTTTGTTCCGTCACTCCATTGGGCAGGGGGTTGAGATATTCTCCACTACATGAGGATGCCCCGCGGAGATAGCTGTGAGGCCGGGGACGCAAAGCGCCAGTAGATATGATGTTTTGTTAAACATTTGAGGTGCGGCCCTGTGGGCTCTCATTTTGTAAGTGCCCGAAAGGCGTGATAGATCTGCAGTAGCTACCACAGACACCCAGTACGATACTCCGTACACGTATCTCTCCAGCCTTAAACGCGCATTTTAGAAGCATCGGAGGTTGAGATTTCAATTTTGCAGTGACAAATATGTTCGATTCCACTTTTCAAGACCGATGAGAGCCCGAGGCACAATCAAAAGTAGGCACGGATGGTTGAGTGTGGTTCGCTGGCATTTCTTTCCGGACCCGCTTGAAAATGTACTATCAAGGCTCCTATTGCACGACTACCTATGGCGAAGGTCTCCGAGGTCCAATCAGCCGACCGAAAAAGTCCAGCCTTGATATTTTATGCCCGCCCTGGAAAGGTAAATAGGCGCTAGGTTCAATTAATCACAAAAAATAGGATGAAATGAAAAGCACGGCCTTCCGACAGATCTCTCCACTTTGACTTGGTCCGAGTGCCATAGAAAACAGCGTCTAGGTAGAAAATTGCTGAGCACGAAAATTTTTGATTTCGAAGTTCGATCTTAGTGGTCAACAGTGGAAGTGCTGCGGCTCAGCTCTGACCTACGTGGGGCACACTTAGCTCTGCACAAGTTCAGCACGCTCACGTCGCCGGCTATGAAACTGTTGAGATTGACACCCCACGTATGCAAGACACCACATGGCGAACATAGAGCCCCCGAGGACATTGAGACCTTCAATTGAGGGCCCATCAGAAGTAGAATCACCAAATGATTCTGGCGCCGGAAGGCGAAAGAATATACGAGCTGCCTGCAATCATTGCAAACGGCGAAAACTCAAGGCAGGTACTCCCACAGGATTCATATCTGAGAATGGAGTCGCTGACCATGCGAATATACTAGTGTTCTGGAGGCACACCATGTGACCAATGCCAGAAATCAGGTCTGGATTGCAGTGTCGACGAAGAAGGCGATCAGCGTCGGAAGAAGGTGCTCAAACGCAAGTTCGACTCTGTTTCGGAGCGGGGAAAGCTCCTCGATCGTCTTGTCAACACACTGCAGGAAACAGACCGAATCAGGGCTGCACAGATAATGAATTTGATCCGCAGTCATGCTTCCTTGGAGGAAGTTCAATCATTCATGGACGACATTATGGACCAACCAAAATTAGAAAAAACGCCGGAGCTCGTTGAGATTTATTCTGGAGTGAGAGACTTGACTGAAACTCACAAACGTACCTCATTAGAGACTCTCGATCAGCCGCGATTGTCGGAGTCCATAATGATTCAAGTGCCGGCCCACCCATGGACGGCCATCACTAGTGACAGCGAATTTGTTTCTCATCTGATTTCATTGTGGTTTAGTTGGTCACATCCCTTTTTGAACTGGCTCGACCGAGATCTATTCATCCGCGACATGCAATCTGGAAATATCGAATCTGAGTTTTGCTCACCATTTCTAGTGAATATAATTCTAGCAGATGCTTGCGTAGGTACCCATCAAGAGAAGATACTCAATCCGAGCTTACATTGCAATAGGCATACTCCGATTACCCTGAGGCATATGCTATCAGTGGACAGTCATGGTCTCGTGGGTTGCAATTTTACAAAGAGGCGAAGCATCATCTGGACCGGATGGAAGGTAAAGCGACAGTATCCTATGTCCAAGGACTCGGGGTTCTGTATGTTTGGTAAGCACTCCGCTTCTATTGATACTCAAGTGGCAGTTGATTGATTATGTCAGTACCTGTATGATGGGCAAAGATCGCAGTGGCTGGATTTACCATGGTCAACTTGTGCACGCCGTTCAAGAACTTGCTCAGAATCATCATCCCGCCGAGTCAGATTCTGATCAAACTACACTCCGTACTTCACAGGCCACCGACACGGTTATTTGGGGAATATTCAATCTAGCCTCGTGAGTTCAATCGTTTTTGAGACTCATGAGTGGAGCGTTCTTTCTGACTGAACTCTTCTTTCCATGTAGAATGACCGCTCTGTCATACCAGAAAAGGGGGTCGCTCACAATACCGAATCATCCATATCCTCCTATTCGCCAAGATGTTCATCGCGAAAAGTGGACAAATTATCCTCTCCAATCGGATCAAATCACATCGCATAGCCAATGTCTTTTTAATGCATTCTGCAAGCTGAGCGTCCTTACATACGAGCTCAGCTGGTTGTTCTTTGGCAAAGATAAGGCGCGCTTGAACAAGAAGTTTGTAGAATCAACTGAAAACGTGTACAATCGCTTATACGGATGGTATGCTGAGCTTCCAAAGTGCCTTGGCATAACGAATGCTTCTCCACACGTATTAAGCCTACAGTTCGTTCCAGTATCTACCCACCTGAGGTATTTCGTTAACACTTTCGAGCAGTCTCAAATATCACACCATTATCCAAACAGTTTTTGGGTTTCTGAGAGGGTTGCCGCGGGAAGAGAACGACAACGAAACGGAATCCGTTGAGTGGGAAGACAAGATACATGAAAGAGCGCAACAAATTTGTTTTGCATCCGCAAGAGAGTGCGGGCAGTTAATTGATGCGCATCGGGATGGATGGGGGTTCGATCGGATGTCGCCAGTCAATGTTCACTGGATCACGGTCTCCATGTTCACCCTGCTTCAGGATTTGGAAAATGAGGCGAGCTGTAAAGCCTTCGTAAATTTGAGTGTCGGTGCGAAGGCTTTCGCCAATCGATGGCCGCTGGGAAAGGCAATGTTGCGACTGGTGCAAGTAACGGCCAAGCAAATGGAAGTAAAGTTGCCATCCGAGACGGATGCTCTGTTTATTGACTTTGAAACAAGGATATGGAATATTGAGGACCGCAAACTTTTGAGTAGCCAGTATCCCAACTTCGCACACTCAATGAAGCGTGGTCAGGTCGATGAAATCGAAATGGATGCATTCTTGGCCAAATTCGATGATTTGTATGTTGAAAGCGACAAGTCAGAGCCCGAGGAGGACGCCTATAGTGGCTCAGGTGTGGAATTCGGTTCCACCGGGGATTCAGAGATCGATTTATATACCGAGGATGGATATGGACGCGAGGAAGAAGAGTGCGATAGTGGTGGCGAAGATGAAAGCGATGACAGCGACGAGGATGAGGAGGACGAAACACAATATGACTCGGTAATCAATTTTTCAGAGTCCTAGGCACATTAATTCATCCAAACGATTCAGCGCGAAACTCTTTCAACTCATTTATCCTACAAACTGAGGAAACCTGGATCCATCGGTACTTGGAGAACCGACATCGAGAATTTATCGGATGTTGTCTTTTGAAAAAAGGAGGGGAGCAAATTTGGTGGGATAATATCACGGGGATCCCGTACGGCAAGGTAGCCTTACAAAGCTATGGGGCAACCGGAATAGTTTTCCATGAAGATTTCAAGCAACTTTTCCCTTGAACACCTTTGAAGAGGTGAAATTGGAATAATTAGGCGAAAGAGTCGGGTTGATTCCCTAGTGCAGCCAATTAGAAGAATCTGATATCAGATGGAATCTCCGCAATGAGCGTACCTTTTGTGACGAAACGTTGTAGCACCCTATACCGACACCGGGGATACTTTCTGTTGGCCGTGAGACTTCCCAGGTGATATTATTGATCGAAACTCTTCACTGAAATTGGGTGGAAGAAAGTTTCGGGGTCCTCAAATTAGAACCCCAGTCGGTACTTGTAGTATATATAGAACCACTGCCAATAAACGGAGTTCAACCTTGAAATAGCGTTAAAGTCACAAATTTGAATTTAAACCATTATATCAATTCATCGACGTATATATGAAACACACTTACCCTACGAATATTGGAAAAGGACAAAAACCGACTTTGTGGACAAAATAGAAAACAACCTCTATAACAACATGAATGTGCCATACATACACGCACGCCTCGAGGAAGTTGACTGTCTCAGTCAAACGGAAAACATAAAAATTCTGCTAAGTTATTTGTGGTGTCAAGCTCAGAGGTACATTGGTAGCAAGTAAATTTGCCTTTTTAATAAATATTGCATGGTTCGATAAACTTTAATAAATTCTATCCTCGGGTAAGCTCGGGGAAGTCAGGGTCCACGGCAGATTGATTACCTTGTGCCAGGACCATTTAATTCAAGTTTTTTTGAGAAATGCCAGTACCAGTACTCGATAATTGTATCACTATACACCCATAAAACTTGGTCTTTCACTGCCTTCCAATTCAATTTATAAGTTTACGGGAGGTTGAGCCGGTGCGCATGTAAAGATACATGTAGAGGAACATGGTATGTACAGGGATCCCATATGGTTTATGGCGAAAGAATTGGGAAGAACTTCATTAAAATTGCTTGTTCGGGCCTTTCAAATGTAGACCCAATATGGTTTGGTGAGAAGATAGGTGCGAGGCATTGCCGACATTAAACTTGTAGGTCCTGCGGGACTCAGCAACTTATTAGTATGTTTATGATTAGACTGATCATTACGGGTTGACTATTGCCAGTGTTTAAAAGAATATTTCGAGCAACTTAAAATTATTGTGAATTTAAAGTTTTTATTAAGCCAAAAAATGTATTGATGAGGAAGCATATACTCTTGGGATGTAAACAAACGCCCCTGCCAATCAAGGGTGGACAAACTCAATCGCAACCGGTCTAGACAATTGCTACTCAGTCAGCGCTACGAGTCAGAGATGACTCGATAGAACACAGTTGCTATACTAATAGCAAATTACCATCATTCAAAAGAATACTACCAGGGAATTGGGAGGGAGGGCGTGCTTTCTTGTCAACCTCAGACTGCACCGATGTCCCTAGTGTCTCGTTTCAGATCGGAGGTAAATGTGCTGCGAGGTAATTATGGGGTTTTATATCAAGCATTAGCTCACATCAATCAGTATGGATTTGAATAGGGCATGACTACACCCCAGTGTAAAAATTACTACGAGAGGATACCCATCCCAAGCTAATGTGGAGTAGTTTTGACATTCCATGAATAAAAGGGTGCTGCTACTGCGGGCCCCCTCGGGCTGCTGCGACCTCCCATGCTATTACTGCCTTCATCCCCGCTGTATAACTTTGGAAGGCGATAGCATACTATTTCTCCAACCAACCCCACATATCAACTCCAGGATTATCCTACTGCGCTTCGGTCTCCAGTCTTACTGAAATCATCACCAGACACCAGGGAATTATAGAGCGTAACAGGGAGTTGAGACGATCATTTAACTTCTGATTCGGTGTACAAACACGCCAAACACGTCAAACACGTCAAACCTATTATATTAGGAAGGAGGGGGGGTCGCAGCAGCCTGAGGGGGGGTCGCAGTAGTTCTACCCTTAAGAAAATGGAACCACTCTCAAACGTGTCTTTTGTTTAAATCCCAACCCTAATAAACTCCTTCCCTGTCAAAACGCAAAAGTTTCAGCCGCATGAACACTGCAGCGAAAATATCCGTAGAATTTTACCAGGATGATTCGAAATGAACAGTGGGGTGGTGGGTCACCTTGGGTTGTTTTCCCGCTCAGCTCCTCGTATTCGGCCTGGAGGCGTCACTGAAACGTCTCTAACCTGCATGCTGTGCCTCTGCCGAGAAATGACTATTATTTGGGACACGGCAAAATTTACAGAAGAGGAAAGATGACCATCAAAATTTCCAAATAAACCACTAGCATCATGTGCAGCTAGAGTGCTCATTTGCAATCAGACCTACCACGCGACTGAGGGTACCAGAGGAGATGTCAATGCATGCAGGGTCTATACAAGTGGGTGATCTTTTACCTCTCTCGGAAAGGATCTGACCAAATCAACGATTCAAAGCGTAACATTGAGATCTTGGCTCTCTCTAGTTATCTCGGCTCGTGCCCAGGGTAGCCTTTCACACAGAAGCGAGGTGAAATGAAAGGGAACCTAAATCCTTATTCTGAATTTTGTCGGTTTAAAAAGGGGAGAGCATCTTTGAGTTTGGTTTCCAATAGCGAGCCTCTGATTTTTTCGAGTTTGGATTTTTGGGACCAAATCGCCAAATTTTAGCTTTCATATCACAAAGCCGATCAAAATGATGACCAGAGCTTTATATCCGGCTTTTCTGCTACCGATTGCGCATGCTTGGACCTTTGTATCCACCAACTCCTCAGGCAAAGCGGACATTCTTGAAGAATCTGGGACATTGAACTGCACTAGAATCCATCAGGCAAAAGGAGAGAAATTCACATGGGACCCTGAAAAAAGCAATCTCTGCATCTCATTGTTCTACGATGACAATTGTCAAAGCAGAGGAGGCATTTCATGTCCTTTCTGGAAGAAAGACGCAAGTACAGACTTCGGAAGCATCGAGGTTTACACTGATAAAGAAGCTGCAACTGCTTCGATATCTACCTTGACTGTAACAGCAGCACCGTCGTCTTCCTCTTCAGTCTCATCTGAAACCACTTCATCTACTTCATCAACATCCTCCACATCTTCTACACCATCGCCCTCCCCGAGTCTGGCCCCGGAAACCTCATCGTCCGCTGAAGCCGGCTCGTCGTCCGGATCCGGTTCAAGTTTATCTGGCGGTGCGATAGCTGGTATTGTCATCGGAGCCATTGCTGGCGTCTCGATAATAGCAGCACTTTTCTTCCTCTTTGGCCGACGTCGTCGCAATAAGAAGAATGCTGCTGCTATCAGTCAGCAAACTGGCTCTGCGTACCAAGATAAAAATGGACCACAAAATACTGCTACCACTTATGCGGCTACATCGCCATCCACGACTTATGGCCCCGGCAAACAACCTCCTTCATCAAGCGGTGCATCGGTACAATCCCCTCTAGGGACTACAGTCTCTGAACTCCATGACAAAGCACGACCTGCAGAATTGATCAGCAGCCCAATAAGCGAATTGGATGCGCACCAAGAGAACAAAACCTACTTCGTTCGTTCTTAAATCAGTCATCTGCTCTGAATGGTATTGAAATTGCTGTCGGCTTGAGGTTTCGTGGGAAAGGTTTTTGCCTTGGTCAATTTCAAATATCGGATGGTGCTGAAGGTTAAGTTCTTGGATATCTTACTTTAGAAGCATCGAATCTAGGCAGTTTCCAACTTGAAGTTAAAGGGGTAATTAAATTATCGGCGATTGAAGAATTAATAGTCCTGACCTGAGCCAGTACTCTGTATATGCGTTTGAACTTTATTCCATTGAATGACCATCATAGATATTCAAGTTTCAAAAGATTTCTCAGGAGCCGAGAGATATGTACAGCTGAACATGATATAGAAAACTCTAAAACTCCAGGGGTTCGCAGTTTCTCATCAACTCATCCCAAAAGTCATCACCAAGCACAGAGCCTTTAGAAAAGCTCAAACTTGGCGAAAATGGCTGCATTTGAGAGGGAGAAAGACCAGGCCGGGTATTTTGCCACCATGTCTGAATAAATTTGACTTTGCTCAGCGCACGTGTGATGACCGGGTCTTGCTGGCCAGAGAGCCAATGTAATGCTGCGTAGTTCATACACTTTTCCAGAAATTGTATCAGCGCTTCAATCATCCCAGAAAAGTCATAAGTATCCCGAACCATCTGCGGGTCCCAGCCTGGACATTCCAACTGGGAAAGTCTCGAGAATATCAAAATAACGTATGTTGATTGACCCCACCCAGAATACGGGATTTGGAAAACCGTTTCTGGAGAAAGATCAAGGAAGCTCTCAAAGAAACATTTGATGCTTTGTAAGAGATTCCACATTACGTCAATTCGTTCATTCGTGGTTGACGGGGGATTCCAAAATGAATCGTTGATACCATTTTCATGAATGAAAACTTCGACCGCGCATTTCTGAACATTAAGGAGCTCTGCAGAAATAAACGTGTTAGTGGTGAATAATAAATTGTTGATATTGACACTCACTATCATTTTGTAGTTCATTCGGACTCGTCATCGACTGACACTGAAACTCTTTGCGCAATGCCTTTAAGTGAAGAGCAATAGGGGCATGCGGGATTGTGGGGTCTTCTGCTTCATCGTAACGCATTGCTTCGAAAACCCTTTCTGCAAACTGTTGTACATGGGTCATTTCGGCGAGAAGGACGTCGCATTCGTATTCACGAGAATCCAAGAGTGATTGCAGTTGCCTTTCCATGTAGTTGGTATAGCCGAGAGCAGGTATTCGTCGAAAGATTGCAGAAACTCTGTTTGAATTAGGACAAGTGATGTGAACATGGAAGGGAAGAACGAACATTGATGACACAAAGAAACATCCCAAAAGAGCTCGTGTTTCATCGTTTCTCAGGGGCCGGGATTCTGCTACCGCACCTTGGGTCAATTTTGAACTGCCAAACATGAGCTTCCTGCGATCGGTTCCATGTGAGGGTTTGTTAAGTCCCAAGTCGGCGAGCAGTGCGATGGCCAGTTGAAGCAGATTGGTCATTTGAGACACCTCACCAAGATGAACGTGGTACCTAAAGAGATGTTGTATCAGCAGATATTCTATCTTCAAGGCTTTGTCAAGTCAGATAGCTCCCAAGAGATTTCACATACCAAGCAATATGTATGAGAAGCCCCTGTAATAGATCCAAGGATCTTTCTCCGTCCACTAATAACCGCTTTCCAACCTCTTCCGTCAGTTTAGTTCCCATCTGGTGCTGAAATGGACGATTTCTGTAAGAAGCGACCATGACCATAGCTTTGAAGAGAAATGGTCTTTCAGCATAAAACATGGCGGGCGGAACATCTGGAATGACAACAAAGGGGAAGTGGGGGGCCAGTTCGACCCTGTATCGATGGAATGAAGACACCAAGTCATCTTCAGGGAATATCAATGACTGCGAGTGAAGCTGAACAAAAGGGTCATTCAAAAGTGCCGTGCCAGTCGGTATTTCAAGATGATTCGCATGGTTGTCAGAGCTTGCAGACGAGGGATCCAGACTAGCGCAATGACCCACTGGGGTTGTACCTGGCGTGTGGGGCTGGTTTTTCTGCTCCAGCTCTTTCATTAGACTCTCAACTTTATGTTCTAGTTCTGCAAATCGTCTGACACACAGCCATTAGCGCGGTACATTCCACAATCAAGGAATGGGGTTTGGACTGACGACCTCGGCAGTGGCGCTCGCCGCTCGCCCAGCTGCTGCGAAAGACACTCCTTTTTCAATCTCACACATCTGATAGTATGTTAATACCTGTACTTTAGCCACAGCAGGTGAATACCAAGCTACGTCGCATCGCACAATCTCCGTTCGGGGGTACCGACCGTTCACAAGAACCTCCGGATTCATCGTAGACACATTTCACTTTAGCTTTGGCACATGGGCGGCATGCCATAGTCTGGGCCTTGGTGGAGCCAGGTTGGGGAGCCGACATTTGCCCACACATCGCACGTTCCATTAATTGCTCCCGTTTGGACACCGGTTGTCAGGGCATTGTTGTGGATCGTCGGGGGTGGAGATGCACGGAGGTCGGGCGCGGAAGCGGAACAACCGTGACGACGCGCTCTTCTCTCCAGTCATTTATTTTGTGCTACTGTCACAAAACCATGGCTTGCTCTTCATTAATTCCCCTCCCTATTTTTTTTTTGATGCCGCTCTGTCATCCAACCTACTAAAATGTCTTCTAGATAGACCATTGACTGTCAAAGAGTATAATTCAATTGATAAATAGTTCCCCAAAATAAACTAGTAGGGGACAATAGAGCGATCGATCCATGTAATGTTGTTTCTGTTTATTACTCCAGCGACTTCTTACAACAGTTAACTACCGTCTACAACCTTCGTCTAATTTAATTCAAGCGCTTACAATCCGTGACTAACCAAAGCGAGTGATGTCTTACAACAAGTTGAGGCATATCTACAGTTACACCAATTCGACCTTTCCAGCTCCTATGTCGACAGTGAGTGAAACTAGAACTTGCCGTTCATGAATACAAACTGACTCTTTCTATAGTTCACCGACAAGGAGGCCATCGTGCCATATTTGGCCCAGGTTATAAGCCGCTACCGTTGTCGTGAAGTGACAGTAGATCACTTTGGCAGAATACTCTTTCCTACTTCTTTCCGATCGAACAAAACTTCTCCATAGAGCGTGAGGAATACATTGCGCCGCATTCACAAAGATGTTCTAAGATCCATGTCTCTGCACCGGTTGCAAGAACACCAGTCAAGGTTATTGGAGTTGAGTGCAAACGACCAACTACTTTGAGAACGGGAATACCATCACAAAGCTCATGGAATGAGTCAATCACGCAACTCGAAAATTATTTATCTCAAGTGAGATTCACGCAACAAGCACCAAGATTCCCGATGCGAGGAATCGTAGCCACATGTAGAAAGGTAAAGCTTTCTTGTTTTACCCACAATGTCTAAAACTTTCGAACACTTTGAGAATGATTCTGAAGTTTACGATATTGCTTGTAATAAGATCGAAATTACGCGAAAGTTAACGAAAATGAAAAGGGACCTCCATCAAAATCTCCAGAATGTTTATTCTGTTATGTCGCAAGCACAAATTGTGAGGTTGAGATTATTGAAAAAAAGATTGTCGATAAAGCTTTCCTTGTATCCCCAGAATGTTCAGCCTGTTTTGTCGCAAATTGTGAGATTGAGAGTATTGAAAAAAAAAGATTGTTCATAAATCACTCCTTGTATCTCCATTTTGCCTGCCGATGAAGTTTTATGTCACCAGAAAGCGTAGCTAAGACCATGCCGTATATACCCCCCAACGGCCACGCACTAAGCCACCTTTCACCCCATCTTTTCGGGCTCTTCCATTCAGCTCGTAGTTCAGTTTTCACTTTTTCATATATAGTAGGTAAAGTTGTAGCAAAATACTTTTCCCTCAAGCTCTGATACCAGGGCCGGTCATATTGGCTCCAGAACTCTTCCTCCGTATGGCAGAGCTACATCTTGAACCACGAATTCTGATGAAACACCACTGGCATGAAGTGCATGAAGTGCATGATAGAGTGTTCGCGTGTGGGAATAGTCATCCAATAACCAACGGAAAAATTTTGTGAAGGGAACAACTTTAAAGTAGGTAAATCCTTGTCGACCCACCCAAAAACCCGCTCTATCGTATCGGAATAAATATTCGTTGAGGGGAATATATTCGACAACCTTAGACCACTCGCTGAGCGACAGTGTCTTATCTTTGACATGCATGTAAAACCATGGGTCGCTTGGATCACTGAAAGTCTGTAACTTGCACTCAGCTGGCTTCTCATCGACCAATTTACCAGAGATGATGACACTGTGCTGTGGGGAAAACACGATTCCGTCGAGATAATCGATTTCTGAATTTTCGGTTTGTTTTTGAATTTCTGAGATTGTTTGTGGGATTCCTTGAAATTTGTGATAGGTGGTCTTCACAAAATTTCTAGCCTCGACAAGACGTAGTTCAATTAGGGTGACTATACCAAGAGTTCCCGCAGCGCCTGCAGCTCCGTGGAATAGATCCTCTCGTTCTTGACTAGAAGCCTGTACGATATCTCCATTGCCGAGGATAATCTCTACCGAGTTGACAGTATTGTTGAAGAAACCATGCCGAAATGAACTGCTTTCTCCTGATGTCCCCGAGAAACCTCCACCTGCAGTGATTCCAGGAAATTCCATGACAACAGGAGGTACAAGGTTGTGGGCCATGGTTATCTCAACTAGGCGGTCCATTGGAACATTTGGCTCCACGAGAGCGATGCGGCGCTCCGAATCAACTAAAGCAACATGCGAGAGACTGCTAAAGTCAACAATGTTCTGATCTGCTCCATGTCGAGGACGGGTGCTGTTCGAAGAACCATGGAAAACTCTGTAAGATTCGCCATGCTCATAAAATCTTCGAACGTCAGCCGCAATGGTGCTAACCGCTAGGGAGTGACGTTCCATATTTTAATATCTATAGCGGAAATTTTTGGGTTTTTCAAAGAAGAGATAAAATTGGCTCTTTGAATTGAGTTGTAGGTCAAACCGTTAAAATGCGACAAAACCTCAAAATATTTAAACTATGAAAGTATATGAAATCCTTGATTTTCAGTTTGCTAGATGTGATGTATCTGCAGGACATCAATAGGCAGTTTCAAGCCACAGATCTCTCCATGGTGCCGCCCGTAACTTCTAGAATGGGGCGTCCTCCAATAGCCTGCGAAGACCAACCACTGTCACATATTACCGCTAATGCTGATAGCGTCCATCACCCTCACCTTTTGTTTTTCTTTTTTTCTTTTTTCAAAGAGCAAAAGAAGTAAGAAATACAGAGTAATAATGAAATTTCCGTTGCAGCCGCATGACAGCATCTAGATAGCGAAGGGAAGCTTGAAAGTAGCAAGTAAAATATAGCATCTTTCAATATGTATGGTAGTTTTAAGTTCGACCTCCTAGGCTCGGATCAATCCACTGAAGACCTTCTGATGCCGTGCTCCACAAATCTAACCTTCGAACCCTATAGGTGTTTCGAAGGCAGAAGACAGTCAACCACCGAATAGTCAATGCATATGAGTTCACTCAAGTTCCCGCGTTGGGTTTGACCCTTCCGTGGTCTCCAGACAATAATTACATAGTAATTATACATGCATAGGACGAGGCAAGTCCTATTGAGAACCAGTACGTGGTGCCTGCGAGCTACTCGAGCGTCCCAACTGTGACTGGGGCAGAGAACTTGAATTGATTTCAAACCTCCAGATGCCCGAGTCTCGACTCGGGATTTAATCTTCCTTTAGCTGGTATATATGAATTATCATTTTGAAATCACGAACTTCCTACGCGCACCTAAATAAATTCAATAATGACCAAATTAGTGGGCCAACCTCCGAAGGATTGGTGGAGAATGCGATTTGCACAAGAGCGGGGATATAGGTCATAATTATGTGCGCGCCGCATCAATCAAACATTTCAACATTAAGGGGTAGAAGGGGCGGTCTGAGTTAAATTAGTTCAAGCAAGCCAAAAAAAACGCGCGGAAACACATGGCGTGAAAGACCTCAATGGCGTGTAATTGAAATTGATACATATGATAGTATATAGACAGCGGGCATTTGCTAATAGCTGCTCAATTACTGAGGAAGATCAAGAAAGAGGCAGTCTGAAATATGAGCCCTGATTTGATTTCAAATGGAAGTGGAGATTCTTGAGTTCATTGTTGTGGATACTTAGTGCATGCAGCAAACGAGCCAGTGTAGCAGGGGCGTACAGGTCACCGGGATGTGGGGGTGATTTAGATTGCTCGATTCTAACCCCGAACCTTGGAAGTGGGCCTCGATGCCTGCAGGCCAAGAGAGTTACAAGTTCGCGCCATTCTAAGCTCGCAGGGCCCCAGGGCTTTTTCTGCACGTGTCCATTTCGTCTTACCAGATACCAGGGACAAAAACCGCCAAGGCACCCGCCGACAATAATCCTCCCATGTCGGGCCATATTTACTCGAACACCTCCTCTCATCACGCAAACATCGGTGAAAAAGAATCATTGTCATCCAGATAGCATAGATCCACACAACCACCTTGCTGCTCCCCACCAATGCACAAGAGCTGTAGCTGATAAGTAAATCGGCGACATAGTTAGCGTGGCGCGACGAACCCCACCACCCATTACACAGAAGTAGACTCTGGTGCGTTTTCCCGTCTGAAGTGTTGTATTTCGCCTCAATATACTCTGCAGGTTTGCCCCAAATCAAGCATCGACCTTCCGACCGGCGGAGATTGTCCTTTTGGTTGTTGGCAGAGCGAAACATGACGTATCCAATACCCCGATAGTAAAAACAACAGCCAGATAAGTATTCGAAGCTGACGAAGGATACAATCCAAGATATTGTCCTTGAATTGTATATGTCATTGGCAAAAAGCAGAAGCAGCCCCATGCGAGATAAAAGCCGTAATGATCATGAGCTATATCGATGGTGCGTAGATACCAGGACTCATTGATGAAAAAGTCCACCACGTACAAAGTTTGAAGGATACTTACTAGTATCCATGATGGCTCGACGTGCTGCTGGATCTGGTACTGATAAGCCATATTTGAAAAATTGCTGTAGAGATTTCACATCAGCACTAAGCGTCAGGAAGACGAATGCTTCTGTCCGAACTCACATTAGAGTCCAAGCAATCATTCCTGGGCGTCCATTGCTGAAAAGTTTGAAATCAAAGCTTTTGCCAATTCGAGGGTTCAACTCAATACCCATATAGAAATCGTAGATAGAAGACCCTGGGTCACCAATTATCAATTGTGACATCTCATTCCAATAACACAGCAATTCAACATACCGCTAAATTTTCGATCATCCGCATGGGAAGGGCACACATAAGCCTTAACGAAAGCAAGTGTTGATACTAACAAGCCCGCAAAATTGCCCGCTGCAATCAAGCCGCTCCAGTTCCGTGGAATGAAGCCTGGATCCAAGAGACCAAACCAACATAGCGCAAAGTAAATGCTGGGTACCCATAGACATCGCAGATAAACGAACAGATCAGATTAACTTTCAAGGTTATAATGTTGATATATTGGTATGGTCACATATGAAAGGAGTAAATTAGCAGAGATATCGATGCATTGATTAAATGTACAACAGCCTGGCAGTGTAAAATACACCTGTTGATGAGAGAGGAATGCGCCACATACCAATTGTTGCAGTAATCTTGTAAAAATCGCAAGTGAATAGTAGTCGTGCCTACGGACCCTTATCCGGGGTAGACAAATTAGTGGCGGCAGGCACCGCTAGTTCCAAGGTTGTATTACCAGTCAGCCCGATAAATAATCCCACTCCTTATAAAAAAGACGGCACACCTTCTTCGAGTGACCCACGAGAACCCGTTTAAGGCTTGAATTAGTGACCTAGACATAGAACTCGTGGTATTAAAGGATTACCATCTCGTCCACATATAGCCCGGGCTTTTCGAGCAGTAAATCATATAAAGCTCCTATTATCGGGATTTTATGCTTCGTCGTCGACCGACTCGAGTTGAGGGTGCTCTGACATTTCCGAACCGGCGAAGGTTGTTGCTGGTGTTGATGGCGGAAAATTTACTACGCTTAGCAGCTTTAGCCATTTGCTAGCTTGATTCATTCAGTAACTGATATCTAGCCCGAAACTAAACTGGATCCGTCAGCCGGTGTCTTCGACTTGCGTCACAAGATGCACAACACACATGCATTGGGCGCTTGGCACGATTATACCACGCAAAAAGAACTCTGCCCGAAGTTCTGTGCGAATGATGTTCCTAGGATCATATTGCCATATGATATGGAGGAACGAGGACAAGGGTGAATTTGCGTGATTCGTTTGAGACCGGCAAGAGTATGCAAGTAAACAGATTTATGGACGCACAATAGCTTCATGCACCCTAAACCTAATTCTTTTTAGAGGATCATCCTAAGAATAAACAATATGTCATTAATTTGGCATCGCAGAAACTGAAGATGTAGGTAAGTACTATACCATTGTACCTCGCTGCAGACCTTGCCTTGATTGACTATCTTGTTCATTTGTGATTTCATACTCCCCATGCCACCACGTACCAATGTAACCTTTGAGTCACCTGGCGACCTGACTACCTACTTTCACCTATATGGAGCATATCTCCCGATCTCTTATAACAGCTCATCAGGGGTTGCACGAATTAGAGCTTGCCTTCAAGATCATTTATATAATTCAGCAAACCTACAGTAAAAGACAGATGAGGATCTCATTACCATTCACCATAATCGAGCCGGTTGTCTATATGTGCGAAATTAGGGCTTCTTTTCTAGGACCCGGAGGGTCGACAGGAATCCCACATGTGGATTAGCGTTTTTCAAATTTAGGTTCAGGAATGAAAGCCTAACAGTGTGACGTTAGATCTGAGCTCGAATACTACTTTGCGAAGTCGAGGATTGCTGAGTCCTGGCTCCAATCAAGATCGAAGTTGGTCCCATGTGTTACGGTATATATATATATTGATAATTTTTACGGCATACATATATGTTGATATTCCAAAGAGAAGGTTAAAGAATAATATATATTAATATTAGAACAGGCAAATTAATTACCGAGAGTTCCAGCCCTAGACCCCTCACGTAGGGCACACAAACGGTGGTTGATATAAAATATATAAATACTTAGAAGTAGTAGACTTCCAAGGATTAGTTTCTGTATAACTTCATAAAAGAACTCTATCCAATACCACCACTCTTTATCTGCCTAACCCATTGACGTCAACCTTAACAATAAACTAAAAAGCTATGCCTATAAGTATATACCCCCACCTATTTGCCAGATCTAGAAAGTATAGACTAGACACATTCTTAGTATTTCTTAAATAGTTAAATATTCATCTACTAAGAAGCTATTAGTAAGCTTATATTAATATATATTATAGAGAATAATAGAAATTACAAACAATTAAATTAGTATAGATCCAATAATATTATATTTTATAGATATATTCTTCTTTGCTAGCTTAAGATTCAACTCTATAACAGATATACTAAATTTTGGCAGCAGAGCTATTAAATTTGACAAAGGACAAATACACAGAATACCGACAGGGCAATTTGTATATACTACAGGGTTTCTAGTGTTACAAGACTATATAGAGGACTAAAACAATGATATTTTCGACAATAGATCTCTGTAATTCAGTCGCAGTGGATACTGACACTAGTAGAGAGTAAAGAAGTAGAATATAAATTTACCGGAATTCCTTATGCACAAATTATCGGATTTTCAATGGTATAGTTTTATTGCTCTTATGCTACGTAGTAATATTAAATATACACCTCAGAGCTTCGTGATGATATTATTTGAGCCTCTAGAATTACGTGAGTGAAGGTAATCCGAGAGACGATTAGACTGATGTTTGGAAAGCCTATTGGAAAGACGTGCAGTATAATATGATGTTAAACGCGTATTCAAACCCCGCCTCTTCCAGCCAGAGTTAGATTGTTTATCGGGTTACTGGAGTAGATCGGGGCACGAGGATATTACTTGGAAGTGAGAACTGAAGAAAATTTGAATTGAACCTGCACTCGTTCTTCTACTTTACAAGGTTCTGCCCAATATTGATCCAATAAATATGCTCGAACGTTTTCAGTACATTGATCTTGTACCTGTTCTTTTGGCCATATCTTTTGTCGCTTTTCTTTCGCTTTCTATTTTACCCAGGTCGGCATCATCAAAGGGGCCTTTGCTCCTATCCACGTTCATCCTTGAAGCAGCTCTCCACATGGACAGAATTTTATCCTCTACAATAACTTCATGTATTCGGTCAGTCGCCAGGTTCAATCTAGTCTAAAAGCCCATCTGACTAATTCACGCATACTACCATAGCTCTGCTCTTCTTCATGGTCACGCACTGTTCTTCATACATCATAGAATTCTTCCCGACGGGCCTAGTGTCGAGGAAGAACTTGTCAACAACAATGATGTATTCGATATACATGCCATGAGTATTGAGATGTTGTCGAGGATCTTCGGGTACACCTCTCGAGCACATCTAGAGTCGAGTTTGCTCGAATACATGCCCACTTCATGAAAGTAATCTCATTGACTTCTTGAACCAGACTACAGCGACCGCCACATTAGACCGATGAAAAATCGGCGCCAAAGTCTCCGCCTTGACAAGCTTCACAGAAAACCCCGCTCAACAAATCGACGGGAAAGATCTACAAATGCGAAAGTATTAGCGGGAGAAGGCGAAAAACGACAGCCAGCTGTGGAGGCTGAGTTGGAAAAAGTATTGAAGAGATTCAGTTTTTGTTTCGCCGTGCCACTTTTGTATTGCCATGAATATCTTGAAAGAAATTATTCGGTCCTCGAAGATTGTGAATTATTTTGTAGACAAGCAGTTTGAAAACGAGCACGAGTTAGGTGCAGGAGCATGGATTTCAATATCGAACTAGCTAACTCGACCAAACATGACCTTTTGCTTTATCCTGGGCCACATGAATTCAAGCCCACAGGTTTACACAGAATTTCACGAAAGAAGAGAAGAGAAGAGAACTGTCAGCTATAGAGCATTGCGACCATGGGGCATGCGCACAAGTATGTGCAAAGGGCGCAAATTTGCAGAAAAGCAGCTCCTAGCCGTGGCAGGCAGCATGATTTAGCCCTCAAGCCTATCAACTTCCCCAAGCAAAAACCTTACACGAGACGGGCTCAGGTGCTTTCTTATGCCAAGAATGTCACAAGCGTCCAAAAATGTGGTTCATCGGCATGCAGGCCGGTCGGCCTAATCTTGAAGCTCCTCGGAGAAGTTCTCCTCCAGAATGTCCACCTCCCGCTTCTTTCAATGCTGAAATCTTAGAATAGATTTTATTATAGACAGAGCGTTGATTTCAAACCCGATGCCAAGATCCTTCCGCGAAATCAAACAGAAATTAAGTGGCGGGCAAGAGTAACTAGTTGAAGGCCGTATACCTGTGAGGAGAAGACAAAGATAGATGGTGTCTATGATCTCCAATATTCAAAATTCGCCGATTTCATAATTAAGGATTAAAACGCAAGCTAGTGCGGGCTCTAGGGTAAGGGGTTCCCTTCATGGGGTAGAACCCGTGGAGGATTGAACACGGAGTGATGCTCCGCGCTAACAAGCACCCATTTTATTGGCGTTCGCCCAACCCCAGAAAACCAAAGGATCGAAAGGCTGACTTTGTGGATTGAATGGAGCTGTCATAATCTCAGAATAAGATTCTCAGATATCAAAGTAAATGATCATGGCGAAGAAGACGTTCTGCAGATGGCGTCCGGTGAACCTAACGTGGCCCTGATGCTGTGACAGGACTTAGTATCGCATGATTAAGTGCACCTCCGTATAGACGCCTTGACCGTATTAGATTAGATTACTTCTAGGGGCAAATCTAGCCCATGGAGCCCTCGCATTCCAAGACAATGGCGAAGAATTTGATTCGAGTTCGCACATAGATCCGAAATCTAGTCTTTGGCCGAATGCCCCGAGCGGGAGACAAAGCCGATATTCCCAGTACCAAGTCCTGAACCCTTTCGGATCATGGCGAGAAAAAAAGAATGTTCCTTCCATCGTAAGTGGAAGTCTTACTGGGGAACCCGCCGATTCCTATCAGGATACGGAGCGAAGGATGTACGCCACCGCCTGGTCCCTGTATTGCAACTGGGGTACACGAGTCTGGGGTCACAAGAAAACTAATTTCTGGGGAACTGCATGGTCGCTTAGTGTAGTGCATGAAGCTCAATTTGAATGTAATGAATATATTCGATCTGGGCTGATCGAGCTAATGCCCCAGTCGCGTGTTATAAGAATCTTGTCGTCCCACCTTGATGCATTCTTGTACCACACGGGATCTCGCCTTTGTCTCGCTGGAAAGATAATTTTCCGAAGATCGACGATCGAACAGTGAAAGGGATTAGACATGTCGGACACAAAGCATGAAGAGATACATGGTGTCTCCTCTACATTAGAGGACACTCCGCAGGTCATTGCCGGTTATGGTGAAACTGCCAAGCGTGAAGGTGCAAAGACCAAAGAAGTCCGCAACGTAAGTTGTCTTTCGCTATTTTTTGTCTCATAATCTATACTCACAACCTTCTAGGCCGAACTGTATGCTGCCATTGAGGAGACTGAAATTAAGAGATGGAGCAAAACATCCATCCACCTATACTGTGAGTCTGATGAACTCTGTCCACCTCATTTCCGTTGTAAGAAGTTTGGATCTAACAAAATTTTATCATTCAGTCTGTATATTCACAGCTTTCCTCTGTGCCTGCGCCAACGGATATGATGGTATGCATACATGAATTCCGAAATTTGAGGTCGTTGTGAGTCGGCCATGCGAGACTGACACAAATTGATTTACCAGGCTCCTTGATGAGTTCGATCCTGGCCATGGATCACTATCAGGATGTGTTCCATGTCGGCTTGACTGGCGAGAAAGTCTCTGTTGTGACTTCGCTATATACTGTGTAAGTGTTGTCATTGAAAGAAAAACATGTGGGCTTGCCACTAATTTGACTTTCTCTTCAATAGTGGATCAATTATCATCACCCCGGTCAGCGCCATCATTTCTGATAAACTTGGACGGCGAAAGTGCATGTTCGTCGGTGCTTGGGTTATTATTATCGGCTCCATCGTGATTTCAACCGCTTCGTCGCTTGCTCAATTCGTGGTTGGACGTTTCCTCCTTGGTGTCGGAATTCAAATCATGGTTGTGTCAGCTCCTGCATACGCCGTTGAGATTGCCCCACCACATTGGCGTGGTCGTGCTGTCGGTGAGTACCTGCCTTACCATATCATATTCTTGACCCGTTCCCGAGGTCGGAAACATCTTACTGACGCCACTCTCCCGACGTACAGGTTTCTACAACTGCGGTTGGTTCGGTGGCAGTATTCCCGCCGCAGCCATTACCTACGGAACAAACTCCATCGACAATAACTACCAGTGGCGCATCCCGTTTATCTGCCAGTGCTTCGCATGTGTTCTGGTCATCGTTTTCGTCTGGTTTATCCCCGAGTCACCCCGATGGCTTCTTACCCAAGGAAGAGACGAAGAGGCTATCGCCTTTCTTACCAAGTACCACGGAAATGGCGATCCCAATGCGCGTCTGGTCCGTCTCGAAATTGAGGAGATGAAGGAGGGTATTCGAATCGATGGTATTGACAAGCGTTGGTGGGATTGTACGTGCTTCTCCTTTCTCCTTAAAGAACTTCACGGGGTGGTGGAATACGTCTAACATGCTGAACTTTAGATCGACCATTCGTTACAACCCACAGCGGTCGCTGGCGTTTCGCACAGGTTATCATGATCTCCGTCTTTGGGCAGTGGTCTGGAAATGGTCTCGGATACTTCAACTCGACCATTTACAACGTCCTGGGCTACACCTCGGCCTCGATGCAGCTGCTCCTGAATCTGATCAACTCTATCGTATCGGCTATTGGTGCTGGAACTGCAGTGTGTCTGACCGATAAGATGCCGCGTCGCACGGTTCTTATTTGGGGTACCCTGGGTGAGTAGAGCACTACAGGACTTTTCAGAAACGTCGTCAACTAACAATATTTTAGCTTGTTCTATTACAATGGCAATCAATGCCGCAATCTCGCTCCCCATTGCGAACACCGGAACTATCAGCCACACCAAGGGTCAAGCTGCTTTGGCCTTTTACTACCTGTTCAACGTGGTCTTCTCCTTCACCTACACTCCACTCCAGGGTGTTATGCCCGCTGAGGCACTTGAAACTACCACCCGTGCCAAGGGTCTTGCGCTCTCTGGTTTCATGGTCAGCACTATTAGTTTCATCAGTCAGTTCGCATCGCCGATTGGTCTCGGAAACATCTCTACCAATTACTTCTGGATTTTCGTTGGATGGGATTTGGTCGAAGTCGTCTGTTGGTACTTCTTCTGGTAAGATAAGCATTCCGTCCCAGCTAGTTTCTGATACCATTGGATCCGGAAGGGTTCTAACATATTTTGTATGATAGTGTCGAATCCCAGGGTCGTACTCTCGAGGAGCTGGAGTGGGTCTATCAGCAACCCAACCCCGTCAAGGCATCCCAGAGCCTGGACAAGGTCGTTGTTCAGAAAGATGGTACTGTTACGGAGAAGATCGAAGTTGGAGCTTAAGTTCACATTTTGCGATCATCTGCCAGTATATGTGTAACAAGGAGATGGCACGCGGTCTCGGTGAATATAGGATGTGGGTGTACGGCGTTGAGTTAGGAAGGAGGAACAGCATGATTTTGTACGTGTTAAATCATCAATAATAGTATACAGTCTTAACTCGAAATATATGGATTTGGAATTCTACAGACAGCAGTATAGTAAATGGATGTGAAGTACTTAAGCCGCTCTACCCTCTGTTGTTCCCAAACTCGATTCTTTCCCAAATTTGAAATCCCTCTGAATTCTCGCTAACAAGAGACCATAGCACACAATTCCTTTCCTCCTAAATAACACCACTAGAATATACTGACCCACAACTACTCCCGCAGTAAACTGGACTAAGCTGGACTAAGCTAAATGTCACGAGAGCTTCTCATAGTCCAGTGGCACTAAACCCAATTCGGCCTAGTAACGGAGACCAGTTGATTTTCACTCGAAAGGTCCTTGGCCACGTGTGGCGACTATTGGACGTGAATCCCTAACGTCGCGTCGATCTCTCCACAAGATTTGAATCATTGAATTGCTATATATTATCGACTGATGCCCCTCATTTATTCTTTTCAGGTAAATAACGAGTGTTGTTTGTGCCGTAGGGCTGCAGACAAGATCAAAAGTGACTAAGCCAGAAAGCTGCATGCTCACCGCTGATTGGGTGTTCCAAGCTGAGGACCCGGCTGCCTGACCCGCGGAGTGACGTGACCTTCCTAAGATAAGATCTTGGGCGAAGAAAATTTACAGTTCCCACAACACTCGTCGATGAGTGAGGATTGATCTGCAAAATGCAGTCATCAATTCTGCTGCTCGGTGTTCTTGCGACCGCTATTTGCGCGACTCCATTAGACCAACACCCCCTGGCTGACTCACATGCCGTCACGGAAGAACCCATCGAGTCGCAGGCATCACCGATAGAGGCATCCACATCTGGCTTGCATGGCCGGTTTTTACACATAACTGGTACGTGGGGATGGATCGCGTAACTGAATGAAATGCTAATCTCGAATTGTCTCTCTAACCAGATTTCCATCCCGACCGATACTACAAATACCGTTCCTCGCTCACCGATGACGAGTCGTGTCACAATGGAAAGGGCGATGCAGGATATTTTGGGAGCGAAGGCACAGAATGCGATTCGCCTTATTCGTTGATCAACGAGACATTCCGCTGGCTGGAACAAAACCTGAAAGATGATATTGACTTTGTGATCTGGACTGGCGACTCGGCGCGTCACGACAACGACGAACAAATCCCTCGCACACCACAGGAGATTGAAGAACTGAACGAGTTCATGGCCGAAAAATGGGTGGACTTGTTCGGTACACGAAAGAATGATGATCGTATCAGTGGTTCACCACAGGTCTTGGTTCCCGTTGTACCTACTTTCGGGAACAATGACATTGCGCCACACAACATCTTCATAGATGGCCCGAACATCTGGACGAAGCGCTATGCTGAGATCTGGCGCCATTTTATTCCAGAGGAACAGCGCCACAGCTTTGTTGAGGGTGGATGGTTCACTTCTGAACTGATCCCTGGCAAGCTGGCGGCCATCAGCTTGAACACCATGTACTTCTTTGACTCCAACAGTGCTGTAGATGGGTGTGCGGACAAATCAGAGCCCGGATACGAACATATGGAATGGCTCCGTGTGCAACTGAAGATTCTCCGCAGCCGCAACATGAAAGCTATATTGATTGGTCATGTCCCCCCTGCACACACGGAAGAAAAGAACTTGTGGGACGAGACATGCTGGCAGAAATATACGTTGTGGACTAGCCGCTATCGCGATGTCATAGTTGGTAGTGCTTATGGACACATGAACGTCGACCATTTCATGATCCAGGACAGCCATGATGTTGATTTCGATTTCCTCGCGGACGAGACCACACGCGACAGAATCAACATTCAGTCCAAGGCGGATTATATCAATTCTCTTCGCGAGCAGTGGGCAGACCTCCCATCTCCTCCATCTGGAGTTTTCGATGACGAAATCCCATCAAGCTCGTCAGAGGTGGACGCAAATAAGAAAAAGGGAAAGAAGAATAAGAAGGACAAGAAAAAGAAGGAAGAGAAGAAGCGACGGAAGTTCCTCAAGAAGGTTGAAGGCCCCTGGGCTGAACGATACAGCGTGTCTCTAGTCTCACCCAGTCTGGTACCAAACTACTACCCCACCCTTCGTGTGGTTGAGTATAATATTACTGGCTTGGAAAATGCCTTCGCACCGAACTCAATGACAACAGACACCGAGTCATTGCCGAACTCAGATCTGCGAAGAGATTCTTCTCCCATGGCCCATGAGAAGAAAAAGGAGAAGAAAGGAGAGAGAAAATCTCACTTCAAGGTCCCAGATGCACCCTCTTCCACTAGCCCCCCAGGGCCTGGATATTCCAATCAGCCTCTCACTTGGCTCAAGTATACCCAATATTATGCCAACCTGACCAAGCTCAATGAGGAGTACGATGCCAATGCTGAAAAGACCTCTCACATCAACTTCGAAGTCGAGTACAGTACCGACGATGATGTATACCAGATGAAGGACTTGACAGTCCGGAGTTTTTTCCAATTAGCCGCTCGTATTGGAGAAGACGGCGAGGCCCAAAGCGCCAAGGATAGCGCTACCATCTCGAAGAAAGTGAACGAAGCCTGGAGCGCATTTCTTACACGGGCATTTGTTGGTTTCTTCGATGTAGATGACTTGAACGTGGATTCTGATTAAATAGGTTGTCTTGCCTTTTCTCATGGCGTTACTCTTTATGTATTTAAATGACTGTGCATTGACTATTTTTGCATCACGATGGATTAGATATCCGTCTTGCATATATGCGGTGTTTTTACATATTATTCTTGTTCTTAGAAGCATATAATACATCTGGGTATTAGACTCTATCTGCTCAACGCTAATATCCCAAACTGCTTAAAAGTTGATACTAAAATTTGAATATAGGAATATGTGGTTATTTTGTTTATTGATTTATAAATTAACTAGACCTTGTGTTGAGGTGCCTATGATCTACTAGAATAGAGAAAAGTGCGAAGAACAACGAATAATAACGTCAAGAAAAGGGAAAGAAGAGAGAGAGTTATGTTATATATATATAGGACAACTTTAAACCAGAATCCTGATCACCAGAACGCAATATACAAAGCTCTCGAGGCCTTTGCTGATAACGATCTAAAAGGGACCATCGGCCAAGAAAGATCTCATCGGAATCATATGGTCGCCTTGCTTTCTGCCCCAAAGTTCGAGGACAGAATTCGTCGTGGGACTTGCTGATTCATAGTTCTCATGCATCTGGAACTTCTACCTTTCCCTACCCTAAGCACGGACTCGAATTGAACCATGCTCTAGAACAACATTTCTGTACCTAAACTCTATCCTATGATTCTGACTTCGGGGTTAGAAGCACCCATTTGACCCAGTTCTACGAACATTTCTGTAGATTTTTTCCCATTTTGATGGAATCTCTCCATTTTTATGCATGTCCTATTGAGGTTATAATTCTGCTTTGTGGGAGCTATTGCACCTTGACGTGCAAAGGCGGAACATGATAGCTGGATGCATTTTCGACAATAGAATTTTGGATCCCATTGCCTTGGTAATGTTCTCTTTGAGTTCTTGCTTCAAGGTCTCCGACGAAGCTGCGTGGAAACCCTCATTAAAAGATATGGAGTGATCGCGTTGAGCGCCAAAGTTGTGGAAGGCATTCGTTTTCTCCTCATCTGATACGGAGACAATTTGCACGGACGCGTCGCCTAGCAGCCCAAATAAACCAGACTGAGCAGCGTCTCAAAACCGGGCATGGATGATAACAACACGCATAATAACCCACCAACTGGGTATCCTTTCAAAGACGTCAAATCTTTTTTTTTCTTCGGATGGCATGGTAAACCAGTGGCTCATAAAAGAAGGACGACCGACTACCTGGCGACTTTGCCAGGCAAGACAGGCCAATGCACTACCAGAACTGTTTTCGTACAGTGATTCGTTAAGAGGATACCAATTGAGATGCGCAGAGTCTCGCTTGATGTCTATCCAGAAGTCGTCGACAATTCGATAATTTGTAGCCGATAGCCAGTCATCATCCTCTGGTAAATCGGCGTAGAAATCATCTCGGACGATACTCCCTGATTCGTGGGCAACATGACGCGACTCTTGACAAACACGAGTGATGATAGGTGGAAGGCATTAAGTTTAGCTGTGGGCCGGACTTTGCATGGGTAGTTGTCATAAAGAGAAGGTTCAAGATAAAGGCCTTCGTCGGTCGGGTAATCCACTTCCCATACGCGACATGGGAGACATAAGCGTCAAATCTCGAGTCGCAGCTCTGTCGGAAGTTAGGGAAAGAGATGAAAGGATTCCTCGGCCATGAGTAAACTCTTGAGGTTGAGTGTGTGTGATTATTAACTTGCATTTAAGATTCTGGAAAACGTGACCGCAATATGAGGGGCTAGTTGGTGCGGATCGTTGAAGTGCCCAGGTGGTCGTACTCTTCGGCTTCAAAGATGGGGAGGTAACGATTGTCAGAGTGAGGCGAATGGAGTAATTTTGGGACCTTATATGGATCAGAAAAGTCAATTATAGTTCGTGCACGGTTGTTCCGCGGAACATCCTGCAAAGACAGCGAAACTTTCTATGTTTCTTGGCATCCATCCCGCGCAGCTGCCCCTGAAGCCGTGAGGTGGATCCCGAGGTTGACCTTCTCCTGTCAAGGATCGACCAGCTGCTACACAAGTCAGACTAGAACGACTGACCTCAAATCCCTTCATTATATGACCAAAAAATATGGGTCAGCTTAACCGGTTGCTAAATTTGATAAATCGATATACGTCAGCAAAGTGCAAACTTTTTTAGTTAGCTTATTGGCAGCCGACCATTGGTCATTTTCTGTGACACTTTTTGGGTGCTGCGACTTTTACTAAGCTGCGCTTCACCCAGCAATACCGAAAACCATGGCCGGCCCATCATTTGTCTACCACGGCAGGAAGCCCAGGCCGTCTTCAAATTGTTTTGGGACAATCCTATTACCCCCGAGGCAATATATTAAGTATGATAAGAGATAAACTAAAATGCACAAGCAACTGACAGCCTAGCCCGGGAAATTAGACTTGACACTGAAGTAATGATCCCAATCCAGGATACGTTTCTACGAGATAATGCTTCATCTAATAACACAATCATGGATTCATGACATGTGAATACTTTCCTACTTTATGGCATGAGATAATCACATGGCCACTGTGTTAACCAAAGCTAGACTGAACTTAAAATGTCTTGTTGTTTGAAACCAAAGCTCTAGCGAGTTGAGCGAGGCCTGATAGTGCATATGCCTAATGGTAAATTGTAATGATACGCTAAGAAATTTTGATCCCCATAGCGCAAGTGCAGCGTCACTGTAGGGAAACGCGTTAAAGGTGATAGCTTAGTTGACAGAAAAGTCAATACGGCACGAATAGCATCAACTAACTATCCTAAACTAGCAGGATGCTTGCATACCTGTCCCTTCCCCCCCTCCCTTCCCCCCCAAACAAACAACTCAAAATTCAACGAACTTCTTATCATAAGCCAGAAGCCCAACATAAGTTTGTTGTTCAAGGCTCAGTAATCCCCACTTAACCTTTGTCTTGAATTTAAGCTCCGCCTCATCATCACTCAAGGAGGAATTATAATCTTCAATCTTGAAGTTCTCACTTTCATAAAATTCCACGATTTTCTTTCCCGCTGGATATTTTTCCAAATTCTTCAGGATCTCAAGTAACCTGGTCCAAATCCTCTTCCTGTCGCCTGGTAATTTATCCACCCTTCCAGATGCAGCTGGCGTTTCGAGATGCTGCCCAACTTCTGGATGAATTAGTTTCACCAAACTGATCATTCTCACTAGTACCTGTTGCTGTAAAAAAAGCATTAATACAGGCTCTAGATGATGTGGGAAGGTCAATCAAGCTGCCTCAAAAATACTTACATCCATGATGCGCCAGAGGCGGTGGTCCTTAACAGTACCAGCCCACTGAGGAGGGCTTCCGAGTTGAGGTCAGAACTGGGACTAAAAAGAAGTATCTAGATGCGTGAATTGAAGACATACTTTGAGCAGAGCAATGTATTACCTCCACGGGCTTCCCAAGCAAGTCGAAGGCTTTGGTTCACCTTATTGACTCCCTCGGTAGTCTCTTTCCAATCCCATTTTGCATAACCACCCCCAGCAGAGGCATAGGGACTGGTTATGCTAAGACCAGCTGATGTCTTGATACTCTCTTGTGTTGCTTCTAACTTAGCTTGTTCTTTTTCTCGGAACATGCGTGAGCTAGTAAGCTCTCCACCAAGCGTAAAGTTTGTAGCAAAAAAGGTCCCTAAGGCGAGAGTCATTTCACCGTTGACAAAAATTATAACCAGAATGAAAGAGTATTCTCACCGTATTTTCGTTCCCATTCATCTACACCAGATGCGTTGATTGCTTCCAATGCCTCTTTTTGGCACTCGGGCGTGACATGAAGACAAAAGGCATCTAAGTCAACCACAACCCGAGGGAAATGATCGTTCAAAATCTGACAACTACCGCCCGGAAGAAATCACAGGATGCCAAAGAGATGGTGGGTCTTCTGACAACGGTATTTACAAACAAAACTCTTCACATGTCCAGTCTCCTATACTAATCTGCGCTTAGTTCTACAATCATACCCAAAGCGATGAAAAGAATGCCATGTATATCAAGCAGCAGTTCTTGACGGGACCGAGGGACCGAACGACCAACACCCGGATGCTCAAGGCTGATGGTAAAGAGTTAGAGCCTTATGCAGAGTTGTTAGATGCTGAGGTCACCCGACTTCAAGAAGAGATTGAGAAGTCAGTTGAGCGACAGAAGAAAGAGATGGACATCTGGGTAAAGTTACCTATCCCACATCAGCACACCTGACTCTGATCACAAATTATAGGGCCGCAGCAAAGATACCGCGATTACATTAGGGGTTGTTGGTGTCTTCTGTGTCTGGCTGTGGGTTGGCGCTGGGGTGCATACAGACCGAGCAAAGAAAGCCATGAGGAAATATAACGAACGCGTGGAGCAACTCTGTAAAGATAGAACGCACAAAGACAACGTCGTTCGTCTTCTGGAGCTTGTAAGATCTTTGACGAACCAATTGGAGGAATTGGCCCCCAAAATGAAACTAGCCTTGAATGCAATGGAAGAACTCCAAGGCCTATTCGACAAACAGGATTACTATTTCCAGATTGTTGACCAGAAACTTGACAATATTGAAACTGGTGTGGAAGGGGTTTCCTTTAACGCACGGCAAAATTGGATCTTGGGTGGTATCGACGAAGCTGTGGAAACATTCAGCAACGTAAGTTCCGTCACATCTTTTCTCATTCAGTTGCTGACCAAAACTAGATCATAGATCTTGGGACAGAATTTCAAAGAGGTGCGGATCCAAAAATAATCAGGCTTTAAGTGTCCAGAGTGTTCAAGCCGTGCATCGATACATCTCAAACCTTGGAAAGGCCATATATCAATATTTAGCAATTAAATTTTCCTTTCTGTTCCATTTACATATCTACATCATTCAGTGGTTCAGGAGTTCAGCCCAGCCCATGATTGCCCGGGGCTGGGGTGAGACCTAGTGTTGTCACAACTGGCGGCGTAAATATGTACACAAACCTGGACCGCCTAACTTATCTCGAATATCGATAGAAGTTTCCATGACCGAAGGAGACGCAAAATCCATTAGGACTAAGAGCGTTTCATCAAATGATAATAGGCTAAAGGACTCGAAAACTTACGTGGCAAGGAAACGAAATTCCTTCTCAAACGTCGAGTGATGTTACTTTCTTATTAACTATAACGTTCTCGGGTTTGTCAGCGTCTCGGTGAAGTCTAAAGCGAGACATTTCCTTCGAAAGGTAGACTATGAAAATGTTTGCCAAGTCGGGCGGACTCAGAATGGACCGGAGATGGTCGTGATAAGCAGGTTGAAATAATTTCGAGTCAAAGACCCGGGGAGTGCAGAGGTATTAGGAAGTGCACGGGCCCGCGTGTCTCGAGCAAGCCAGAAATGTCAAAAATCGACCGTTCATGTCAATCAAATTCTGGTTTACGGTCAAAGATATAATCTTCTACCCCAAAAACACAAACAGGGGGAGATACGTGTAGTTCTGAGTAGTAAGTTTACATCCCAGGAGGAGGACATTGAGTTCCAACAGGTTGTTAAACCATGTAGATCCTGAGGCATGCGCTAATTAGTTAGGGAGTTATCTGCGCTTTGAACTATGGATTATGTACGTTGATTCAACACTGCTTGTGAGTGACCGTTCGTCGTTCTTTTACGGTAAAGTTTCGTTATTGGTGAGCAACCGCAAGGCGAGTGGGGCCGTGGCTGGACCGGCCCGGTGAATCAAGTATCGAAGCGCGCGGGTAGCTACATTACTCGATTGCTTCAACTGCCCCTCTTGCTCATTAAAGTTGAAGCTAACTCGTTGAATCCCTCTTCTTTGTGAGCCCCGAAATATTGCACTTCCGCTGTTTTTCTTTGTTAGGCTCTCATTTAACGTAATCCGTCATGAATACCATTGATTACGAATCGACGATGGTGTTCCTCACTTTTTTCTGGGACACTTCGAATTAATTAATTAAACGAACATTTCTAGTCAACCATTTTGAATGCTGTAGGGCAGCAGCGGAAGTTGATACTACAAGAAACCTTACATCGATCATTCATGCCCAGTTGTTCAACGTTCAATTAACAACACTCCTGAAGATGGGTACCAGATGTTTACCAAGGCGCTAACCATAATAGATATACACCAGACACGCACCCCAGGGGCGGACGCACGCACGAGGGGCAGGCGGATTAGTCAATCAAGCGACGAGTAATGCGAGTGAGGGCTGACCTGAATACGTACTAGGGTAAAGGGTATATAATAGGCAAATTCGAAAATGCATGCATCGGGCAGTAAAAGAAATTAGGCCTATGAAATGGTGACACATACTTTCCCTGGCCGCTGGTCGGCTCATCTTTTCCATTTTCTTTTCCTCCTGACTTTGGTCGTCATCATCTCTGTCACTGCATTTACCCCGCTTCCCATCTGTCTCAAGACACTTACGACAGGAAGCTCTCCAGCAAGCACTGTTAGCCTTAGTCCGCGTTGACTTATATTCCCAGCAAAATGAATATCAATGATGTCTCCAGCATTCCACAGTACATGGAAGTACTTAAACAGCAAAAGGCAACTCTCAAAAGAGCCCAAGGCTTTAAAGGCCAGAGGGCAATACCCAAAAAGTCCAGGAACGAAGTCATCAGTCAGTTTATGTTTCGGCAAAGGATGAACAGCAGCAGAAATTCTTCAGGCTCCCAGAACATTCGATCTTCATTCTTACCTCCCGTCTACCCTCCATCCACTGTTTCTCTCAAAGAACTGGATAAGATAATGCTTCAAGACCTTTCTCTCGAAATTCATCACCGGGGAAAGTATGTCCTTGTGAGGACAGTCACCCCAATAGATGTCATGACTGCTGTGATGGTGATTGTCGAGGATGAAAATGAGAGAGTTCTCATGTTACAACTTTACAACCAAGGAAAAGAACTATCACAAACTCAGGATCTCCCCGAGGGAGTTGTGATAGTAGTGAAAGAGCCTTATGTAAAGCTTATGGCGGATGGGGATTTTGGCATCCGCGTAGATCATCTTTCAGATCTTCTTTTTGTTCCTGGCTTCGACGAGCAGGTCCCCTTGTCCTGGAGAGCCCGACTCTCTCCAGTTGAGGATTCATCTGCTTTTTGGAAGGAACGAGGAAATGAATTTTTCGAGCTAGCCTTGTATCGGTTCGCGATAGACTGGTATAGTGAAGGCCATCTTTTTCTATGGCATGGTTATAACTGACCAAGACAACAGTTATACCAAGGCTCTAGAGACCACTTCTCTTCCTGACCTAGCGATGAAGACCCAGCTGAATCGTGCCCTCTGTTACCTCAGAACACACCAATTTGATGCAACCCTCCTTGATGCTGGTGCAGTGCTACAGAAGTCCAAACACTCCGAGAAAGCACTTTTTCGCAAAGCCCAAGCTCTTTACTATCTTCATAGATTTCAAGAATCCTGTATGACTCATAAGCTGATAGGACAGATATACCCAGAAAACTCTCTTTTTCAACACGAATTCCAACGTGCGTCTGCCCGTCTTGCGGAACAAAATACTGGGAATTATGAATTCAAGAAAATGATTTTGGAAGCCAAAAGACGTCGCCCTCCACATCTCGAGCGCGGCACTTATGTTGGCCCGGTAAAAATCAAGGCCACTCATTCTCATGGGAGGGGGCTTTTTACCACAGAGGCAGTGAAAGCTGGTGATCTTTTGCTCTGCGAAAAGGCGTTCGCCTATGCTTTTCACGACGATGAAAATCCAGGCGACCTGACATTACTCATGTGCCCTGACACCAATAAAATGAGCCTTGGCACCCACGGAGAGCTTCTAAAATCGATCGTACAAAAGCTTCACAAAAACCCGTCTCTATTACCCAAGTTCATTAACCTTCATCATGGCACGTACGAATGCTTCGATATCAAGATAGATGGCCAAGCGGTTGTGGACACGTAGGCGCGCACTCTGCTAACATGTATTATTGTACAATTACTGATATTATATAGCTTTCTTGTGCAAAAGACAATTGAACTGAACTGTTTTGGCTGCCCGCTTCTGTCGCGCCAAAGTCATATTCAAACAATGAGCGCGGATGTTGCAGCGAAAGGCGAAAACAAGAAATTTTACTCAGCTGGAATTTGGTGCACGGCATCATACGTCAACCACTCCTGTTTGAGTAATGCGCGTCGTTCTTTCATCGGGGATATGATGATTGTTCGCGCGAGCAGAGATCTCCCCCCAGATACTGAAATCACTTTCTGGTACCAATCGCCCATAGGGAACTTGGATGGAAAGCCAGCGAACCTTCAGAATTGGGGATTCGGTTGTGATTGTACAATTTGTGAGGATATCCAAGGTCTGAGTCAGGCTGTTGCATCTACTCGGAAGAGACTTTCTGCCGAACTGGAAAAATCGTTCAAACTCAGCAAAAATAAAATGTCAAGAATTGAAAAGACACTTGCTGGTCTCGCAGAAACCTACTCTCAGCCACCGACTCAGGTCCCTCACCTTGGACTTTGGCCAGGTTATCTATCTCTCGCTGCCATCTCTCTCACCTCTCATCAACCTGAAAAGGCAATTCAATTTGGGTTGAGGGCCCTGGAGTCGCTTGGTTTCGTGATTCATGGTGGATCTTTTCCAGATAGACAGCTAGAGGTAATGACTTGGGGTTTGATGTCTGATGGTGTGGTTGGGTGCTGGATGATCCTTAGTCGTGCATATCGTGAAGCTGCGCCTGGGCACGAGGCGCAAGCTGCAGAATATGCCAGAATCAGTTACAAAATTTGTGTGGGGGAAGATGATACATTCGATGACACATATGGCAAGCTCTCGGCACGAGTCGATGGTTTACTTGTCACGGTGTGATAGCGGCGAGGATCAAAGTGACCAGCAAAAGATTAAGGAGGTTTCTATAGCTTTACCAACAATTTCATGCTTTTTAGAGACCCGCATGGTGGTCTCGCTAATAAAGGCCTATATTTTGATTAAACTGATCACCAAAATTGTTTCCCATCACGACCCTGGTGTTGTTGTCTCGCTCTGCAAGAGTGAGGAACATATCGTCAAGTGGAACATCAGAGCCGTTCAGAGCCTCGAGGTGAACGTCCATGATGTATCGGACTTGATACTCCAACCCGAAAGCTGGGCCGTAGTGGCCGAAGTTGCAGCTTTTTCTGTGGAAAATTCGTTGTCTGCCATTTTCTCTGATATCCCTTGAAGGAGAAATTACTTGCGGAGACAGAACTGGCTAGTATTTTATACCCATACTTCAAGCACAGGAAACTCGTCAAATTTGAAGGGGGAATGGCGCATACTGTCTGAGCTGAACGATGGACCAAGAGTGTGATGATCTTAAGCCAGCCGGCCACTCGAATGCAACAAACCCTGTTGATCGATGCTAGGTGACGCTACAAGTTTGCACGGCGGATTCGCTTTGCTCCAACTGTATATGTGATAATGCAGCTGAAGCACGCCAGTCACATGGAACTACACGTCATGTAGTTAAGAGTCTAGTTTGTGCTCAACATGACGTAAATCATGTCGCGATATCCTATCAGCCAATTGCCACGGTATCCGTCGGAATTTCCCCACAATAACTTGGTTCTTAGTGTATCTCGCACCAAGAATCTTTCGCCATTAGCGGAGCGAGAATACGACAATACCAGTCATTATGTATAAAAGAACACATTGTCTTAATTCATTTAAATAGCGCAGATATTCAATATTATATGGATATGGTTGGATTATACTATTTTAAATTATCAAAAGTTGGTGGGGTGGCCAGCTCGCTTCCCGAATACGTTATTTGCAACCTACCAGATTGAGAAGCTTGAGACAGCAAGATCCCTGAGAATCCTGTGTATACATCAAAGTTGGATACCCATAGATGACATGCAACTATTAAAATCTCTGGTCCTAGGACTTTCATGCAGTCTCCTTGGCTCTCCAGGGCGAGCATCGTATCCTTGAATATACCAAGGTGAAAGATGGCGTGCCCATGGTTCAATGTATACGGACGATGGATTCATCGCCAAACACGGTGGATCCCATCATGTTGCATACCTCTTCCCGATTTCCCTCCCTTCTTGCCGCCCATTTGTGCCTCCCCCTTTGTGCCTCCCCCTGGGGCCTTCGTTCAACCGCAATTCATGTAACCACGCTTTTGATCCCATTGTATATCCTCAAACGATGTATTCCAAATCCAGCATCATCGAGCCGCTTCCGGAAAGCTTATCTTTTGGCATGGCATTTCGCAAAAATGGATCATGGGTCTCGGCTGCGTCTGATTTTGCGTAGCGCATATCGTCATCGAAGGTAGGAGGTAGGAGGGTAGGAGGTTATCGGAAGATAAGGTTTAATCGCAAAACTCTCAGTTCTTTCGGTCTGTAAGAACAAGTTGTGTGTTCGAAGCAAATGAATTGCGGAGGCTCGGTTCATCGAAGTATAAGCATTGTATCTGCAAGCGCAACAAATGTGTTAGCCCTAATCAAGCAACTTGTTGTCTGGATATCTTCGATTTCTTCCCAACCTCTCTGCCTACTGGTACACTTGCCTGCTGTAACTATTCGTCGGCAAGATTTGCGAGGGGTAAAGCATTATTGTATGGTAAAAAACTGTGCAGACGCTAATCTCGCCTCGAGACTGCAACTAGATCAGTGGCAGACATGAAACCTGATTAGTTCACGATTAAAGGGGAAGGAATGGTAATAAAGTAGCTTCATCGATTTGCACCAGCGGGTGCCCATTTCTCATTCTCAGTTCAAGCTTTCTGTTCTCATTTGCGCGCGCAACGCGTCGGATTGGAATTGAATGATTGTTGTTCATCATTGAACGGGAAATGGAGATCCACGATAACTGGTGAAAACGTGTAATACTCTTTCACTCTAAAGCATGTGGGATCCAGGTGTGGCTTTGGGTAGCAAACGTACACGATGTAGAAATCAGATCTACAAGAAGACAAAACATAGTTAGCTTTTGATCAACGCGCGCTTGCATTCAAGAGGCACTCAAGCCAAGGTCGGCATTAAACATTCTCAACCGTCTCGTACCAGCGGGACCCCATTTCCTGTTCTCAGTCCAAGATTTCTTTCTTCTCATTTGCGCGCACGCCGCATCGATAATAGGGATAGTTTGGTATTCATCATTGAACGGAATATGTAGATCCTCTGTACTAACTGGCGACGCACGTATAACATAGTTTCACTCTCAAGTATGTGGGAATCAGGTGTGGCTTCAGGTAGCAAACGTACACTGAGTAGAACAAAGATCTGCAAGAGGAAAAAGCATAGTTAGCTTTTAAATCGACAAATGCTTGTAGGAAAGAGACATTTAAACCAAGGTCGGTAGTATTAGGCATTCTCAATTGCCAGGCTTGTACTAATGAGGACAACCCAGATTTAGAGCGATCATTCGGATCGAAAGCTGTGCACGCATTTTGCTAATTGGTCTCTATTGCTCTTTGGCAATTTATCACTTGGCTTGGAGTATTGGTGCAGGCGACCATAGAAATCTGCATAGAGTTACCAATGTGCCCACATGTGCAAGATATAATAGTTTCAGTCAAAGGAAATGCCAGTGCCTCCTGCAAATCAACGGGCTGTCAACCATTGATTTTCAGAGAGCTATACCTTCGCAATCGCCGCCCTTGTCGACACACAGGATCAAATTGTATTAGCCCGTACCTCATGATCATTCAACTTGAATGGAAGACGGAATATGTTAAATTCCATTGCCAGTTGCTGAACAGAGGGTTGAGGAATCAAAACTTTGAGTACATGGGCCTAGTTGCACTCGTGGACGCAAAAGAGTGCTTTCCCTACCACCATGGGAGTCGCTGTTAGTATATGCTCCGAAGGGTGAATTTTGTAATAGAATTTAGCAGTCGCATCTCCCAGTTTTGCCCTCAGTTAACTTTTTCTCCATCACTGATCATGCCACGGCGGTCCTGGGTGAAGCACGATGATCAAGCGCAAGCTTCGCGAATATGCATATCATCACAGGGCTGGGAGAAGGTATATTGCAAGATTTTGGCGACAGATGAAACTCACAGTTCGAAGTTGATTCTGCCATTCAAGGGCGTCTCATTGGAGGCATAGAACCTAAGAATCTGCACCGGGTTAAATCACCATGATCAGCATAACTATTCAACCATCATAGTTCTGCAAGGAGCCCAGTGACCATCCGCACTTTCGCTCCTTAGATGACTCTAGTATTGCCTCTTTTCACTTGCCCTCGGGCATTCATTGGTGCAGACTCATCGTATAATTGGGAGGAGGGCGTGATTCTTGAGGTAAATGACTGACCATTGTAGATACATCCACTCTTCTATCCGTAACTCGGATTCACCGGTGTCTCGTTCAAGTTGGGTGTATAGCGCGTAGTGATCTGTAGGGATATAGTATATCCACAAGCAATTATTAGCATATTAGAAACTATAGCTCCGAAGGGCTGAAGAGCCCAGTGCCTGACGATCCCCATTTCGGTCCTCAGATATTGCTTGATATCATTTGATCTACCTCGATACATACCTCCCAGACACCGCTGGGGAGGAGACCATCGATGTGAAGTTGCATATGGAGTCATCATTGGATTAGGCAAGGGGGGGCGTGGCTCTTCAGATAAATCACTGACCATGCAGAATTTGTCCATTCTCGTAGTATTCAGAATCGACCAGCGTCTCGTTGGGATGTCTTGGCCTAGAAATTTGCACAAAAGCAATCAATATCCACACAGGTACATTAGCATGAGTTTTGGAAAATCATACCTTTGAATGCAATTGGGTATTCCATCTCTTGCTCTCAAACATGCTGTCGTATCTTTAGTGTCCTGGTAAGCAAATACATTGATTAGAAACTGAGTAGTATTGAATGCTCTTAGGGCTGGGATGGGAACGCAGAACCTTTCAGCTAAAATGACTGTCGCCATGGAAGTTCCAACTCATAATCACCTTGACACTCGATTACCATCGTTATGGCTGCAAAATATTGCTGAGAAGGTGTATCTGGTCTGGGGGCGAAGCTTGAATTGGTGTAGTTCAGAAGTTATTGGCGATCGATGGCCTGGGATGAGTACGAAGAGGATTTCAGACAAAACAGCCCCCACGATGGCTATTCCACTCCACAATCCCCCTACCACTTGGTGAAGATAATAGCAACTCTGCAAGATAGCTGAGGGAACGTATTATGGTTTGGAGGCGAAGGTTGAAAGAGTGGTGTGGTCTCTAGTCCCCCCTCACTGAGTTTGCAGTCGCTATGAGACGATCGGTCGCCTGGGATGAAAAGCATGCAGCTTTTCAGACAAAAAGACGTTCATGATGAGTATTCCAGTCCACGGTGTCTTTATTGATGAAGCTGATCGCAGCGCTGGGAATTCGCCTGGGCAGCGAGCTCAGTCTGAGGGCAAAGCCCCCCTCTTCAGCCCTCCCCATTCGGTGTCTCTGCCCATCACAGAAAGTCTTGCCATTCAAAAAAGACATTAGATACGTAGAGTATGGTCAGGCTATTGAAGGCGGTACTTACTTTGATTGCGACCCCCAAGTTGTGATCCTCCAAGAAGCGCCAGACAAGGCAAGGCCCCAAGTGGGATCTGCGACCCTGTTCGGAGACGATTGGTATCATTAACCTCGCCATGAAGCTGTAGAGACTAGATACAGGTCAGTTTAAATCTGATGAGATGTTGGGATTGGAAAAATGGCTCGTAATTTACTGCTGTCTGGTCGTGAAACGTGCGCTCGCTCACTCCCTCGAGCCTTGGGATTTGCGCGCACGGAAGTCTCATTAACTCTGACAAAAGCCGAATGGATCATCTCCAGCTCTTTGTAGATAGCCTGAGAGGGACTGGGTGGAAGAATGGTTCGTGATTACCTGGTGTTGGTCGTGGCTCAAGGTCTCGATCCATACTGAGGCCATTGACGTCCGAAGTTGGGGGGAAAGGCAACCCAAATTGAATACTAAAGAGTCATTGGGATAGGCAGATAGAAATAAAAGAATAAATGGGATAATTGGATGGGTGTAGGGAATAAAAAGATGGTGGCAATGGTGAACTGAGATGAGACTGGAGGAGAGATCCAGAGTAGAGAGGGTTCCACGACTAATCGCCTAAACAAGCAGTAGGAAAGCAAAAGATTGACTACGCAATAACTACCCAACCACGACTAGTTGGCAACTCGCTCACAACCAATTTACTTTCAAGCTCGAAAATAGCACGTCAAAAAGAACATACTGGGCTTAATTGCTGAATATTGTCGCGGCAATCTACATGCATCAGTACAATAGTCTTTCTTGCACAAGTACGCCATCCAATCTTCATCAATTAAAGGTGCATCGGATCCCATGGTATAATGGAAGTATAATACAAGATTTCGCATTATACTTTATTACTTAAAATCGTATTTGGGGCATGGTGGGCTCCCTCAGAATGGAAAAGGTCAGGAAGACTTGCCGCAAGATCCGCCTAGGCATCGCTCAGCTCCACCCAAGCTCCAAGCATCATAAATTTCTCAGACCTTCTGATACAATGCAATATCTATCAATGGACCGCCCTGCTCGATTTCCGCGAGATTGAGCAGGAAATTGATGTCCCTCTTGCCTCGAAGGTTCATGCAAGTTCAATCCCAATTTGAGTTTATAATATGCTATGAGCACATTAGTTCCCGAGCTGAGCTTTGGCCACATCAACAGGTTACTCCGCCTTCTTAATAACTATTCAGATTACGTACTATGCCAAATACTCAAGGGCAGCGTCTACATCTCCAAATGACCGTCGGTAACAGCATACTCCATGGACACTATTGCTTTTTACAATCGTCTTTCCTTCGGGCCTGGCCTAAGACTATGTGTATATAATGGATAGAATAGAGGTGTGTGTGATCAAGTATTTGTGTATGATGACAAGAGATGAAAGCTAGCTATGCTACGAGGAGACCGGATGAGTGGGGCCGGAGCGTCAACAACAGCGTGATCTCTTTCAAATCGCCTTTGAAATGGCAAATCTTCAACGCTTCTTGGCAGGTCCTTTCTTACTTTTTTCTCCATGCTGAGTATTGAATTTCGAGATCCATGGGTCGACCGTGTGCATGATGAAGATTCAAGGCCACGCCCCACACCATTATCTCCCCAATTAAACAACCCTAATCTTAAAGCCCCCAGATCTCACCTCGAAAAACTTTTTCAAGTAATACATCAAGTATAAAAGGAAAAGTGTAAAAGGAAAAAGAAATCCCACGTGTTGCACGTCTGGGTTGCCTTGTACCTAGTTACAAAGTCTTTGTTTTTCAAGAATTTCGACGTAAGAGAGAGTAGAGTATCGAATCTGCGGAAGTAGAAGGGTGGAGTAAAAATAAACAGAGTTATAATGGGAACAAAGAAGCTCACGGCTTGATTTGTGGTACATAAGATCAATAGTAATACTTCATTTCCTAGTACAGCCACTGGCAATCAGATCGGGGCGTCGCATTAGTAATGCCACCCTTTATTTACTTCCCACAATATTTTCATTCATGCAGCGGAAACTCATCTGAACCAGCAATGCTCCATGTAGGAACCAACCTCGATATTTATTTTCAGCAGCAATGTATCTCTCGATGGCTGGTCAGCTGCCTCATTCATCCCATTCACCTGCCAAATCTCAAAGCCCAAATTTCTTTCTAGCCAATCCTTCACCAAAAGGGACATCGGAGCCTACGTATATCTCTGGCGCAACAAGACTGGTGGATGAGCCTTATTGGCGTTGATATCTCCTTCAATGAATTTAAAAAAGATTCTAATATAACATGATCTCCAAACTTTTATTCTAGTTTTTCGCGATGATCGCTATCCGCCGCCGTAGGCGTGACCGTGTGGGCAATATTGGATTGGGTGTGGTTTCGGCAACAGGTGCATGTAGCCAAATAAAACAAACTAGAACAATCGTAGTCTTTGAAGGTACTGCTTTTCTCAGAAATACAAATGGTAGCTTCGTGTCAACAATATTCCAGCGTACCTTTTGAAGAAATTCCAGGACAGGCCCAACTTGAAGATTCCAATCCATTCAGGAGGGATGGAGAACATAACGGGAGTTTTGCCTGTGTTTCTATCGTGCCATTGACTGGCAATTTTTATTCTTTGTTATGGATGGGATTTCCGTCCATGGTTATTTACATTATTTGGGCACTACCTCGAACCAAGGAGCCGAGAGAAATTCATGAGACAAGCACTTGAGGGTGTTGTTCTTTCACTTGGTATCTAGTTGGACCCAAAGCGCCCAGTGTTTTGGGTTTACTGTACACTCCTGGGCGTAACATGCCATACTACGCGGGTAGATGTTTATTGCACAAGATTACAGTATATTTCAAGTGCCTTACAACTTGTAGTCTGTCCATTATTGCTTAGGCTTCACTGCCAGTGAAAGTGACAATTCCTACTCCACGCCTTTGTCGATATCCAGACTAGAGTTGTTGCTGCTTCATTGCCCATTTCATGAGCTTTATTTAACATAGAATATATTTAACAATTTCAAAAGCATCAGTAAAGAAATCCAGATATAAATGCATAATACAAACTGAATTGAAAGGTTTGAAGCCGGATGGAGTAAGAACAAACAAACACCACCCTCAAGGGGGATAGTTAATGGAATCGGGAGCATCAGGCTGTATTTATACACCTGCTTTACGTGCCAAGCCCTAATTCACTCAATGAAGATATTAAACAGTCCGAATTCGACACATGACCCTAGGTATAAATTGATGCTGAATAAATCTTCCCGTTTCCAACATTTTGTCCTTTGTGCCATCCAAAGTCCTTCGATCCACAACAATCCCTCTTTTACCAAGGGTGCTTAACCAAAAACAATCCACACGACTGTCTACGGGATCTCCTAAGCTCAAGCCGTTTGCGCCTAGCACAAAGCAAAAAAAGAGACTTGTACCCCCAAACAAGACCCGAAACGCCACAAACTCTAACCCTCGCCATCATGGAATCCAACCTCGACAACAATTCTCCTTCGACTCCTGCAGAAGACTCTGGTGAAGGGGCACCAGCAGGCCCAAACACTCGTCATCGTCGTCGCGCCCGCCGCGCTCAGAGATTGCTCGACGCCCAGATCAAGGACGCTTTTTTGACATTCCTAGCACAGGGTCAGGCAAAGGACCTGCCAGATATTCGATCAGTCAATCTGCGTGAAATTCACCCAACGCTCAATGGTGGCCGGAAGCAGTGTGAAAACTGGCTGGGGACCGTAAATGAAGCCCTGTTTGTTGCCGGGCTTAGAAACCTGATCGACAAGAACGTGCGTCGCCCGCTGATCCTATCACAAGAGGGAGATGTGTGGGCTCGAATGTCACGAATGGTGAAGTCTTGGCTGGAGCGAAGCTTGGGCCCTCATATCCGACAGCGAATTCTCGACGCAAATCCCGAAACTGAGCTCATTTATGCGGATAGTTATATGGCTGCGGCTATGAGATGTCTGGTCAATGAATCCGTCGATTGATAATCGTGCTTGTCTGGAGTTATGCTGCGCAGGAAAATCATTGAATGTTGTTGGGCTCAGCAAGTTAATTATTGAGAACGTGTGTCACCCGATGATCCTGTCATAAGAGGGAGATACGCGGGCTCGAATGTCACGAATGGTGAAGTCTTGGCTGGAGCGAAGCTTGAGTTCCTAGATCAGACAGCAGATTCTCGACGCAAATCCCGAAACCGAGTTCATTTATGCGGACAATTACATGGCTGCGACTAAGAGATGTCTGGTCTATGACTCCGTCGACTGATAATCGTGCTTGTCTGGAGTTATGCTGCGCATGGAAATATGTGAATGGCTAGAGTTAGTGAATATGAATATGTAATATTAGACGAATTTCAGACGAATTAATTGAGAGATGAACGTTGAAATGCTTCGCCCTCCAATCCTGTTGCGGCAGAGAGATGTGTGAGCTCCGATGTCCATGATAGAGAATGCTTTCCTCAGGCAAAGCTTGCGTTATGAAATTTGACAGATAGTTGAGGAGCCCAATGACGCAGCGAGGTCGAGATACTATTCGAATACGTACATGGCTGCCTCCACTTCTCAAACAGAATCATGTTAGGCAGATGCTTTCGTCGATGCAAAGGTTATGTAGCAATGTATCTCTTAGTGGCTTTCATCTATACGTTGAAATTTCTCAGCTCATCTCCAAGGGGTTTTTAGCTCCTCAAGATTCTGTCGGATCTGGGATCCCAAGCCTCCATGTTCCTAGGCTCATAATGTCCCAAGTAGCATTCTAAGAGAATTCCATAGATTAGAACTGTATTATTAGAGAAAGTATTTCAAACAATAACTTTCAACTTGAACTAGTCATGTTCCTCAAATTACATTTTCTCGTCTTCTGCATATATTTCGTTTCATGGAAATGACAGAAGTCGGATATCTTTGTGTATGATCAAAATTCGCGTGTGTTTTTATAGCACGGGGAAACTTGAACATCCAGATTTGTACCTAATTCTAGAACACTGGCATCATGATGATCGGGTTCAACTTGAAGTTCTTTGTCGGTGCCATCCATGCGAGTACAGGTTCACAGCCCTGGAGGGAGTCCCCCCGACTCGAGTTCAAGATCCATTGACATATTTATATCAAGAGAAGTTCAAGTTATGTAGTATGTATTGAATAATGGGAAATGTGTATATTGGAAGGTGTGAGAAGCAAAATAGAAACTCAAGCTTGAGGGATGCATTTAAACATTTAAACATAGCTGGCCAAAATTATGTAACCTTGGAACTTGACATTGTTTGTTCAACGTTTTCGTGGTTGACATGACGGAGCTACCCGGCGTAATAAAATTCGATTCTATTCGCGTCAACATGACGCCCACCCGGGCAGTTCGGGACTGGGAGTTGACAGGCATTTTTCTACCTCCATCAACCACGTATTCCTTTCCATATTTCGCTTTCTAGGTTCCCTATACTCCAGGTCCAATACCTACAGCGCTTCGTATTGCCCGACGCAGAGTTCCCTGTTCACATATTGAGACATTATGTCCAGACTAGCCGGTCAGAGAGCGTACGGAGGGACGGGCAACATAGAGTGTGTATACGGACCGTACCTTCAAGTTCCTTGTGGTAGCCATTCATGAGTTAACCGGTCTAATGAATAGGGTGACCTCAGAGATTACAGGATTCGATGAATGTGGCCCATACACCGTCTCGAGTTTCAATGTCACTGACGAGGGTAGAATATTTGAGCCACAAATTCTCTTCTACCAAGTCTCTTACTCGCTCGCTAAATCCATCCGGACAGGGAAATTGGAGATGCGCACACAAATACATCCATGATCCAGGCGCTAGACCATGGCATACTGTCTTCCGGTAAAGGCCCAATTTTGTAGCTAGAGTTGACTCAGTCTCTCACTACTATTCCCGGCAGAGATTGTGACCATTCTTTCCTTTTTCCCAATGGAACTGAGGGATATTATCATCCACAACGTCCTGGTTCGGAATGGCTGAAAGATTCCAAAGACAAAACGCAAAGACGCTGGCCTTGTCCACAGTCGCGTTGTGTTATGAACTTCAATCCGCCACCTCCCGATTGGGTTACTAAGAATAATATTTAACTTCCTGATCTTTCCGGTATGATTTCTCTTAGAATATTAGGGTACTCTAGCTTATCAAGTGTAGCGTACGATTACCCAGAAACCGATGAGCGGGAACACCTAGAAATCGAACCCAGCCAAGCTATCTTCGAAAGTAATTACCAGAAGCCTGCATTCGTGGAGCGTGATCTCGATCCTGTTACCTACGACGAACTCAACTCTGTGTACGGTTCAGCGGCAGTCTCCCATCCCTCGATGACTTCTTTAAGCGATGCAATTGAGCAGGGTACTAGCCATACACGAGCTTATTGTCCGCATCTCAGAAACAGCCTTCTACGGAGAGATAGTCGGACCAAGACCAAAGCAGACTGCCCGAAAGACTTCGCTTAGAACGCCAGTCACTAGAAAGAGCTCCAACAGGAGCACTCCAAGAGATGCGATTGAGCACGGCACTAGCCACAGCCAATACTATAGTCCGGCTCTCCTAACCAGCGTTCCAAAGAGAGATGGCAAACCGCAAACAAAGTAAACTGTTCAAAAATCATCTCTTAGGGCGCCAGCCGCTCAAAATGATACTACAATGAAGACGGGGGATAGTGAAACACGGCAATAGACAAGGAGAGACACTAAGCCGAAGGCCCAAGCAGTTCAAAAAAAAGCCACAGCCCCAAAGAATCCGCGCCAGGGTACAAAGAAGAATGGCCAATCTTCCCAAAGAACGGGCGGCGCACTGATTAAGATTAACATATTCGTATTCTAGTATACCTGTGAATGCTTGGAACTAACTACAACAATGCCGTGATTAGCTCCATTGATACTGGATGTTTCCAGAGCAGGGAAGCATGGAATCTTGCTTAAACATGTTCATTCATTCTTGTCACTCTATCTTCAAATTGTTTTTCGTCTTCTTAATTGATTTTCCTCAGTCTATGTATTCTACGAAAGTTACTTTCTTGAATGAAATTGTTTCATTGTTCTAGGCTAAATGCGGGTCTTAAGAATTAGGGGGGGCTTTCGGCGATAGCAGAGCACAAAGCGCCCGACATCATTGTAGCGGTGTACTTCATTTAGGAGCGGGACCTGAGCCCAACTGCTCTATTAGCACAACCATTCTCAATCCAAGGTATCACATTTAACAGCAAATTCTGTATGATGGCTTCAGTAACTGACCGATCTCAGATTTCGGCATTATTACTGGCTGAACATTATCGCTCCATCACAGCGTATACCAGCCTCAGGCTGCTAGATCTGCCGCTCACATTATGTCCAGTACCAAGCCACGCCAAACTCAAAATGGAAAAAAAAAATCCCTAAATTAGCCTGCCAGCGTGGCAGCGTGGCACTATTTGTACCTGAGGTGCCCGAGCTGGTGGAATCCCAAGCAAATTAAACCCAAGCAAGCGAGGCACCAATTGGATACGAGGTTGAAGCGGCTGCATGGTGAGCCGCTGCCACGTAGCGCGCCTCTATTCCTGGATTTCGCTACACCTACGGAGTACACCCGTACAAATGTATTGTTGGGGCGGGAAACGTCCTGTCCGTGCACTGCTAGACAGCGCATCGCGGCCGAATATAGGATTTTGCCTTGCCTTGCCACCGGTTGGATTGGGCATCGCCGTTTGGAGTCCAGAGATCAAGAACTGGGACTAGAGCTGGAACATTTCTGAGAACATCATGACATACATGGATAATTATTATGGGTCAGGCTGATGTGGATCGGTGAGGATTGAAATTGCAGATGAATCCACCTTGGAATTAATCCGTTCATGTAGTGAAGTGGGACAGTGCTTCATTAAGTGGAAATCCCTGAATTTCTATTTTCCGTACAGCCCCATTTTCTCTCTTTTCTCCCGTGCGTCATATCAAGGGAGGTAATATAGTCCTTACTTGACCCTTTTTCTTTTTCTTTTCTCTGTTCTGTCTCGATCACTGTTACCGCCAATTCGAACTTCCCGCGCTCCAACTCTTTTCTTCCCCGCACAAACGGGGAAGAGTGTGCGTTGGCATTGCCAACTGAAAAATCGCCCTCAACACTCAATTTCCCCCTTTTAAATCGTCCTCCACACAATGCGCCAGTCCCTCTCCCGATCCTACTACTTCCCCGCTCTCTTTCTCGCCCATTGTGCCTTGCGTTGTTAGCGGGTCGCCAACTACTGCACGACCTCTCGGGTCGCTTCCTAACCGAGGAAAACGAAAAGAACAGTGATCAGCGACACTGCGACTGGACACGGGCTGCATTGATCGGATTCCGCGTGGTACACGGATAGCTCTAGTGATTGCTCAAGAACTGGGAGCTAGAGCTGGAATTAAATCCATTGGTTGAACGGTTGTGGTACAGATCTGGTTCCTTGGTTCCCGGCTTCGTTGTGGATCTCAGCCTTGAGCTTGAACCTTACAGAGTGCGCGGACGGAGTACCTACTCCACGCATATACAGTTCGGGTCCTACACTCCAGTATTCGGTACAAAGTGAGGAAGTTGCAGGTGGATATACTGTTTGCTTTTGCTAGCCATTGCGTATTGCGACCAGTCACATTGACTGAAACCTCGAGTCTGGTTGGAGATTATTGGTTAACGGCTCCAACATACATATCTACGCGCGTAGGCTTGGAGCATGCTGTACGCACTGCGTCGTTGAGATTCGTTTGACGCTTCGTTTGCGCGCGCTATCTAGGTGTGTTTCGTTTTTTCTTATTTCTTCAGTTGACTCCCCTCTTCGTGATTTATCTATTCTCCCCGTTCACTTCCCATTGACCTTCTCTATCTCTCCTCATCTACTCAATTCCTCTCCTATTCACTTTTATTCACAATGCATATCCCCGACTCTACATGCACCGACGTCATGACTGACCTTTTAAACCAGGAGGTTGCCGCCTCCGTCTCACTAGCTTTATGGATGGCCTCCTCCGAGGTAGACCAGAAAGCCCTAGGCAACTTCGCCGCCGCAATGGCCCTTGAAAATCCCCTCCTCTCAACAATGCTCTACAAAGTTCTCGGCCTATCAGTAATGCTATCCAAGAAACTTCTCCGGGCCCGCCGTCTCCGCCGCCTAGATCCAACCCGAGAAACAAAATCCCTACACCTATACCACCACATAATCTGGCTCTCCCGCGAAGGCCTCTTCCTACTAGAAGGCTACATCCTCCCACTAGTAGCACCCTACGTCGAGCTAAAAGTGCTCTCGTATAAACTCCGCGCATCATTCTATCATATCTTTGTGCTTTTTCATAATCGCCCAATCATCCAAGCACAGGATACCAATCCACCTCCAAATTTAAAACATGAATCTATTTACGGCGTAGATTCATTAACTGCCTTTCGGACTCTGGATCCACAATCACAAATGGCACTCGCACAATCAAAAACAGGCCATCCCCCAGGTCTGGCGCCCGTTCAACTTCAACCCGTTCAACCTATCTCGTCATTCCTTCTCCCACCACTAGACTACACAACAACCGCAACAGCATGCTTCAACCACGCCTCATTACTAGCAGATCAACTTCTCCCCGGCAGCCATCCTTTACGTCTCTCTGTAAAGCTCGAATACGCCGCATACCTATACGACTGTCTCCAAGATCCAATATCATGTCGTCGTCTCGCCAAGCGTGCAATCGCAGATGTCTATAATGCCCAAGAGGGAATGGACGATGAGAGCTTTGAAGACGCAGCTGAGATCGTCGGCGTACTAGGGAAAATGGTGAAACGGGGCGGTAAGCCCGGGAGTAGTACTGCAGCAAGCTCGTTTTCCCGTGGAGACAGGTCTCACACTGGCAGTCAGAGTCGAAGTAGTCCTTCTCATTTGGATACGAGTGTTCCTACGACTGCTTCGCCTGTTCCGGTTACGAAGACGACGCCTAATATTTCTTCTGTGGCGGTTGAGCCTGCGATTCCGAATGTTACTATGATGAATCCGATTTGATGACATGCTATGCAATGCTCATGGAGTTACGATAGAAAAGCCGATGATGATATATATTCCCGACGGTACTCTTATGACCTCTTTTTCTTTTTCCTTTCACCATGGGAACGTTTCTTTTTTCTGCTTTTCTTCTCATTTTATCGCCCTGTTTTTCCTTTCTTCCCGCACTGTACATATGTGCTCATTCTGTATCTTGACCTGGTGTATATATGCCGCATACTACTTCCCATTTCTTGTACAAGTCATCCATTGCATCTAGTACCAATATCTCAAAGAATCGTAATCATGACTTCTTGCATACTCACAGCGTCAGAACATTGACTATATACAAAATTGAACAGGGTATCTCAATCCGCTTTTTGTCGATCCGACGCCTGCACCTCATTCACAGAAACTCGTGACGGAGCACGAGAAGTCATTCTCGAATGCGTAATACTCGCATCCGTCGTGCTAACAGCATGAAACGAGAAATCCAATTCCCCAACCAAGCCTTTCACATGTCTAATAAAAATCATCAGCATTAGCATTTCATTTCATTTCGATCAATCCCACGCGATAAAGCACTTGAGGAGAAGAGGAAAAGCGAAGCAAACTAACCTCATGAGCCTTTCAACATCCCCAACAATACAACGCGTAGAAATCTGCAAAACTGCAAAAGCCGCAAAACCCGGCTCGTTGATATGTTTGATGCTCAGGATATCTTTATCGAGGGCCTCTAGTCTGCTTGAGAAACTGTATGGTCGTGGAGCTTTCAGATAAGGAGGGAGTGGTTGGCAGTTCGTAATGCTAGCTGAGAGAAGGCAAAGGAGGGATGTCACTTCATGTGTAGTAACCTTTGCAGTACCGACAAGTCGACGGAAGTTGTGCATCCAGACTGAGCCGGATTCATCGTCTTCGTCATTTAGAAGCATCAGGGTGTCAGATGCGTATCCGAGTAAACTGAGATAGCTCACGATACTATAATGAAAGATGACCATTAGTGAAAAATGTCACGGCGTTCTAGACAGAGGGATATTATATCCACTTACTTTTCAACGCAAACAATGATAGAATCATACTGCTTCTTCGGAAACCTTCCACCAATAGGAACACTCCATTTCAAAAATCCTGAGTAAGTCCTCAACCCCGTAAGCATAAGCATCTGCTTCGAAAACACCTTATGTCTCGCCTTCTCCAACTTTCTCCCCGCAGAACTCTTCAACGTCATATCTCCCTCATCTCCCCTCATCCTCGCAGAAAGCGTCTCATGAATAATCGAATAATAATTAGCAAGCAGATACAAAGAGCCACCAAGACTCTGCCGTAAAGCCGAATATTCCGAAATAGGATATGGGAAAAAAGTCCAGAAAAAAGCAACAAAAATACCCCCACTAACAGCCGCTAACCGGTAAGGCGCAAGTTCATAAATTGGATAATAAGCTTGACCGTTGGCGGAAACGGCTGCTTCACCGATTTTTCGCGCAGAGAGCTCATACCCGATTATCATTGCTGTTGTAACCATTGTTATTAGGCCGATGGCTCGGAATCGAAATAGTTTGATGGGGACGTAGAAGACTGCTGAGATGAAGATGAAGACGAGCACGATTATACCGGGTGTTTTTTGATCGGGTATATACCAGATTAGGATTGAAGCAACCATTGCAATAGCCGTACCTGCTATACGGAGGACGAAGGAGAAGATACTTTGGCCGGAGGTAGGTGACATGGCTAGATTAACCATTATCATTGCCCAAACTAGTCGTTGTCTAGTGAAGAATTCTTGCGTATCGCGTAATAATGCAATTACTGCGATGGTCATAGTTGCGCATGCAACTCTGAATCCGTAGGAGGATTCAAAGGACCGTAGGAATCGCGGGACAACTCGGACTCGATCGCCGATACGCTGGAATGTATTTGCGGGTGGGAGATGTTCAGGGTCTTTGCGGTGTTTGTATGCTTCTCCGAGTTCGAGGGCGTTGGTGTGTGTGTGAATATCTCCTAGATGGTCATCCTCGTGGTGACCATCGCCGGCGCTGAAAAAGGTTTTGGCCCATTTCCAGGTACGTTTTCCGCCTGGGATTACTAGTCTTCGGCGTGATAGTTTACCCTTTGCAGCAACACCGTCGGCGTAGTTGACGAAGCCTAAGACTGTTTGGCCGGTTGAAAAAAGCAATTGCTCCATCTAGTAAGAAAGAAAGAAAAAGAGATTGTTAGTTGGTTTTTGTTGGGGTGGGTTGAAATGGACATACGTAAAGAAAGAGATACAATTGGCGTCGACTTCGGTCTTGATATGAAGTTGACGCACTGAAGAAATTTCCCTTCAAACTCTCAACAGAGGAAGGATGTTCGAAGAAATCAGCCGGTAACGAGATACCCTTCTCCTCAGCCCAAGTCTGAAGAGCAAGCTTCTTCGCACTGCGGAATTCACCCAACTTCGTCTCCAAGTGCTCTGCAAATCCCTTTTCACCCGGCGCTGTATCCGCAGCTGTAGCCTCTATATCATTTTCGACTTCGTCCGCATCTCCAGTTCCCATTGTTGCGACAGCCACTCGCTTAGGCCGTTTTGTAAATTGCAACACATACGAGGTGTGTAGCAGACCCTCGTCAATTGTCTGAATCATAGTTGCAAAAGGATCATGCACCGCTCTCATCATATCATTCCAATCACGAACAACCTGCTGACGAACATGATCAGGAATAGGTTCGGCATTGGGATCGATCGGCTCATTCCACCGATTATAATCAGATAGCCTCTGAAAAATATCAACAACGAAGCTGAGTCCCACGACCGGGATCATGATCTGGCGCAGATGTCGAAACACTATTTGAATATCGTCTGGTCCAAGTTTTCCAAATGCAAATTCTCTTTTTGCAAAGGTGAGATCACCATGAAGTTTTGCGTGGAGCTCAGTAATTCCCCGAATTGCACCACGAATAGCTTCCGCCTCGGGACTATACACCTTCCCACTCTTTCCCCATTTCTCCTGTGACGAGTCGTATGTCTCTGCTCGACCAAACATATCGTCGCTTTCCAATGATTCGAAGTACAAAGCGTGTGCAGTGAGGGCCTTTCGAAGATTCCCAATATAACCACCCATCTGGCCAAAGACGGCCTTCCGCGAAGTCATCGGGAAAATGAAGAGTGATACGCCAGTGGATAATCCCAAACCCGTGAGAAAGGTTTTCAGCATTCTCAGAACAAGCTGTATCGCCGATGACATGGTGACTTCTTGTGCAGCGTAAACGGAAGAGACATTGGCGAAGATTGAGAACAGAACGACAGGGAATTGAAATTGCTGATATTTGGCTCGGAAGGTATGAGCGATCCAGATCTGGAAGAATAGCCACACCCCAGTAACTGCTGATGCTGATGGATTATACGTTGATCCTGATCCTGATTGGGTGTGTTGACGTGCTTTCACACTGGAGTACATTGTTAACAAGGCAAAGCATGCCGCGAGACAAACAGCCAGGACGTCAAAGATCATCATCTGAATGAACTTGGCGCGGGGCATGATCGCAAAGCCCATGATTGATACAATGGCAATCAGGTAGCCGAGGGTACTATACTCATCTGCCACCGAGGTAGCTTGATATCTGCGTGAAGTTAGAGAAGCCCAGAATATACACATGTTCCCAGGGACTGATAATATCCACTTACATAGCCAATGCAAGCGCAGGCGCAAGTCCGCCTCTATTTTCACAATGTTAGCCAGCCGCTGGTTGCCTGAAAGTCAAGGGTTTCTAGTCATAAGTTACTTAATCATCAACAAGATAGTCTGCTTGTCCAACCCTGTCTTCCTCCATGCTTTCGCCACCCAGCCCCTCAGGCTGAGTTTCTCCTTCTTTGTAGCCTGGGTATCACGGCGCGACAATGTTTCTATTGTTTCACTCCTTAACTCCTCCGACTGCCTGGCGTTCGCCCGGGACGCCATGTTCGTGGTTAGACGCGCGCGTTGCGCCCGCGTGTTATCTTATCCGCCCTGCGGAATTTTCGATCCAACACGCGCGGGCAGACTCTGCATGCCGTATGCGATGTCGCTCGGGCCTGTGGTCGCGTAATTCGGTATCGGTATCTCTGCAGGGTGCTGTCTAGCAATTAGGCAGGCACGTCTACAGAGCTCTTAAGCAGCGAAAAGGAGAAAATTGAAGTTTGAGGGGTTGACGGAGTTACGGGCTTTGAACCACGTTTTGGTGTGGGTCCAGGCGACCTGAGATGCGTTCAGGTAATTGCGGGGGAGTGAGATGTTAATTTGTAACGAGATGGGGGAGAAGCACTTGAAGGAATCCTGGTGGTTTTGAGGGATGTGGTTAGTCTGAATTATTCATAGCTTTTGTGAATTGTTATTATAAATGAGAATATTGCTTGTAGCTGAGATTCATATCTTGTTCACCGGGATTGACATCCGTTAAACGAAATGAACCAATAAAGGAGTATAATTTTAGGATTAAATCTAACTGAGTCCAACTGTCAATGTCAGATTATAGTAGCAAGTCTGATTCTTATCTGGTCCATCAAAACAATCCGGCGCTAACATTGAAATTCCCCCTGAAACGTGCAACCCCTCAACGCTATCGCGATATACAAACAAATTTCTTTCCCTTCTTTTTAGACTCTGGACCCTGGACCCTGGACCCTAGACTCCATAGAATACATTCACTTTCTACGATTATTCTATGTGATTATTCTATGACTTCTTGTTCTAAGACATCGCCAGCACATTGAAGACATCTAGAAACACCCCAGCCGTTATGAATCACACAGACAAAGAAACCAGCCCCGCCAGCGAAAGAAAAACCAAGTCGCGACCGTGAATCAGCGCTTCTCAATAATCAACACTGAATATACGTCAAGAGCAATGGCCGAAGAACAATCCCCCAATCCCTCAACTCCATGGGCATCAATGCCCCAGCGTAAACCAGTTCCGTCTGCGCCGACCGTGACCCCTGATACCGAGGCTGCGACAGAGACAGAACACCCACCCTTAACACATACCAGTCTAGAGGAACAAAAGTCACCGTATAAACAGTCCTTTTTCACCTCAATAACCTCCTGGTGGGCGATACAGAAGCGACCGCGCAAAATTCTAATAATCGGACTTGTTGCTGGTCTCTTCCTTATCGCACTCATTATCGGCCTCGCGGTCGGCCTGACAGTGGGCAAAAAGTAGGACAAACTTGAAACAATTCTATTCTCCAGCTATATATATACAAACAAGCGCTAATAATGAGAACAGAAACTCGAAATCAAATCTTGCCTTACCAACATCCAATGGCGGGCCTTATTCTGGAGATTTGACATATTACGCTCCAGCACTTGGATCATGCGGCTATACCAACACTGAGTCTGAGCATGTACTTGCTGTCTCGCATATCCTTTTCGACGCTGCCTCAACAGGCTCGAATCCAAATGACAATCCACTATGTGGACTTAAGATCAGAATTCGGCGCGATGGAGAGAGTGTTGATGCGAAAGTTGTTGATCGATGCGTGGGTTGTGCTGAGACTGACCTGGATGTGACAGAGTCTGTTTTCGAGAAACTGGCTACCCTGGCGCAGGGGAGAGTCACAATGGAATGGGCCTGGTTGGAGAAAGCACCTGTGAATGCTTCGTCTCAGCGAAGGGATACCAATATAGCTTTGGTGGGCAACTATGTGGATCTTCATGTATAGACAAAGACAAGGCTTGTGCGGGACGCGACCGTCAGCCTGTGATGATGCACACTGTTTACTTTGTACGATGTGGTGTAAATTAAATAAGTACTGCGGTGTTTGAATATAGTATACTTATTCCTTTTCTCTCTTCATCTTCTTTAATGTTCCAGTGACTCCAATACCAATGACTTCACGATTCAAAATCCGGTACCGCAACACGAGGCTCCCGCGCCCCGTGATCCTTCGTCCTCCACTATTTCAACCCCGAATCCTCCAACTCAACTACAATTAACCTTGACAGCCTTTTTTTCAAATCAAAATGATGCGAGGCAGACACGTCCAATCACCCCGTCACCCAATAGCCCTGCGACAAGAACTAGTCACAGAATTCGAGCGGCTACTATGGATTGAGCCAAAATACGACAAACACTCTCCAGCCGAGTTCACCGTAAAATACGACAGTGATGATTCCACACTGTTCACAGTGACAGGAAAGAAGTACGGCGATCGACCCGTACGAGAATTCCGCGACAAATCGGGTCTTCCCATGTTTGAGTCTGAACGAGTATGGCCCGCGTTACGCTGGAAGAAACCATGGCGAGTACGATTACCCGGGAACGATCAGGATTTAGTCGACATAAACTTGAGATGGAAACCTCATACATTCGATATGACATTTCGGAATGCGCTAGCCAAAGACGCGAAAAGGGATGATGAGAAACTTGTTACTTTGGAAATTCGAAGGGCGTCGGCATTATGCGCCTTTGCGGTTTATGCGGACGGTCGCAAGGTTGCTGATATTCGAGAGAGCGTTGTGAGGAATAGGACGATCTCTTTTTGGGGAGCAACTCGCGACAATCATATCCCGACTCGCAAGATTATGGAAGTGCTAGTTGCAGATGGGTTTGATCTCTCACTTGTAAGCTCCTTGTCTTGCGCTTTGCACTCTTGGTCGCGAACTAACATTGGAATTTAAGGCGTCACTGATCGCGATCTTTATCTGTGATGACTTTTATAGAGATACGCCACCTACGCAGACTGAAATCAAAGAGCTGGAAAAGCGACTTAATCCCAAAATGGTATAATGCGAGCGATAATAACTATGAATTGCACAATTCACATATCCTGATATTCGTTGAATTATGACTTGCGACTGAATCCACATCTTATCTGTGGTGGAAACAGTGCTTGCTAAACGTGAAATAATATCCCTAGTTCTTAGTTACCTAGCCAGATAATAACATGACTCTATATCCATATATACAAACAGCGCCAATGTCTATTTCTTCTCTTCGTGTTCAACATGCTCTTCATGTTCGACATCGTGCTTGTGCAGTGTTTGTTCGATGTCTGCATTTCGCTGTTCTGGATCAATAGATCCAAAAATAAGATCCATATCCTCCAGGGTCCGGCCCTTGGTTTCCTTAAGGAAGATAGCGACAAATATTCCCATGGCAGTGCAGAAGACACCGAACATGATGAAAGTTCTCCAGCCAATCTTGTTAATGGCTCGGGGAGTGATCTCGGTAATGACAAAGTTGAAGAGCCATTGAACAGCAGCTCCCAGACCAACACCATATGAACGAAGGCGAGTTGGGAAGATCTAAATAGAAATTAGCTCTATGAACACGGAAACGAATGCATTAATTAGGTTGGGAATATACATACCTCTCCCAAGTACACCCAAGGTGTTGGGCCCCATGAGAAGGAATATCCAATGACATAGAGGTAGATCATGGCAACCATGGCGGTGGAAGCTGAAGAGACGCTGGTAGCATCTGGGTTAGGGGGGTGAGTAACCAACACAGCTCCAATGATGAACATCATAACAGCCATCCAGGCAGCGCCGCCAATCAAAGAGTTCTTTCGGCCCCAGCGATCAATTCCAATAAACAGGAAGATAGCGGTAGCAATAACCTTGACAGTTCCATAGATACCAGTTGCGAAAAGTGAAGAGTTCGTGGAACTAATACCAATCGACTCGAAGATCTGAGGGGCATAGTATCCAATACTGTTTGTACCCGAGAACTGCTGCCAGAACATAATGACAGAGCCCAAGAAGAATCGATATCGGTTACTTTTCTGCAAACACTCTTTCCAAGTAACACCCTCAGTAGCCTGCGTCTCTTCCTCAATAGCAGCATGAATCTCCGCAATTTCTTTCTGTACCTCCTCACTATTCTCAGGCTCATTACGAATATAAGCCAAAGATGCAAGTGCCTCTTCACGACGACCCTGCTTCATCAGCCACCGAGGAGACTCCTTCAAAAAGAAGAGACCGATAAGCATCAATCCACCCGGAACAAGCTGGATAGCAACAGGAGTACGCCATTGCTTTGTGCCCGAGGGAATATGCAACGATACACCATAATCCAACCAGTAGGCGAAAGTGCTACCAATGACCAGGAATTCCTGGAACATACCAGCAATTCTACCTCTATATTCTGGGGGACAGTTCTCGCTCACGAAAACAGGTGTGATACTTGACATTCCTCCGATTCCTAGACCGGCAACCACACGACCTGCGTAGATCAATCCGATCTCATGGAGAGCACCGACTTGCATGGCTGCACCAACGAGGAAGATTACGGAGAAGATCATGAGAGAGTATCGACGACCGATACGGTCGTTAATGAATGCTGCGAAGATGGATCCGAAGAAACATCCTGCTGTGAGGAGACTGACGACGTTTGAAGAGACTTGTGCGTTTGTATCTGAGGCGAATCCTGATGTTGAGAGTGGGAGACCAAAGTCTCTCTTGAAGCTGTCCAGTGCAAGGACCGAGCTCATGACACCCGTGTCATATCCTAATAACCCAATTAAATTAGTTTAGTCCGGAACACCGCCACGATCACCAGCCTAGTCTTAGGCAAGCCACTCACCAAAAAGAAGGGAGCCCAAATAAGCCACCGACGTGAGTATATAAACTCGATAATTCTTTAATAAACGAGGCGCCATCTTGAAAAAAGTAATCCGGTAACTGAATCACAAATAAATGTATCAACGGCCGGCCGTATAATAATACCCCAGAAAAAAGGAAAATATGGGAGGGAAAATATGGATTCCACCCCGGATCCAACCTCTTTTATAACCAGATTCTCTCAATTTCTTCTGCAACGGTATCAGTGGACCCAGTACCGATCGACAATACTCGGCAACTGCTAAGCATCGTACGTGCTATCTCCCTTACCATCTGCTTCGGCTGCAACACTGCTCTTAGTCCCCAATCGGCAAGCCTTGGCACACACAATCCGGGGCCTGTATTGGCCGGGGCCCCATTTGGGGAAAGGAAGGCGGGGACGGCCGCGGGGTGAGATGTGGAGACAATATCCTGGACCTATTGGTAATTTTTCCGTCAATAGCGTGTGGCATGAGCGCTGACGGGGAAATCTTTGATTGGTTTATTTTGAACATGAGTGCTTGGTCCCTTATTGCCTTCCGGTTGCCAAGAAGGTTAAATGGGACTTTGTGATTCATGGAAAAATATTTCGTTTAATCCGTCCGGTAGCCCAGTAGGTTGATGGTGCTGTCATATAACCTGCAGAACGCGCATGCTTTGTTCCCATCTATGCAATTGATGAAATGTTTTTTTTTCGTGCTCTGGAAGTCACTTTCTTTTGGCTTGGGGTTCAATTGTTGAATGTTTCTGCTGTGGTTTGTTCATTTCGATTTGCTAATTCTTCTTGTTCCAAATGCCGTCGGCAACTGATTTCGAATGCCGACAATATTACCTACGCTCTGGGCTCGAGTCTCATCACGTATAGTGCCTGGGGATGGCCAATTCAACCATGGTCATTGGCGGTCGGGTAGTCCGGCATGTATAATTGAGCTAATTGTTCAAACGCAGGAAGTTTAAATAGAGAGATCTGGGGAATAGTGGCTGGGCGCTATACCGGTAATGGATGTCGGCAATATGCTTGTGTATACAACATGAGCCTAGGATCAAATTTATGAGACATTCGAGTCGACTGCAGATGCCGACGATCTGCTGGATGCGATGCCCGAGGCAAAGGATGAAATTTCGGTTGCAAGAAACGATCCTGTCTACCGCGATTGGCCATCGAGTAGATTCATATATTCCAGTTCCGCTCACTGATTCAAATTATACCATAACATTATTAAACACAATTTATGACCGACTCTCTCGAGTATCCCGAGTCTTGCGGATCATCATGATCATGTGCATCACTATGAAAAGTCTCATCGTCGTGGCTCAGATTCTCTTCAGAAACATTCACTATCCGTTTTCCGTCGATAGAAGACTGTCGCTGTCCGCTTTTTCCCGTTGGTGTATTAGAGCTAACAACATATCGAGAGCTGAGTTCGTGTCTGTACTCTGGTTTCTTTTTTTTTCATCGAGCGTAGTAATGATCGGATGCAAGGGATCGATGCCGTAATTATGACTAAATATGTCTCGATGTATAGCCAACGATCATAGTTGACTGTTGCAGTTGTCGGGTTAATGTCGTAGGATGCGAGGACGCGAGTTTGTACCGTTTTAATAATAGCGGCGACCATGGCACTGGAAATAAGCTTTGTTAGTGCTGATCCGAGTCTCGATGTATATCTGGTATTTCCAATTAGTACTCACAGGATGCCCAGTCCGAGCAATATAACTAGCCCCAATTTCACTCTCAACTTCAGGTTGAGGTTCCAAAATGTGACTGTAGAGAAGACAGCAAGATAAAGGTCTGTTGCTGAGTTGAATGCTATCCAGTACTCAAAGTAAGTATAAGTCTCCTTTCAATCTGAAGATCACTACTTACCTCCTTGAAAATACCCATAGTCAGCCTGAACTTGAGTATTCCAACATTTCCCATTTTTGTCATGGTCCCAAATAGCCGACGCATGTCCTGGACATTGAACAAAAAGAATAATAATAAACATGCCGTTCGTCACCGCTTGCAAGGCGATCAAGCTCCAAAATATGATCCGATGCCATTTCTTGGATACAAGAAGCCCATTGATGAATACAATGAACGATATTCGACCCAAAGCACCACCAGCAAGACCGAATGTTTGTGTGAGGTAGTCGAACATGATGATTGTCGAGATGCCCTTGTTGTCGAGATCTACCACCGTTTTTCCAAATCCATGCTTGACTCCCACAGTCATCATAGCTGATCCGACCGTAGACAGGCACTAGACAAGCCCAAAGTCAATTGAGACCCAAAAAAGATAGAAAGTCAAGTCCCATATTCAATCCAATCACTGTTTTTACCGTGACTTCAGGCATAGCAAAAAAAGAAAAGAAAGGCTTGCTAACCAATGCGAAAACCATAAGTAGATCATCTGGTCCGAACTTCCCGATTCTCAATTTCGCAACGACTCTTAGAATCACAATGAGAATCCCAACAGCCGTAAGGCCCCAGATATCCCTAAGAAGACTCGGTCCATGATCAGTTGTAGTCGACGATGCCCGGTTCGAAAGAAACATTATCCCGGTAGCATTTGCATTTGCTCATGTGCATTAAGACATCCAGCCACTAAGCCAGGCATATAGCGAGCTGGCACTGGCAGTGAACTTGGCAAATATGTATATGCTATGCCATGTCAAATTGGTTATCTTGGAAAGATTTGAAAAAGATAAAGGGGAACTTATTATCATCGGAGATCTCCATGCTAGATTTATATCGTTGGGAGACAGATAAGTGGGTGGCCAGTGATGTGCCAAGGTTGGAAGATAAGGTTGTCGGAGGTCTCCGTGTGAGCGCCTGGGGCACGCGATCGTGGGAATAGACAACATCTCATGGCTGTGGGTAGCCTCAATTTGGAAACCTTAAGCCGGATCAATGCGGGTGGCGAGAGCTTTGGCCTACGGTCCATGGTAGCGATAGTACATCTGCGGTAGGCCAGATACAGTACCCCAGATTCATATGATCATCGTCTTGTGCTCATAACTAACTAGCCAATCGTTATTTCAATAGCGCAATCTACAGAAACTGTAGAGCGCTTGAGTGCGGGTTGGCTGATTCAAGTTCATGCTATCGAAGGATTTCTTTCCTTGATTTACCCCTGGATAAGAGATACGAGGCGCCATTTTATTACTCCAGGGGTTCTAGGCTTGGAATGGAGCAGATCGGGTGTGGAGTCAAATGAGGCAACTCAAAACGATAAAGTTTGGAACGCGACCTTGGAAGAAAAGAAGAGAGTATCGCTTAATTCTAGGAGTCATTTTACATTCACGTATTCATTGCTTGTGAGAAACGAAATTTTCAAGTTCGTAGACATAATTCAAACATTAGCACGGCCAAGGCTATCATTTTTTCTGAAAATAAATCAAAGCCAGGATTGAGCACAAGAGACTAATGAAGGCTGAACGTATTTGGTCAGTAAAGCACTTGAGGCTAGCTTTTAGAGTAAAGTCCCACATACCTAAGCACAAATTCATGTAATAATAACCAGCAGCTTCGACAAGGCCGCCACTTATAATTGGACCAACAAACTTGGCGAAGGAATAGCTCATATTTGTCAAAGAAAAGGTCCGCGAGTAGCCTCCATTCTTCCCAAAGATTCCAGGATTAATCCTCCTGGAGCTTTGCCACAATACCTGTGGGCATAAGTCGATTAGCATTTATCAGAATGGGGCATGTGCGGCGAGTAATAATCTCACTAGTCAATTCAACAACTCCACATCCGACGACAAGAGCCCTAAGAACACCTATAAAGAACATCGAGGCCGCATAAAGTTCTCTGCTGATCTTTCCAGAATCTACGAAAGGTAGCCCATCAGGTCCACAATTGCCAATAAACCAAATCAGGACAGCGTTGATGTAAAATCCCACGCTAGCCGTGATCTTCGTCCCATACTGTACGTTTAATCAAGTCGTTAAAGGGGAGAATGCGACTGTAGGCAATTGAAGCAGCAGAAACATAAGACTAATCTTCTGAGTGTCCCACTGAAAGTTTCGCATGACATACAAAGGCAGTGTTGTGTCAAAGCTCATCAAGGTAAGACCGTTGACTCCGTGACATAGCATAGCCGTAAGAGCATGGGGGTTGCGAAGCATCACCTTGTAGAAGCTTCCTTTCGTTTCATCTCCCATGGATGATTCGGATGACACTTGGTCATCCTCATATTTTGAATTGTAGCCTCGTTGGTCTTGATCAGGGACAGGTTCAGAGAGGAGGCGGGTTGTCTCTTCAGATGACTCTATTCCAGAGCTTGTCTCCTCGTCTTGTTTTTGATCGGATTTTCGAGCATCACCAGTCGCATTATCACCGTTAAAAAGGCTATTACGACTATCCAAGTAGGCCAGTAGCCGAAGAGGGTTATTAATTCCTCTGAAATGACAAAACCGACCAGCATTCCCGACATAGATACAACAGTTATGATTTGGAGGGTCTTGGGTCTATCTTTGGGTTGGACGGTGCTGGCCACGGCCGCAAAGCCAATAATAAACACCGCATTTCCAGTTGTTGCTTGGATAATTCGTCCTATAAGAAGCACCGGCACTATGATCAAATAATATGTATAAATTAGCTTCAAGTCTATCAAGGTGTCCAAGAGCTCTAACATACGCGACCTGGCAGGCGCTACAATCGTTGTGCCTATAATCGCGCCCGCTAGAGACGCCACTAGAGGGCCTTTCCGAGACGGGGTCTTATCCGGGGTCCGATAATTGGCCTTGATAAGAAGCTTGCCAACGCATGGAGACTGAGTATAAGAGACGTATGTAATTGCGCTTTGATCGGATCGAGATGGAGTCGGTCTTTGAGGATAATAGGCAAGATAGGTACGATGAATGTACATAGGAAGTTTTCTGCTAAATGTCAATAAAGCCGCGTCTCAGAAATTTGACACAAACACGCAGCTGAGAACAGAGACAAGCCGATACAAGATAGGATGAAGGCCTTCGACGAGCGCCAACGACATCCTATAGGCCTGTTTCCATTTTCGTGGTCAAGCATTTTTCTCCTCTCCCTGTCTCTCACGGTGTGATGCTATCCAGCCAGCCCCTTGCAGATTCCTTCCCAAGGCTGTGGTCGCTTCCCACGTCTTATGCAACGAGGAAATGGAGATAGCGGTCGGCGACAATTTCAAATCATCCGGAGAAGCAAGACGAGGAAATGTTGTTGAGAAGAAGGTTTTTATCTTATTTTGATTCCACTCAGCAAGCGAAGTGCAGCGCCAAAGCAAGGACCAAGGGTCACGCCCTCATTTTGAGCCTTCATGGCCACCCAGCAATGGGTCTGTCGTTTACGCCAATAACAGATGCAGATATGGATCTCATGGTGCCACAGAGACTTTTAGGGCGAGATTTGGCTGGCTGAGAGATCTTTTTCATGTGCGTGCAGGAAACACTAGCGATCCAACTTGCATACAACTTCTCCACTTTGAGATCCGGCCCGCCATGATTCCAGATCCAGATCCCGATCGCGGCCATTAGACATTGATCATCGGTGTTTTCCCATCACGATAGCGCGTCTGTGCACTTCATGCGTGGATTTGGTGTTTACAAGGATTCGTCTTTCATTTTTGTTCAATTAGGTGCTTGAATTCCAAATTGAGAGGACCATCACCCACTTGTCGTGTTCTCATCGAGGGATCATTCTCCACGGCCGTACAATGAAACGAGAGTGGAGAACAATGACCACTGTATGCATTCCTTCCCAATCAACACTCGTCTGTATTTATGCTCGTGGGATTTTAGTACGTTTTGTAGATTACGGAGAAGCTGGTTAGGAGAGTACTGTCTACCTTGTGGTCTACTACGGTAGTTGTTCCCAAAGAGACGATGGGGCTGATTATGCCCAAGGAAGGGAAATCCAACGATTGAAGGTAACCATGGATTAATTATTCAAGGCACCGGCTATAACCGAGGAGTGGTATTAAAATACACCCGTCTTATCAAGCAACGACATGGGATCAGGATTGAACTGTGCCCTGAGCCATCCACGGTCCAGGTTGTATGATCAGAGAGTAATCCCCACTGCCTAAAACGGAAGACGACCTGAACCGGCCGACCATGTATAATATAAGATATAGTCCTCTGCCAAAAAACCAACTGATTTTCAATGGACATAGAACTTGAAGCTAGCCTCGAATATGCGGTTACCTATTGTGCCCTTTCTCTCCCTTGTCACTGCAGCAGCAGCAGATTGGTGGTATTTTGATGCTTGGGACGGGGTCGGCTGCGGCGATTTTCCCCAAAATGGGGAAATATTTTCAGCAACTGAGGGAGTCGGTAGCCAAGTCTGCATAAGCTTTGAGGACGGCTCAAAGGCATACTCATTTGCTGGCTCTCATGGTGATGATCAGACAGAGATATGGGGTTATCTCGGTGAACATTGTACTGGCCCCAGCAAAACGCTCTTGAACGACACGTGCACCAATCCGGAAATCTCAATACCATATATCCGATCGTGGAAAGTGAATACCCATGATTCTTGATTATTCTCGAGATCCAGATGCCGATATAAAGTGAGACTTTAATAATAATTTGCCCCTTGGGTTGAGCTTTGATCTAATAGTTCCAATAGTATCGATCTCACCAAAACGCCAACTCCACGGATGTTTAATCCCTATGATCAACACACTTCTCTGGCCACCCCTCTGATTGCGATAAGACACGTGTTCGCTATCTAAGATCTTGTGTTAGTACATATTTCATATTGCGATAATCGGGTTGGATAATTTAATGAATTTATATTATATGTTCTGTATTTAATGTTGTATGTTGTATGCTCACTCAGCTCCCTACATTCTTCAATCTCGGCCCTATTGACCTTATCTATTCACACATTTGAAAAATAATTTTGTTTCATAAATGATACCTCAATAACCTGTTTTAGCATGTATGCTATTTAAAATAGTCATTTTCATACTACCATTTGGTCAACGTGGCGTACTTTACTCGGCACAACTTCCGATTAAATTCGGGCCGAAAGCGGCTTCAGGCCACCCATATCTAAATCACATTCCAGGTTCTTGCACAATGACAGGGCCCCCAAGTGCAACAATAGGTTACAAATCGCCAGGGTCTAAATCATTGGTGCAGGTCGAGGATCATTTCCTAGGTTACACATTCCGCATTCATCCTCGGAACCTGGCCCGAAACGTTTATGTGGAGACAAGTAAAGATGACAGGCAGACAAAAATGATGATTGCGTTGCGGAAGAACCCAAAACGTGTAGATAACGACATTATCTTTAGGGATAGTGGGATCAGTTTCCAGTCAAGATATTCAGGATAATGGAGTTCATTACAAGCATGTTTCCATCCAGTTTTTTGCTTTCTTTCCGTAGTTGAGAAACTCGCCTTTGCTTTGCATCATGCACAGAGCAAGTACTTTTGGGCTCCCGGCGGGTCGAAATTCATTTAGTAATTTTAGAAAGGTTATCTTTCTACTTACGACATGCGCTGTCTTTCTTTTTATTCATAATTGGATGCAGGATCTGGTATATCTACCAGAGGATAGCCAAGTGGTGTCCAAATCAACCGACCTCGAGTATCCAGAGCAACAGCAGCAGCCCGAGATTGAAAATGCCAATTCAGAAGGTAAATATTCTCCAAATACATTCTTTTTTTTTTCGAGCATTGCTAAAATAAAGACATGTATAGAAATTAGAAGTCCCTATAGCATTCCTCTATCAGCGTTGACGAGCAGCGCTTCGTCAAGTCAAGAAGACGAAAGTACAGGAGTGTCTGAAACACTTGATTCTTTGATTTATGAACAGGGCTTCTCGATAGCAAAAGGGCATCCACATGAAACTGCGAGCGACGTGACCATTGTGGCGGCCAAAGCAAAACCAGAATATACGGGATGGATTTCAGAGTTCTGCGAGGAATAGTATGTCAACGCTCCACTGTTCGTAGATCACAAAAATAACTAATATTACCTCTTCCTAGCCAATGCACATCCTATATATACTCTTTGGACGAAAAGCCCGAAGAAGGTTTCATGGTTCCTTATGCGAGGAAAGGCCATGAAGCCAGCGCCTACCTAAGTTATATTATCGACTATTACGACGAGCTCCGACCGTACACAATTTTTATCCATGGTCGTCCAGAGCAGTGGCACAATGATGTTGGAGGCCCTAGTACTAAAAATGTACTCGCTAATCTTCGATACGAAGCTGTTAGCATCAACGGATATGTGAATTTGCGCTGTACCAACAGGCCGGGATGCCCCAGCACAATCTTTCAAGCATTTCCTGTTATGGTCGACTTTGACTATCAATACTTGATTGATCAATTACCCCAAATATTCAATGATCTCCTTGGGATTGATCCAAGTGATGTCCCGTCCGATATTGGACATCAATGCTGTGCGCAATTTGCTGTGACCAAGGAGAAAATCCAAGAGAGGCCTCGAAGCGATTATATTCGAATCCTAGAATGGATCGCCACTACAGATATGACCGACAATTATGGTATTGGATGGCTTATTGAAAAGCTATGGCACGTCATTTTTGGAATGCCGGCAGTTCAGTATGTTTATTCGATAAGCGCCCGATCAATCGTTCTATTAGCCGTTAACTGACCTATTTGCTTTTTCTTTAGCTGCGTCGCTGAAAATAAATGCCGCTGTGATCTGTACGGGTGGTGTGGACCCAACCCTCTCACTAACAACGAAGTTTTGACCCCGATTTCATGATAGAGCGGCCCATTTCATTTTTCATTTTTCATTTCTTTTCTTTTGTACTTCGAAACATATAGGCGACGTCGTACTGTCACTGCTCCATACCATACACACGAGGGATTTTTGGAGACCTACCGGTATCATAAATGTCACAAGATACACGAGAGATCATATTCATTTCACCAAGAATGCAATGCAGGATTCCGAGGGTCCGGCTCACGCTAAACTATTTGAATCTTGCACTAGTACAATAGGTAGTATCCATAATTCCACGAACAGGATCGCCAGCCGCCGGGAGAACGGCGCGGACTTCCGTTGGCTCTGACGAACGGGAATAAAGTCTTAGTTTAAACCCAGTAAGATTTTGATCAGCAACCAAGGTCGTATCGAGTTTCAAATATACATGTAGAGTCAAATTTTAGCTCCCGCGGTAAAATGGAACATTGAAAGATTCCTTCTGTACAGAATTCTTGCATAAGGTTCTATTATTGAATCCTGCATGGAACATGTTTCATGCCTTCGTGATGCATTGCGGGGAGGGTCACGGAGCAGGAAACAGCGGTGAGCGCGTCTACATGCATAATGATGGAATCCAATCGGGTATCGGCACTACTTTATCAACGATGTACATGTCTAATGTACAGGCCAGGTTTGCGCCCCAGTCATCCATGTGTCAACGTGTTCAAGGGCGAGATCATATTGCAGATTTGACCTGTCTGCTTGAATGCGGGCCACTAGGCACCAGCTGGTTGGTTAGTGCCCCACTAAATAGAACCCTTACAACGTCCGCCATTGCCCCCATTAGCCAGTAGTGGGTCTGTCACGACCTGGTGATCGGGTACAGAGTTTATCGATTATGCAACAGGTTTGACGGCTATGGTCGGGAGGGGTAGTTGCTTCCATTTTATCTTGCATGAAAATTAGGGACATAAGCTGACATTTTCTGGTATGTGCGTTTCTGGCCATAAGAACCAGAACCCCCCCCCCCTTAGCCACAACCACTTGAAGTCTCACCGTGGACCAGGTACTAATATAAGGTTTTGTAGTTCCGAGGACACGAAACGCACAACCAATCGACCTCCTGGTTATCTCCCCTCATTGCCCCTTGCCCGGAACTTTCACACATCATGACTGGGACCAAGATGTCGCCTCACACAGGCGCAACACTGCGATTATGGAGACAGCTCCAGGATTTAAAAGACCAAAAGCAAAAGATTGTTCTCGATGGCAATAATCTGGACATCGCCTCTATCATTGCGGTGGCCCGCCATGAGGTGAAGCCATCCATCACCACAGACGAACACGTCGCAAAGCAACTTGAGCTCAGTGTCAATACTTTGGCCGACTACCTTGCTCATAAGTATGTTGTCTACGGTGTCAACACGGGTTTTGGAGGCAGTGCCGATACCAGAACAAGCGATGTCCTTGACCTTCAAATTCATTTGCTCCAACATACGCAGAGCGCGATCATCACCGCCGCAGACAAAGACCCGGCGAGTAACTCCGAGAGGGAGCCATCTCATGTGATGCCTCCTGCCTGGGTTCGCGGTGCAATTGTTGCCCGGGCTAATCAAAACCTCCGAGGTCATAGCGCCGTGCGACTGTGTGTGCTTCAGAGTCTGGTAGATCTACTGCACCATGATATTACTCCCATGATCCCTCTCCGCGGCACAATTTCTGCATCTGGAGATCTCATGCCCATGTCTTACATTGCTGGTACAATCGCCGGTAACCCGGATGTCTTTGTCCAAGTCGGCAAAGGCAAGGGAGCCAGAGTTATTCCTGCTCCGGAGGCTCTGAAGGAGAGTGGACTTTCACCATCTGGCCTTGGTCCAAAAGAAGCTCTTGGTTTGATCAACGGTACCGCTCCCTCTGTAGCAGCAGGCTGCTTGGTGCTATATGACGCACAGCAACTCGCGCTTCTTTCTCAGATGTTGACTGCGTTTGCCTCTGAGTGTATGGGCGGAAATGTCGAGTGGGCTCATCCTTTTATCCATGCTGCTCGACCCCACACTGGTCAAATCGAGGCAGCTAGCAATATTCGACGCTTCCTCAAGGGTTCTCAACTTGTTGATGGTCTGGAAACGAGAAAGAGGACTGGAGAGGGACTTTGGCAAGATCGTTACTCTACGCGAACTGCTCCTCAGTGGATTGGTCCATACCTCGAGGATCTTCTTCTCGCGCAGCATCAGTTAGAAGTGGAACTTAACTCAACTTCAGACAACCCTCTCGTGAATCCTACAGAGCAGGGTGGCGGCGAGGTGTACTCAGGTGGAAACTTCCAAGCAGTTGTGGTCACATCCGCTATGGATAAGACTCGCCTCGCTCTACAGATGATTGGACGTATGCTCTGGTCTCAGGTCAGCGAGATCATCGGTCCACACACAAACAATGGTCTCGAAGCAAATCTCAACCCTAGCGATCACGAAAATTACACAATGAAAGGCATTGACGTCAACATGTCTGCGTATATGTCTGAGCTGGCAGCCTTGGCTCACCCCGTCTCTTCTCACGTTATGTCTGCCGAGATGCATAACCAGGGCATCAATTCACTGGCTCTAATTTCAGCTCGACGTACTATGGAGGCTGCAGACTTGGTCGCCCATATGAGTGCCTGCCACATCTATGTCTCATGCCAGGCAGTGGAAATGCGTGCAAACCACATTAGATTCCTTTCTGCGCTCCAGGGCCACTTGCAGGATACTACTCCGATCGGCGCTTTCCGTGATCTCGGTCTAAATGAATCCCAGGTCGATTCACTCGCTAAGACATTGTACCCCCTGGTCGAGTCAACATGGTACCACTGGAATGCCAATACTTGGAAAGACCGTATCCCGAAAACTGTCGACGCCATTGTGTCTCCTATCACCGAATACCTGGCTACCAATGAACATGAGTGCTCTATGTCGTCTCTGATCGCGTTCAAGAATCATTTCCAGAGTATTGTCCAAAGTACAGCCGAGGCCATGTTTTACCCCAGTCCCACTATCACCCCCGCGGAGGTAGCTGCGCAGCTGGGTGATGGCTCCGCTCAACTATATACTTGGGTGCGCTCGAAGCTTAACATTCCTCTGCACTGTGGCCTCAGGGATGATCCTTTATACAATGCCCGACAGGGACTCCCGACGGAAGATAAGAAGACCATTGGAAGCAGAGTTAGCGCTGTCTATGAAGGTCTTTTCAAGGGTGGAATGATGGATATGGTCTTAGATGGGTTAGACACTGGTCGGGGATTTTCTTAGGCTTGTTTGTGCTTTTTCGTTTAGCATCGATATGTATAACGACTTTTTAGTCTTTTGTCCTATTGCTTGTTCTGTTCAGTCTACATAGATTTCATATTAGAAATTGATTACGCATAGAGGAGAATGAAAGGATTCAACACTAAACTGCTTACAAACTCCAATGCTGATTATAAATATGAATGTAATCTACCTCCAGGACTATAGCGGTAATCTAGGGCCATGCCCAGGTGTTATTTATAACGACTTGTACAGAAAAGCTTAGGTATCATAAATTATTGAGTCAGAAAAGGCTTCAGTTTAACTCGACGTCCCCTTCAACAATTGAATAATTACACCTCTCAGCCTTGCAAGTAAACAAAACACGTTAAAACAGCTGTATATTATGAACCAGTTGCACATAGGCCCTGAAAGGATAATAAAGTAATTTTACCTGTAGCCTTGGAAACATAATACACAGCGCTAACTTGAAAGTGCTTAGTTCCTACATGTGATCTCCTAATAAAGACAAGACTGCGAGCCTTGCGGAGTAACTACTACTAGTAAGGGCACAGCTTGCGTAATTGTTGAGGTCAACAGTATAAAAACATTTGGGAAGCGCCAGTGCAAAGATTCCGGGATTGTTTCAAAGTACTATTTCTCAAGAATTCAATTCTGAACAGTGATTCAACAAAACATGCCGGTCGCATTCCTCCGCAACTTATGCGCCCAGTGGTTTCCACCAGCTGCCGCCACCTTTACTGAAGCCGAGGTACCCTCCCAGCAAGGACGTGTGTTCATTGTCACTGGGGGAAATTCTGGTGTTGGTTTCGAGCTATGCAAGATACTTTATGGCACAGGTGCCACGATATACATGGCATCTAGATCCAAGGCAAGTCCAAGCTCGATCGGGCTCCGCTGCTGGTGCTGTGGGGCCAAATCTCCCTGAGCGCCAACTAATTCCATCACAGGAGAAAGCTGAGGCTGCAATTCAAGCCATTGTTGAAGAGTTACAATCCTCGGAAACGCCCGGTCAATTGAAATTCCTTCAGTTTGATCTCAACGACCTAGAATCAGTCAAAGCAGCCGCAGCAGCCTTTTCGCAACAAGAATCAAAACTTGATGTCCTATGGAATAATGCCGGGACAGGCGCTAATCTTGTTGAAGTGGGCGCGAAGACCAACCAAGGATTCGAAGCTATGATCGGTATGCATTGCATTGCACCACTTTTGTTCACTGAGCTCTTGCGTCCAAAACTTCAAGCTGCGGTCGCATCAGGCAGTCCCGGCTCAACACGAGTGATCTGGACATCCAGCTTTTTAGCAGAGGGAGCCACGCCTACCAATGGAATCGAGTTCGACAAGCTTGAAAACGGAACAAAGGATCGGACACGCAACTATGCCGTATCCAAGGCTGGCAACTGGTTTCTGGGACGTGAATATGCCGAACGGAGAGGTGGCGATGGAACGGTGAGCGTTGTGCAAAATCCTGGCAATCTCAATTCCGGGACTTATGGAGGCACACCGAAGTTTCAGATGATGTTTGTCAATCCTTTTCTTCATGAGATCAAGCTTGGAGCTTATACTGGGCTTTATGCTGGTTTGTCACCGGATATCTCCCAGGAGCACAATGGTGCGTATGTTATTCCCTGGGGTCGCATCAGACCAGACGAGAGCAGTCCTCGGAAAGATATCATCAATGCTTTAACTGCGTCTGAGAAGGGGGGGTTAGGTTACAGCAAGAAATTTTGGGATTGGTGCGAAGAGCAATGGAAACCATTTTGCCAGTGAAATTCCATTTAATTCCATCTTCACGCCGGGAGACAGAATGAGAGAAATCGGCTGGCATGTGTATATCGGAGAGACTCAAGGGCCATTCCAACTTAATTTACTATGTATTAGCAAACCAATCTCGATTATCATTTTGAAGTGCCAGAGCATGCACACGTTGGGAGATTGCCATCTAAAATCTGGGGAAATAAAGGCTATTTCCAGGGGGCAAAGAGGGGAGGAAAGCAGGTCCATGCGCTTGGCATCCTATTCACCAATCATCGTGACAATTCGTGGCGATCATTTCCCTGGAATATGCGGTTCCGTTTTCAGGGCTCATAACCGCGCCTATCCCATCCATTTTCAGAATCGAGAAGCGGCCGGGCAACATCCGCCTGCATCTTACATCATGATAATGACCTCTTTCTAAACTCTTTTGGGTAAGTCTAGGATGCAGGGATTGAAGTGGAGAACATTTTCTGGGGATCTGGGGAATCCATAAAGCAGGCGATGCACCCCAAAAATGTCTTCTTTACAATCTTTCTTCATCTATTCACCTCCAAAAAGCACCAGATAATATGTTTTCTCCACGCTCTCTCGTTTTCGGCGCCCTCGGCCTCATGCTTACTGGAACTAGCTCTGCAATGCAAGCTTCCAACAGCCTTCTGTTAAATAGTGTTGCCGAGTCACTCGCCCTGCCCATATACACCTGGTCGGCGAATGGAACCCACCACGCAAAGGGATATACAACCAAAGACGCCAATGAGACCGATGTGAAGGGAATGCACGAGGATTGTGAAAACATCAATCTGAACCGCAAACTGGCGACCGACTTCCGCAGCGATGTTCTTGGGCCCGGTGCCATTGGTTTCTTCTACAAGTGTGAGCGTATCAGCCACGATACCAACCTGTACTGGTTCACTATCAGCTCTGGGGAGCAGTCGCAGATTGACCAGCTCTGCGATCCTAACCAGAAATACCCAATTGTTTACGATTCTCAACACAAGACCTGGTTTATTGATGAGCCATTTGAGTGCACCCAGCGAACTGCTCCCTCGGTCTCGGCTTAGATGAGATATTAACTTTCCATGGTAAGCGGCTATCATAAGACTCACTGTCATGGGTTGCACAATGTCTTATACTAACATTTTGAAGAAAATTGATTATCGCGATCACAAAGTTGGTGATGCACAAAAGGTGGGGGCCTGACGGAAATACGAGATTGTATGGAGCACTTCTGTATATATTGATAGTTCAAAATAATGAATTCTGGACAATTCCATCCACGAAATTGGGTTTCTCTTCCAATACTTCTATTTGGGTCTTGTTTAAATATTCCGCCTGGCACATGCATACCATAAGGCTTCTAACTTCGACTGGTACACCCAGTGAGCAGTCCGGTAGCTTTTGAAATGTAACTGCCAACGATCTACATGAGGTTTCCCTGCACTACTCTCCCTGCATGAGGCTAACTGTTTTAGGAAACGTTCCCTCCCACGTTTTCTCCCGTGTTTTTCGTGTTTCGCTTACGGCTACAAAGATTGATTTTCATGAACAACGACATTTGCACGATCAAATGCTATGAGTATTCTACTTTCGGGTCTCGCTTTCGCGATGCCGTCCCTCGCGCAGTCCAACTCAACAGCTTTGGAGGGGTGGAAGCTAGATGACAACTCACGTTCAAGCTGGGACATTCTTTGGACCTGTCTTTCGACCATTTTTGCGTGCACCTGGACAGCACTGCATCTCTCTGTCCCAAGAGCTTCAAGGTCCGACGGACAAAATATCATGCGAAAGATCGTTGCGTGGATATTTGCCACGCTTGCCCCGGAGTTCATGGCGGGGACGGCATCGCAAGAACTATGGGTGGCATGGGTCGTGACAAAACGATGTAATGCTACATTCAAAGAAGTGGAGCAGAAGACCACCACGAGTGATGGCTCCTCGCCTCATTCAGGGACTCCTCGATGGAACCTCATTCACGGCTTTTGTATATATATGCATGGTGCTGTTTTACAAACCAGTGATAGACATTGCTTCCCAGTCCAGTACCAACATGTGGGTCTTCTCATTAGAGAAGGAGTTCTGAAGCCCCATCACTTGAGAGCGCCCGAGATTAAAGATCGAGCCAAAGCAGACTCTCTTGCGAAAGCATTTACACTGCTTCAAAGCTTTTGGGTGACTTGCAACATCATTGCGAGAAGAGCCTATGACTTGCCCATTACGCCCATCGAGATTTCTGTAGTAGCCTACGTCGCATGTGTTGCGTTTACATATGGAACGTGGTGGCACAAGCCAAGAGATATGACAACGCCGATCACAATACCTTTGCCATATAACCGAGATAGCGAAGAAATGCCTTTAGGCTTGAGACATCTAACAGATTCAAAGCCAGATCTCTGGTTCCGCTTCCCAGAATATGATAAACAAGGCCATGTTCACGGTGTCATTGTCGAGTGTTTTTTCATAGTAGCCAACATTGTGGTTACTTGTTTCAAACCATCCCGTTGGAAGTCGATTTTAAAAAATGAACAAATGTTGATCGCTCCCATCGATGCGAGCACCTCTGAAGCTCCAAGTGTTGTAGCCAAAAAGCCTCGGGAGGATGAAAAGAGTATTCCAAAGACCAAATCATCTGGCTTGAAACCGCCGGTAAATCACGAATTGGAAGAAGAGAAAGGCTTTGACGATACTTTCATCGGAAATATCTACGGAGCGACTTTTTTCATATTTATCTCTGTCGTCTTTTGTGGAATACACGTCGCAGCGTAAGTGAAGGAATTTTTCAATCTTGAGTTTCCCCCATAGAACTAATATTCATAACAGATGGAGCTTCGTGTTCCCTACGAAGGCCGAGCAGATTACGTGGCGGGTCTTTTCGCTCGTAGCACTGGGTATGGTTCTGCCAGGAGCCGTTGGTTTCTTTTATATGCTTTATCGAGGATATCAAGAATCTGAAGACAAGCAGTTTTACAGTCCTGGCGAGAAGCACTTACAGGCTTCTAGACTGTTTTGGATAATCTGGATGGCAATCTATTCCACTGCACGTTGGGGGAATCTTATACTTATGTTTGTTTCGCTCCGGGAACTGCCTGCTGGGTCCTATACCTCTATTGAATGGCTATCGAGTATTCCGCATATCTAATATATCCGCAAAGCGAGATCAGGATTAAATCTTGTCGTTATTCTATATCTGACAGACAATTACTAAAAGAAGCGAACCGCATGACATTTTGAAATTTGTACTCCGAAATTCAATCTTTGTGCTAGAAAAACAATTACAAAAAGAGTCCAAGCAATACAAAGTCCACCTCACGGGCAAGTGGCGAAAATATCGAATATTGTCTCCTAAGGCTTGTTTAGTCTTGGTTCGGTCGAGCCTCTGGCACATCCAGACCCCATTCAGTTTTCAGCTTGGACGTAATAATACCAGACTTCCTCATTATATGCTCAGAGAGAGCGGGTAGAGATTCACCAGCCAGAATCTCCAAAACCTGCATGTTTGCTTCCAACTCGCGAGTAATCCAATTTCTGATCTCAATAGCCACCAATGAATCCAGTCCGTAAATCGCAATCGGAGCGGCAGGGTTCATCTCTTCCATTGGACGCATTAGAATGCTAGACAGCTTCTGAGCAAGCGCAGTAACTATGATAGCTTCAGCAGCGTCGCGGCTCTGGCATTGTCGAATAGCAGTCGCGGGTGGTGTTTGGTCGTTAGATGTCACTGCGTCAGATAGGGCTCCTGTCCCGGCAAGGGTTGAAAGACGAAGAAGCTGGCAGAGCTTGGTATCTTTCACCCAGAAGGGCTGTTCAGATGCTGGGGTTGTTTTGACACCGTCGAATCCAACAACACAATGTCCGTTGCACGTTTCTTGCATCTCGTTTCTCATGGCAGCGGCAACGAGACCTCGAATGTCTGTTGCATCAACGGATTCTGTTCCTAGCTGAGCCGCAATCTCCTCACGCTTGGAATCGTCCGAAAGATATCCGACGCCGCGAACAATTGGGAGATCGATTGTAGTGTAAGGAACGCCGGAGGTCTTGGGGTAAGCGGCTAAGGCAGCCATGAACGTTCCACTCGCAGCATAGGGTGACTGCCCCAGGTTTCCGACAAAACTAGCCGCAGATGAGAGAGTAATGAAGAAATCCAGGTTTGAGCTTATAGTAGAGCTCTGGAGAGTGTTTTGAAGATTCCAAATTCCATGGATTCTGGGCTTAATGACAGCCTCATAGTCTTCAAGGCTGAGCTTTTCGAAAAGGGTATCCTGTGATCGTCATTAATAAATGCATATATAATGGCGGGATGTGGTCACTTACTCGGAGAACCATGGCGCCGTAGATAACACCGCGAACAGTAGGAAGTCGGGCCAACAATGGACGCAAACTCTCTTGAACACGCTCTGCGCATGATATATCACAGCGACAAACCTCCACAGTAATGCCCTGGCTAGTAAGGTCTTGGATGGTTTCCCGAGCTAGATCAGTCGAAGCTCCACTTCTCGAAACCAAAACAATATGCGTCGCGCCCTTCTGTGGCATCCAGCTAGCAATGTCGAGACCAATTCCGCTCGTACCACCAACGACAATATATGTGCTATCGGCACGCAAAAGCTTCTCCTCTTTTCGGGCAGGGTGGACCTAGTATATGTTAGCATCTTCTTTCCTCGTTTTTCAGCTGTTGTAAAGCTGGCATACCTTGACCATTGCATCGTCGGTCATTTCCACAACCATCTTTCCTATCACTTGGCCTCCTTGTAAGGCACGGAACCCATTCTCAACCTCTGATATAGGAATAGTAGTGACGGGCCAACGTTTGTGAGCATTCGAGTACGCGAAAGTATAGAACGCCTCTCGCATCAATCGTCTTGTTAGCTTGGGTCGCTTTTCTCGTACCACACCGAGATCGACGGAAGCAAAAGAGACATTATGGTGGAAATGAGCCATCTCCAATCGAGAATTCTGAGTGATGTCTCTCTTTCCAAGTTCGATGAATCGGCCAAATGGAGCAATACATTCGAATGTAGCTTGCAGAGCATCACCACTGAGTGAGTTCAATGCAACGTCTACACCCTCTCCGCCTGTTGCATTAAGAATGCCTTTAGCAAAAGAAAGGTCACGACTGAAGAATATTTGCTCCTCTTTGATACCATATGTCTTTATCAAAAACTCCTTCTTCTCGACACTTCCGACCGTCGCAAAGATATTGGCGCCAATATTCTGAGCGATTATGATAGCCGCTTGTCCGACTCCACCAGCAGCTGCATGAATGAGGACACTTTCATCGTGAGATAGGCGACCAAGCTCAATAAGAGAATAGTATGCAGTGCAGAATACCGCAGGGATTGATGCCGCAATTGACCATGGCATATCAGATGGAATGACCCATGCGCAGGATGCTGGGCATCGGGTGTAGGTTGAAAGAGAACCAGGCGACATGGCACTAACTCTATCTCCAACACTGAAGTCGTTGACTCCAGCTCCCACTTTTGAGACAACTCCACTGCACTCTTGACCGAGCTTATCTCCACGTAGCTGGCCCATCGCCATTAGAACGTCTCGGAAGTTGAGACCAGTACAGCGTACGCGAATTTCAATGTGATCGTCGGGCAAAGGCGTATTTCGAGAGGCGTCATCTGTGAAGTATAGCTCATCGAGCACACGGCCCTGTCCAGCAGTAAGCCTCAGCGCTCTGTCCTGTTTGAACATTTGTAACTGAGGAGGTGCATCAGATGTTTCCAACTGAACGCTTAGGTTGAGTGCGGGATTGTCTAGCAGACGAGGCAAGGAAACATGCCCGTTACGGACAACAAATTCCATATCACCTTGATTTAGTTGAGATTTATGGCAGAAGGCACTGTCAAAGACATTGATCATGTGCTGAACTGCCTCCGCATCAGGCATACTCTCCTTGTCGCCAAGGTCAAGAGTAGCAAAATGCACACCTGTCTCGGATCGAACAGTACGGGCCAGGCCAATCGCCATGTTAGAGCCGAGTGATTGGGGGTCTGACTTGGTGTGGCGAACAATCCAAAGCAATCCTCTTGCACGGCTGACAAGGCGTTGAAACTCTTGGAACTTTTGAGAGGTAAGGTTGGCCAAAATAGAGCGGTCCATACCACCAAGGAAGATACACCACTTGTCTGTAATGTCAACGGCACTGAGATCGGAAGCATTTGTTGGAGCGACTCCAGTGATGTTCCTCAATCCAGCATCAAGACTCAGTGACGAGACGCTACCAATTGAATCGCTGTCGATTATGATGATGTCTCCGGGGTTTTTCGGTCCTGTCTCGAGGGTATTGGCTGTTGACACCATAACGCAACCGGTTTGGTAAGAAGCGCCTGGATATCCTTCTACACAGATGTCAACTCCGGAGAAGTCGTTCGCTTGCATAACTCTGGACCATCCTTCTTGAGTAAGTAGAGGTCCATCTTGACGAACCTCCTCATTTGCCAGCCACCATCCAGGCAGCAAAGCAAACGGGAAATGAGTAGCTGTAGATTTGGTCTCCTCAATCAGCATGATCTTTCCTCCAGGCTTCATAAGAGTCCTAATATTTGCCATGGTTTCGTTTATATTAGAAGTGGCATGTAGGACATTGCAGGCAATCACCAGGTCGTAGGTGTCGGACTTGAAGCCCTGCTCCACGGGATCGGTAGAAACATCCAGAGTTTGGTAGGTCATGAGATGATTCCAACCCTCAAACTTTGCCTTTGCCTTTTCAAAGAAGCCAGGAGAAATATCTGTATAGGTATAATGGCCAAATCGAGGCGTCGATCCTGGCTCGTTTCCACCTAAGCATTCTAAGATGGGTAAGGTTGCACCACCAGTACCCGCGCCAATTTCGAGAATATTAAGATCGGGATTTTGGTGCGCCATTTTATCGATGCAAACTGATGCATTTGCGTAGGACTCACGTAGACCATCGAGATCTTGGTAGTAGTCTCCAAGCATATCGTCTTCGAGCATCAACGTCAGTGCGTCATCCTTCCCGCGCAGAATACCTGGAAGACGTTCGCCAACGAAACAATTCAATCTGCCTGCACCGTTGGCGTTGCGGGTTTGCTCAATCAGTTCAGGAGATATTTCTTGCACGGGAGAGGTTTTGCATGTCTGCTGGGCCCAGCGGTAGAACTTCTGGTGATGACTCTGGAATGTCGGAATCTCTTCTTCTGGAACAGATTTAATAAGCTTGCGAAGCCAGTGAACAGCGATATTCTCCAGGTGATGCATCCTCTCGCCTCCCTTTCCATCATCAACTTGGGGCCGCGCGATCTGTCGGTAGCTGTCTTCAGAAAGAGTCTCGAAGCAGGGCTCCCACCGCACTTTATAACACATGGGATCGGGACGATTGCCCTTGTGTCCTTTGATGTCATTTGAGATGGGCACTAAATTCATTCCGTCGATTTCAATAACAACATCAGTCGACCCACCCGGTCGGGTGGCAAATATACGATTGCTCTCAGGCGTGCTAGGGGACTCTATGCCAGACCGGAATCCAAAGAGCTGGAGTGGAGCGCCGGCAGATAGTTTGTAATCAAGCGATAATGTAACACGATCGAGGTGAGACGGGACGAACGTTTGCTTGCGGCCTGGTTGCCCAAATCCCTGGAGAAGCCACATAACCTGACAACATAGATCGAGTGTAGCTGGATGAGCAATGTGATCAACCTCGTATTCATTAGGCATTGTACTCTTGGTATTTGGTACGCAGATGCTAGCCAATGCCTGGCGAGATTCATCGACCGAAATATGAGAAAGTCCTTGGAATAGTGGTCCATAGTTAACCCCGCCGCTGGCGATGTTCTCGTAGAGGGTCTTTGAATCAACGGGGGATATGCATGAAGCTTGCATTTTAGACATAGTCTGCGTGAGATCCCGCTCACGGAGGCTCTTTTGCCTAGACCCGTCGATTGGATTTGATTCCTTTACCTCATTAGCCGTCACAAGCCCATTACAATGTTGCTCCCAGCCTCTTCCCTCGGTCCAAGAAAATACTTTGAACTCGTGCCAGCCAAGACCTGAAGCTCCTGGGCCTTGATTCCGAGATGGACATAATGTGAACATTGTTTCAATGGGGGTATTATCCGGAATACTGAGAGCGCGATTGATCGATATGTCTCGGAGCTCGATCTTTCCTGGGGATATGTTATGCATAGTTGCTTGCTGTTTGATTGCCTCCATGGCCATGGCCAAAAATCCAGTCATAGGAAAAACATTGTTGTCATGAACGCGGTGCTGACGAATCCAGGGATGGTCATCCGCGCGAAGGATATTGCGCCAACGAGGTTCGATATCAAGATTCTCTATGCAGAGAGATCCAAGCAAATCACTGCGTGGAAACTTTCTATGGAAGAGATTACTTCCCAATCGCGAGGTGAACCAGTATCGTTCGCTATGGTTCCAGGGATATGTCGGGAGGTTTGTCAGAACCTGAGGCTTCCTACTGGATTTATTGGGAAAGTTAATGGCTTTGAAGTTGACATCCAAGCCTTGAGTGAACATGGAGGCTGCTAATTCCTGCACAGCATCAATTCCATCAAGCTTTCTGTGCAGAGTGTGTGCATAGTGTAGTGAGCGCTTGGGGTCATGAGACTGAATTATGTCTTTCACGGGGTTCTGAAGCGCCGGATGAGGTCCAACTTCGACAAGGGTGTTGATTTTGCCACTTTGTAGCTTGGTGTCCCAAAGACTTTGCACACCCTTGACAAACTCAACACGGGACACCAGATTTTCAACCCAGTATCCAGCATCCAGGGCGCTTGCTGGGACTTCTTTGCCGTACACGGTTGAGTGGAAGGGAATTGCCGAGAACTGAGGGGCAATCTTTCCAAGTAAGGAACGGTACTGTTGGGAAACCTTTTGCATATGATGGGAGTGGTAGGCAACATCGACATGCAGCATGCGGGTAAATATGCCTTCTTTGTCGAGGGCAGTTTGTAAATCCGTCACCACATCCCTGTCTCCAGATAATGTGATGCTCGAATTGCTGTTGACACAAGCAATGACCGCTCGTTGACCTCGCATGGCATCTAAGATTTGTTGAACCTCTCCAGCGTTTGCACCAACAGCTAACATGGCACCATTGACGGTACTGTCCTTGGCCACCAGATCAGCTGCAACACCTCGACAGTATGCAATGCGAACACATTCCTCTAACGTGAGAATTTTGGCAGCATATGCTGCTGCAATCTCTCCACTGGAGTGACCAACTACTGCCTCTGGCTTAATATCCCATGATGACAGCAGGTCTACGAGGGCCAGCTGAACTGCTGTACATGCTGGCTGGCTCATGTATGCCGCTGAAATTTTGCTTTCTTCTGCACTTTCTGATTGAATTTCGTCTGTCGGGGGATATTAGAAGATTGAAGCCACGCTTTAGAACAGACAAAACTCACCAATTATAGAAAATGTTGCTCCAAGAGTCTTCAAGCAAGCATCAAAATCTTGCATTGTTTTGCTGAAGACCGGGTATCTTTGCAGAAGCTCCTTGCCCATACCATGCCACTGTGCCCCTTGACCTGTGAACACAAATCCAATGCTTGGTGTTCCGGTTGAGCGAGTGGGCTCTTTGATACCCGCCAGTGTGTCGATGAGCTCAGTGTGTACGCTTGCTGGAACAGCCATACGCCATTGAAAATGGGTGCGTCGTTGACCCAATGTATAGGCCAGGTTGTCCATCAAACTGTCTGTGAAAACGGGAGGGTGACGGTGGAGGTAAGAGATAATTTCATCACCCATTTTAGACGCTGCTTGCTTGTCGTACCCGGATACGACATATACCCTGCGAGTAAGTGGATCTTCATTCTGTCCTCCTTGTCCTCCGTGGATAGGGCCACGCTCGAGTACAACGTGGGCATTGGACCCGCCAAAGCCAAAGTTGTTCACGCTAGCGAAGGTTTTGCCCCGGGGCCAGGGTACTAGCTTCTTAGGAACCTGAAATATTTTGTTAGCTTTCAATTTCTTTGAGCCAGTTTGATTGCCGGTCTTACCTTCATGTTCCACTTATCCATGGGGATTTCTTCGTTCGGCTCATCAAAGTTGCAATTAGGGAGCACAAATCCACGCTCCAGCATCAGTGCAGTCTTGATCACAGAAACAATTCCACTAGATCCCTCCAAATGTCCGACATTCGATTTGAGAGATCCAATAAACAATGGTTGTTTTGGCGTGCGCCCTATTCCAAACACAGCATTCAGAGCCCTCGCCTCCAAAGGATCCCCAACCTTGGTTCCTGTTCCGTGGGCTTCAACAAAACCGGTCATGGCAGGGTCGATTCTTGCTTTCTTGTAAACTTCCCGCATCAATTTTTCCTGGGCTTCACTGTTTGGCATTGTGATACCTCTGGTCCGTCCATCTTGATTTATACCACTGTTGACTATGACGGACCGAATAGCATCGCCAGCAGCTTCTGCTTCCTCCAAAGATTTCAATATAATACATCCGGCCCCTTCACCTCGGCCAAATCCAGTCGCTCTGTGATCAAATGCATACGTCTTTCCGGTCGAGGCAAGCAATCTATTTTCAGGTACAATGTCAGCTACCATGACCCATTACAATATTTGTGATTGCCGGTCGAAAAGAACTCTTACCTGGATTGAGTCATAGATATAAATGCCTCTGGAAGTAAATTCAAGTGGCAACCTCCCACAATGGCCATTTTACATTCACCATTTCGAATACTCTGGCTGGCTAAATGCAATGCAGCCAAACTGGAAGAACAAGCCGTATCAATCGTTACGCTAGGACCATGCAGATTGAAGTAGTACGACACCCGATTGGACTGGAGAGCAGTCGCAGTTCCTGTGGCTGAAAGCATCGGAATATTTTCGGCATCCAGGCTGTTGTTTACATCGTAGTCTGGATGAGAGGCTCCTGCGAACACTCCGACGTTCTTCCCGATAATGGAAGTACTTGAAATGCCGGCGTTCTCTAGTGCTTCATAAACACATTCAAGCATAATTCGCTGCTGGGGGTCCATCGATCGCGCCTCTTGGAGGGTGATACTGAAGAATGGAGCGTCGAATAGCCCAACATCCTCGGTCAAAAAATGCGCGCCTTGGTTGTTGAATGAACCCGGTCTGTCGGGGTTCCCATGATAAAATCCTTCGCTGTTGAATCGACTTTTCGGTATTTCAGACCAGGTGCTTTTTTTCCGTGAACACATGTCCCACAGATCATCCGCGGTTGTCACTTGTCCTGGAAGGCGACACGACATGCCGATAATCGCCAACCGTTTCGGAACATCGCCCACCATCTCTTCCTCCTCAATGGTCTTGTCGGGAATTGGGGTACCGCTCCCAGACGGTGGCTGGAGACGCATATTGGGCGTATTAGATCACGTTTGACCGTTAAAGAAACAAATCATGTACTAGAATCTGAAATGACAGTCGAAGTTGGCAAATATCACACAAAATAATGAAAAAATGTCCGAAATTGATCACGGAAAAATATTTGCGACAAGGTATGTTCACGAAATATCGATGAAGAAACTTTGAAGTGTTTGCCCCTTTCCATGTGTCTTGTTGACTGAATTAGAAAGCAAAGAAAGGATGCATATGGCTGTATAGATGAGGCCGCCCTTGCATCACCACCAGCTGTATGGTTGTCGATCCTTTGTCCAATAGTCACACTCATACCGGAGACTTCCACGCTAGATCGGTAGGGATGGGACAGCTTCAAGTCTCATTCCGCTCATCCTTGATGACGCATTCAAATATAGAGTCCAATGTGCAGGTCGGACGGGCCGATGGATGGCACCATGCAGCGGACCTGGAATTCCCCTCCTCCGTCTCATGGAGTTTTGTGGATCGCCACTATACTTACATATCTGGTTTCAAAAGACTCAATAGTCTTAGCCATACCGGACCTGTAGTTTTCGACCTGACTGCAGCTATTCCGCCACTGTCTGATTCTGTGAATCACGCAGCCCTTGCTAAGGTGAGGGCGCATGGCGCATTCCAGGATAGGGGCACATTTTACTTTTCTCCTTTTCCCTTTCTCCGACCCTGGCAAGGGATTCCTTAGCAATAGCTTTCTCTTCGCGGTAAGCTTTAGTGACGCGCGCAAGGTTATCAATAGCAGCACGGCGATTTTCTCTCTTGAACTTGCATCAATGAACACGATCTTACAGTCATCATGAAATTTTTATGTTTACCCGGAGGATACTCCAACTCCAAGGTATATAGTCTATACTAATCCATACTTCCATTATGAAACTCCCAGGCTGACAGAATCTTGGTACGATCTAGGCCCTCCAAACACAGCTTGGTAAGCCTACATATTCAGATGTCCCATATGAGGCACCCATCGAGAGGGAGACTAATGGAGACTAACTCACCCATGTAGGGCCATTTTGTGACGCACTCAGATCAAATGGCGAAGCCAACTTCTTCTTCACTCAGGGAACATCCCCGGTGAACCCACCACCCGAATTCCAGGGTTTCTTTGGACCACCGCCAAACTATACATTCAATACTGTCGACTTTCCTGAACTCGTGAAGTTCAACATGAGGGATTTCCCAAGACGCGATACCCCCGAGGCAACAATCAAATATGCGATTCAAAAGGCCGGAAATCCTACCTTCTCCGCAGTTGCAGCTGCGATGACTCGATTAATTGATCTTCTGGATAGCGATCCAGAAATTGAGGGCCTCATCGGTTACTCCGAGGGCGCTGAAGTAGCCGCAAGTCTCATTCTAGAAGAAGAAAGGCGCAGGAAAGCATTTGGAAGAATACCGCGAATTAAATGTGCTGTCTTTATTTGCGGCTGGCCTGCCAAAGATCCAATCTCTGGTAGCATCGTTTTGGCCGACGATTTCGATTGCGAACCGATCACTATTCCCACTTGTCATGTTGTTGGGGCAGCGGATCCGTTCCTGGATGGATCTATGGCGCTTTACAATTGTTGCGATCCGGATACGGCAGACTTATTCGACCATGGTGGTGGCCATGTTATCCCCCGCAATAAGCAGACTCTATCTGATCTTTCTGAGGTGATCCGAGATATGATCATTTCTGTGGCATAGACTTGGGCCGTCTCTCAATTTTTTCTTTTCTTTTCCCCCCATGTTTTCGAAATGTACTTCTCTGTTCACATATAACTGCGTCTGATACTTTGATCTCACTACAAGATGGATCTATTCATGTGTCAACTTGAAAAACACGGTGTTATTCGGTATATTATTTTGGTTTTACTTTCCAGATGTGCGATACTTTCAATCGATATCCTTATTGTAACAAAGGCCTAGTCTCCCCTTCTTCTAGTGCCTCTTCTGTAGTTTGAATCGATTCTTGCCCCTGTATCTGCCCCTGGCTAGAGCGACGAGCCAATGACAGAATCGTATCTAAACCGAGCCACCGGCGCCACGATCGTTCCTCAGATTCACTGTCCAAGCGCTCATACTCTGTCTGTTTCAAACGAGAACGGAGGCGTGTCGCTAGCCAGAAGACTAAGAGCCCAAGGCACAGCAAAGAGATGGTCCCTGCTATCGCGACTGTAGTCGATAGAACTGTCGTTGTACTAACATTGCACCCAAAGGGTGCTGCCCGGAGCTCCCATCTTTCCTTTGAGCCAAGCGGACAGATCTGATCCGATATGATAGGCGCTAATATTGGTACCCGGCTTCCACTAGGGACGCAAGTTGATGACTAGTCATGAAGTCAGCGGTGTTAGCGGTACGATCTGACATGTCCAGCAAGGTACTCGGGCCTCAAGACACCATTCCGCGGGCCTCAAGGTTGGTATGCAAGGGGCGGGAAGGGTGCGCAACAAAGTTCCATGGAGAGAATGTGGTGGCGTGACAAAAGGCAAACGCAAATTGAATTTGTCAGTTGATGGCAGTCGAACCGATCTGAGCAACAGTGAAAAAGAAATTATACGGAGTTCATATTGAAATGCTCAAAGGAAAGTAGATATGCAAAAGAAAAAAAAAACGGTCATCGGATTGAACGAGGAGAGCCCAAGGTGACACTTACTATTGCACACCAGCTGCAATCCACATCCCCTGCTAGACATTGAGAGCAGGATTGTCGTCGCCAGCATATGTAAAATTGAGGGTCAAATCCATTTATTGTGTTCAAATCGCTAATGTTCGAGTTGTTAGGCTGTTTGTGGGAGGTCATGGCTGATCGGATGTTCAAAATCGGATACTCATGTGCTTGGTCTCATGTAAGGTACGACGCAGTCGATCGGGGTGATTAAGAAAGGACTTCTCAAGGCAGATGCTGACCTGCTCTCTCGTTTTTCCTGACATGTAGGGGCCGACAGCAAAAGTACCGGATAAAAAGAAAGTATGGAATCAGGAGATAGTAGTAGGAGGGGGTTGGGATTGCGGGGCTGTATATGAATGAAAAGAATCAGGCCATGTATAAATGTCAACAATACAACTAGACCATACTACGTAAGCTATTGTTAGAGTTAAGCCGGACGATTGTCTTATCAAGTCGAGTTTTAAACAATAGACACAAATTTGGAAGAAAGGTTGGGCGCAAGATGTGGTGCTCTCGGGCGGGATTGGTGGGTTGTTGTCGTGTTGCAATACATACGTCTTCCACTTGGGACATGACACCTACAAATCCCATCTGCATCTCCCCCAAGGATATCTCTGGTAGTACAGTGTAATTAAAATTATCAGAAACAGTTTGCATGACACCAATGTAAATAGGATAATATGAAGCGATCGCAATCAAAAGCAATCACCGCCAAAAAATGCAACTGGGTCCAACATCTACACAGAAACCGTCATCGCCATCCACAGCATTGTATTTCATATCATATTCTTTTGGTCAAATTCAAGAGATTCGCAGGTAAAGGAGAAGAGGAAGGAAAGAGGTTTAGACAACGCGCTTGACCTAGATATTATCCTTTGAATTAGCTCTCGTTCCATCTCATCCCATCAATCAACAAAGCCTAACAGCGACTTACCTCGAAGAAGCGCTTCAGCCACCATACTTGGAAAATACCCTCGCCAATAACCACAGCCAACTGGAAGAGACTCCACCACTTCACACGGCCGTTGGTGCTCTCGGCAGTGTTCCGGTGTACGCGCTCGCGGACAACAATGTACCCCTGTTCATCCCTCACCTGTGATACGGCCTCAGATAGTCGGCGAACTAGATTTTGAAAACAATCAGCCCATGCACTCTTTATCATCAATTCCTACCCCCAACAATAAGCCATAGGAGTGCCTCTGGGCCTTACCTTCCGCCTCCAATGGGTCCTGCGACATCTCCGACTCTGGCACGTAGACGATGCCATGAACGTTGAATGAAACTTCCTTCGAGTTCGAGGTCCAGCCTTCGTTGCTGAAGCAGTAGCTGTATTTGCCATCGGCTTGTGCGTTGAATGAGTAGTCTTCGTTCGAAATGGCTTGCTTGTAGTACATGCGGTTCCGGAGGGGGTCCTCAACCTAGAAATTCCCAGAATATCAGTAAATGTTTTCTCAATATGGATACAAAGTGATGTGCTCTTGTTTCCTCCTCTTTAACGATCAATCCCGGCTTGGGGTTCGCCGTCCCTGAGCATCGGTCTTCTCATCTTGCCTCCCATTGAGCTCAAAGGTATCGGGGTAAATATTGTGGACGTACCCAGAAATCGATCTCAAGGTTACCGCTGCCGCCGAACTCACGGTCGCCGACTTGGAACGTAACGGTCATCAGGTCATCGCGATGCAGGGCCTCGTGGAAGCATTCCCGGGAGTGAGCCTTGAGCTGGATGGTGTGTGCGGTCGCGACGGAGAACCACCCCAGCGCAGTGACAAGAAGAGTGGCTGCGGAGAAGCGCATTTCGAATATTCGCTACGCTGCAGCGGAATTGATGTGTTCGGATGGCTTGAGAGAGAAGTCGGGGTTCATTGAAGGGAGTCGGTCTCGGCCAACGCGAAAGGTGTCAATTGGAGACGCTCGGACCACATGGGTAAACAGGCTTACTACAGTGGATCATCCGCACAAACAATATCTACCATTAACATCTTCACTTCTTCTCGCCTCATCTTTCTCCACATTACAAGTATTTATTTGAGTTCTATCAAGTCATGATATTTGGTCATCTTCATCTATACTTGGGTTCTAGACTAAAGTCCTGTATAAGAATTATTCAAGTGACATAATTCAGTGTCTCCGTAAACAATTAAAAGAATCAATAATTGAAGGCTTTATGCACTCGCAATCTTCTCACGAGCTGCATCTTGCTCTTCTGCAACCACATCAGCAGGGATACGATCTGGCGTCGAGTTCACAAGAATAATCATCGGGAGCAAAGCAGCTGCAAGTAGCCCAAATGATACACAGCTATTGAGCCAGTCAGTCAACATCCACAAAGAAGGTTTAAAAAATAAAAGTAAACTTACAATCCAGTGAGTGGATCACTCGTCGTCTGAGTATTCATACCATAAGCAATGGCTTGTCCAACAGCTTCAATGCATCTGAATGCAGCCCCATTACGAACATTTTCTAATGCGCTTGTTAGCAGTCGATCGAGTCAAGATACTCCAAAATACATACCTTGGGCATCTGTCGCAAACGAAGAAATAAGCCAATACATATAGGACTGAGATAGCGGTCCTGTAGTTTGGACAAAGAAATAAGGCAAGAAAGCCGACGGATATAGACTATCGGACCAGTCGATATCACCAGGATCATGGCGATTGAATCTTGTCTGCATGACAATGGACCAGATATAAACACCGACGTTGAGAATTACAACTATATATAGACCAATCTGAGCCCGGCGACGTTGACTGAGGCTCTTCATGTCGAGGATGAATCCCAGACCAAAACATCCCACGCTGAAAGGAAGATATTAGCCAGGAAGTTTGGCAATTGAGAGTTCATAGTCAACTTACATGCAGAAGAATGGAGAGATGAGCGATGACAGAGCGCGAGCACGAACGGAGAAGTAGGTTCCCAAGTAAGTAGACCAGGAACCACTAGTATATTCGTTAATATGCTGACATCTTCCGAGTGATAAGAATGTGATGGTTTCTTACCTGTAGAAAAAGGACCAAAGTGCCCAGAGTGCTGAAAGCACAATAAGTTTCTTAGTCATAGTCGTTGCAATGCGCCTAAATTCCTGCTTCGTTGAAAGAGTCTCGGCTGTAACAATTCTCGTGCCATCGGATCGGACGACACGTTCAAATGGCACAATGAGTAACGCAAATGGAAGCCTAGTAATTATCTTGTTAGTGGGCTCGAATTTGAATCTTGAACTCTCTCTTAGCGATCCCACTTACGCAAGAGACTCGATAATCACGAAAGCCAAGTATGTCTCAGGAGTAACTCCGCCAGATTCTCCTACAGTATGGTTCTTTGATAGACTTCGCAAAATTCACTGTTAGTTGAAGTCCATAAGCTTGATATTGCTGCTTCGTTTGAGTCACTCACTTGATCGCACCCCCAACCAACTGTCCAAGATTTCGCGACACGATCCAGAGGGCTAGATATTTACCACGGGCGCCAGAAGGTGCAAGGGTCATGATTGCTCCAGCCTCGGCTACATACCAACAAGCGGTACCTGCGCCGCTAATAGCACCACTGAAGATGAGGTACTAATTAACAAGACCAATCAGCTTTAGTCCAACCATTTCTCCAAGTTTCCCACTTACCCATTGATTTCCAAATTTGCTGTTGCAATAGTACGCTGATCCTTGAATGGGGAAGGAAGCTGCACCAAGAACCAAAGACCATTTAACACCCAATTTGTTCACAATTGGACCGCCAATGAAGCATCCTGGTCATATTTGCTTAGTAGGACCTCTTTTCAATGTCACCTAGAAACGACGGTATACATACCAACGAAAAGCGTGGCATACAGAACTGCGTTCGAGATGTTCGATACCTGCGGAGTTGCAAGACCTCCACCACCAAGTCCTAGAGCGATTCAAAGGAATCAGGTGTATATTCTTTGAAGATGTGATGTCAAATTTTGGGATCAGCCTACCAGCAATTGCATCGGCCATAGCAGGCCCACAAAAGGCCTGAACACTGAGAAGCATCATTTGAGTCAAGCTGTGCTTCCATACTCGTTCCCACAGCGGGACAGTCGCCCTGTACTGCTCTAGGTTGACCATATGAGCATTCTGAACGGAAACAGTCGGTACTGCAGCGTTTGAGTCATCCTTCTCGCTCGGGGCGATACCCGGATTCTTGGAGGCAGTCATTATAGTGGAGGTCACGGCGTTCATGGATATAATCAAAGTGGATTATAGATGCAGGCGTGGCAGGCGGTTATTTATACATATGCTTGTCGGCTCGTGTAGATAATCCACGCTAACCTTCGCCAAGGTTTAGTTACCTTAAAAATTACCCGGAGCGGAGATATAATTCAAGTTCCAAGTTGCTCCAACGAAGAGGTTTACTCCGAGTCTTTAAATCCTCGAAGGTCCACGCGAAGATAAGAGCACACTAGTGTCTCTGGCACGCAATCTATACCGATACGAAACAAGCGATTGGCGCAGCAACTTGCCAGTACCATCTTTATCTCAAAAGGATCTTTTATCTTGGAAATCCAACCGAAATCCGGGGTTCATGGTCATCATGCGACGCTAAGCTTATCATTGCTGCTATCCGAGATGGTTGTGGAGAATAAGCTGTTTCCCCGCTTTCTCCAACTGAATCCTCCTGAACATCAGAAGGTCCACGCGAAAACGTGATCCGTTATCATCCCACTAGACCAGAGAAGGTCCACGCGTTGGGGATGCGCTAGTGGCTTTGTGCTCCGAACTTCTCCCGACACGCTAGTTGGTATCTTGAGAGATTCGCACCAATAGAGCCGCTCGCTTGATCACCCGTATTCAGCCTGGACCTTTATCAATCCCATGGCTCTTATTTGCAACGCCTGTGAGTGGATTAGGTCTCACGCTATGAATGACTATATCACCTAATTTGATAGACTAACGGGAACCTAGCATCTTACATTCTATGCGATGATCGGCCGCACAGGATCTTTTTAACTGCTATTTAACCTGTCTCTCCAGCAATTGCTCGCTCAAGATAGCCTCTGGCAGTTTTACATGTGCGCTTGAAGCTGCTCCAGCGATCAAATATCTTGGAGCCAAAGGAAAATTTTATTGCTTCAAGATGACTCTTTCACGCTCAACAACCAAGGTTATCATCGTCGGCGGGGCTGGCACGATTGGCTCCTCAACAGCACTGCATCTCATTCGAAATGGCTACACACCCTCAAACATAACAGTGCTCGATGTATATCCAATTCCATCTGCTCAATCTGCAGGCCACGATCTCAACAAGATCATGAGCATCCGACGAAGCAACAAAATTGGTCTACAGCTTTCGCTTGAGGCGCTGAACATGTGGAAACACGATCCGCTATTTAAGCCATTCTTTCACGAAGTTGGAATGGTGAGTAAAGCCAAGCACGGTTAATTCACAGCGCAATATCTAACCAGATCCATCTAGATTGACTGTTCGTCATCCGAAGAGGGTATTGCAGCCCTTCAACAGAAGTACAAATCTTTAGTGGACGCGGGAATGGGTTTCGAGAAGACGACCTTCTGGTTAGAGGGGAACGATATTCAATCGAGAGTTCCACCATTCACAAAGGAGCAAACACAGGTACGTGTCTACTATTGTAAACTCTTAAAAAATATCTGGCAAGATAAGTTCGACTCATTAACCATATATTGATAGGAATGGAAAGGAGTACTCTGCAGCGATGGAGGCTGGCTCGCAGCGGCAAAGGCCATCAATGCGATAGGCCAGTTCTTGAAAAGCCAAGGAGCTCAACTCAGATTCGGAAAGTAAGTAAGCCTGCATGCAATCCTCAAATAATATTTCAACCACCAGATGGATAAGCTCAGCATTAATGAAACACAACAGCGCCGGAACATTCAAACAACCCCTCTTCGCAGAAGATGGAATAACATGCATCGGCGTGGAAACTATAGACGGCACGAAATACTACGCTGATAAAGTCGTCTTAGCAGCTGGTGCTTGGAGTCCAACACTAATCGATTTAGAAGATCAGTGTGTCTCCAAGGTACCCACCCACCTACGGCCATTCATTTATCTTTCCCACAATCTCCATTACCATTTCCATGACTATGATAACACTGAAGAAGATGTGAGGTTATTTTGCTAATACTTTATTGAAATCAGGCATGGGTCTTCGCACACATAAAACTCACACCAGAAGAGGTAAAGCAATACAAAAATATCCCCGTCATATACGACGGCGAATACGGCTTCTTCTTCGAACCAGATGAGTAAGAACTACTACGACCCAAACTCCATCCAAGATAAAATTTATCAATCATCAGCATTCAATATAACTTAATCTCATCTGATATGATTCATCTAATCTGATGGACCTAATCTGATAACTTTCATTCATTCAACAGGAACGGAATAATCAAAGTCTGCGACGAATTCCCCGGCTTCTCACGCTTCAAACCCCACAAACCATTCGGAGCTACTTCTCCAAAACTTATCTCCGTACCTCGATCCCACGCAAAACATCCAAGCGATACATACCCCGACGCATCAGAGGTGACTATCCGCAAGGCCATCGCTAGATTCCTGCCCGCGTTCAAAAACAAAGAGCTTTTTAATCGAACGATGTGTTGGTGTACCGATACTGCTGATGCGAGTCAATTGATATGTGAGCATCCGAGATGGAAGAATTTTATTTTGGCTACGGGGGATAGTGGGTGAGTTTCTGTTCTTTTTCTTCAATCGTGATTATTTCGGCAATGATATGATGGTTATAAAGGTTGGTTTTACTGACTTGGAATTTGTAGGCATAGTTTTAAACTTCTACCTAATATTGGGAAACATGTTGTTGAGCTTATTGAGGGGAGTTTGTCGGATGAAATGGCGTATGAGTGGAGATGGAGACCTGGTGGTGATGCTTTGAAGTCGAAACGGGGTGCGGTGGCGAAGGATTTGGCTACTCTGCCGGGTTGGCAGCATGATGCGAAGCTTTAGACTTGGGTTTTCAAGCCTGAAATTATTTCTAGTGATCATGATAGTCCAAGGTAGTAGTACAAATTAAACATGAGCATTCTATATGTAGAAGCATGGATTGAGTGGTAAATAGTAAGAATAAACTACATGAAGAACTTGGATGTAGTAATCAATTCGAAGTGTGATAGGGTATACAAGTGCATTGCATCGCAAGCAGGGTAGGTAAAATAAAAACTTGGTGTATAATATAAACAATGTGAAAGAGAGTGGTAATATGTTTAACTATTAATATGTGTGAAAGATGGGACATGAAGAGGTAGGTAATATAGCGAGGTGAAAATATTTGAGATGAGCAACTGTACAGGGATACCAAAGTACCTGTCCCGTGGGAACGAGGCAGTGAAAGAATAGAAAGAGAATGATAAATGATAAGGGTAAACAACAGGGTGGTATCAAATCCGAAAGGACGTTAAAAAATCACAGATCTGAGATAAAGAAAATATGTATGGAGAGTTCAAGTTTAAAGAGTGTGCATTGAGGTGGGAAGGGCAGGAGAGGAAATAGAAACGCTGAAAACATCAAATTGCAAGGGGAAATCCAGAATATCAAATAGATAATTGGATATAGTTTTTTATTCAAGGCATTCTAGGGAAAAGGTGATTGCGATTGGGAGTTGGGAGTTGAGAATTGAATGAAACAAAGCAGGAGGGAAGAATTCTGTCGATCGATCACTCATCATGTTCTTCTTCCGTCTCTTCAGTTTCTTCTTCTTCGATATCTGAAGAAATATGCGGACCAAAGGGACCATCTTCGCCAGCTTCCTTAGGCGACGCTGAGACCATACCGCCGACAGTGCTTTCGATATCATCAGAAGCAAAGGCGTCTTCCTCGTAGTTCGTCGGCTCCGCATCATGATCATAGCTAGAGCGACGGAGGAGTGGAGGGGTCTTAGGCGGTTCAGCAATAGGAATTTGGGTTTCTTGACGAACAGATCCACGACGAGGAGTAGTGCTCAATCCTCGCAAAGGCCTGGTTTCAGCGTATGAACGTGATGGGCCAGATGTATGAGGGGCTGATTGGCGAACATGCGAGCTTGGAGGGGTTAAGAGACCTGAGAGAAAGGTACCTGCATTGCTTGACTTGGAAGGAGTTTGCTCAGATGGGTTTGTAGCGTTTCCGTTTTCTCGGCCCTTGCGCCAGCTTCCCCAAGCTGCGGCTGCGGCTAGAGGGAGAGATCGGGGAGAGGCGGCGATGGACTGGAGAGACGGGAGGGCGACTCCAGATGCGGAACGTTCATGTTCTTGTTGTTGCATTTGAATGTTTGCTTTTAGACGAATAGCGGCGTCACGGACGGCGTGGTGGTTAAATGAAGGCTGGGAAACAGTCTTGATGATATCTTGGAGATCGTCGATTCGAACACCGAGAAGCTCGCGGAGCCAGGTGATTTCGCTATCTCTCTCCTTGATCTTGTTTGGTGCGTCCTTGTCAACGGAGGAAACCTCCTGCTCAAGCTCTTCGATACGAGTCTCGCGCTGCTGGAGCTGATCCTGAAGAACGAATATTGACTCGCGGAGAGCCTGAGGAGAAATTCTTTCAGGCTCGTTTGATCCCTTGTTGAAGGACATAGAGGGCGAGGACGAGTGTGCAGGGGCAGACGTCGGGGTGGGGATAGGGCTTGAGCCGGCTTTCTGTGCGGCTTCAGCTGCAGCACGGGCAGCAGATTGGGCGATCTCAACCTTCTCCTCGAGGTGCTGCACACGATCTTGCAAGTGTTGGTTCCTCTCGGCTGCGAGGGCCAATCGCTCCTCGGTATGAGCCTCTCCACGCTGGCGATCCTCAGATGAGTTATGTAGGGCACGGGCGTGACGCTCGCGAAGGTCGTTGAGAACCCGTTCGTGAGTCTTGCGCTGGTCTTCGAGGGAAGTCTCGCGGGACTCCTTGGCGATAGACAAAGCGGTGACCCTAGACTCATTGGCCTCCTCCAAGAGGAGCTCATAGCGCTCCCGGGAAGTATCAGCGTCCATGCGAACATTGTCAAGCTGGCTCTGCAGACGAATGACCTGTGATTCGAGCTCTGCGCGAACAATGTTTACTTGGCTATTAGCAGCCTCAAGATCAGCTTCCATTGAGGTGCGAGTACGTTGGATCTCCACACGGCTACTCTCACGAGCTTCGTTGAACTCTCGCTCGAAGCGAGCCGACTTCAGCTGCAAATCATGGTTCTCAGCGCGGAGGGCTGCGATGGTCTCTTCCAATCGAGTGTTCTCGAGCTGAGATTGCTCGTAAACGAACTGGGTCTTCGCAGCTTCCTTCTCCCGTTGCTCGAACTGAAGAATCTCTTGTCCGAGTTGTTCACGCAGGTTGACTTCGCGTGCGTGGGTTGCGCGCAACTCGTTGAACTTGGCAGTCTGTTCCTCTTCTTTGCGTCGGGCAGCAGCTTGCTCACGGACGATATCACCAGTAACGGTAACCATATCAGACTGCAAACGGTCAAACTTCTCGGTCATATTCTGGCGTGCAGCCATGCTGTCCTCAATACGGGTACGCAAGTGATCAACAGTCTCATGCAAAGACTTGTTCTCGTCCTTTGTAGTCTCGAGCTGTCGGCGGAAGTGGTCGCTGGAAACGCGGTATTCATCCAAAGTGCCCTCGAGAGCAATATTCTTAGTAGAAAGCTCAGCGATAGTGACCTTCAAGGTCTCGCTCTCTTCCTCCATGGACTGAGTGCGGAACTGCATCTTCTCAAGGTGAGGGATCTTCTCTTCCTTCCACTGGAGGAGACGGGCCTCAGCATCCTCAGCGGCTGCACTGTGACGAGCAGCATCTTCCTCGGCAGCCTTAAGAAGACTTTGCAGCTCGCCGACGGCCTCCTGTGCATCTCGGCGCGACTTGTATTCTTGCTCGGCACGCTCATCAGCTAAGCGCAGCATGCTTTTGAGACCATCAATCTGGAGCATGAGACTGTCAGCGCCGATCTCATCGGCCTCCGACAAACGAGGAGTCTGCTGAGCCAATTGCCTGGCGAGAGTTTCCTCGAGAATTTCACGCATATCGCCAACAGGATCCTGAGCAAGCTTCTTAATGGTCAACGCCTGAAGTTCAGCGAAGCTCTCCTTAAGCTGGGCCATCTCACTGTGGCTGGAGTGGTGAGTTGAGCGATGAGGCAGTTCGTGTGTAACAAGGGCCTCCATAACGACACTCTTCAACATCTCCATCTTGCGATCACGCACGCGAGGAGGCGAGCGAGCTCTTACAGATTCCTCTTCCTCGGCGTCACCATCATCCTCATCATCGGCATCGCTGTCTTCCATCTCAGTGGAAGTACTGCGTAGAACTCTCCGGCTAGCTGTGCCAGAAGCAATCGAGGCAACGGATGTCTGAATGACAGCCAAGGCACGCTCCATAGGGCTCAAACGATCATCAATAGCAGAACCCACAATATCATTGATACGACGATCGAAGAAGCGGTTACGGTTGAAGAACTTCTCATCCTCACCCGAGGAAATCATGTCATCCCAATCGCTGACATGGTCGTTTTCTGTAATAAGCTGGCGAACGGGAGACTGGATGCGAGAGATAAGGCTCTTCTGAGGAGAGAAAGTGGCGTTGCTTTGACCGTCGATGTCGGAGCCAAGCTTGGGAATGTCGAGCTTGTAAATTTTCTGAGCTCCGGGGCTGGGGCTAGGTGCTTCGCTTCTGCTTTCTGCGGAACCAAATGGTCGCTCCTTGGTCGGTCCGCCGACAGACTCGGAGATGAACTTGCGAGGCGCAGGAGTGATTTGTCGCTCAATACCGACATCGGAGTCACTTGCGTTGAGCTGCTCCATAATAGCATCAAGATCTTCATCGCCAGTAGATTCCTCTGCCTCGCGGTAAAATTCGAGCTTCTGCTGAGCAGTGAGTTCTTCCGTCTTCGAAGCAGGGTATATCGTCTGCGAAAGAGGTGGTGGCTGTGACTTGGGTGGGCTGTCTGTCGCGAAGCGAGAAGCCATGAGACCACTTGGCTTCTTGTCGGACTCAGGCTCTGGCTTGCTCTCCACTGGAGGCGAAACTGACCTCTCATCCGCAAAGCTGGATGGCTCAACGGATGTTGGCGTGAAGGATAGAACAGCAGGCTTGAATTCAAATGGCTTAGCTGTGGCGGAGAGCATCGAGTTTCTGTCCTTGGACTCCTGAGAAGAGTGACCAGCGAATGGTCGCTCGGCTGTGGGAGCGTCATCCTGACTAAGTATTTCAGCCTTGAACTCTTCAACTGATTCTTCCTTGAGGTCTCTAGTCTGCTCGTCATGGGCAGGTGATGCAGTGTTTGATCGAGCGGCTTCACCCTCGCGCTGAGCATCGAACAGAGTCCAGGTATCCGCTTCGCTGTGAGGGGTACCCTTGCGCTCGAGGGGCTTATTGTCATCGTCTTCGGCTGGAATAGCATTTTCCTTGCCCTCGGCGACGCTCTGGAGCGTGCTAGATGCTTGAGCATTACCAAACTCGCCCAGGGGATGAGTTGAGATGCTGTAGCGGGCCTCGCCCTCGGCATGACCAACACCACGTCGCGCGCGCTTGTGGCGATCAGTAGGTACCGGTCGGCCTTCATTGTCCTCGACAGTCTCCTGTTCGTCCTCATTGTTAGGCTCAGTCTCATCCGGTCGGACGATGGGAATAGCCTTGGATGCCTTGTCTGGCTTGGAAATATCATCAAGATCAATGTCACCGAAGATCTTCGTTCTGCTCTCAGACGGCGCGGTAGTGCTAGCATTGGAGTTAAGGCTAGCACCAGGGTTGAAGACAGGTGCATCCACATTGAAAGAGGCAGCCGAGAATTTGAAGGAGCTAGACTTGGGCTTGGGCTCCGGTATAGGATTTACGGGACCTCCCATAATTTCAGCGGGGTAAGATGGTATAGAGCCGAATCCAAATGCGGGTTGTTGATCGATTCCCCCAAATTGGTAATCGTTCTTGACAAATGGTCCTTGAGATCCGAAAGAAGCGGTAGGGTCAAATTCCTTAGCTTCAACGTTGAAAGATGATGTGGAGAGCTTGGATTGATGACCACGGAAAGAGCCGGCGCTTGGCTTTGTCTCGTGCCAGGGACCTTGGTTGGGCATCGCACTTCTATTTTGAGGGGTTCCAGAGATGCTAGGGTTTGTATCGAAGTCAGAGCCCTCATGAGCATTGTCGTGTGTATATTGCTCGGGGTAAAACTGATGGGGATGCTGTGGGAAAGAGTGCGGTTGTTGAGGGTGTCCATTTTGGGACTGGTGATGGCTTTCGTCCTCGGGCAAGGCCCAGCGAGACTGCAGCATATTGGTGTTCAGATCATGGTGACCGGCGTCGTGCTCATCCTCTTCCATGTGGTGCTCAGAGTGGTTGAGGTGATAATCAGGGTGTTTCATGTTGTCAAGGCCTCTTTGAAGGGTCTCGCTGAGATTGTGACCATGGCCGCGGGGTGTTGGGTGGGCGATTTCAACATTGGAGGAGTGGAACTGGCCTGGATCATTGACGGGGGTCTGAGGTGTGGGGAACGGAGGAGCCTCTTCGTGGCCGATATTTGTGAAGCGGTCGTCGAAGCTGTTCTTATCATTGAAACCGGGGTGGAAGGCACCGTTATCATGCATCGGGGAAACTGGAGATAACATGGAGTTAAAGTGGTGCATTCCACCGGGGCCAGTAGAACCATTGGCCTGGCGGATGTTGATCAAGCTTTGAGGGGTCATGCTACCCTGTGCAGGAGGCGTAGGCTGGAATTGGAAGGGGAATCCAGAAATCATATTTTGATCCATGCCATTCATTCCCATGAATGGAGTCTGCACGCTAAATTGAGAAGCAGGCGAGGCCAAAGATCCTAAACCTCCGCTTGCAGCACCTGTAGAGTGACCAAATTGAGGCGAGAAAGGATGAATCGAGCCCAGGGAATTGCTTGCAGCAGATGCGGTTGGAATGGGCGGCGATGCCACGAGACCTGGGAAAGGCGTTTGAGATGGATGTATGGATCCAGATGCGGGAGAAATAGAAGGACCTGGTTCATCATCGCCGAAGGACACACCGAGGGCGCGTAGTTTCTCTTCTTGAAGATTAGCCACGTAGGAATCCCACACAGCTCTATCAGGGAAATTGACGAATGCTTTTTGGCCCATGCCCTCATCGTAAGTTTCAGCTGGCTCGGGATACAATGGGCGCGTTAAACCACCAAGCTCAGTTGGTCCAGCTGAATCGTCCATTTCGCCAATTGTGAATCCTCGAATGTCGAACCCTTCATCCTCCCACTTCTGTAATCGAGACTGAACATCTTCGGGTGTCAAAAGACTGAAACCAGACTGCTCTGTGCCTCGTTTGTCGTCAATAGGCAGATCAATCACGCATGACTTGCCCTTGCATACTAGCTTCTTTTTCCGCCTATGTGTCTGTGGGGTCGAATTGGATGATCTGTTGATATCCGAGGCCTGCCTCTTCAGATTATCTGGAACAGCCGAAGCTTGTGTCTGGTCTGCGAAAATATCATCGTGGGCATTTACCGGCGGAGGCGGCAATGGCTTCTCCCCTGGTGAAATTGATTCAACCGGAGGCTGAGAATCCTTAGTATCTGACATTGTTTTAGAGGATTCTTTGTCGTAGGCGAAACCCCAAAAATCTTCCTGTCGCAAAGTATCCGCGCGTTTATGCTGATTCTGCTTCTTCTTCGTACGTGCAGCAGCTCTTCTACCAACAAAGTCGGAAAGAGTCGGTGTTCGAAGAAGATCGCGATCAAGGGTATCGTCCTCTAACCCAAGCCAGTCGTCTGAAAGATCGTCGGCAAGATGGTTCTTAGCCGTAAAAAACGAGGGCGCCTCGCTTCCTGAATCGTCACTTAACCAGTTACTTCGTTCTGTTCTCGGCTGACCAGATAAATATTGATTAATCCAATCCTGGGTGAAATCCCGAATAGACCTTCCTCCTTGATTATCGGCAAGATCCTCCGAATTCACCGCTACACTGGCTCTTCGGATTTCAAGATTCGGTATGGACGGGGCGGGAGAGCTTTCACGCGAACCGTGGTCGAGACCGGCGTATTGGCTCAGAGTCAACGATAATCTCCGCGTACTAGGTGCTGCATACGGAGACCCCCAGGCAGTGGTATAGTAAACACTGCTTTCTGCCTTGCGATGATAATCCGGTGACGAGGTCAAGGATTCTGTCGGGCGACGAGTAGCCGAGAGAAAAGGGAGCTGCGGGGGTTCGAGAGTGATGCTCCGTGGGGAATGGTTCTGGGATGGAGAACCCGTAGATGAGCCGGAGCTCGAGTCGCCTGATGGCGGAGAGGACAAAATCACCGGCAAGGCCAGATGCGATTCGTCACGCAGACTGCGCGAGTTGTTCGGGGACAACGATGGAGAAGATACCGCAAGGCCGGAAGAGACGGGATGGTCTAGATCTAAATGACCGATCACCAGGGATGGATTAGCCTAGATTCTTTTTTGTCTTTTGGTCTTTTTTTAGGCTTTGGAATTTTGGTGGGGGGGAGAAGGGAGAAAAGAAGGAAAACCGCGTGGTGACGCGTGGGTTTCCAAGCAACTAGAAGCCCAATTGCATGAAGCCCGATCAACGAAATGAGGGAATCCCATTCAAAGCAGATTACACACACCTTCCGTGTCGACTCCTGCAGCAAGCACTTGCTTGCCGCTCCGCTTATCGTCCAGAATGTTGACGCATGGAAATCCAACGGGAATTGGCGAACAGCTGGCAGACAAACCAAACCGTTGATTGGCGAATGTCCGGGATTTCGGTGTCGATTTTCGATGGTGTTTTTTTAACCCCCTTTTTCCAGTGAATAAGAAATCGAATTCAAACGCGCAAGAATTTCCTCCACCAAGATTTCAGGACTCAACAACTAAAACAAAGATCGCGAAAGAAAAAAGAGAGAGCGAGACCGAACGCAAGGAAGCCGAGAAAGGGGAAAGAAAAAAGGGCTTATGTCACGTCACGTATAGGCGTGTTACTGGACTAAAGAAAGGACACTTCAAGACTGGAAAAGGGTACTGGGTACCTTATTACACTATGATTAATCAGGCTACCGTTGAAGTACCCAGTACACTAGTTTAGTTTATCGATTGGGGCCTCTCATTTAACTTCTTTCGAACCAATTTCCGGCACGCTCCAGTTTAGTGGAGGACGAGTGGTGGGTTTTGGGCTCAAAGAGCCACACCCTTGCGGACGCGCAGGTACCCCGGAGATCGCAGTTGGGAAAGGATTGGCCCTGACCGCCACTACAGCACCGGGGACCTCGGGATGTGCAGTGTGCTGTCGTGGTACATTCCGATACTGGAGTCTGATCCCCTTGCCTACTGCCCAGGTGCAGTCTCAGCTTCTTTTTAGTCCTATCAGATGTATCCAATGTGATCTCTTTACTTCAATGTTTCGATGTTCGTCGTTCATGTAAACAAAGAGTTCTACGGTTCGTGGAGATGGATTCAGGGGTAGAAGAACCATGGTTGCAGCTGTAACCATACCGTACTTACCATACGGGAGGCGGCTTTGACGATGACATAATGACCAGTCTGCCACCAATCAGAACTCATGGTGCACATCCTTAATTGATCCACCTGGGCAGAGTCAATGCAGATCCACCGGCGGAAGGTGCAGAAATACACGAAGATGGACGAAGATGGACACCGCTGCAGGAGCAGATCAGTTGGGCATACAACTGTATGATCTCATACCACCCAAGCCTGTGCTTCTAATCGTGTTCCTACTGGGATCAAGCAGGTACAACATGTACTTTGTACAACTACAACCTCCAATCTCTCTCCAACAAGGGGCCAGAACCAAAAAACATCAGAGCTCAATCTCGAATAACAATTATATCCGTATTTCCATTCGAGTCGGATGCGACACTTCAATCACTAACATCAACAATAAAGAAACAAAACATTGAATACAGCCTGGAAAGAAAATCGAAAATATCTACCAGAGTCTCGTCTAGTTTTGCGAAACCCCCATTCAAACAAGATGCTAAAATCCAAACATCTAACCAAAAAGTGTTGTCGGAGAAACAAACCCCTTAGTGAGGGCAGGTGGTGTTGAACTTGATCTTGCGATCAGCGGTCATGAGACCCCAGTGCTTCTCGTCCATGGCCTTGCCGTTGTCACCGGTGCTGTCGGGCTTCCAAGACTCATCGTAGGCCTCGAAGTAGAACAGGTCAACACCCCAAGCGAGCATACCACAGACACCGGTCTGCCAGAAAGTCTGGGCATTGTCGGTACCAGCCTTGGCGGCTTCGTAGTCAGAGCCACCATCTGTGAATAACCGAAATACGTTAGTAAAGAAACAGAATAGTGCAAAGCTGTATGACATGGGCAGGGGTTCTTCATACCAGTAGGCCAGCCAGTCTCGCCGTTGATGACGTGAATCTTCTCTGAGTTGGTACCAGCAACCTTCTGGATATGCGACATGGCACCAGACATATCGTCGAAGTAGGTCTTGTAAGCCTCCTTAGCGGTAGTACCCTGCCAGTAGGCGAAAGCATTGGCAAGAACATAGGTGACGAGGGGAGCATCGTCAGTGTCGCGAGTGAAGAGGTCATCGGCGGTACCATCGGCGAACTTGTTCCAGCTATCAGCGGTACCAACGGTGATACTCTTGAATTGCTTAGCGACAAGACCAATGTAGTTGTGCAGGGAGGGACCAGTCTGGTCGCCACGGTAAAGAGTCTCAGAGCCAACGGTGATGGCCTCAACAACATCCTCATATCCGGGAACAGCCTTCTTCAGGGCGGCGAAATCCTTCGCGAACGAGGCGTCATTGGTGCTTGTGTCATCGCTGTCTTGAGCGCCGACCCTATTGAAGCAAAATCGCGTTAGTCAAAACAATTCAATACAATCCACGTGGGCATTGGAATGTGTCAAAAGCTTGTAAAGCTAGTTCTTTCTTACCAGATACCGAGAACAACCTTGAAGTTCTTCTTCTTGGCAGCGGGAAGAATGTTCTTGGGGGTATCACATTCCGTGCCGGAGTAAGTGCGGACCAGAGTAGCCAAATCTTTCAAGTTATCGAAATCGGTCTCGTAATCGCTAGTAGTCTTGCAATTACCGTTGGCAGTCTTATCACCGAGGGAGAAACCCAGAGTACCACGAGCGGAGACAAGGGCCGGGGCAGCAGCCAAAGCCAGGGAGAGGAGGGTAGAGGCACGCATGCTGAAACCAGGAGGAATTGGTCGAGAAGGCGAGGATCGACCAAAACAAGAGGAACAGAAAAGAAAAAAAGAATGCAGTACACCAAGGTGAGCTTGGATTTATTTTTTGAGAATGAATGGACAACCCGGCGACAGGTCGAGAAGGGAATGGAAGTTTATATTAAACAAAGAGAGAGGGAAAGGCAAGAAAGAGAAACGTCAGTGGAAAATGGTGGAGAGAAGCAAACGGGGGGAAATCACTATTGGTGCCAGGGACTTTCCACCTTCGGGTGGTGCGCAGGGTCCTGCGGGCGGGGCGGTCCCTGATCAAGGGGTTGGCCAATAATGTAACTGCATCTGCAGAATCTAGCACTATTAGGGGTCCCCATGAAACATTCCTCAGGGTCAACATGCTCCACTTTCCCGTGGCTTTCGCGTTTTCCAGAACATCAGATTTACTCCTGTATACATAGCTAATTTGATCTGATCCCCTATACAATATGAATTGACCCCCTATTGTTTTTCTAATCCTTATTCCCACCTCATGCGTCCTAATTTACACTACTATCCTAATTCCGACTAGTGCCAAGAATCCCCTAAGCCCAGCCAAAGTCATGATGTCACATGGCCATTGTCCAGATCACAATCAACCCTGGATAAACAGAAAAACAAGTGGAGTAACATCGTGAGATCAATCGGATGGCAAGAGATTCTCTGCAGGTTGCCGGTGACTCCGGCTATTCTTCCAATCACGACTGTTGTGGTGTGGAGGACAATAGCGCCCCTCGGAGATCGTTCCTAGGGTAGTAAGCTTTTGATTCGCCCATTGGCAAGTCTAGACAGCTCGGGAACCTCGCACCTTCTTGAAGCAGCACGTCTATTTGTCTCTGGAAGAGGGTGACTGCGAATATTATCTATGTTGCCTGTTCTGGACTTTCTTGGCTCGGCCGAGTTGCGGTCGAGGCCTGTATAGATTACCTAAAACTCTTCTAACTTACACAGATGTACTTGTATGGGAAGGTGTTTATGGATATGTATAGTGATATCAGGCCCAAGCCTTTGCAATTGAGTTTCAGTTGATAGTTTCAAGGTTTTAGATATACTTGGGTATCACCCTGCGTACCATCATTTGATATTTTCCAATATCCCTGTTAAATAATGGTAACCTTTCCTCTTTATGTATAGGTCGTTGTAGTAGTACTTAGCAACCTGTTTATGTGTACGCTTGTGTTATAACAATTGCAAATACTCAATCGCGCATCAAGATAAACCAATTCCCTTGAGTGGAAATAGCCGTGAACGCCTGCATAGTGCTACAATGACAAGTGGGGCATGATCCTACTATATACACAATCCAAGACATCAATATAGATATCGGAAACAAGTTGTTGAACTCGAAGTTCCTCATCAGTCCCTTCAAGCAATCTTATTTCAGCACCAACGAGCTTCTTAGTCTTCCCTTCCTGCTTCGGTTTCCTCCCTCCACTAAACTCAAATAGCCTTGCACTAGAGCCATGTCTCAATCATCGTCCCAAAAGCACTCTCATATTCTTTCCGATGCCCACTCCTTCAGGCCTGAAAGAAGGAGCTTCTATGTTGCCTTCTTTATCCATTTGCGATTTTATTGGGAGCTCACGATCTTTCTCGGGCTTTTAATGTATTGCGGTTCTTGTAGATATGTATCGGTACAATGGGTGCAGGGCCTCAAAATTCGATCTCGAAAAGTAATTCCATGCTGGAGTAGTGCTTAAGGTACGTCGGGGTTTAATCGGATGGTGAAATGGCTCGGTGGCCCAATGGCATCAGATGGGCATGTCGCGAAGAAGATGGATGGTATTCATGTATAAGCTTGGGCTTTGGCTTATGTCGCATCTAAGAGTATGACTCGATCGCCTAATCTCAAAGGGGTTGTATCTGCCGCTCCGATTAACGCGCAAGTCGCTCCAGGGCTCCGGGGCTCCTACTCATCCCGAATATAGATATAGCTACGATTGATATTAAGATTGATAGATATTGAGAGAGATCGAGCTAATGCATACCGAAGCAGGTAATGCGTCATATTCACGTTGAGATCAAAAGATTCGAGATCTAATCCCTGCATCGCATCCGATGCTATATCGCTAATTGAATAATAAAAAAAGAGGCCGTCTGTTTCAAATCAAAGAGATTTGGTCCCAAATAAATAACTCCAGGCTCCCAAAATGCTGCATTTACAGAAGAATATGGTTCTCCCGAAGGTAAAGCTCTTTTATCAGCTTAAGTTGGTTGATAGACATCGACGAGCGGTCCATCGCACGAGGCAAGTCAACAACCGCCTTGCGAATAACCGCCACGCCGATCTGACCAAAAAAGCCCAGAATACGATCTCCAGAGTGACGCAACATAGACTGCAAGATAATGATTTGTGTGTCCTGGATCTCTTTCGGTGGGACGGAAAGGAGCTTGTGTAGAGAGTTCCAGAATATAGTGGTCGGGAAAGGGTTTCGACGAGGACTCTTGCCAAAGTTTCGTAGAGTTATTGCGGAAAATCCGGCTCCTAGAGCGCCCATTCTATCAAAATGCGTTTGTTCGGAGACGAAGCCTTCTTCGGTCTTCCACCAACCGAGAGCACGACGGCCAGATTCGGTTTTTTCGCTGCCTGTGAAGCCCCAGAGGGGTGGGCAGACAACTCGGTATTTGGCCCAGAGGATGTCGGACAAGTGGATATCCTTGTACAAGAAGGTCGGGTAGGAAAAAATCTGTGCAATTAGAATACCTACAGGCTCAGCGTGCTGGGGATTACTAGCACCTTCGTTGACAAGGGCGGAGATTGAGCGTTTGGCAAGGATGTTAAGACCGTAAATGAGTAGGGCGGGAATCTTCTGCTCTGAACCAGCAATTTCCTCTGGAGGGAAAGCAAGAAATCGGCGAATGTCGACAGTGGGCTCCGCAACTTTGCAAGCCCCCTGGAGATTCGAACGAATCTCTTGCATCTATATGGCGAAGCGAATATGTTAGCTTAACTGATCAAGAGCTTTATCAGACTAAAGGAAAGCCTCACCTGTATCGTGTTGGTACCCTTTCCAACTCGCAGCTGACCCACGGACTTCGTAATGGAACGGCGCAGGTCGCCCATCGCCTTCTTGAACTCCGGCTGCGTCTTCCCGAGTTCCGTAAGCCATTTTCGCATCTCCTTGAGGGTCTTGTGCAGTTCCAGATATCGCTCATGAACCTTGAGCTCTTCAGGAATGACTATGCTACCACCCGTCTTCTGCTGCAGTTGGGCACGAGCTTTTTCCTCTTCAGCCTGCTGGGCTTTCTTCGCCTCCTCTTCCTTAGCCCGTTTCTCAGCCTGTTTCGCGGCTTCCTCCTTCTCTAGCTTTTGGCGTTGCTCGCGTTCTTGTCTCTCCTGAGTCTCCCGTCGTGCACGCTCTGCATCTTCCTCGGCCTTCTTCTTTTGGGCCTCCTTAGCTTTGCGCTCGGCCTCGAGACGAGCCGCCTCCTCCTGTTGACGACGAAGCTTTTCAGCCTTTTCGCGTTCGATTCGTTCCCGTTCCTTGCGAGCTGCCTCCTCCCGCTGGCGGCGCTGTTCCTCTTCCGCGCGATTGTGATCCCTCAGTAGAGCCTCAGCTTCTTCGCGGATTCGGTCATGAAAGGCGACGGCCTCGTCAAGGGCTGCAGAATGAACTGCTTCGCGCTCGCGGTCGATGCGCTCAAGGTTCTCATAATAGGTCTTTCGCTCGTAGGCATGAACTCTCTTGAGGTCGGCCTCGAAGATCCTAGTTTGCTCAAGTTCTTGGGCGAGGTCAAGTATGAGCTGCTTCGATGGGCTGTCGAGAGGCGGAACGTGGTTTCTAAATCGCGTCATGACGAATATATTCGGAGAGGATGTTTGGTGAATATATTGGGCGAAGATAGTGAGAGAAGTTGTGGGAGTGTGAATGGAGAGGGAGAGGAGGAAGGAAGAAGATGGTCGTTATTTGGGGGTTTAAAGACGAAAGGTATCAGGTGACGAAGTTCACGTTTGAGAATGGCAAATGAAAGGTTGGTGAAATGAAGTGAGCGATTAGGCTACATTCAGCGCCATAATATGGGGTATTCGAATGGTTGCTAAATAGCTTGAAGGTGCTGAGAGTATCCCGTCTCAGAAAATGAAGCAGGTTTGAATGGGTCTGACGCGAATAGGATTGTGACGCCGGGTGGTGTAGATTTGGAAGTTGAATGTGATCCTTAACTTTCAAAGGAGTGTCGATAGGTTGGTAGGGGTGTAATGAGTGTTTGAGGACCGGGGGTGCAAGATTGGGGGTGTTCAACCAAGGCTGTTTATATCAGTGAGGCCCTCGATCCGACACTAATCAGGTATACTGGTTGGCGCGTGCAGCCTCCACTCCCAAGCAACAAGACCAAATTAGCAATTGCAATTCAGCAATTCCAATCGTGATCGTAATCACAAGAGAATGTTTCTTGTTAACGTCGGGTCCGACTTCTCTGGGATGTTTGGAAGGGGTATCTTGGGTATCTTGACCTTGGACTGATGAAGGAATAGAAAATAAGTTACGTAAATTACCAGATGAGTCAGCAGGACCCGCGGTCACGGATCAAAGTGTGGTTCAAGTGTGGTCCATTTCATCATCATGATCATCATTGATGCCCAGCTGTCTGAAGCAGATTAATTTGATATTTGACAGTTGTTTTATCTCTTTTCATATTTCTTGACTAGTTATGTGTTAAGCTGTGGCTGTCCGTATTGAACAACGACACTCGTGTCTATATAGAAAACGACGTCTTTCCAGGCGTTTTTCCCAGACCATGCCCCCGGAAACCAGTAGGCTATCTATCCTCTTAATAGACAGTCTACCTGATCTGTACATAAATGAATATATGCAGGGGGGTAGGGGTGTAATGACTGGAGATTTTTCTAGGCTTTCTATATTTGCTGCTATATGATATGTAGCTCATTTCAAGTGCATGTACATTAGTGCGCCGCCAACCAACACTTCGTCGATGTGAGCTTTAGATTGGCTACCTCATTACCCTTTAAAAAGCTACTAGTAGTATTAAACCGGAGATGGCGTCAACCAGTAGATCCCTGTCTCCCAAATCACCCGGAGTGGTTTGCCCTATGTTCAATACAGCTTGTCTTGCTGGGATCGAATAGAGATCAAAGACTCAGAAGACTGGGATGGCAATTTTAATCCCCCCATGACGCTGAGGAAGGTCGGGAAGCAATGGAGATCATCCACGGCATCCGCTGGAGAGGGGACGGGTGTATGAGTTGTGACGGAGACCGGTTATGACGGGAATGTTATCCTTATCTGGCGTACTGTCTCCCGAGTTTGGTAGGTATAGAAACCGTAATAACGGTTACATACCAATAATACGCAGCAGTTCTCCCCACACCCGCTTTGTATGGATCCATCATCACTGTCTTTCTTCTCCTTTCCCCCTCCTCACCTTTATTCTCTTCTCCCCCAATCCTCCCTACCTCTTTCTCTACCCCCATCGTTCCTTCTGATCGAATCTGTCGATGCGTGGATCGTCGATTCCATTCTAATTCCACTTGTTGTCATTCTCTTCGAGGACGTGCCAACCTGTTCACGTTTTCTGCCTCGGATTTCATCACTCGGTCCTTCCAACTCCTTATTCTCGAATCAAGCGAGCGTCGTCCATTTCAGTCGGTCCTTGCCTGCCGCGAATTACACATTGCCTGAGCAATTGATTCGACTGTTTCCTCTCTTCGGTTCTTCCGATCTGCTGTACAGCCCGCTATTGCTTCGTTGGCTTCTAGCAATTTTCATCCCACGTTTGACACCCCAGCGCAGACGTCATTTTGGAATGCTAGGGCTCGGAGGTTGCCATTAGCCTATTCATATCTTGCAGGTAAGGGAAAATCACTAGTTTCTTTTAAGTGGAGGATAAGCTCTCGAGGTAGCCGCGCACAAAGAAAAAAAAAAAGAGTCCACGATGTTTTGATGTTTCTATTGTCGCATCGATATTATTTGTGATTTGGCCCTCCTTGTTTTGGATATGCTTCATGTTTCCCCCCATCCCGTTTGGTTCATCCACAGGCCCGAGTGTTCGATCGCAACTTCCATTCTCTCCTCAAACTGAAGAACTTGAGCTTCCCCTCCTTCCACATCACGTCGTTCCTTCATTGTTATTCTCACCGGGTCCTACCTGTTCTATCTTCTTCATTTCTCTTGATCGCCTTTGATTTCCACTTGTTCCACTCTACTCTTCCTTCACCCGTGCTAATCCTCACTCCTTCTCGTTGCAGTCTAGTTCCCAACGTTACTCTTGTTGAAAACTATCGCTTGCACATAAAAAGCCACTCGCGGTCGCTCGGTGATCCACATACCCAGGTTTAATTGCCGTTGGAGGCAACACCAACCTCTCCCATTGTCGGATCCCTTCCGTCGTCCCGCATTTTACACTCTACAGTGATAATCATCCTTCATCAGGGATCATGGATCAACAGAATCAGTCCGGGGTTCCCGGCCCCGCTGGACGGAAACTCCACATTGCCCATCGGAGAAGTCCGTCTGAGCTTACCCCTTTGATGAGTATGTACACCCAGCACCTTCAACTTGTTTTCTCTGAAGCTTATACCTAAAATTTAGTGGAACAACTCGCGCTTCAGCAACAGATTGAGCTGCTCCAGCAGCAACAACAGCAAATCGCAGCTACACACCAACAGTACGTTAATATGGGCCTGCTACAGCCTCAACAGCTAGGTCAGGTCAACGCTTTCTCTCCTGGTGGTTCTATGGGAGGCGTCCCGCCTCAAGTCAATGCTTTCCAGTTCCCTCAGCAGCAACCAGGACAGCAGCAGCTTGGTGTCCCCATGAACCAGCAGGGCCATGGCTCTCACCGTCGCAACCAGTCTGCCCTCCCGGGTCTCCCTATGGGCCCACCTCCCGCTCCTTCGTCTGGAGCTTCCGGATACGCCGATTACGGCCAGCAAGGCCCTAATAACCAGAAGAATGAGAACACTAACCATGGTCGTGGTCGTGGAGCTCCCCCCGGTGGTGGCCATCAGCGCCGTCACTCTCTCGCTCTGCCTGAAGCCAAAAAGGCCGCTGAGTTAGCACAGCAGAAGAAAGCTGCTTCTGGTTTCCAATTCCCAGCTCCCGCCCCTGGCGCTGCCGGTTCGGATAACCAGTCTGCGTCCGATGATAAATCTCAAACCAGCACATCCCCTGCGCCCCAGGGTCTTGGCCTCCAACGCGCGGGCAATATTCGCTCCGGAGGTGGCCACGGTCGAAGCCAGTCTATGGCCATTGGTGGTAACCGAGGAGGCTCTATCTCTGGTCGTGGTGCTGGTGGATTCCAGTTCCCTGCACCCAGCGACGGTGGTCAGTCTGATAACCAACGCCGTGGAAGTCAGCCAGGCGGCCATGCCCGCACTGGATCCCGAAACTTTGATGGTAACTGGCGTCAGCCAAACAACCAAAACCAAAACCAGGATCAGAATAGGTCAATTGGTCAGCAACAGGGAGGTGGTTTCCAACCTGGCCACCGTTCGCGTGGCTCCATGAATCAGTCAATGGGCTCCATCGGTCAATTCCAATACCCTAACCAGCCCCAACCTCAGCCTCAATTGATTCAGCTGCCTCAGGGACAGGTCATGCTTGCTCCTCAAATGTTCGGTGGTCAGCAGTTGAACCCCATGCAACTCGCTCAACTCCAGGCTCTGCAGCAGCAGCAGCAGCAGGGAGGCCAAGGCATGGGAGGTCTGCAGGCCAGCCAGCACGCCCCACCTCAGTTGTCTGTTCAGCAGCAGCAACAGCAACAGCAGCAGCGTAAGACTCTCTTCACTCCTTACCTTCCCCAGGCCAACCTGCCCGCCCTCATCAGCAATGGGCAGCTGGTTGCTGGTGTTTTGCGTGTGAACAAGAAGAATCGTTCCGATGCCTATGTTACTACCACCGATCTGGATGCCGACATTTTCATCTGCGGTAGTAAGGATCGTAACCGTGCCCTCGAGGGTGATTTCGTTGCTATCGAGCTCCTTGACGTTGATGAAGTCTGGTCTCAGAAGAAAGAAAAGGAGGAAAAGAAGAAGCGCAAGGACATCACCGATGCGCGTTCAAACAGCAACGCTGGCAACGATAAGCTCGGCCGATCAGACTCCAATGGCGACCGCCAAGAAGTTGGTCCGGATGGAAGCATCCGTCGTCGTGGCAGTCTCCGTCAGCGTCCTACGCAAAAGAAGAACGACGATGTCGAAGTTGAGGGCCAGAGTCTTCTGCTGGTTGAGGAAGATGAGATTAGCGATGAACAAAAGCCCCTTTATGCTGGACATGTCGTTGCCGTCATCGAGCGTATTGCAGGCCAAATGTTCTCTGGTACCCTAGGTCTTTTGCGCCCTAGCAGCCAAGCTACCAAGGAGAAGCAGGAGGCTGAACGCCAGGCCAGAGATGGTGCTCATGGACGCCACCAGGATCGTCACCAGGATAAGCCGAAGATTGTTTGGTTTAAGCCCACGGACAAGCGTGTGCCTCTAATTGCTATCCCTACTGAGCAAGCTCCGCGGGACTTTGTTGAGAAGCACCAGGATTATGCTAACCGCATCTTTGTTGCTTCTATCAAGAGATGGCCCATCACTTCCCTCCATCCTTTCGGTACCCTTGTCGAGCAACTCGGAGAAATGGGTGACCTGCGGGTTGAGACAGATGCCTTACTTCGTGATAACAACTTCGGGTCTGATGACTTCTCTGATGCTGTCACTAAGAGCATCGGTCATGAAGATTGGACCGTTGCTAATGAGGGGGATGCTTTGTCTACTCGCCGTGACTTCCGTGAAGAGACCATCTTCACCATTGATCCAGAGGACACCAAGGCCCTCGAAGATGCTTTCCATGTCAAGAAGCTTGCTGATGGAAAGATCGAGATCGGTGTTCACGTGGCTGATATTGCTCACTTCGTCAAGGGCAACTCCTTGGTTGATCGCGAGGCCAAGAAGCGCGGTACTGCAGTGTATCTGATGGACCGGGTCATGAACATGCTCCCGGCTCGCGTTTCCAACGAGCTTTGCTCCCTTATCCCTGGCGAGGACCGTCTGACAGTGAGCGTCGTGTTCAAGGCTAACCCCGAGACTGGCGCTGTTGACGATGATGTCTGGATCGGAAAGGGTGTCATCAAGAGTGCAGGCCGCCTTAGCTACGAGGAGGTCAATGCTGTGGTTGACGGCAAGTCAGACAAAACTTCCGCTGGTATCACCAATGATAACATTCAATTGATGAACGTAAGTCTTGGGTCTTTATTTTCAATCCTTACTATTCCGTTTCTCCCTCCCCGCCTTTATTCCTTTAATCGCATTCTCTAACATCCTTTTCCTACGCAGACCATTGCACAGAAGTTCCGTGACGCTCGTTTCGGCAACCGAGTCGCAAATGTTCCTCCCCTTCGAATTTTGCAGCAACTCGACGACGAGAACGTACCTGTGGAGCATAACATTTTCGACTCCACCCCCGCTCATGAACTCGTGGAAGAGCTTAGTCGCCAGGCCAACTTCTTCGTGGCTCGCAAGATCGCCAGTGCTATGCCCGAGAAGGCATTCCTGCGTCGCCTGTCTTCTCCCAACTCCCGTCGCTTGACATTGTTTGTGGAGAGAATGAACCGCCTCGGGTACGGCATCGATGCTTCTAGCAGTGGCTCTTTGCAGAGTACTCTCTGTAAGGTGCAGGATGTGGATATCCGCAAGGTTAGTACAACCTCTCGAAAGCAGTCATCACTTATACTAATATCAGATGCAGGGAATGGAAACTTTGCTTGCCAAAGCTATGCAGCGTGCCAAGTACTTTGTTGGATCTAGTGTGGCTGATGAGCAGCGTCTTCATTACACTTTCAACGTCCCTGTTTACACTCACTTCACTAACCCATCTCGCCGCTACACAGATATCATCGTACACCGTCAACTTGAATCCATTCTTTCGGAGGGTGCTATTGAGTTCACTGATGATATTGAATCCCTGACCAAGACTGCCGATCTTTGCAACAACAAGAAAGACTCTGCCCACAATGCGCAGGAGCAAAGTGTCCACATTGAAGCTTGCCGCAGCATGGACCGAAAGGCTCATGAGATTGGAGGCGACCTCATTGCCGAGGGTATTGTGCTCTGTGTCTACGAGTCTGCTTTCGATGTTCTAATCCCCGAGTACGGCTTTGAGAAGCGTGTACACTGCGATCAGCTGCCCCTCAAGAAGGCAGAGTTCCGCAAAGACAACCGTGTTCTCGAACTCTACTGGGAGAAGGGTGTTCCTTCTTCTGCTTACGTTCCCGAGGACGAGCGTCCTAAGCCTGGAAACTCTCGCGCTGCCCAAGCTGCTGCCGCTGCTCGTGAGGCTGAGGCTGCTAAGGAGCGTGCTCGCGAGCGTGACGAGGCGATGCGCAAGCAAACCGAAACTAGCACCATGTCTGCGGACAACGTTGATGCTTTGTTCGACGACGACGACGATGATGATGATGATGATGACGTGGACGAGGTGACTGAAGCAGCTGCTGGTGTCTCTCTCAACTCGGCTGACCGGTCGACCCAGAGCATGCCCCCATCGCCCACTCGCAATGGCCATCACCAGCAGGCACCTCACCGTACTCGCTCCGACCCTAAGATTGCCTCAAGCACAAATGATGCACCCGAGAGCAAGCTGACCAACAAGGAGAAGTACTTGAAGCTGTTCAAGCTGAGAGAGGAAGATGGCGATTTCATTCAGGATGTGACCGAAATGTCCCGAGTTCCCATCATCCTCAAGACCGATCTAAGCAAGAGCCCACCGTGAGTGAAGTCCTTACTAACCTTGTTCCATATTCAAAAAGTTGAGTTGCTAATCAATCTGTTCTCCTACTCAGATGTCTCACTGTTCGCTCTGTGAACCCTTACGCTCTGTAAGGAAGTCCACGGTCACCATTTTCTCCTTCATTGGGATATATTATTGCCTGCCTATCCTGCAGATTCTTTGGGCGTTGCAGAGCATGGCCTATGCTCATGTTCCTACGCACCTACGGACATAATTCTACCCCAACATGCGGATCGAACATATTCTTATCAGGCTCACATTCCTGATAGCCCCCTCCATTTCCCTTTCATGGTGGCTTTGATACCAAATTTCATTCGGCCATTATCCCGTGGTCTTTCCGATATGTTTTGGGGGGCTCTTATACTTAACCTTTTTGTTACATGTCGCGCAGCGGTTGCCTCTTCTACTTTTTTGCCGGTTTGTTGCAAGCATCTTGAGTTCCCTTTCCCGGAGAAAGTGTTATGTGTGCCCAGAGCTTGTTCTCGGTTCCTTTTCTCCTGCTTTATCTCCGGTCCTTCTTTTTTATGGGACTGAGAACATGCGCGATGATTGGAGGTTCGAAGGAGGAAGATTGATTACAGCTCGATAGTTCCGGAGAGTATTTCAATTAATTCAGATATCTTACATAGTCCTTTTTTGGTCCGGATGAGATTTTTAATTTTTCCTTTGGGGGAAAGTACTTGTAGCTCCCAGGTACCAAGGTATAAACCCGTTCTAAATAAACTGTACACTCACATTTACCCTACTTTCCTTCTGTACACTTTAACAAAGTCTTCGCAGCCCGATCTCGAATCTTCTCCTGTATCCAGCACGGCAACCCCCTCACAAAAGGAAGCACCAATCCCGCAAAATCACTAGGTAAAATAATCTGCCCCCCAATCCCAGACATAATCTGTCCCACAATGGCATCAGCCACCTCCTCGGGCTCAATAATCTTCTTATTAGGAAGAAATCCCTTACCCACCCACTCCTGAGTCACAGGCGTCCGAACCCAAGTCGGATGAACAATCCTATATCATGATATCAACGTTAGATCCGAATTGTAACACACAACAACTATATTTCCAGAACTTGAAATGAATAGACTAGACTCACGTAGCCTGGACCCCATCCTTCCCATACAAAATCTTTATCTCATCCCTCAACCCCTCATGTAACGCTAATAACCCAGCCTTCGTACACGCATAATCCACATTCAACGCTCCACCCATAAACGCAACCATGCTTGAAACCGTAACGATATGTCCGTGGTTATTCGATAGCATATCAGGCATAAAAGCTTCTAGTAGATAGAAGTGCGAGATGATATTTGTATTGAAGATTTTATGGACTTTGGAGGTTGTGTTGGTTGTGGTGGTGGAGTTTATAATTGGTGTTGGATTGACGAGGGCGGCGTTGTTTATTAGGATTGTTGGGGGGCCGTGTTCTTTTTCAATTTTTGAGACTGTTGAGGCTATTGAGGGGGGGTTGGAGAGGTCTGTTTTGTAGAAGTAGGAAGGGGATTGGGATTGGGATTGGGATTGAGATTCAGAGAGAGATGGAGATGGAGGTGTGATGTCAAGGTTTATTGTTTTTATACCCTTTTTTTGTAAAGAGAGGATGATTTTGCTGCCGATTATGCCGCTTCCACCTGTTACTACTGCTAGTTCTTGACTTGCGTTTAGGAGTTGGTTTTTGTGGGAGTTGGAGTAGAAGTGCACGAGTTTGGAGAAGTATATGAGGATGGTGAGTGCGAGTATTGCTGCGTAGATTGGGATGGTTGGTAACCATTCTTTTATCGGGTATTGGAACATATTGATCAAGATTGATTATGAATGCACAGTGATGTAGTTGAGATTGGAATGTGGAATGTGGGATAACCTTTTTATATGCGGGCTGGTTGTATGACGAAGGTTCCAGAGTTGCATCATCGCTTTAAAGTTTATAGTTGGACGAGACCAAAGAAGAAATTCATTGTTCATGGTGGATCTTGATATTCTAATAAGATGAGATAAGATAAAAAACGCCTTGATTTTATGCAACCGATCCATGCTCATGCTTTCAAAAAATTCAGGTAGATAGTACCCATTCGTAAATGCGCCATTGTAGAGATTTAAGAAGTTTCATAGCCCCATGCTAGTCAATTCCATGCGAGAAAACAAGAAAGGGCAGACTTGAGAAAGATTCTCCAGCAATAATCTCAAAGCCGTCGTACACCAATTCGCGGCTTCATCTTCACATTCAGTCCCTTTTGTACACGACCAAGGACCTTCTTCGAAGCGTTCAAGGGGTTTTTGCCCGGTGACGCGGGCGAAGCCGTCGAATTCGGTGCTAGACCCATCGACATCGCAGATGAACTAACAGAGTGTCCGATCTGTCCAGCGAACAACCCACGCGCCTCCTTGAGACCACGGGACCCACTAGCAGTATCACGGTTCTCTTTCCCATCGCCAGCAAAACGGCGCGAGGCATCAGTCACCGTGCGATCCGGTACATCCTCATAGATCTGAACATCCTCACGGAAACACGTAGGTGTGTTCTCCCTCCTATTCGGTCCAAGTCGAGGTGTTTTGCGTTGCGGAGAAGCAGAAGGTGATTTGCGTAAAGGTCGAGAGAAGTTGGTGTTAACAGATGAAAAAGAGTTGGCGGCAATGTTTTTATCGGAAGAGCTAGCGCTCAGACTGTTCGACTTTGATGCTTCGTTATCGTTCTCTAGGTCTGATTCTGAGTCTACCAGCATCATTTCTGTATCTGGGTCTTCGGGGTATGCGATTGAGAGGACGGATAATGGCCTCTTTCCGAATGCGTTCTTGCGAGGTCTGATAGATGGTGGTGCGAGGTGAATGGGAAGAGTTGGGGAGAGAGAAGGATTGTTTTCTTTGCTTGCACTGATTGGGTCGTCGTTTTCGTTTTCGTCGTCGCTTATTTGCATTTGATCATCGGTAACTATGGGTTGTGGTGGAGGAACAATGTCACGGGGTGGCTGGATATATTCAGGTGTGGTAGACCGGTGGCTTGTTTTCTTTGGTATATTGCTTCTGATACGTTGTTGTTTTCTTGGGCGCTGGGAGTAAGAGTGGGAGTGGGTGTCTTTGGTTTGAGGTATGGAGCTAGGATCCTCGCCGCGGTGTTTTGCTTCTTTCACAGCAGCCTGAACGTCAGATTGGATCGGGGCGTGGATGGACGTCATCAGTTTCGCCTGATGGGCGAAAGTATCGTAGTCTTCGCGTAGCAGGTTTCCTGCTGTAGAATTCAGAGCTGAGTCTGGGTTGGGTTGGATAAGAAGGCAAGAGATAGTCTAATTCGATAAAGAAGAGAAGCACATTATTAGCTCAGTCACCGGGATTGCGTTCCGCTGAAAACCCTCATCAATCACAAACTTACAATGAGAACATCTCGGAGAGTCAATTTAGACTGCCAGTCTCTCTTCAATGTATCCACGCACACAGCACCAGTCTGTTCCTCCACATTGGGATGCCATATCCGAGTTCGAAAAGTAGCTTTAGGCGGACTATTGGGATAATCCTCCGGTATCTTCAGATGTAATCGCCACAAGCCATTAGAGTAGGGAGTCCCCGGCGGACCGGTCAACAAAATAGTCAACTGCGATAGGTCATCACCTCCAGAAAAGTGAGCATCATCTTGCGGCAATACGTAGTACGGCGGAAGCTTAGAGTGCAGAGCGGCGTGATCTGCCACCAGCCGACGGAGGTTGGAGATCTGGACCATGACCATATTAGTTATGTTGCTTTTTAAAGTAAGGCTCAATCTTGATCTAGGTGCTTTTGACCAGAAATGGGAACTCACCATCTTAGTGGGGTGGGTGTGGGTTGTCGGAGCGGGAGCAGCGATCAAAACAAGACGGTTACTTCAACAACAGGGCTGTTGTTATGGGGCTAGTTTGAAGTGTTTGAGAAACGCTAAACTGGATGGGGATGACGCGTGCGCGTTTCTCGCGTGAGACAAACAAGACAAAAGTCCATGGACGCGTTGCCTATTACACTTCCTATTTGGGGCTAGCGCTTACCTTATACGTTCCCCAGCACATGCGACTTGATCGAGGTACAAGATGTAGATGTACAACCATGCAGCTATGTTAGATACAAAGAATATCCTTGCCTTTGCTGTTGTACACCCTTCTGGATTATATCATAGCTACATCATTGAAAGAAAAATCGACTCGGTCATCGAGTTTCCAATGCACGTTTACAGGCAACAAAATTCTTAGTGTATCCAAGGCCATGAGCCGTGTATTTACTCTCAGTATTATGCTAATAATTATAATCAAATGCGAGGACCACAAACAAGTGAGAAACGGGTGATGCGCCGTGGGTATGCTGACCGAGTCACACATGAAAACAAAGAGGCCCAGAGCGTTGGGATTGCAAGTCCCATGTATTAAAATGTTCAGGTAACCAAAGGAGAGTCAAGATAAATAAGAATAGAAACAGAAACAAATCCTTGGCTATCCTTTCAACATCCCTCATCTTTTAGACTCAGATAGATAGTCTGTATATCCAGTGAACCACGATAGGGATCCCAAGTTGCCCATCGGAATATTTGCAGTGAAGATCACAGCAGCAATCGCAAGTCAATTGGGCTGCAACCCATCTCAAACATCATCACTTTATAGGAAAGCAAGGATAGCGGCACCAGCAGCGAGACCGAGGCCAGCAGTGGCAACGGAGCCACCAGCAGAAGAGGTGGAGGAGGAACCGGCGCTCTGAGAGCCGCTGGTTGAGGAAGAATCAGACGATGTACCGGTAGAAGAACCAGAGGAAGAGGAGTCAGAGCCAGAAGAAGTGCTGAGAGGGGTGCTGGTACGGGCCGAGCTGGTGAAGCTGCCAGTTGCGGCGGTAACGACTGGGGAGGTCAGACCAGCGGGGATGGAGGCAGCAGCTTCCTGGGAAGTAACAACGGAAGGCTGGCTGGTGATAACGGAAGGTTGACCAGTGACCACACCAAGGGAGTTGGTCTCGGTCAGATACTGTGTTGCCGGGTTACTCTGTAAGCATCTGAAATTAGGTGGTTGTTCCCTGTGTTAGCTGTATATGGATTGACTCACGTAGCTCTCGGTAGTGGCATCGACGGTGGCAGTGGCCGAGTCAGAGGCAGATGCAGAGGAGACGCTCTCAGCGGGACCGCCCTGGGCGACGACACCGGAGGTCAGGGCAAAAGCCGAGAGGGTAGCGAAGACAACGGAGGCACGCATGTTGGAAAGTAGGGTTGATTAAGTAGAGTAGAGTAGAGTTAATAGGGCTGGTAGCTGGTATGTGGGGAAGTAAACGGGTGTGGAGATTGAAGAAGAAGAGAAAGTGATGAAAAGCGAGTGAAAGGGGGGGGGAAAGGGTTTATTAGTGTTGTTTTGATTTAATTTACAAACGGGGTAGAGTCGGGGGAGACTTGTCGACTTTCTTATACCAAATCATAATCCTAATCTTGCCTTGAACGCCATCCGCCTTGGGACCAGTCATGGGCACTGGCATATGGAATATGGACTAGCGCGCCTCTGGATCTGCAAGGTCGGTGATTCTATTTTGGTTTCGGGCTGTCGCACCGGCTGGCTGCCTGTGCAGCACCAATGCGTAAGCTGCAAAGGACGCGGCAATGGGAAGAAACGAGAGACAACTAGAAGATACGAAGGCCAAAGACTTGGAAAACACCGTCTGGGATTGCCCAGATTAGTCTCAGGACCCACCGAGGTCAATTGCGACGCACCAGTGATATACAGGCTAGAGTAGGAATGGTGGATCCATCCAGTCTCCAGGCTTGGAACAGTATACTATGTATAGAGTAAAACATTCCTCACAGGCTTCTCCGTACGGATACAGGCAACCTCTAGTAATCAGTGGACTGTGTGCCTAGGAAACTTGGAAATATGGCACGACCAATCAGTGTCGTAACTAGTGGCGCATCCCAAACAACAAAGCACAGGGTAGTATACAGTAGTCTACAGCTAGTGGCAATACGGATCCAACCACTCAAATCAACACACAAAAGTCCTTCAAAGCTTACCTGTCACCGGGCTTGGCAGACCGCGTAGAGGTTTACGCCATCTTCTTCGAGTGAGTCAGGGTTTAATTGGTTATAATCCATCGAAAAGTCAGCGCCTATATTCAGAAACAAAGATGAGAAAGAGAAATAAAAAAACAGTACAAAGGGTTTGGGGGAAAACCAGGGTTTATTCGATGTGGCGTTCTCGGGGGGTGAGACAGGCGGGACTAAACGAACAAGTTACTGATCGCAGGCTGGAAAGTGAGACATCACTTGATCAAAGCTCTCCACATTGGACTATTGACAGCGAAGGAAAAAAAAAGATCGTCTCTAGGTTTTTTGGAATTTCGTGCGGGGGTCCAGAACTGCTTTTCTCTCTAAGAATTGAGGAATGTATGGATCAATTGATGCAGGGTCGGCTGGATTGACTTTTTCCAGACGAGAATTTAAGGGAGAATGTAATAACTGGCTGTGCTCAGACTATCACATGAGACGTCCTAAATTCAAAAAACAAGACAAAAAACAAATCATGTCAATAGATCACTATTGTCAATTACCCTGATTATTGTCGAGGATAAGTGGGTCTTGGTGCCATAACAAACGCCCTCTAATTTACTTGCAATTTACTTCTTTCAAACTGACCCTATATAACCTTGGAACTGACTCCATTATTACGGAGTACTCGCTATAAACCCCTGATAATATCATCTAATACTCTAATCATCCTAAATAACCACATAGCATCATAGCATCAAACTCATACTTCGTAATTGTCACCCCACAGATAATCATCTCGCGTTCCACAGCCACGAAATCACGCCAAGGTCTCACCTCGTCATAATCAGATCTCATGTCATGAATCTTGTACTCTCTTCAATCCCCTTGAGAAACATTGACATCGAACCAAGTCCCTGCAGGGAAGACCCGTCCAGGCTGCCCTTTTTAAGCTTGAATCGATCCATGCAACGGTCCTGGTTCAGCCTGCCTCTGTGCAACGAGACGCGTATGCTATGATGACTACCTACATGGTACTGTCATTGCCATGAGTATGAACTGTGGATTTAACACTGCGCATTATACACTATTACTGGGAGTACTCGTGGGGATTCTCGTGGGGATAGATATTGTGTTTGCCTGTTCGACTGCATATCAACATTGAATTATAGTCCGTTTCCTGAGTGTCTCAATTTCCAAGGTTGTATATTGGATTATACCAACACAGCTGCGCCATATGCATGCTGATCTCTACAACGCCCTTACCAGCAAACTTAACATGAATCCAGACCCTACCCAATCCACTCATCAGTGCATATGATCCACCCGGCAAAGAGGCTTAGCCAGTCGATATTGAAAAACAAATGAATTATTTAATTTTGAAAAGGTGCCCAGCCAAGACAAGAAGATCGACAATATCACGTCTCACTCAAGACACAAAGAATTAATTGCAACTCCCTGCATCAATGCATAATATACAAAAGACCGAAACAACACAACACAACACGATATGCAGCACACCATACCATGTGCCTAGCCAAATCTATCATATCACATCGAATCGAATCGCATCGCATCGCATCGCATCACTCCTTAACTAAGGCATCCCCGCGCATCCAATCCGCAAACTCCTTCCGTTTAGCCTGTAGAACAGAAACCTTCGTTAGCTCATCATGTCCATGATATGTAGGTCCTAAACCAAGCAGAGCAGACGTATAACATGCAGATATGCAATATCTGCTACCTGCCAGTTCGACGTAAAGGTATGCGTAAAGCAAGACTCACCCGAATATCCCAAAAGTTATATCTCTCCTCCAACGCCATATACGGGTTCCTTGCACCACCGTCCCGCTCAATTTCACCCGCCCAATCGCGCCAGCTAATCGGCTTCAATTTCTCAGCACCAAGCACGAGACCGATCGAGACAACAAGTACAGAAAAGAGTGTCTCAATTATGATATCGTGTGGGAGGGTGGTGATAGCGGAGATGCTCGTGTTACTGAAAAGAATGCTGTGTTCGTGGGCGGAGTAGCCTCTGTATCATGCCATGGTGTTAGTTGTTATCTCATTATATCAGGTATCGTATCGAGTGTAAAAGATCATAATATATTGGATCAAACGTACGCATGGGCGAGCAGGGCTAAACCGAAGAGTGTCACCACCTTCGGGAGGAAGCTCATGATGGGGAGGTTTGGGTTGGATTGTGGAGTATTCCCGCGCCGGGGGAATTGAAAAGGTTCTTTGTGGAGCGACCGTGACTGGCACTGGCTGGATTGGGTTTTGAGGGTGTTGACGCTAATGCTGACGCTGGGATTTGAGGTGATGTCCCTGATTCTTGTAGCTCTTGTGTTAACTGGCTTCGATCTGCGTTGGTCCCGCAGTTTTTATTATGTAAGCGTGTTTTTGGTCGCAGGAAGGCTTCAAGCCCCGTGGGGTTTTGAGATCACTATGATGAGCTTTGATAGCTCTATCTTTTGAGTATTGCCTTTAGTATACTAATATTGCTGTTTTATATGACAATGTTAAAGGGTCGAAACACAAGGTTGAATTCAATTGGTGGATTCATGATATAAAATCTTACTGATTGACTACCACCTATGCAGTAGGATCTACCCGAATAGTATATATATTCAAGTATTTTTACGCCTTTTGACGAAAATATCAACTAGTTTGCCTTCTTTTAAAGTTTGAACTACAAGGCCCACTAAGCCCCAGGAGCTCTCCTAGACAATTGCAGATTGCATGCCAGATATATGGGGATGCTACTCATGCGACAATTTCCCATACAAAACCTCAAGTTCCTAGACATCGACATGTTCAGGCAAAGTATGGTACATATACATCTATTTTAGTATCACGATGGCTTCCAGGGCATATCGATCGCTACAAGAACTTTGAATATGGACACGCTCGTCTTTTTAATCTTGTTATCAATTTACAACTGCCGTCCAACAAATTTCCAGCCCAATCCATGGCGTCCCGCGCCCCAAGGCCAAACAAACTTACCCCGCCGTTACACCCGTCGAAAACCCCACCACAGAGAAAAAAGAGAAAAAAAGATCAATCTACGCTCGGGAGCTCAAGGAGGATATATTATGGTCATGAAAATTTTTAATTTTTTTCATCAAACCGGCCAAATTATTTGTTTGGACTCGGGTTCTAGGTTCGTTACTATTGGGTTCCTAAGACATCAAGTATTCCATCATCACGCCATATCTTCTTCATAAACATGGGATATCGTTTACAGCTTCTGCATGGCAGCAATGTCGGTGGACTGGACGTGGTCCTCATCCTCCTCAATGCGGCCCTGGAGCTCATCAGTGGAGACCTTCTCGTCCTCGACGACCAGGTTGATCTGGAGCTTCTTGATACCGAAACCGACAGCAACCAGCTTGGAAGCACCCCAAACGAGACCATCCTGCTCAATGGCGCGGACGTTGGCCTCCATCTGGACAAGGTCGGTCTCATCATCTGTAGAACGTTGGTTAGCTTTGATTCTTCCAAGTATAATGTAGGTAGAGTTAAAAACATACCCCATGGCTTCACCTCCAGGGTGACCAGAGACTTAGCGGCGGGCTTGGGGCCCTTAGCAGCCTTCTTGGCCTTGTACTCATCAAGACGCTTGTTGCGCTCAGCGACAACAGCAGCATCCTCCTCCTCAGAGTCGGAACCGAATAGGTCCTCATCCTCATCATCCTCAGGCTTGTCCTTGGGGTTGACGGGAAGCTCGGTGGACTCGGGGCCGTAGGCAGTGAAAGCCTTGGAGGCGTCACCAGGAAGAGTGGTGAACTCAGCCTCGTAGGAGGCAATGTGCTTGTACCAGCGGGCGGCGTGGGGGTACTTGGCAGCGTCAGGGGCGGCGCTGAAAGCCTTGAAGCTCACAACATCGGCCTGGCTGGGGGAGTTGCTATCGAAAACAGTCAGTACTGAAAGTTCGACGAGATGATGATATAAAAAACACAGTAGTGCATGCAATTAACAGTCAAATAGACATAAAAAAGTTCAGAAATGCGATTGCTCGCGATTGGATGTCGTCAAACAGCGGGGTCTTAAGCCGCCTCTGAAACACGGACCAATTTTTCTCATCATGAAAAAGGCAGAGTAAAGCGAAAACCAGAGAAGGTCAAAGCCAAGCAAGTGGCAAAGCAACAACAAAAAGGTCGAGGGGATATTTCAAATGTCGACTTACCCAACGATGTAGCTACGGGTGGCCAGGTAGTTGTTGGCCACTGTGAAACACAGTCAGTCCAAAAGTTCAGACGTTTTCAAATAACATTGGCAAGGGGTTGCCTACGAGTAAGGCCAGCCTCAGAGACGAAGTCGGTGAAACCCATTGTGAAATAAGGGAGAGGATAACTTTTGGGTGAATTAAAAAAGGGGTGGAAAAAAGGTATAAGGAGGGAAAAAAGAAAGGGAGAAAACAGAGTGGGAGAAACCGAGGGGTAAAAGGTTTTTTTTTCCCGTTTAAATTGGGGCCCGGCACGTGACGCGAGTGGTGACGGAGCTTGGTCCACGATGAGTGGAGCTTCCGCCACTGAGCGCGATGGTGGTGGAGCTTTCCAGAAGAATCGCCATGATACAAACGACTGAGATATTAAAGCTGTTGTGTCCGGTCGTTGTGATCGCGCGCTGTTTCCCCAGTTGTATCCATAATGGCCGCTAGACTCTCTATGAGCGCCCGTAGAGGCCTTGTTCGAACATCCCCATCGACAATCCGGCCGCTTTCTACGATCCCGCACTCGTCGCGATTGCTTGCGGGCCCAGTCCGACTTCCTACAAGTACGTCCCTCGCGCCATGCGCCGGAAAGGCCCCGATATCACCGGTTCGTCACTATGCCAATGGCCGCCCTCACCCCCCGGGTGGTACACACCGCATGGACATGGGCGGAGAGCCCGAAAAGCCCGCGCTGGAACAGTTTGGCATTGATTTGACGGCAAAAGCAAAGGCGGGAAAGCTAGACCCGGTTATTGGCAGAGATGCTGAGATCCATCGAACTATACAGGTGCTGTCGCGTCGTACGAAGAACAATCCTGTGCTTATCGGCGCGGCGGGCACCGGTAAGACTGCAGTGTTGGAAGGCCTCGCTCAACGCATCGTCCAGGGCGACGTCCCGGAGAGCATCAAGAACAAGCGTGTGATTTCCCTGGACCTCGGCTCCCTCATTGCGGGTGCTAAATTCCGTGGTGATTTCGAGGAACGCCTCAAGTCTGTAATCAAGGAAACCGAAGACGCCCAAGGTGGAGTTATCCTCTTCATTGACGAGCTTCACACACTGCTGGGACTGGGAAAGGCCGAGGGGAGCATTGATGCAAGCAATCTTCTAAAGCCAGCCCTGTCTCGAGGCGAACTACAATGCTGTGGTGCTACCACCTTAAACGAATACCGCCTGATCGAAAAGGATGTCGCACTCGCTAGACGATTCCAGCCTATCCTAGTCGGCGAGCCCTCTGTCGCATCAACAATCTCTATCCTGCGAGGCATCAAAAACAAATACGAAGTGCATCATGGAGTTCGTATTACTGATGGGGCTCTCGTCGCTGCCGCTACCTATAGTAACCGTTACATCACCGACCGTTTCCTTCCCGACAAGGCTATTGACTTGGTAGATGAGGCAGCTTCAGCCCTTCGCTTGCAACAAGAGTCAAAGCCTGACTCTATCCGAGAATTGGAGCGTGATATTACTACCATACAAATCGAACTAGAATCTTTGCGCAAGGAGACCGATGTTAGCAGCCGCGAACGACGAGATAAGCTCCAGGAAGATCTAAAGATCAAACAAGAGGAAACAGCCAAATTGACTGAGGTCTGGGAGAAAGAAAAAGCCGAGATCGACAGCATTAAGGAGACAAAAGCGGAGCTAGAAAAAGCACGCTTCCAGTTGGAACAAACGCAGCGTGATGGCGATTTTGCTAAAGCCGGAGAGCTCCGTTACTCTACAATCCCCGAGTTAGAGAGCAAGTTGCCTAAGGAGGGAGCCGATCAGGATGCGGATGGACAAAATATGATTCATGACTCTGTCACTGCCGATGACATTGGCAATGTGGTTTCTCGAACCACAGGAATCCCGGTCAACAAGCTCATGGCTGGTGAAGTCGAGAAATTGATTCGAATGGAAGATACCCTTCGAAAGTCGGTCCGTGGACAGGATGAAGCTCTTTCCGCAGTTGCCAATGCAGTCCGAATGCAGAGAGCAGGTCTTAGCGGTGAGAACCGTCCGCTCGCCTCCTTTATGTTCCTTGGTCCAACGGGTGTGGGTAAGACTGAGCTCTGCAAGAAGATGGCCGAGTTCCTTTTCTCTACGGAGAGTGCCGTTGTGCGATTTGACATGAGTGAATTCCAGGAGAAACACACTATCAGTCGCTTGATTGGTTCGCCAGCTGGATATGTTGGTTACGATGACGCTGGTCAGCTAACCGAGGCTGTGCGACGAAAGCCCTATGCTGTTCTCCTCTTTGACGAGTTTGAGAAGGCCCATCGAGATATCTCGGCCTTGTTACTCCAGGTTCTAGACGAAGGTTTCCTCACAGATGCTCAGGGCCACAAAGTCGATTTCCGGAACACTTTAATTGTCCTGACTTCCAACCTCGGCGCTGATATTTTGGTCGGGGGCGATCCTTTATACGCCTATAAAGAAACTGGTGAATCCGAATCGGAGGTCCCATCAGATATGAAGAAGGCCGTGTTGGATATCGTCCAACATGCCTATGCGCCTGAGTTCTTGAACCGAATCGACGAGTTCATCATTTTCAAGCGCCTGTCGAAGGAAGCATTACGTGATATCGTGGACATTCGAATCAAGGAACTGCAAGGCCGACTTCATAGCCGCCGTATGACCCTGAAGGTGGAAGAGGAGATCAAGGACTGGTTGTGTCAGCGAGGCTATGATCCTAAGTTTGGTGCCCGTCCCCTTAATCGTCTCATCGCTAAAGAGATTGGCAACCGACTGGCAGACAAAATCATTCGCGGTGAGATAGTTTCTGGTCAGACTGCTCGAGTTTCTCTCGACGATGATAAAAATTCCCTGTTGGTCACCGCTGAGGGAGCTGCAGAAAACGCGTGAACGTTTTGATTGAATCTTTTTTTGCGTTGCATTTATTATGGTATAATTTAGGGCTTCAGTTGTTTTTCAGCATTTGCATTCAAGGATCAATCCTCACTCATGACTTGTACATTATGAAAGTTACTCTATTTATTGTATCCTATTTCAATTCAAATCATTGAAAATATAATTCATTCTCATCCATATAAGAAAGAAGCATTTGGTCCCTTTTTGGTAGCGTTACTAGTTAGAGTAGTCCTCGCAACTGGAAAGGCACAGCAACGTGATCTCCAGGGCCAGAACCAAACTTGGGCTCTATTAATTTGTTTTCTTCCCCTTCGACTTTCCTTCTTCGGGTTACATTTACGTTTGTCGTCCATATATTAGAGGCAAAGAAAAATGTCATCCTCGAAGAGAAAGCGAACATTCAATCCCCCTCCAATCACCCCACGAACCTCAAAGCTGAGGCGGAACTTTGACGCCCAGGCAATCAGTGAACCGCCTTACTCCCAGAAAACCTCAGCCCCTCGATCCTCACATTCAACTGCACGCCAATTGAGGACACCATTTCAAACAGAAACACACCCCGAAGGTGATCAACCAGACAGTATCCCCGATGACGACCTGGGTCATGTAATCGCCGCCGTCGACCTAAAAGACTACGGGACGGTAGGATGCGCTTACTACTCAGCAGAAGACGAGAAGGTTTATTTGCTTGGAGATAGTCGATCAGGAGGAATGGAAACAATTGATGCTTGTACATGCATTTCTCATTGCCAATATGTTTCTCTGAATGAAGAATAACAGGTACTGACCATCTCAAAGTGATTACTCAAATCAAGCCGACTGTGATATTAACGCCCCCTCGAGTGGATTTAACCAGTATTCAAGGCGAAAAGCAAAGCCTTGCGCAAGGAAATGGTATTTGTCCCAGATCTTCACTAAAAGTCTTCCATGACTTGGGATACTTAATCGCTTGCCTACAGATTCTTCATCATATCTACCTTACCAAGAGGATGTTTGTCCCACTCAAGATTTCAGCTACTCAAACGCAAAGAAAAGATTGATTGCCCTCGATGTATCATCTTCTCATGAAGATCGACTGCGCTTTTTTGTGCCTCACAGCGGTCTCACGGGACCGGAAGAAGTGGACCCTGACAATATGGGATTTACTCTTCACGAGGGACGCCTTTTACACATATCAAGCGCCATAGACATCGAAAATCCTGTAACTATTGGATGCGTCGGGGCTATTCTCACCTATTTGCAGAAGCGCAGGGCCATAAGCACCAGTCTGGAACATGTGGATAGCTGTGCTTTTCGAGTTAGATCTCTGGAGATGTTCAGTCTAAAGGATACGATGTGGGCCATAAATCAATTATGGAAAGGCATAGTATACGATACTAATCATCTATGAGATAGGTGGATCAACACCAATGCCCTTTTGTCTCTTCAAATAATACAATCCGAGTTCCATCCCAACATGTTCAATCAAGGCCCAGGGAAGAGATCGTCCTCCGAGAAAGAAGGTCTTTCGGTTTTTGGTCTCTTTCGCCGGTTTTCATCCACACCTCAAGGTAGAGCTAAGCTCAAGCAACTATTTTTCCGGCCAAGCCTCGATCTTGATGTCATTCGAGAAAGACATGATTTGATTGGGATATTCTCTCGACCAGATAACATGGCCACTCTAGAGAAGATGACGAAGGCACTGAAGCATATCAAAAACCTTCGCCCAGTAATGACCAATCTTCACAAGGGAATCAGCACAGGAAGTGGAAAAACAACCGGTTTCAAATCCACTGTGTGGGAAACTCTGCTGGCGGTATGTCACATCTTCAAGTTGCCGAGGATGGACTATACTAACCGACCCTGTAGTTTGCGTTCTATGCAATAGATATTCATGTTGCCATGCAAGAGTTATCAGGAGCTGAGCAGCTACAATTAGGACCCAAGGTTCGAGTCGTTTAAAGTCAACCTTTCCAGTTGGATGCTAACAATAGTAGGCCTTCCGAGTATTTGAAGCTGCACAACTGCATAGAGTCGGAAGAATGATCCAAGAGATCGTTAGTCGACCAATGGGAGCGCTAAAAACTTAAACTGACTGATCTTTTCAGGTTGACATTGACAATTCTGAAGAACAGGGAAGAACCGTGGTCAAACAAGGCCTTGATCGGGATCTGGACCGCATGAAAGATCGGTATGATGGTCTGGACAGTCTCCTCAAACACGTAGCCATTGAGATTGCAGAGGCCATTCCAGAAGACCTAGGAATCGATGTGAACGTCATTTACTTCCCTCAGCTGGGGTTTAACATTGCCATTCCACTCAATGACAGGGGCGAATCTGCATATTGTGGTGTTCATGGTGATTGGGAACTGGTGTTTATTACTGAAACCCGGGCTTACTTCAAGGATTTTCGGATGAGGGAGTTGGATGAAAAGCTCGGAGACATTTACGGGCTCATCTGCGGTAAGCCTTTATAAAAAAGAAATGGCATCACATCTCCTTTTAACAATAATATTACAGAGCGAGAAATTGAGATGGTGTACGATTTGGCGCAAAAAATGCTTCAATACGAGCATGTGTTGATCGAGGCTTCTGATATCTGTGGAGAGATTGATTGGTATGCATCATGCCAGTCTCTGAGTGGTCCACATGTAAACTAATACCATTACAGTCACCTCGCTCTTGCACACGCTGCTAGCTTCCATAAGCTGATCCGACCAAGGATGATACCTGATAATCTTATCAAGATTAAGGATGGCCGGTAAACAACACACCGTCTGTCGTGTTATTCACTCTCTTCAATTCTAATATAATCTAGGCATCTGCTACAAGAGTTGACCGTGTCTTCATATGTTCCAAACGATACTTTGCTCGTGGGTGGAATTCAAGATTCAGACACAGCAAATCTATCGGATGAATCACCCAGTATGCTCATTTTGACTGGGCCCAACTACTCGGGAAAAAGTGTCTATATGAAACAGGTGGGAGGGCTGTCGTCAATCTGGGTCCGCTTTGGCTAAGTCAATACTAGGTTGCACTCATAGTTTATCTCGCCCAGATTGGCAGGTATGTTGGATTTGATCTACAGAGAGCGTATGAAATTGACCCAGAAAAAAAATAGTTTCGTTCCTGCAGAGAGCGCAGAGCTCGGTATCACGGACAAGATCTTAACGAAGATAAATACTCAAGAGAGCGTATCGAAGGTAAAATAGTTATATTTTCCCGAGGTCTCCTCGACTCAAATACATTTTATTGATCTATTCTTCAGTTTCAAAGCACCTTCATGAGCGACTTGCAACAAATTTCTCTTTGCCTTAAGCAAGTCACTGGGAGAAGCTTGGTACTCATTGACGAGTTTGGCAAAGGGACAAATGAGAGCGGTTTGTCATGGTTTAAACTGTTATTTCCTTGCTTCAACTGATCACTGCAGATGGTATTGGTCTTGCTTGTGGAATATTCGAACATTTGCTGAGTCTCGAAGACTCCCCGAAAGTCCTTGCTGCCACGCATTTCCATGAAATATTCGAAAATGATTTTCTTGCCCTGCGCCCAAGGCTGCAGCTGGGACACATGGAAGTCAAAGTTTGCGAAGAGTCTCAAAATTTCGAGGATCAAGTGACGTACCTTTACAAGTGATTTACTCTGGCTCGGGCATAATACATCAAAGTCCTAACTCATCACTCCGCAATAGCTTTCGAAAGGGGCGCAGTAACAAGAGTTTCGGGGCAGTGTATGACTTTCATATCGGGCTTTGGCCTGTATCATGGTATCTGAACAGATGTTAACCGAGAAGCAATAGCTGCGCAGCAATAAATGGCATCGAAACATCCATTGTCTCCCGTGCCAATGAGATCGCCACACTTGCGGCCCGAGGGGAGAACCTCATCGCCGCATGTACCGCTATAACCCCTGAAGAAATGGAAGCGCTCCAAAACGCAGTATGCATGATCGTGCGGGTTTATCATTTCATCTGCACATAGTCACTGACTCAAATATAGGATTCCCTCGCAAGAAAATTCCTCGAGATAGACCTCACAAAGGGCGAGGGGCCCCAGCGGGATGCAAAAACAATTCTAGAAGAGCTACTCAACTTTACAGATTAATACTGGACTAGTATCAGCCTAACCTGTCTAATAAACTGCCTTGATTGTATTTCTGCTTTGTGCGCCCCGTTCGTTCTTTATTACCCCCCCGTTAGGCCATATTACAATGCCGATCTATACTACTAACAGTTAAATACTATACCGTTTTCCTCCAGTCGGGACTCCCACACCCGCGTTGCGGGGGCCCCAATTGACGAATTTACCCCGGTTCTAGCCCAGTCAGACACATTCATAGGCAATAATACGATGCGCCACCACGACGAAGATGCGGCTGCGGATGAGGCTGCTGGCTGGCTGCCACGCACTCTTTCTTTCATGCAACTTCCTTCAAATGCTTTGATAGCCCGTGACCCAACATCAAATATCTGTTTACTATTACCATTGCCTTACCTAGGTACCTTCTCTGTAACTAAGAATCCTAGAATTCGTCCCTAACTTCCCATCTGGGAGCTTCTCTGCACCCCACATGTCGCAACTCTCTGATCTCGTCCAAGACGCCAAGCTGTCAACCAAGCTCGATTCGGAATTCACGACACACACCTTCCTCGAGTCGTCTTCGGTAGTGGGTCGACGGTCTAGGCGCCGAGAGCGAGAAGAAATATGGAGAAAAAAGAGATATCTCGGCATTGGAACTTTTGGAACAACCTGGCAAGAGGAATGCGCAACCGATGGTAACGGTCAATTGCGGGCTGTTAAGGAGGTTCGCAAGACTGCGATTGGGGATAAATCAATAGATTACAATCGGGAACTTGAAGCTACAGTCAAGTTTTCACAGCAGAAAGTACGGCGCAAGCTTTGGGTTACCATGGGGGGTTTCAGTCTTTGTTAACAGAATATAGTTTGATGGATGCTTTGTCAAGTCGCCCGGATGGTTTGAGAACGAAGAATCGGTTTTTATATGTATGGAATATTTCCCACTTGGAAACCTCCAGCAATACATTGTTGAAGCTTTTCCAGAGGGGGAAACGCAGCATATGACTCTTCAGCTGCTTGAAGGTTTAGATCTCATGCACAGTAATGGATTTGCACATCGCGATTTAAAACCACAGGTACACGCCCCTCCCGAGTTCTATGATCTTTGGTTCTAACGATTGAAAGAACATTTTTGTTCTCTCTAATAATCCAGAATGGTGGATTAAGATCGGTGATTTCGGGCTCAACAAAAGAGTTCTACAGGGCTTGACGGGACTACAAACTTTCAACAGTGCGCCCGCATTTACGGCCCCCGAGTCATACAAGGCAACGTGGGAAATAGATTTAGACGAGCAGAGTAAAAGCTCAGACTTCGACCCGGAGGTTGATATCTGGTCATTGGGTATAATCACCCACTACCTGCTTACAGGGAGACTTCCTTTCACTGGAAAGTACGACCTACTTGCATACTATGAGAACGAATCAGTACTACCATCGGAGATTTTGAATAAGTGTCAATCTAGTGAGGACGCACTTGAATTCCTGAAAGATATTCTCAAGTCTAGTCCTTCTGATCGCCTCACGGCAAGAGACGCTTTAGATCACACCTGGTTGGCGCCTTTGCTCCATGACTCAGAACCAGAGGAGCCAGTCACATCGCCAGCGTCATTGACAGAGAAGACTATACCGCCATTACAGCCCCGGAAACCTAGGAACTCGTTAGATATTATGCTACCGGGAACAATTAACCTGTCAAGTACATCGACAATGCTTGGTCCATCAACACCTTTAACACTGCCTTCGCCTCAGGGTCAATTGGGCGACAATGCTCCATTGACAGAGATGTTCCCACGGGGCATACTTTCTCAACAGCAGCAACAACAACCAAAACAGTCGATTCTGGCTTCTAAACAAGCCAACGACAACCAGATACAAATGCAAAGCAACATGGGAAGCTCTGAAGTGGCCGACGAAGGGTATAAACAGATGCCAAACAATGCTTCACGCCCACCCAGCGCCTTAAACCTAATTAGCAACGTTCATCCTCTCCATCGCTCTGCTATGGAGCCAGAATCTCTCGTACAGTCTCAAAACAACGAATCACAAATGCACGACTCGTCTCTACGCCCTGCTCATCTCCATCAAGCATCCCAGCTTTCCTCTGAGATGTCTTCGAGCGAAGCAGGTATCGAAACCCTTCCACCGTACTTTCGACGAGACTCGGATGCAGCACCAATTCCAATATCAGATTTGGACTATGAGATGCCTCAGGCGGAAAGCCCCGTCGAGAGACAAGCAAGTGTAACGGAGAGTTCACGGGGAAGTCTCGAGCGACATAGCTCGGATAACAGATTCTCAGATAGGTTTCGTCGTGTTTCTGAAAGCATGATGCCCAAGCGGCACCAACAACGGTCTCAGGATCTTGGGAAGAAGAGTGATAAGAATATTGGGGTACCGTTATCTCCGACCAGGTGATTTGATTCCATTTTTGCTTTTTTTGTTTATGCCGGGAGGTACGAAATGCTTTTACTAACCAGTCTATAGCTCGAATTCCACGAAGGCGTCCAATAGTAAGAGTGCCTCTCGAAAGAAGACCAAGTCTCAAATTGTGGAAATTCCTGGTCGTTCGCAGTTTGGTGAGGGACTACCACTCTTCCCTGTGCGAGTTAAGAGATGAGAATTTCCACATGCCAGTTTGCGAGATGAGGAAGCCAGCTTCGAGTTTCAGGCCAAGTATAAAGTTTTGATTTTGTGTGAAGAGACATGATATTACGAGCACAGAGGCCCCTACTACCTATACTACCTATATTTCCTTATTGCTTTTAGGATACTCCAGGAGACTTACAGTGTCTAGCGTGAAAAGATGAAATTGAGTTTGTATATACACATCAAATCCTGTATCTGCCATGAACCACAGTAGACGCCCGTAGAAAAAAAAGACAACACATATCCATGTATCCATGAATTTTGAGAGCCATTCCGATCAGAGCTTGACACTCTTGACCAGGTTCTTTTTGATACCTGTAAGCTCACCACCATATCCACCACGGCTCTCGCCACCCTTATAGACCTGGCGAATACTGCCAAGCTTCTTCTTCTTCTCGTCATACTTCTTGCGCTTCTTGACACGGGGGTTGCGAGCAAGCTTGTTCCGCTTCGCTGCAAGACCCTTGTTCTTCTCGATCTGGTATGTGATAGCACGCTTGCCATCTGGTCCAACTTGCTCTTGTACCTCGACATGACCACCTTGGCGAGCTGCTTCAGCGTGGGCTTCAGCGCGAGCCTTCTTATCATCCTTGCGCGCTTTGCCCCGCGCAGCAAGCATATCGTAATATTCGTCATCGTCATCGCCAGAACCATTGCCAGATTTGCGCAGCTCCTTCCTGACGCGGTGATCTTCCTCGTCACTGTCACCGCCCAACTCTTGTCCGATATCAGGTCCTTGGCGACCACGTCTCTCAGCCTCGGCGTTCAGGCGAGCCTGTCGGTCCTTCAAGCGCTCGCGGTGTGGAATATCGGCATCACCACCAGCATCACGGCCCGCTGTATTACGCTTGTTGGCCTTCTGGGCCAGTTGAGATGTGTAGAATCGGAGAGAACGCTTCTGCTTCTGTTTCTCCTCGATTTCGCGAGCAGTGAGAGCATTCTCGTCACCAAAGTCGGAATCGTCGTCATTGGCAGAGGCTTGGGCCTTTTGAGACTTGCGCTTCCGGGTAGGCTCTGTGGCCAATTCGTCCAGATCAGCCAAGCTGGCCTCTGCTGCGCGAAGTCGTTCTGCGCGAACGGCCTCGGCCTCAGCAGCCGCACGCTCAGCCTTGCTCAGGTTCTTCTTCCCCTTCACCTTATTCTCCTTGGTCTGGGTAGGTTGTTTCTCGACCTTGATTGATTCAATCTTGCCTGGAGACTTCTGTGTCACTTGAATGACTTCTGGAGATTGGAGATCCTTGACCTTCTCCCATAGTTTTCGGAATTTGACCAAAGAGCCCATAACAGGATGTTGTCGGAGTTCCGCAGGGGACATTGGGGTATTGCCCTTTGTACCATCGGAGGACGAAGCGAGAAGCATAAAGTACATGTTGATGGTGCCCAGGTATGTTGACAGGGCGCGAAGTTTCACAGTAGCGACAGGTGCAGGTTGAGGATCTTCGGCGTCGGCTACTGGTTTTGAGGCCTCGGCCGCCTGCTTCTCCAGGTTCTTGTAGGTTTCTTGTAGAGCGACGAAATCCTTGGCCAAAGGCTGAAATTCGGGATACCTTGATTGCAGGATTTTTGACTTTTCTCCGGCGCTCATATCCTCTGTAATCTCCAGTTGTGGAAGTACTTCGGTGACAACACCAGCATCCTCTGCCTCGTTCTCTGCATCCTTGCCAGCATCCACCCATTCAGACTCGTCAAAGCCAAAATCGGCCTCATTCATAGCCTGAAGTTGCTTCTGCTGTAATCGCTTGGCTTCCTGCTCTTCTTCTAAAGCGTCGACTTCGGTCTCGATCTGGTCCGCATCGTAAAGATCCTTCTTGGTCGAACCCCAGGCCGCAATTCCCTCTTCTTCTTCTTCATCGGAGTCTGCGCCGCGCTTCTTCGATTTGCCCATATCACCGTCGGAGTCGTCCTCATCTTGATCATACTGTTCTGCGTCGAGATCATCCTCGTCCGAATCCTCGTCGTCGTAGCCTAAGATCTCCTCCTCGGAATCTTGCAAATCCTGTTCTGTATGACAGTGTCAGCTAACTGCTATGCTTGATATAATAAAATAACCAAAAATACCTTCTTCGGCAACTCTTCGTCGCCGCTTCGCCTCGGGGGCTTCCTCTAGCAGAACGTGATCGCGGCCGGCCTGGAATTCATCTTCGGAGTCGTCAAACCGTTCTTCAATGTCGAACTTGGTACGTGCAGGAGCTTCGCTCTTTGCTGCGGGACGACCGCCGGCCTTTCTCTTTTTGCCCATGATCCAATAATTTGGCTTGTTCGCTGGTCTGTTCACCTGGTCGTCCTGATTGCGATAAAATAATTTTTTGGAACCTTTCTCACCGCCCGGGCAACACTAGACCCAAAATGGATATTTTGCATGGTTTGCACATTTGGAAAGGCAAATACAGTTTTACATACTGGCCCCCACGTTAAATGTATTGTAATTGTGTTTTTTGACGATCTGCATACTCCTCTGGGTCGTTCCTGCCGCAACTTTTGTCAAGAAACACAACCATCAAGGCAATTGCGTAGAATTCACCTCCCAACTTCTCTCGTTTGTTTTCTTATCTTCTTCCTTATGTCTCAGACTCTATCTCTTATACCTTTATCGCAAATTTCGACACCAGTCCTGGGAATATCAGTACTCATCTGCTCTGTCATTGCCTTTACGATTGCCAAGATGTTCGGTTTCAATCGAAAGAACGAGTTCGAGGTCGAGGGTCGTGTAAGTACAAGTGATCAGCCCTTCTCTCAGATCATCTGCTAACTCCTATGTTCAGACTGTGGTCATCACTGGAGGTTCTGATGGCATGGGCCGCGCTGTCGCAGGCCAAATGGCTGGAAAAGGTGCTCATGTTGTAGTGGTTGCTCGCACTGTTGCCAAGCTTGAGGCTACTGTAGAGGAACTCAAGGTTTGTTTCTCTTGTCATCATTTTTTATTCTTTGGCATCAGTCTGACACATCCTCCAGTCCAAGGCCTTGAACACGCTCAAGCAGCGATTCCTTTACATCTCTGCTGATCTCACCGATGCATCTGAATGTGATCGAGTGATTGCTGAGGTTACAGCCTGGAACGATGGCTCTGCTCCCGATATCGTCTGGTGCTGTGCTGGATTCTGCCACCCTGGTTTCTTCGTTGATGTACCAATCACTACCCAACGGCAACAAATGGACACCGTCTACTGGACTGCAGCCAATGTGGCTCATGCCACTCTTCGCAACTGGCTGGCACCTATTCCTCCCAGTGGCCAAATGCGAAACTCGCGCCGACACCTCATTTTCACTTGCTCTACTCTTGCATTTGTTCCAATTGCTGGCTATGGTCCCTACTCGCCTGCTAAAGCTGCCATTCGCTCCTTGTCCGATACTCTCAGCCAAGAAATTGAGATGTACAATGGCGCCTATACTCAGCGACACCGCAACACAGCTCCAGCTGCAGATGTCAAGATTCACACAGTTTTCCCCATGGGTATTCTGAGCCCCGGCTTCGACAATGAGCAGCAGATCAAGCCAGAGTTGACCAAGATGCTCGAGGAAACCGACAAGCCCCAGACCCCCGAAGAAGTCGCCCAGATTGCCATCTCAGCTTTGGAGCGAGGCGAGTATCTCATTACAACTATGTTCGTTGGCAACATGATGAAAGGCACTGCTCTTGGGCCCAGCCCTCGTAACAACATTATTGGCGACACTTTCCTCAGCTGGCTCAGCAACCTTGTGTTCCTTCAAGTCATTCCTGATCTTCGCAGCAAGGCATTCAACTGGGGTAAAACCAACGGTCTTCCTCAACAAGCTAGTGATGAATAGTTGTATTTTCCCCGCGGTCCGCGACTCGGTGTTTGTATTATACCCTCTTCGTTGCCCTTCTGGCTGTTCCTTCATTTGGCCTTGATGGGCGTCCGCACTTTTGTGCTCCTATATAGCAGGGGGACCCTATATTATTAATGATGAAATCAATGAACCATTTTTTGACTATTTTGACTATCTTGCTTTGTTGTTATTCTTTTTTCTACATCCCCACCAGAGACATCCCGCATGCGTAGATGTGCCAAAACATGCTGCCACCCACACGTGGAATGCGGGCGGTGGTGACGTATTGCCGATCCAGCCACCCAGTTTTCTTTCAATTCTTTATCTTTCCCACGATGAGGTTCTTGCAATTTCTGGTGGGAAGAATTACCTTTGATGCGGATATGCTATTTTTGGAATCCTTTCATCCTATATCAACTCTTTGAGTCCCTCGAAAGCTCGATCGCAAGTACATAACTCGCTATCTCGCACCAGCTTCGGACTCGATCGACATCCCATCACCTACAACCACATTTTTCGTTCCTGGCAATCCAACCTCTGCCAGGAGAATACCGCTATAGTTTAAACAAAATGGACGCCCTCTTCTATCTTCCATTTATCAGTATTCTCCTCGTGCCCACTATGTCCTCCTACGCAACCACCCTCAACGTTGTCTTCTTCTACATGACATGGTCTACCCTCGTGCTGTCGCATTCGCCCTTACGAGTTGAGCTAGTCGGCTCATTCGTCGTGCGATTGCTACTGTTTATAATTCCGTCCTCTCTCGCATTTCTATTTGATATCCTCACGCCGTCCGCGGCTGTGCATATCAAGGCGCACGGTGAGGCCGGGCTGCCCGGGCTGCCCAGTGGCATAAAGCGCGGCAAGGTTCGCCCAATGGTGCTCAAAGTCGCAGCATGGTCGCTCTTTAATATGATCATGGGAACTGCCCTTCAAGCTGGTATCGAACATCTGCTGGTCCGGATACTCAAAGTTCGCAGCGCGTTGAAGTTCTCTGTGTTTTTTCCCTTGCCATGGTCTATGGCCTGGTCTCTACTCATCGGCCTAATTCTACGAGAGGTAAGAATGGTTTTTTTAACATGAATTGCCCCGGTTTCACTTTACTAACAAATTTTTCTCATTTAAGAGTATAACCTACGGCTTGCACCGCCATATCCTCCACAACTCTAGATCAGTCTTCACCAAGTACCTCGCCAAATGCCATAATGACTGGTACCACAGCCTTGAGGTCCCATTCCCTCTTACAGCGCACTACGACCACCCGCTCGTATATATAATCGGTCGATTTATCCCCACCTACCTACCAGCCATGCTGCTGCGCTACCACATGCTTACATATGTGCTTTATCTGGCAATTATATCTGTTGAGGAATCTTTCGCGTATTCTGGTTATACCATTATGCCAACCAAGTTTCTTCTTGGGGGCATTGCTCGTCGGATGGATTATCATCTCATCTCCAAGGGAGAAGGCAATTTTGGACCTTGGGGTATTTTGGATTGGGTATTTAGTACAACTATTGGAGAATCTGATATTGAGGAGGATCTTATGGCGGAAATGGATGAGGCAGAGATTGAAAAACAGGTTAGGAAGCAGTTGGAGGCTTCGAAGCAGTTGATTCGTGCGAATACTTTGCGGAGGAATACGGGTTCTTCTTCACGGCGAAGTACTAACAGTAGTACTACACGGCGATCTAGTATGAATACTACACGGCCAGGTAGAAATTCTAATGAGGGTAAGTAAACGTATTTTTTGAAATTTGAAATTTGAAATGCTTCCAAAGTTTTGAATTTGATGTATTTATATCTTTTTTAGTAAAGCATTAATGTTTGTTGATGCCTAGGTTACTATCTTGTGGTTTTCTTTTCTGGAGTGTTTGTCTGGCCCGTACTTGCGGACGGAGCATGGGGATGGCCATATCTCGTGATAGAAGTTTGGGGGTATCTCGTCGAATATGACGATGACGATGACGATGATAGTACTTCTGACTATGATATTCGTATGGGGGAAAGTGCTGTTATTGAAGAAGATGAAGATGAAGATGAAGATGATGAAGGTTTTAATGGTGGTCGAGGGGATGGTTGACGAAGGTAAAGTATTGTTTTTGACGATTCAATGTTGAATGCAAGGTTCAAGTCATTTCAGTATGCATATACAATTTGCAAGGTTTATAAACAATTTAAGCGTTTACGTTAGTTATACTTTCCAGCTGGTTGGACCATAGATCTGCGAATACTAGTACATACACATTTGAAAGTTGAAATTAGGTAGAGCGCTATGGATGTAGATTCTCGGCTCCAAACTGCAGGCTGGAAAATTGTGGAGATCATCTGTCTTTCCCACAATCGAGAATCCACCCCAGAGCCTTGAGTTAGATTGATTACGTCGTTGGCGCACAATGGACCTCTGGAACCTCTCAAATCCATAGGTATAATGCAGATCACGATATCGATAGATGCAATGGGCTTTAGAAGATTCAAGTTCGGTAGAAGTTATTTACTTTTAAGATACTACTGTTTGAGCAAGATAGATAGTGATAAATGATGACCCAATTCTTTTTGGATTGCCGCCTGAACCTGGAAATTGGAAGTGTATGTCGTACTGAACATGAAAGAGAATCCAGCAGGGCTGCTGGAGCGAGGTATTTTTTAATCTTTTTTTTGTTTGAAGTCTTCACATCACGGCCGTTCCCTCCCTTCCCGAGGAGGGAAAAGGAGGTCATGCTGAACCGGCCGCGCGCACGGAGGGGGAAAATAGGTATCTTGAAACATTGAGACAACAGCCGGATATCCGAATTAACCGCAGAATCCTAAATAAGCATGTAAAAAACGGACTCCGTATGGAGTTACATGAGTCATGAACCGCTCCCTCCTTGAACGCGGAAGGATGCCGATTTGCAATCAAGCCGCCCCTCGTTGAAAGATGAGTCCTCCCAACTATCTACCGAACCCGCGGCCGCCGCTTCGCACCTTTTTACCACTTCATCTCGTGGGGCTTGTCACCGTTGCGCAGGCTGAAGGTGGTGGCAAGGTAGCTGCCGAGGAAGTCCTCCTTCTTGATGCTGCCGAGGATGGACTGGTCAACGGCCTTCTGGTCGGTAGCACGGGCGCTGGCAACCTTCTTCTTCTGTAAAATAAATAAATCACACATTAGTACATGAATCGAGAATTATGACATATGATTCACTGATGGATCCATCCAGTGAATTCACGAGTGGTACGCACCTCGGGCTTCTCGCCCTGTTTGAAGAAAGCCTCCTCGGTCTTCTTCTCAGCCTTCTTCTCCTTGGTGAAGTAGTCGGAGGCGGAGATCTTCTCGAGGGTCTTCTGGTCAACGGAGGAAACGTCAACGCGCTTGGAGGTGGCGATAACGTAGCGGGCGTTAACACGGCGGATGGGGACACCGTTGATCTTGAAGGGGCCGGTAACGAGGAGAACACCCTGCTCGAGGTGCTTGAGGAGGATGACACGCTTGCCACGGAAGCGGCCAGCGAGGAGAATCAGGACGGTACCGGGCTGGAGGCTCTCGCGGACCTTAGCGGGGCGCAGAGTCTTGCGAACCTATATGCACAGAAACATGTTAGAAACTTGAATTCCCAAACGAGCATGACCCGCAATGAAGCCGCATCGAAGATTTGTGGGTTGAATTGTTTTTGGCGGAATGAATGCGAAAAGGGTGGTGGTGATTCTTGCGCGGTGCGAGTCTTGAAAAGACCCAGTTGAATGAGTATAGCAACTGGTTGCCACCCAAGTCTAATCGACAAACGCATCTCTTATGTTTAAACGCTGGATGAATTGATGGCTGACCAAGTCGGCTCGGTGCCGCTTTATCGCATTCATTCCTGCCGGTAATCCAATTCCCATTTCTTCCTCGATGTCGGTTTCGATTGCTTCGATGTATATCATTGTCCCAGGGAATACGGACCTTCTTGGGCTGCGACTCATCATCCACGGGGTACCACTTCTGAGCCTTCTGGGCTGGGTGCGGCACAGTCCGCTGACCCTTTCCGAACTGCTTCGTCTGGCCAACAGTAGCGTCCGACATCGTGGCTGCTGGGACGAAGGTGTTGTAGGTGGTTGTCGGTTGGTGGTTGGGTGTTGGAGGTTGATGTGCGGACTTGCAAGTGGAGTCCAGTATGAGGGTTTGTGGGAAGAGAAAGCCCTATCTCACGTGATGGCTAGCCGAAACTAAGCATGAGTCAGCTATCGGCGAGGCTTGCGAGGCTGGAGTCACGGGAATTACCTTGGAAGTGGGTCCATCTCGGTTCGGGTGGGACTCGCATCTCTCCAGGGCTGCTTATCTCCTCGCGGGCTGGCATAAGTATATGGGCGTTCTCGTACTCCGGATTTTGCTTTACTTTTACTTTGATCAAATAACATTTTCAAAATAGAATAGTGATTTCCCCTAATTCCACTAGTTCCAGAACTAACATGATTTCTATAGGACTGTTCGTCTCAATCTAACAAAACAGTCTATGGTAACAACAACCTGAACTGTACACCGCCAATTGATCCATTCATCCCCTAGCTCTACCGAAGCTCCGGGTAATCTGGAACGAGCAACCCTCCCTTGTTCTCGCTGTTAAATCGCGCCAGAAGCTGCGGAATATGGAACAAGCAGGCCAGCCAGGCCATGAAGCGTATAAGAGCAACGCCCCATTCAGATTCAGGCATCGCCAACCGGATAAGGCGAGTATTGATCTTTTGAAACTCGTCAACAAATGGCCGTAGAGTTGTGTCGTAATTGGAAAATGCCAATGCAAGATCATTTGGGTTTCGGCAGATCTCGCCTGCTAGAATATAGGCCCCGACAAGAGCTCCCGTGGTTCCCATCCCGCTTAAAGGCGAGGCGCAGTATGCTGCGTCTCCGAGCAGGACTACGCGACCCTTGGACCACGTGTCGGTGCGAACTTGAATGACTTCCTGGCAGTACCAATTATTGGTTGTCTTCATTCCTTTCAAGAACCGCTCAGTCTCCCATCCAGCATCCCGATATCGCTGGGCCCAGAACTCCTTCTGTTGTTCAACAGACGCTCTGTGGATGCTTGCTAATTCCGGATTAGAATCTCGGAGTGTAAAGTATACTTGAGTTTCTTTCGAGTTGTGGGTCCGACGCATAATCATTCGGCCTCCCGAGCATCCATAGGTTCTACGGATGTTGCTGTCTTGGTCCTCTCGTGGAATGAACCAGTAGGCCATATGCGCACCTAAACTGAAGCATGGATTTGGGGAGTCTGGAGATAGAATAGCTTTGCGAATACGAGACCCTTGTCCGTCTGCGCCAACGAGGATATCATAGATATCTGACGAGCCATCGGAGAAATTCACGAATACTCGTTTCTCGTCTTGTTCGAAATACTCGACTGATTTGCCGAATATGTATTTGACGTTATCCTTCGTAGCATTGTAGAGAACGCGAATTAAATCCCCACGCATGATCTCATATTCCGATGTCAAGGATTGCGCTCCTTTGCCTGTCCTGTTGGCCATGAAAGTAGCATGTACCTTTCCCCGGGAATCAACGATGGCCACACCGTCTTCATCAACAAGTTTGCTTCGTATGGTATCTAGGAGGCCCATTCTTTTGGCGACTTCAATTCCCTGGCTGCGCAGATCAATTTGAGCACCAGTGGCTCTTAAAACAGGAAAGCGTTCGACAATTGTAACTTGGTGCCCAGCTTGAGCAAGCCAGAAGCCCAAAGCTGGTCCCGCACACCCCCCACCACAGATAAGGACTTTGAGAGCCATGGAAAATAGCTGGAGTGAGACGGATGTAGTGAATAAATTTGGTGAGAATAAATGAATTTTGAATGAGATGGGTTGGCATTTGAAAATAGCGATCAGAGTGGCTCGTCATGTCAATATATAGTCCAGAGTATATAAATCGGGGCTCTGCGGACATTTACGGCATTTTACTGAAAACCCGAAGGCATTGCATTGTCATAGTTGGGAAACCACTACTGTGGCCCAGAAAGCATTGAAACGATTTGCATTGTATTGACATAGATTTGGAAGCATTGACACATACGTATTTAATCTCTGAATAGCTTGATGTTTACCTGTTCAAGGAACTCCCAAGTTTTGAGCATCAGACTAAGACACCAAGTTGAATCATTTCGCAGGTCTGAATGCTAATCTTGAGGATTTTTATTTTTGAATATTAGCTTGGACTCGGTATCTCAAAGGAGGGATTGATTTAAATCAGTATGTGCCTGATGACTCTTTCCTACTATTTTGTATAGTCACAATTGAACTTCAAGCTAACCCAAATATATCAGGATGGTCACGGTGTCATGCTTCAATTGTGATTGTAATTGAATATTGAGGACTTATGACAGGAGTTGCATAGCACCTGGGCAGGATATACCCACAAAAGCCCGTTCTATTTCCCAAAGACTGTATACATCATGATAACTAGTTTGTGTGGAGCAGATCTATTGTCGGAGTTTGAACGAATTCACCGTGGAGTGCGGCGTTCCTGCCTTGATGCCTAACTTTCAAGGTGTCACTCACGGTAGCCCACACGACCCTTCGACGCAAGTCAGCTGCTCAACCACAAACAGTGACTGACGTATCTTGAAGCTTCTCTCCGCCGCAGTTCCAGTTCCTTCCAGAAACCACATTTCATCCACCTGGTGTGGAACATATCAAACAGACAAAACTTTCTTAATTAGCTGGCTTGTATAGCAGCGCTTCTTTCATCATGTCGATAGATCCCATTATCACCTTCAAAGCAGGTATCTGCGACCTCGATGTGAGTGCTTCTTCTCGATGATCAATTGGGCCTATTCAACAAAAGAGGCACCCCATTTTCCCAAAGATAAATGCTAATTGGATCCATGTAGAGCTCCACAAACCCTCCTAGTGTGAAGCCCAAGCCTACCCCGGGCTACATCTACCTCTACTCCGAAGATGAGTTGGTACACTTCTGCTGGCGACCACGCAGCTCTCCCCTTGACGAGCCCGAGGTCGACTTGGTGATGATTCCTACCGATGGAAGCTTTACCCCTTATAAACCCGGTGGAAAGGATGCTACGAATGGCCGCATATTTGTATTGAAGTTCTCGTCCAGCTCCCAGCGTCATCTATTTTGGCTGCAATCCCAGCCTCAGCATGAGAGTGGTGACCCTACCTGGTTCAGCCCCCGAGACTTGAGACTTGGTGAAATTGTCGATGTACTGTTACAAGGTGAAGATGTGGATGTGGAGCATGAGATTGCCAACCTACCCCGACGACCATACGGTGGTGATGATGACGAAACAATGGAGGATGTGGAGGGCACAGACCATGACCCAAGCCACAACCACGGCGGAAGCAGTGGAGGTGCCGGTGCAGATGCGACCGGGGGTGATGTCCGTGAAGAAGGCCAGGAATCACGAGAGGGCGGTGCTGATGGTGGACGAGCGTAGGTACATATCTCTGCCTGTCGCAGCCAGGACTAGGAAGATCGTACATGCTGACATTTCAATATTCAATTTAGAGCTCCCATGGATTCCAATTCATCCTCGGTCGTTAATGATTTCTTGCAATCCCTGGGAAGCCGGAGACAGGCGCAAGACCCCGAACGACCTTTCACAACCCTACAAGATTTACTGAACCCCTCGACTACCTTACCTTTCATTGAGACCGCCGACGAACCCGCCACTGATCACCTTTTAAGCTTCTTGCCACCGGCACTGCTTCTGCTGGCCCAGGGCAATGCCGAAGCTGCGGAAGCAGACAGGGATCCGGAGCTTGCTCAAGCAGCTCTTCTTTCCTTGGAGCTTACTCAGAAAAAAGACATTCTTCGCAAGGTGCTGAGATCCCCACAATTCATGCAAAGTCTGGCCAGTTTGACGGTGGCTCTCCGGGATGGTGGTCTGCCAAGTATTAGTGAGGCTTTGCAGATCCCCGTAGCTAATGGAGGGTTTATGCGTCGGGGCGGTGTACCCCTGGGTGGGGGAGACGCGGTGGAGGCGTTTCTAGATGGTGTTCGACAACATGTTAAGACCAAGGATGAATCACAGATGGAAACGGATTAAATATGGATGATGTGTATTGTTGGCAAACCCCCCTTTAGGTGCTATTCTTATTTTGCATACACAAGGATTTATTTTAGTTTCTATTTCTACCTACTCCGTACATACCCGTGGACAGTTCTAGCCTTTATATTAGTGCTAAAGTATCTTAGTTGACGTGCGGAGTAACCCGATTCTTCAGCTATCCTATTTTTGGCAACTAAAAATTACCCAAAATCCCAGGCAACAATTATTTCCCTCCTAGTTAGTTAGTTACATAGTTTGACTAAGGCTTCGTCATCACATACGACAGCATTGGCAAGGAGGGATAAGGCTCGTAATATTTTTTTTTCCCGGGTAAAAAGGTGGAGATACAGAGTTTGTTCCTTTATATAACCATGGGAAAGAACATGGAAAAGAGTAAAACAATAAAATAAATAAATATAAAAGCAACAAATTTCAATAAACTTACAGTAAATCTAGTAAACTCCATAGAAATATCTGAATCATGGCAGGATCCATAGTAAGACAGCCAGGATGAAACAATAGGCGTTGGCCAATCAACACATGCCGCATTGGCGCTGTTCCCATTTAGTGGGTTTGCGACCGCGCGACTTTTTTGGTCTAAACGATGGTTCAGCTACACTAAACTGCTTGGCCCCAAACCCATTATTCATGCGCCGAACCGAGCGTGAATCTCGCATACTGACATCTTTTTATTCTTGCACTTGTTTAAATTCTTCTCATAACTCCCTCCCCTGAACTTCCCTCCCGTCGCCTGTTATTCCCTCCCTCTCAGCCTATCGCGGGTTGATCCACGTACATATTGCGATGTCTGCAATTCGATAATCCATACCCCTGCCTGACGATGGCGCCGAATAGCCAGAGCCCTGGCGACAATGACAGCCCCTCGAATCAGATCCCACTACAGGATCTGTCTAGAAATGGAAATGGCCTCCCCGCAAGTGGCCATGGTCGCTCCAATAGTGCGGGGGGCGGTGTTTTCTCACGCCGATCCTTGATGAGGGGACCATCGCGGAGGCAATATCAGAGCGTTGCGGAGGAGTCGCCGGTCGACTTAGGAACTGCGAGTAGGAATCCATTCGAACAATCGCCCCACAGACATGATGAAGACGCGGCCCATGATGATCTAGGTGCTCTCGCACAGGCCATGTCATTTGGCATCACTTTTGACGCGCCACGATTATCCTTCTCAGGTCCACCAGCAACACACGGATTTAATGATGGTGCCTCTGATCTCGATAATGTATCCCTGAACAACTATAACTCCCACGAGCCTGACGATTACCCGACCCATACCCACGTCGACGACGATACCGCAGGTCTTACCGATTCACGATACCTCCAACCGATCAGCGGCGCCCCTGTCTCCGAAGGACGACCGAGTAGTGATATCGCCGCTTACTCGACACATTCGGCTGATGGATCACGTTTGGGTGATGACCTCCCTCACATGGAAGATGGTTTGGGCCGGCACCGTGGCAGCTCTGCCCGGTCTCGTTCTCTATCCCCATCGGGGTCCGGCGGGGCGCTGCAGCGTGCTAGTTCGATGGTGAAATCCATGTCACAGCGAGTGGTCAACTTGAGTAATGAACCAGAAGTCGTGCAACAATCTATCGAAAGAGAGGAGTCCCACAAAAATGCACGATTGGAAGGACCCCCAGCTCTCCCTGTAATGCCCAACTTTGCCCATGATCCTACCCCCGACCTTCCACCGCGAGAAAAGCGGGCGTCCAGGACGATGTGGAAGTACCGAAACAATCCCTTCCGGGGCAGGGCTCTGGGTATTCTGGGGCCAAACAATGCATTTAGATTGTGGCTGTGCGATATTCTTGTCAATTCGTTTATGGAACCTTTCGTTCTAGCAATTATAGTTGTCCAGACCATCTTGTTGATCGTTGAATCCTCGAAATCGGTGTTTTCACGATCAGTAGGTATGAAATGGGGCGACACACCTTTGGATTATGTTTTCTTTGGTATTTTCATTATCTATACACTCGAAATCGGTGCTAAAATGTTGGTCTCTGGCTTCGTTTTCAACCCTCAAGAGTATAGTACTCTGAACCGCAATCTGGGAATCAGGAAAGCAGTAGCAGAGAAAGGTAAAAACCTTATAACACCTCATCGGCAAATGACCAAAAAGAAAGTCTCATTCTTACAAGCCGAACCGCAATCATCAATTCTACGCACATTTACTGGCATGAATGCACTGGAGGCTGAGGCGTCCTACGATGATCCACTCCACAAACGCCGTATTCGACTAGCCCATCGTGCATTTCTCCGTCACTCTTTCAACCGACTTGATTTTGTCGCAGTTGTCGCCTATTGGATCTCTTTCTTTCTCTCTCTACAAGGCGTGGAGACAACCCACCAGCTTTATATCTTTCGCATGCTTAGTTGTCTTCGTATTTTGCGACTTCTCGCCCTCACAAATGGCACTTCTGTACATTCTACCCCAGCCCTTTCAAAGACTGCAATACCTTTTGATCACGCACTGACCGAATTTAGGTAATTCTTCGAAGTTTAAAGCGCGCAGCGCCTCTTCTAGTGCATGTTGCCTTTCTTATTAGCTTCTTCTGGCTCTTGTTTGCCATTGTGGGCATACAAAGTTTTAAGTCAAGCCTCCGGAGAACTTGTGTATGGGTTGATCCCGAAGGCATACAAGCTAACTTTACCTCGAATGACCCATACGGCACACTTCAATTTTGTGGTGGATACCTCAACGCCACGACGGGCGAGAAAATGGCCTGGCTCGATGCTCATGGTGTGAGAAGAGACTCTTCTCATGCAAAAGGCTATATTTGCCCTCAAAATTCCCTATGTGTTGAAGGTACAAACCCTTATAACGGGACTGTGAGCTTTGATAATATCGTCCAGTCCCTGGAGCTAGTTTTCGTCATAATGAGTTCCAACACGTTCACCGATTTGCTTTACTATACCACCGACAGTGACTATCTCGCAGCTGCACTTTTCTTTGCGGCAGGTTTGGTCATTCTGAGTTTGTGGCTGGTGAACTTGCTAGTTGCGGTTATTACCCACTCTTTCCAAGTTATTCGCGAAGAGAGCAAACGTAGTGCCTTCGCTGTTCAACAGATCGACATCGTTGAAGAGGATGATACCACCGCTCGGAAAATCAGTACCGTCAAGTGGTTTTATGACAAAACTCAATTTTTTTGGATTATCATTATCATATACGATCTTGTCATTCAAGCCTTACGAAGTTCCACGATGGGAGATGAAAGACGACGCTTTATTGAGAACACTGAATTGGTGATTACGCTCATTTTTCTGTTCGAAATTATTGTTCGGTTTGCCTCGGATTGGCGTGTGTTTCATCGAAAGCGCCGAAATTGGTTCGATCTTCTCCTTGTCGTCATAACCTGTGTCATTCAAATTCCCCCCATTAAAAACTCGGGTCGTCCATATACAGTCATGACGCTGTTCCAGATTCTTCGAGTTTACCGTGTTGTTCTGGCAATTCCGGTGACCAGAAAGCTTATCATGGTTGTATTCCGAAACACAGTTGGTTTACTCAACTTGATATTGTTCCTTTTCTTGATGACTTTCCTCGCCTCTATATTTGCAACCCAGCTTTTCCGCAGCCAGATTCCTCCAGAAGACCCCGATGGCAATTCGATCAGCATCACATTCGCGGATATTTACAACTCGTTTCTTGGCATGTATATGCTACTGTCAAGTGAGAACTGGACCGAAGTGTTGTACAATGCAACTGCATATACCACTCACTTCAATACCTCGTGGATTTCAGCCTTATTCTTTATTCTGTGGTTCATTGTAGCCAACTTCATCATACTAAACATGTTCATTGCTGTCATTCAAGAGAGTTTTGATGTGTCCGAGGATGAGAAGCGTCTCCAACAGGTTCGGGCCTTTTTGGAACAGAAGCATATCGGCCAAGCTACCCAAGGTAATTTGGCGCTTTCGAAGATTCTGCGTCTAGGTCGCGATTCAGACCGCTACAAGGACCCGCTGGATCATGGTCCAGCAGCCCTGGAGATGCTTCTGAAGGATGCTGTGGTTCGCGAGTTCCTCGACGAAGAAGAGAAGGGAGAGGAGCAAAACCAGGAACGAGGTCGAGATTCGAAGAGCCATCACCGAGAACGGGAAGTACCTCCTGATAGCGCAGCTGTAGAAGTTGCAGAGACTAGTCAACCTGGTATTATTTCGCAGACAATGGCCAAGGCAAATGCTCTCATCATGGGCCGAGAACCCAATCCGTTCTATTCCAAACTCAAGTTTTCTCGGGCCTATGAGGATTTGGATCCCAGGACCATGGCTAAAGAGGTCGTGTCAGCAGCAGAAGCCCGGAAACGAGCCCAGCGCGAATTCCTTGTCAAACATCCTACCTACAACAAATCGCTTTACATCTTCACACCACACCACCCAATTCGAAGATTTTGCCAAAAGATCGTCGGACCAGGCCGTGGCAACCAGCGAGTTGAAGGTGTTGATCCTTACAAGCCAGTCTGGTATGTGTTTTCTGCTTTGATTTATGCAGCTATTGTGGCCATGGTGCTTCTTGCCTGTATCACAACGCCGCTTTATCAGAGACAGTATTTCCGCACTGACCGTAACTGGTTTGTTTACACCGATATGGGATTTGCAATCGTCTTCACCGTTGAGGCGGTTATCAAGGTTATTGCTGACGGCTTTTTCTGGACGCCTAATGCATACTTCCGCAGTTCTTGGGGCTTCATTGATGGAATTGTGTTGGTTACACTTTGGATCAACGTCGGCAGCTCCCTCACCGAGGATTTCAGCGTTTCCCGACCCATCGGTGCCTTCAAAGCACTGAGAGCTCTGCGTTTACTGAACGTCAGTGATAGCGCCAAGGATACTTTCCATTCAGTCATTATTACTGGTGGTATGAAGGTTATTGCCGCAGCCGCAGTTTCGTTGAGTTTCCTGATCCCCTTCGCCATCTACGCCGTCAACCTATTCAACGGCCAAATGATCAGCTGCAACGATGACAATTTCTCCGGCAACTTGACAGCTTGTGTCAACGAATATCACAGTTCTCCCTATAATTGGGATGTCATCGCTCCCCGAGTCGCAGCTAATTCCTACTACGACTTTGATAACTTTGGCGACTCTCTCTTCATTCTCTTCCAGATTGTATCTCAAGAGGGGTGGGTCGACGTCCAAGACAGCGCGATGAGCATCACAGGCCCTGGTATACAGCCACAGGATAATGCTGCACCCGAAAATGGCATCTTCTTCGTTGTGTTCAATTTACTTGGTTCCGTGTTTGTCTTGACGCTGTTTGTGTCTGTATTCATGCGTAACTATACAGAACAGACTGGTGTTGCGTTCTTGACTGCCGAGCAGCGATCCTGGCTCGAGTTGCGGAAACTTTTGCGACAGATTTCTCCGTCCAAACGTTCTTTTAATGAGAAAACTGCACAGTGGCAGCAATGGTGCTACAGGATTGCAGTCAAAAAACATGGTCGGTGGGCACGGTTTGTGACTGGGGTCCTCTGTATACATTTATTTCTCTTGCTTCTGGAGTGGTATCCTGAGCCTTCCAATTGGGAGATGGCACGATGTAAGTTTCCTTCTCGTTTTCTGTTTCTCCTAGCCTTTTTCATCTTGATTCTCTCCTTATACTACGTTCTTGTGACTGTGGATGTCGCTAACACAGCCCAGCCATTCTATTCTTCGTTTTCATGTTTGTCTACTTGGCCAACGTTCTCATTCGGTTCATCGGTCTTGGATGGCACCGGTTTAGCCGAAGTTCATGGGATCTCTACTCCCTGGTAGCTGTGCCTGGTGCATGGGTCACTACCATATTGAATATCGCAGCCTCTAACCAGACTATTCTCGAGTTGAACAAACTGTTCCTGGTCGCAATCACATTGCTACTCATCCCTAGAAACAATCAACTTGACCAGTTGTTCAAGACCGCTGCAGCTAGTTTACCAGTAATTGGTAATCTTCTCGCGACTTGGTTTGTGCTTTTCCTAGTGTTCGGCATTGCCATGAACCAAGCGTTCGGTCTCACGAAGTTCGGTAGCCAAGGAACCCACAACCTGAATTTCCGAGATGTTCCCAAGTCGCTTATCCTCCTCTTTCGATGCAGTTGTGGAGAGGGATGGAATGAAATTATGGAGGACTTTGCGACCATGGAACCCCCTCTCTGTACTGCGGATTCTGATTTTCTCGATGACGACTGCGGCAGTGCTGCTTGGGCTCGAGCTCTGTTCATTGCATGGAATATTATCAGCATGTACATTTTCGTGTCGCTGTTCGTTTCGCTCATTTTCGAAAGTTTCTCTTACGTCTACCAACGCAGTAGCGGGTTATATGCACTCAGTCGTGAAGAGATCCGTCGTTTCAAGCAAGCCTGGTCTACGTATGACCCCGATGGAGACGGATTTATCTCCAAAGAGCAGTTCCCTCGATTACTTGGAGAACTTTCCGGTATCTTCACAATGCGCATATACGATGGAGAATTCACTGTCGGCGCCATTCTCGAACAGTGCCGGAAAACGAATCCTCACAATTCCGTTATCTCCTTCCATTCGATGCGCTCACGAGAATCCTTGAATCCAATGATGGGAGGCAGCGGTGAAGATATCGTGGACGACGTCGACATTAAAGAGCTCAACCGCATCCTCAATCGAATACCAATCAATACTATCCAAGAGCGACGCCAGCGGCTGAATACCTTCTATGAAGAAGTTCTCGTATCGGCAGACCCAGACCGTGGGATTTCCTTCCACCAATGTCTCATGATCCTGGCCCATTACAATGTCATTAGCGACAGCAAGAGTCTGCGCCTCGAGGAATTCCTTCGTCGCCGCGCGCGCCTCCAACGTGTGGAGGAAGCTGTCCGCCGAAATACAGTCATCGGGTTCTTCGATACATTGTACTGGTCTCGAGAATTCCGACGGGCAATCGAACGCAAGAAGAATGGCCGCATGACAGACATTCCACAGTTCACAGTGCCAGAGATCTACGTCGATGACCCCGTAGACGATTCCGGAGAGGACGCGGAACGAGCCGCAGGCACCACAACACCCCAAACACAACCCGATCTCGAAGGTCCATTTGCACCTATGCTCTCACCTTCCTCAACCTTGCACCGGCGCGCCGAATCAAGTCCTACAGCGCGTCGGAATGACTTGCCTCGTCTGGATACTACTTTGACAGGTCGGGGATCAGGTAGCAGCACGCCAACAGACTGGGCCAGTATCAGTCCCTCGCGAACTCCACGCCACATGTATGGTGATCGTGGCTCGACTGATTCCGGTGCCTTTTCCCACGACGGCCCTTCAGGAGCGGATCACTCCCGACAAAATAGCGCCATGAGCGTTCAAGATGTCATGAATTCCCTGGATAACTCCGCCTGGGGTGAGAGTATTCGGCGTAGCTTCACGCAAAGGCGGTCAGGCGATCGATCAAATAGATCTACAAGATCAACGGAACGGAACTCGGGTTCCCCCTCAACATGATGTTGATGTCTTTGTCTTTACAAGAGACTAATATGGTTACATGATAGACGGATAGTTTTGGATTGGGAACCTTTTTGTTGATTGGCGATTTTCCTTGAACATTCTTTTCTTCCCCCACACTTTTCTTTTTTTCCCTACTACACCATCTTTCCCAGACATTTTTTTTTTCTTTTCTGGGAATTTCCTTTTCCTTTTTTTTTGTCCATCTTTGGTTCTGTTGGTGATTTCACTTTTTCTGTACAATACCCTTCTCGGTCCTAGAATCCTTGCAAACATCTTGCATAGCAGCGGCGTGGGATTCTGCTATTTTCAATTTTAGAACATTTCTTCATGTTTTCATCAAGCATAAGACCCTTTTTTCTACTTCAGAAAGCCTTATTTAGCATTGGACGAAATGACACATTGAATGTACTATACGTGTTACCTATACCTATACTCGTCGGAGCTACCTAAAGACAAATACATTATAGAAATTTGTATCTACCTCAATTTCAATAAGAACATGACCAGCCTGAGGGATAGGTATTGAAGCCTGGAATTGACTGCCTATTTTAAAATGAATGACAGGCTGAATCTCAAGCCTGCACTGGAGTGAATATGAAGTAGCACTGAGTATAAATTGTTTCATTTTACAGAGCTGTTCTTTTAAACCTTTTCACTACCTTCTACTCATTCTCTATTTTGAAAGATTCTATCTAGTTATATAGAAATATCTTGAAAGACTTTATATAATTTCTTTCGAACCAATGATTCAATCACTACACAGTGCTCTCTTACCACAAAGGCTTTTACTGCTTGCACACTCACCTCCGCAAAGTGGTTTCAAGCCCCCGGGCTTTTGGATCGGTGATATACACCAGGAGTTCAAGTTCCGGATTTCCATGACGACCAACATTGCAATTCAGATTTCTCATTCTCGTCGGATCGCAAGGTGGATGTATCGCCTTCAGGAATACGACTTGCATATTTTCCATGTCCCCGGCCAAGGGCAATGCCTCTTCCGTTGATCAACTCACTAAATACGCCCGAGGTTTCGAATTTGAGGAGGTTAGGGACTCCAAAACCGTGCATCTTAGTTTTCCGACTCAGATTCAGTATCGCCGTGTCTGAATCAGTCGAACAACTTCAAGAGTTCTTTGCCTCGACTTTCCTTTTTAATCATAGATATTGACTCAAATATTACGAGGTACATGTATATCCCGGATGTAATAACCGGCTCTACTAGTAGCCTCCGAGTCCTTGCAAGAAACCCTTGTATAGGTAACAGCAGCAGGACGATTGCCCTAGCTCTCTATTTCCGCCCTTTATTTAATCATCCTCGTTCTTTTCTAATAGAGTGTGGCGTGTACGTTAACTATCGATAAAAACGGTGTGAAATTCGAAGTGGCTGAATCGTGTGGGTCCGAACTATTGGATCGCCATACGAAACCGGGCAGATTGAAGGAGGCAGGAAACCACATTAATATCAGAATATCCGGATTCGCAAAGATAAACAATTCCGTTGGAGTTAAAAAAGATAAGATTTAAAAGGAATGATATAAGTATGAGCAGGATAGAAGACGTTCTCGGAGATTATGAACAAAGAGTATTGTGCCTTATACCGAGAACAGACAACCACATTCATCCGCATCCGGCATCGATTTCGTGTCTCAACTCCCCTGCAGCTCCCATCCTTGCAGTGGGGAGTTGTCTACAGTAATAAATTAATTCATAATACTCCTCCTACCCTCTTAATTTTATAATTTCCAGCCTCACTCTCTACTACAACATCAATTCAAAGACATGCGGTTTTCTCTCTAAGGTCTCTCTCTCCCTTGATCCCATCTGTCCCGCATTCCATACATCACCGGCCAAACCGTCACCAAAATGGATTTCCCAACTCCAATTTCTCCACTCCAGAATCAATCCTCAACTCCAAGCTCAAGAACAACTTCTCCCTCCGCATCCCCAACTACAAGTCACCGTCAACCAACCTCCCCACACCACCTATTCAATCTATCATTCCACCCAACCTCCAATCCTAAAGATGACGAAACATCTTCAAGTTCCTCAAGGGCAAATCCCCAAACGATCAGTGTGCTACCCTGCGCTGTTTTACGCGGGCGCTCTTCAATGATGCTCTTGCGCCGCCGTCCTTCAGCTGTTGATATGGCGCTCAGTGAGGAGCGATCGCGCTGCGATGGAAATGCGATTGAGAGGCAGGGATTGGATCTTATGGAGCCTAGACCTGTTGATATGCGTGTTGATGTGGGATCTAGTCTGGGTGGATGTATGAATGCGACTCTGGCAGGGAACACGAATGGGAATACATTTGCGACTGTGAATAGGAGTGCGAGTACAAATGTCGGTGGACGTGGATTTATGTCATATCAGCACCGTCAATCTCTGAAGAATCAGAGTTCGAATTCGAATATGAACCAGAATCAGAGCCAGCCGCCGTTTGTAATGGGGGGAATCTTTGAGGTTATGGAGGGCCGTGCTTAGGATCTTTCCTCTCGATCGGTATTGGGCATTCGGTCGATCATACCTATCGATGATACATTTATTTCGGGTCCAGGCTTTTACTAGTCTGGAGTTTTTGTTCTTTTCGTCGGAAATCATTGGCGTTGGGTTCAGAATGTATAGTTGCAGTGTTTATGGAAATACATAGAGCAGTGGTGCATGGGAAAACCCAGATGTGATGTATAGGTTCAGTTTATTTGGTTGATTTGCGGCTTCGGAAAGAGGCATTTTAATACGCGTTTATACCTCTTATACTATTTTCTTTCGGAATACGAGATATATATGTCTTGTTGGAGAATTTTAACAACTCAACTTGGAAGTAGATACATGAAGAATAAAGGTGAACGAAATGGTATCTTAAATCTATCCTGAGAGGAGACAAAAAGAAGCGAAGAAGAAAAAGGTAAGAATTCTTGCAACAAAAGGTATGGTGTATCATGGTGTCGCAGAAGAGCAGAGATTATGCATAAATGTATTGTCGTAAAGTCATTAGTTCGCATATGAAGCGTAAGGATCATGGAAACCCAAACAACAAGTACATAGCGCCGGTCATGCAAATGCAACCCGTTTGAAAATTCAAGAGCGCCATGTAAATAGGAGAGGATAGGACGGGGAGATATGGAGGGTGAGAATGAGGAAGGAGTTGGGCGATATTAATAGGATGGGGAATGGTGGTCGGACAACGCCAGTGCTCGCAGAGCACGAGCACGAACATTAGGTGGGCCTTATTCAGGGTCTCTTCTGTTGACTGGTTCATTTCTTGGTTTTGTTCTTCTTGTTCGGAGTGGCGTTATTACCAGGCCCCTTCTTTCGAGCATTTGGCCATAGCTGACCGCGGCAATTGGCCTCTCCACATAGGCATTTCACGGCACCGGGGTCGACTGACGTTGTACCATCCCAGAAGGGGTTGTAATCGAACGTGAGTTCAGTGCCAGGAGGAATATCCCGAAGAGCGAAAAAGGCAAGCGAGTAAAGTTTGTCATCGGCATGCTCGGTTGTGGACACAGGAACAATTTTGCAATTGGGATTGCAAGAATGATTGATGAAGCGGGTTGCCGAGCCGAATTTTTGACCGTCGATAACATAGAGCTGTTCGACTTCTTCCTCGCTATCGTCATCCGAGTCATAATCACCGCCGTCTTGTTCTTTCCAGTCCAAGGTGAAAAGATATGATTGACCCTCCTGGTTCGCTTGCTCGCGATCATCGGCTTCTTCGTCTGTGATCACTTCGCCAAAATATCGATCAATAAATTGACCTGCGACGATATCATCAGGAGACCGAATTCCTATTGAATGTCAGTATATATGGTTCGAAACATAAATAAACGTATCCTGTGAGATAATATGAATGGTCAAGGACAACATACCGAAACCACGGGGACCAGTATCAAATATTTCGAAGCCAATCCGACGACCACGTTGAACGACCGTATTCCAGCACTGGCCCTTACAGCTGCACAGCTCACAGCATTCGACGATTTTTGAACGACGTCCCAAGAACTTCGGATGCAGGACAATTCGCTGTTCTGGAACAGTTACGGCGTGGTAGGTTGTGATCTTTTCATCCGAATCCTCTTCATCGAAGAGACAGTCACATGTGGTTGGTCCACAAGGACCATCGCAATTGCAGCCAAAGTTGAAGTCCCTATCAACACGCTTCACACCCTGGAAGAGAACATAGTCGTTGACGAACCCAAATGTGGAGGAAAGTAACGCAAGTCTCTCATCATCAATATCGAATGTAATAGGTGGTCCCTCGATACGACTTAAATTCTTGTTTAGGCTGTCTCTTAACAACCTTTCAGAAGACTGAGCAGATTCAGGTCTAGACTCAGCCCAGATGGCAAATGGGACGATTCGTCGATCAACTTGTCGTGCCTTTGGATATACTCTCTTGGCAGCTTTTCTTCTCTCGACAGACTTGGTGGGATAAAATTGCTCGGACAAGCCCATGAATTCATGACCTCCGGGATAGGCGACTGGGGCTTTGAGAGCTTCTCTCTGTTGAGCAGAGGGAGAAGAAATCACAACTGCAAGCTTCCCGACTCCTAAGGTCCTAGAGCTACTCGGTGTAGGGCTTGGAGTGGATGGAGGCCGAGATTTGATCCTGGACCGGACTTCTGTTGAAAGTCCACCATGGAGAGGGAAGTTGCTGATAGAAGAAGCGTCTGAATCCTCAACGCTCTTGCGTTTGTTTGGAATGACGGAAGGAGGTTGCCGGTGCGTCACGGTCGACACAAATGTCATTTCCCCCTCTTTCACCGGCACCTGAGGCCAGACAGATAATGTTAGTTCAAGGCCCCGAAGTTCACCATAAGCTGTGACCAGAGGTTTGAGTGGTGATGGTCATATTCAAAGATATTGGTCTAATAGTGGAGACCAGAACATGGGAGTGAAAGGAGGGGAACATAAAACTTGAGGGTTTGAACTGGGAAAAAAGACAATGGGGAAAGAGAGGTCCTTATATTTGGCCAACGAGCAAGATGTGAGGAATGTGCCCAGGTGAGGGACATGATATACATAACACGCTAACCCATATGAGGCAAGAGTGAAGATATATCAAAAAAGCAGATCAATTTCAGTGCATAGAAATCATCACTTACCGGCTGTTCATCCATATCGGTGTCATCGGTCAGATCGATAAATATTCGTTCTTTAGAAGCCATATGGGAGGACGACATGAGTGTCGCAGGTTATGCTTCGCTTGTCCGGAAAAACAAAAAAAATCGATCCCTAAAGAGGAAGCGAATAGAGGATCGCTGCGCGGATAAATGCGCATAGAATGTGAAAGTGCCGCAGTCTGGATCTGAGACGCGAGAAGAAACGCGTCAAAATTGTGTCAGGAAGTAAAATTGGTTGTGTGGATAGCTTCAGTGTTCCTCGATTTGGGGGGTGGAAAGTGCCGAGACCAGGATAGATACTAACGGGTAGAAAAAAAAAAGGGAAAGAGGTACTCGCGGAAGAGGGGAGACAAGTTGCCTTCGTGGTTGGCTAACTTGACTGAGAGGACACAAAGAAAATCGGGGTCACTAAGGAATTGCAAAGGGAAAGTTGGGTGGACCGAGCGGTTGATAGATTAGTCAGCTTTCGTTTATATATAAAATAACTAGAAGGGAGTTATTTCATTGCAATTGGGTTCAAATGAGCCTTTGAAAGCTTCAAACGGTCAAGATAATGTCGAACGAATATTTTAGGAGAAAACAGAGTTCATAAACGATAGGGGGGGTGGACTTGGATGGCTAGGGTTCATATGCAGGTATTTTGAATAGGAGATACTGATTGGCGGGAATAAAAGGATGTTAAGGGGAAGCCGAATCCAGCGAGGTTGACACACTTACGGGGCCCCAAGGCGCGCCGGGTACGTGCAGAACCCGAGCTGCACCAAAACTGTAGGTCGTTGAACCTGCAGAAGGTATCGTACAGCACTTTTAAAGCTAGTGAGAAACTAATACCTTATAAATTGTATTTCTTATATGTTGGAAAATACAGAATTATACATGCAACAATCTTTGATATAAGAACAACTCGACTTGGGAGGATTAAGCGGCCTTTAAATAGTTTCGTTGCGCCCCAAGTGGTACGCGATGGCCACCAGTTGGCAGCCCGCGCGTAATCCCCAGCCAATCACAGCATCACACTACGTATCACGTAAGCGAACTATCCTCTTCTTACCCAATCATCGGTTGTATTAAAAAAACCTTATTACTAAGTGCACTCAAATTTGACTTATTCTAGAAAAGGCGTATTTTTTGGTATACATAGTCTGCTATTATATATGTTTTATCTAACAATGTATCAATCTTGAGGAAGATTCGTGATGTTGATAAAATGTTGGCTGGTTCAGAAAGAATTCAGAAAGTACGTGGATATCCACACCGCCTTCTCTATATGGACGCTGCCTACTTATGACTAAGTCCACCTATAAAAACTCACAGGTTGATTGTTAATGTTTTATGCTTTGTGAATTACTTACAGTAATAGAAGCAATTTCGAAAGCAATCCTTCAATACCCTAGGACATAAAATAGGGCAGAATTTCGACGCATCATGATTGCGCGAACGTGCGCAGGCAGGTTGAAGATCAGCCTAGGGATGCCTAGGTGGGCCTAGCCGAGCCTGGGACTGCCGAAAGCCAAACAGCGTACCCTAACGCAGTTGTTCATTTTCTTATCGTCCATACTAATACCAACACTTAGCGACAAAACGAAGCATCTAAGCTGATTTCCGACCGTGTGTTCTTCTTTTCCTGTGAACTTTTGGACCATCTTTTCTGAGACTTTCATGCATGGCCGCGATTAGACCTGCGCAGACCTATGGGCATGCTCATTAGCAAACCTGTCTATTCATGGGCATGCCTATATGGTATACTGCCTATAACATGCCTAAAAGTGGTGTAAATAATAAGATTATGTGATTTGTATAAAATATGAAGATATAGGCTTTGCGTGGCTGTATGGCTGCTGTATTCAATCCACTTTTATCAATAGCTGCTTGGCTAATAGAATGGGTATACCTATGGGCATGCCTATAGTATCTATATTATTTGTAAAGTCTGACCCCCCTAAAATCCTTATAATCAATAAAAGAAATTTCAATCTCTGGTACCTATATTTTGCACCTAAAATAAATTAGTTAAAATTATAGAAAAATAAGGAAAATTGATATCAGATCCTTATATATCTACTAATCTTTTAAAAAGGAAGAATAGTTAGCAATATCAAAATAGCGATCACTAGCTATAATATATAAGATAGTAGAGTATCTTCTATGTAGATAAATATATATATCTAGGTCTAGAGAATATTTATTTAGATATAATTCATTTGGTATTTAGCTATAATTAAGGTAGTTATTTCGAAATACGAATAAATAACTACTAGTAATATACAAAATTACCATAAATTAATGCAATGGCTTGGCTAAATGGGCACCCTGTCCATGGGCCGCCCATTGCACAGGTCTAAGTGAGATACATGAGAGCAGGATTGTGGTATCTGAGTCGGGGAACACTCGAACAAAAGCTGCTCTTCGTTTGCGGAATTGACACAATCGAGTCAAGAAACATTGAAGCCATTTTATCAAAGCAATTCGATGGTCAGTAATGCAAATGTAATACTCAATGTAGTTGCCACTAATGAATGATCATTTTCAAGACTTTGGACTTGGCTTACGTCCTCCAACCTTTAACCCTTTGATGGGTAGTGGTACTAGCCGTGCCGGAGGACTGAGATTCGGCCACCCCGTCGAATCAGTTCCAGTAGTGAGGGTACCTGAAGTGCAATTTTTACGATCGTTAGGGACCCATACGACGACACCCGGGCAACCTGAATTGATCCACCATGTATAATTTGAAGTCCTCCTGATACCCGAGACCTGGAATTTCACACTAAGATATATAAAATGGCGAAAACTAAAAGTTTTAAATGTTATTTAATGTGTCCAGTTGAAAAAGAGCTGAACTCGTTATTCTGCATACATAACTCCCACAAAAGCTATACAACGCCAATTTCCTTTCATAACTGCTTGGCGACGCTAAAAAGGGACTTGCATGAATGCCCATACCACAGCAATGAATAAACAGGAAGCCTTCAGGACATGTCTTCAACTTAATGTACAGCAAGAAGATGGACACGCTTTTCTAAAACGACAGTATAGAAGAAAGAGGGCGAGGAAGAAAATGATAAAAGCCAAACAAGTAGCGATGGATGCAAACCCGGAATGATAGGCTAAGGAAGAGCTAGATAAAGCGAGGGGGAAAACAGGGAGAACATGGTGCCTTTGAATGCGAGGGTAACACATAAATATGATAGATGCTCTTGTGCGGATACGTCGTTGGCAAATGTACCAGATAGAGGGAGGAAGAACATGGGTGTGGGGCGGAAGGAACATCATAGGACGGAAGGTAATAACAAGGGTTCCGTCAAACTTCTATGGTCTTGTCTCCTTTAGGAGTATGCGGTGCGTAAATAGATATTTAGCTGTAAGGCTGAATGAATCACAGTCGTAAAGCGTCTAGAATCTTCTTTGCCATCTCGCGGTACTGCCACATTCCACCGGAGACCTTCTTGAACTGAATGCCATGAAGGGAGAACAGAGGAACCTTCACAATGAGAATTTCAAATCGAAGGACCAAGTTCTCGCCGGTGTCGCTCTGGACGCGAGTAGTGGTCTCGCCAACAACCCGTTCCCCGACTGCGCCGCTTTGCTGATTGTCGCGTGCAACGAACTCTTCTGATGCGTCTGAGTTGGAAACGAAACTGCGATCTGGTTGGTTGCGACGGTGCAGCTTGTTAGATGCCGAGCGACTGTGATCACGGTTGTGATCGCGGCTGTCATCGCGGCTATCGTCATGGCCAAGTAGTCCACCGAAGCTGATGCGACGACGATGGGAAACCTGCCCTTGGCGATCTGGGCTAGGAGGATTGACGTCAATAACTTTATCGAGGTCAATGCTAGGAGCGTGTCGACAACTGAAGCCACCCTTGATTTCAACATATTCCACGGCCAGCTGCCTCAAGACACGGATAATGTCGGCCCGAATAACTGGCAGTGGTTTGCTACTGGTTGTAGACACGCTGAAGAGGCCTTTTAGATATACTGGCTTCGAGAGATCTTCGCCTTCATTCGCACTTTCTAGTGCGGTGCCTGCACCAGTGATGTCTTCATCGGTTTCCTCTGGCACATTGGCCTCACGAGCTGCTTCTCGGCGGGCTCGGCGGGCCTGGATGCTCTCGCGGCGAGCGTGGCCCAACGACATAGTTCGGGCAGTATGAGTGTGACCACCGGGTCTGGCAGCTGCTTGGTCTCTGGGGTCCTTAGGGATGTTGGGATCCACTTGGTCAGAGCCGCTGGTCGATGGAGGTTGGCGTTCAATGTCTAGACCATCAACCTCGGTCCTCCGAGCAGCCCGTCGAGGCCGGTAGTTGGCAGAGTTGACACTAGTAGAGCGACCCAGGAATTTGCTAGTTTGCCCAGTTGGTTCGCTTGAGCCCGGGGCTGCAAGGAAATCTTGCTGAGGTTGACTTCCACCAGACGGGATGGAAGCTGGGGACGGCTCATTCTGTCGAGTGCGTCGTACGCTGAATCCACGATTCATTGGAGACGCAGAATCAGCCGGGGGCTGTACATTGAGTGTTGGAGTGTTGGGCGTGCTGATACGCTCTCGTTCAACGTCGCGACTCCGGTCCTTGGGCTTGCGGGTACTGAAGCGTCGCAAAATTCCAGCAGCAGTGCTTTCCTTCTTCGCGGGGGTATCGGGCAGTGCTGGATGCCCGGATGGTGAGGAAGTGTGAAGGTTCTTGATGCCCTCTGTGACATCCTCTTCGCCATGGGTTCTGGCTCGGGGGCGGGATCGTCGGCCAGTATCTCTTTCACCAGGAAGTTGATACTGATTGGTATGAGCAGCCTCCGGTGGTGCCAGATCCTGGGGCGCTGATGTCACATCGGCTATGGGCCGAATTCCTAAAGCTCCAGGGCGACTCTCAGCTCGTTCACGGTCTACCTTCTCCTTTACGAGGTGATAAACTGAAACCAGCGGACTGTAAGCATTCAGAGGGTCATTGCCAAGCTGAATTGCTTCTGCCGAAGGTGCGGAAAGCGTGTCGCGACTAGCGGCCGAGTTGCGACGTTTATAAAAGTCGAAGACACCGCGTTTTCGTTCAGCCTGGTTGTTTGACGGCTGCTCGCGGAAGTTGAGTCGCACAGCATGTTGGTATTCATCGGATTCTAACACTTTCGTCAACTGAGCTGTGATGTAATCTGGCGGGCCGAAATCGAAGCCAGTCATCTTCTCGATTACTTCTTGATCCAATGGAAGTTGCAAGGGATCTCGATGGGGGAGGAAGTTCTCAGGGGGAGCGCTGAAGCCTTTGTTCATCCAAGGGTGGCTCATAATCTCAGCTAGGCTAGCACGCTGTTTGGGATCAGTGACAAGCATGCGGGAGATAATGTGACGGCATTCTACAAGATGGTATTAGAAAGAGACGAAATTTGTGAGGGGAATAATTTGGATAGATGCTTACCCGTTGTGAGGCCTGGTGGGTATTCAACCACACCCTTCTTAATTTTTGCATGGAGTTGAGGCATGCTCTGGTCATCGAAGGGTACTTTGCCGCAGACCAAGACGTAGAGAACAATGCCAAAACTCCAAACATCCACCTCCGGTCCAGTATATTGTCTCGCCTGAAGCAGCTCCGGCGCTGCAAAATAAAGACTACCACAGAAAGTCTTCAGAAGACTTCTGGGGGAGAAAAGGTTGCTGAGACCAAAATCAATGATTTTAATATCACCGGTTTTGCTGATCAAGATGTTCTCGATTTTCAAGTCCCGGTGGACGATGCTGTTGCGGTGGCAATAATCAAGCGCGCTCGCAATCTGGCGAGCAAACTTGCGAGCTTGCTTCTCTTTTAACTTGCCATGAGAGATAATATAATCGAGCATTTGACCACCGTTGACATACTCAAAGAGCATGTACCAGTGATATGTCGTGCGTACCACATCTCGCATGCCGCAAATATACGGGTGGCTAGTAAGACTGACAATGGCTGCTTCACGAGCGGTTCTTATTTCTTTCGAGCGGTCTGCCCGCTCAGTTTCTCGACCATTTCGATGCTCCTCCGTCGAGAGCCTGGGAACGATTTTAACAGCGACCTATAGCAAAGAGGAAAATAGTTAGAATGTGTTGAATGTACGTTGCGGACGAGATACCGGCACGATTAAAGAGGAATATCATACCTGTTCCCCAGTTTCCATATTCTTTGCCAGTTTGACTTTACCCATACTACCAGCACCGATAGTTTTGCCCAGTGCCCATTGGCCTGTAGGTGTAGTGATCGTCGTTCGGCGCCTTGGCTGTGCGGGGGCGGTCGGAGCGGTCGCAGGTTGTGAAGAATCGGCTGCGCGATCCGCAGTAGCGTTCCTAGCCATATCTACACTTTCTCGTTGGTGGCCCTGCGTGGATGAATTGCGCTGATGTCTTCGGGTGGAATCGGTCCGGCCTGAGGTGGTTGGGCGCTCTTGCGAGCGTTCGGAGGACGGCTCCCGACGAGACGAAGGCATTTTTTGAGCATTGGACGCTTCCAAGTCTCGACGGGCAATAGTCTCCAGTGCAGCGTGGTTTGAGGGCGGGCGGCGATCGTGAGATGAGGATTTTGAATGCGAATGCTGTGACTGTGAAGGGGGCTGGGAGCCGTTGGACGATCGGACCGCCACGCTTCGAGTTCGATGGGGTAGCTCTGAAGTGGGAGGGCGATGCGATGGGCGAGAGGATGTAGATTGACTACGGGCCACCGCCGGCGTCTTCGAAGCTGGTGCCGGGGCCGACATGACGACCAGAGCGAGTTTGTAGATGGGTGGAGGAAGTTGGAGCGGTCAAAGGGTACGAGCGGGGGAAACGCTGACGAAGGGCAGACACAGCCCCACGGGCTGGATCGTCCACCCGGTGATTCTACAAAGCCCAGTGATGGAAAAGGATGTAGGTGACAAGGATAGAATCGTAGAAAGATGCTGAAATCACCATTAAAAGAAAAGTCCAACAAAACAGGGAGAGAGGAACAAAGGACTCGGAAGAGATGGTGGAAAGGAAAAATTTGGGGGGTGAGGGTTTGGGCGCTTGACAGGGGTTTGGTTCGTCTTCAAGGCTACGACGGGAAGTACTAAGTTAGGCCTACTAGTATTTGTGCTCCGCATCAACTCTGTCTCTCTCTCTCCTCTTTCTCTACCGCACTCTATATATCTCTATCATTGCAACAAAGTTTTAATTTCACCTGGGTTTCACCCGGTAGACTGGAGAATGGATTCATTGTGCTATTTCCTCTCCTCTCCTTGATATTGGTAACTTTTCCCTGGCCCCTTCTAGACGAACATCCGCCCCCCCCCCCCCATGACGTTGTCCACGTTCCAGGTTCCATAGTGTGTTCAGGCACGGAGTTAGTGGGGATCTAGCCATATATCGCGCACTTTTGATCCACTTGGAAAATTCTATCCTTCCAAGTTTCATTGGTTCTGATAGATGAATCTCAAACATATGACCTCACAACCTCGCATGGCTTTGCTCTGGAATTCCGTGAATAATATCGTGCCTATATCTGATAGCATTATCCTTACTGTACAGAGTCGCTTATACATAGTGACGACAGCGTATAGTTAGGATGCTTGGTGTTTCACGTGATTGGATGATCACATGACCCACTATATAAACACGTTGAATCCTGAATCGTTAACGATCGTCACTACTTTATATTCAGCCTATATTCACGCTAATTTGAGATATTCATCACTTCACTCGAATTTAAACATAGAACAATCTCCCATATTAACAGTCTGTACACGCCCATTTGCAACCACACTCCGACTTGTCCGCTGCGGTGGATCCCAAACCACTTCGGCTACACTCGTACGCGGACGGGACACTCCACACCCGGTATCATCTCGATCATGGAAGAGAATAAAATCCGAGTCTCCGCCTACTCGCAAGGTAGGGCTGGAAGCGTCCGACGAAAGTCCAATAGCTGCCCGAGCACGCGTGGAGACACACTCATATAGAAGCCTAGCGCTGTCCTGCGCCCCCGCTTGGTAGACTCCGACCCCAACACAGGCTAGGAATAGCGGGTCAGCAGACCCCCACGGCGTAAAAGCATTACCAACATTATTGATCCCAATGGTTGCATCTAGTCCATGATTCCGGATCATATCAGGGACCCGGAGTGTTCCCCTTGCTCTTTCATGAGGGCTGCCTCCTCCCACTGGTGCAGCCATGTATAGATCACTGGTAGGTAAACCCACGAAGCTGACAGGGAGATCATTTTCCCGAATCAGGCGAGAAATCGTTTGCCATTCCGCCTCATTGAGAAGCGTTAGACGTGTACAATGTCCCAGCATGACACGCTTCTGTGTCGAGCAACTTGTCCAGCCCCGTTCACGGAGTATATGTAAAACATGCCATATCAATGGCTCTTTGGCAGGATCTAAATTATAATCCAGATGAAAATCGACATGTTTGTTGAATTTCAAGGCGAAATCAATAGCCCACTCGATATTTTGCTTCGAGGCCTCTGCACTAGATTCCACGTAAGGAGTTGTGCCTAGAACATCGATATGTGAATAATCACCAAGAGCGCTCTCGATAAGACGCCGATTTTCTTCTCCATGTTCACCAGAGAAGACAGGATCTTGCGCAAAGCAAGCAATCTGGATATGACATGCCTCGCTCCATTGATCTTTCAAAGTAACCGCCGCATCTAAGCAGGTCAACTGGACAGTATGATCAACCTCCACGAAAGCTCTCATCGCTGTAACACCAGATGAAACAGATTCAGCTAGTAACCATTCTCCTCTTTTTAGAACGTCCGGATAGGTAAAGTTTTGCTTGGCCTTAGTGGTAAAAGAGAGAGCCTCTGAAAAGGTACCGGTACAAGGTAGAAGATGTCCATAGTTCGGCGCATTGTGAACGTATGCTTTATCCAGATGAATATGTGGGTGCGTTAATGCTGGTAACACGAGGGGAGCCTGGGCCTTATCTTCACTGGAAGACTCGTGCGGGGTGATGGACGAGATTGTGCCGTGAGGGGATCCCGAGTCGTACTCGATATTGATGTCCCAGATAGAGGGAGAGCCGGTAAGCTTCACTCCCTGGATACAGGTGACTCTCTTACTTAATTTTGGGGGTGGCATGGTGTTCTTGAAAGATGACAGGTCTCTTATCATGCTTCATGCTGTGTCAATCTTTTTCAAGTGCCGTTGCTCCACATTGATTTCGGGGAACTCCGAGGTGCAGATCACTGCGATCTACAGGGTCTGGCAGTCTGGCCACACAGTGAACGATTTGGCTGGGAACTTTTTAAGTCATACATGCCCTTTTAAGAAGCTTTGATAATCCATTCATTTGCTTAAGTAATTCATTTTGTTTTACAAATTTTTCAAATGATTTCCTAATAAAAATATCTGGAGAAAGCAATTACTGACTGTCTGGCCGGAATACTCCTTCAGTCCATCTCTACTACAAAACATCTACAACTGAATTGGAATTTGGGAATTAAGAATATCGTATCTCATTCTCAATAAATCATACACTATGAAATTAAGTTAAAAAAATCATCAGCGACTCATACCCTCGAAAGTTCACATATCTCGCGTTCCTTGAATCAGATCTCGCCCACATGACACCCGTTGATAGAGAACCCATCATTGGATTATTTAGCATAAGGCCAAGTCCAGTTCCGAATGTATTCAGGATCAACACCATTCTCAAATGCCTCCATTTTACCCGCAAGTCGAGCATCGACCAACTTCTCCCTCACACTCGACGCAGTATTACCAAGAGAAGGAATCAAGTCAATTGCATCAATAGCGAGGCTGTACCGATCGGTTCCATTACGCATCGCCAGCTCAAATGGAGTATCAATATTTCCCTTTTCTCGATACCCTCTCACATGCAGGTTATGCTGACCTGGCCGCTTGTAGGTGAGACGGTGGATAAGCCACGGGTACGAGTGGAAGTTAAACACGATAGGCTTGTTATCGGTGAAGATAGCCTTCCATTGACGATCCGGCATACCATGTGGATGGTGAATACCCGAGATAAGTCGGAACAGATCTACAACATTGACAAAGCGGACTTTCAGGTCTGGGAGGTATTCGCGAAGAAGTGCGGTCGCAGCCAAGGCTTCGTGGGTCGAGACATCGCCGCAAGATGCCATTACGACATCAGGTTCTCCACCCTGGTCATTACTGGCCCAGTCCCATATTCCAAGACCCTTAGTGCAGTGTGCAATTGCGTCGTCCATATTCAAGAATTGGATGTGGTCTTGCTTGTCTGCTACCACGACATTCACGTAATTTACGCTGCGCAGACAGTGGTCCATGACTGAGAGAAGAGTATTGCCGTCGGGTGGAAGGTAGATACGGACTACTTCTGGGCTTTTGTTTGCGACCACGTCTAGGAATCCGGGATCCTGGTGGGTGAAGCCGTTGTGGTCTTGTCTCCAGACGGTGGCTGTGATCAAAATGTTGAGAGAAGCGACCTTAGCACGCCACTCGACTTCCAGACATTTCTCAATCCACTTGCAGTGCTGGTTGACCATTGAATCAATAACGTGAATGAATGGTTCGTAGCTGTTGATGAGACCATGGCGACCGGAAAGAATATACCCTTCCAACCAGCCTTCACAAGTATGCTCACTGAGAATCTCCATGACACGACCGAAGGGAGACAGATTGCCGCCATCTTTATCTTCTTCAAAGTAATCCGCCATCCAAACCTTCTGACCGGCTTTGTAAACTTCAGACAGCTTGTTGGATTCCGTCTCATCGGGACCAAAGAGCCGGAAGGAAGTCATATTTCTAGCAACAACATCACGAAGGAATTTAGCCATGTTGGCCATACCTCCTGCATAAGTCTTTCCAGGAGTGATGTCAGTGATTTTGTAGTCTCGGAAGTCATTCAACTGCAAAGGCTTGCGCAGAATTCCACCATTGCCGACCGGGTTGGCGCTAATGCGAGAGTTGCCACTAGGCGCAAGCTCCCTCAACTCTGAGATAAGCTTGCCGTTCTTGTCGAATAGGGTTTCTGGCTTGTATCCCTTCATCCAAGATTCCAGGATTTTCAAATGAGCAGGATTCGATGAGACATCGGTGATTGGGATTTGATGTGCGCGCCAGAAGCCTTCAAGGTGCTTTCCATCGATATCTCTAGGAGCGGTCCAACCCTTCGGAGACCGAAGTACAATCATAGGCCAGCGAGGACGGAATGGCTTGTTGGAAGATCGTGCTTGCTGCTGATACTCTTTGATCTCCTTAACGCATTGCTCCAGGGTAACTGCCATAGCTTGGTGCATGCTGTCCAGGTCACTTCCCTCCACGAAATAAGGCTTCCAGCCATAGCCGACCATCAAAGCGGTCAACTCTTCGTGGCTAATACGTGCCAAAACAGTGGGATTATTGATCTTGTATCCATTCAGATGAAGCACAGGCAGAACCGCACCGTCAGTGATGGGATTGAGGAATTTCGTGCTATGCCAGCTTGTCGCGAGTGGGCCAGTTTCGGACTCTCCATCACCAACCATCGTAAGGGTGATGAGATTTGGGTTATCGAAGACGGTTCCAAAAGCGTGAGAAATAGAGTATCCAAGCTCACCACCTTCATGGATACTACCCGGGGTTTCGGGAGTAGCATGGCTCCCAATGCCACCAGGGAAAGAAAATTGCTTGAAGAATTTCTGCATTCCTTCCGCATCTTCAGTCTTATCCGGGTACACTTCTGTGTAGACACCTTCAAGGTAAGACTGGGAGATGATTCCGGGGGCACCGTGGCCAGGTCCTGAAATGAATAGAACGTCCAGGTCGTACTTCTTAATGAGACGGTTCATGTGAATCCAAGTGAAGGATTGACCGGCATCTGATCCCCAGTGACCCAGAAGACGAGCTTTGAGATGTTCTTTCTTCAATGGCTCCTTGAGAAGAGGATTTTCACGAAGATAGAGCATGCCGAGACAAAGGTACAGACTGGCGTTGAAGTATTGGTTCATCTTACGAACCTCTTCGGGGTCAAGACATTTCCCTGAGATAGTTGAGCGCGCATCTCCATAAGCCGAGATGCTTTTGCTCTGGGCGCTGGACCCGGGTGACATGATGAATGTGAGGCTGTCTCTTGATTCGAATTGGTAGGAGGTGTTTGAATTAAAGTGATTCCAGTAATCGTGTTGTCATTGATGCTGCTGAGTGAGAGAAATAAGAAGGGGAGTGAGACAATGATAAAGGGAAAAGGTCGTTCGGTCGCGGAATTTTCCGTAAACTGCTCATACAAAAACCCTGTTTTGAGATGCACGCCACGGTATCTTTGTGGAGTGGCCTGATCCTTGCGTTGTGTACTTTTTGATGTGTTCCAGCCGGGAAGAGCAGTCAATGACGTGTGGCCGTCAATGAGCGCACCACTACGAACAGTCCATCTCCCCACACTGACTCATGACATGTAGGTACTGAGTAAAAGTTTGTCTAGATTTATCTTTTCTTAAATGTTTCTGCTTTTGAGCTCGGAAGAATTAATAAAGTAAAAAGTGTCATTCTATTGAGTATTCCGCCAATATCCGAAACTTAAATACCCCAACAAATTACCCTTAGATCAGAATTTCTGCTATCAGTCCGAGAATTGGATATAACATCCGGGGTAAAAGCTACCCATTAATTAAGAAGGCCAAAATGAATAATCAGTAGTGCCCATGCGACTATCTCAGGCGGTACCTAGTATACCCGTCGACATCGGTAACGGCATCTACTAGGTATAGAATCACGGCTAGCCGACAGCCACGCGGGTTTAAGTTGTACATATGCCTGCGTGTCAGACCGTGCGACCGGGAAACATTATAATTTGCCAGTGACCTCGAGACCGATCTATTCTCTACGTTGAGCTGTTTGGGTCAATGTGAACTTCAAGTTCCATTTTGGGTAAAATCAGTATAAATGTTATCGGCGATTACAACAAACTCCAACGCATCCTTCCCCATGGAGTTTCGGGCTTTCTTATTTAGCCCCCAATAAATTCTCGGCTGTTGAGCCTCTATTTACAACCAACCCCTATTCTCCGTCAAATCCAAGTGATCTTCCGATCTTCCACTTTTACAGTTGACTCGGCTCGAATTTCGCATTATCAAATGGTTGATGACACGATGACACTTTTGACAGATCTAAGTCTGGCTGCTGGTAGCGCCATACTAGTAACTTCCATTCCAGCAACAATCCTCATCACAACCAAGAAGCACTCTATCTTTCGCTACCTTGCACTCCTATGTGTAATTTGGATTGCCTACCAAAATGTACGCAAGATGAATACATTTTGCCAAATTTCAATGTTCATGGGGGGTGTAGTCTTCTTCCCTCCCCTTCAATGCCTCGATATGCTACTGATCAATGCTCTTGATGCGAATGACATATCCCGTGAGGCCCCTGAGCGTACAAATACTCTCGCAGGTCGCTTTTTATATGCCTCAGAACTATTTACATGTCCTCGTGGCGTGGGAACACCTCGACAAGCAAAGGGTACTCCTTCTCCCGCATCATATTATTGCGATAGCAAAACTAGCGCGTTTACGGCATCCCGAAGTACTTTTCTGTTGCGACAATCTTTGATTTTAGCATGGCAGTACGCGATATTGGATTTGCTTCAGTTTGCGAGTCATCAGCAAGAAGGATCAGAATCAACTCCTGAGGGAGTCTTCACATATCCAGAATGGAACGTGTCTCTCGAGAAGTGGATAGAACGCATCATCACGCACACTTTTGCATGGTTCGTCATTGGCCGTATCATGTTTGATTCTCGATGTCGCCTTGCCTCGATTCTTTCTGTTGGATTAGGATTCCATTGCCCTACTGAATGGCCACCAGTCTTTGGGACAATGAAAGATGCGTATACATTACGAAAACTTTGGGGGTAAGATGTTCCTTTTCCTCTTTACATTTTCGACCCTCACTAACCTAATTTGTGTACGCAGAACATTTTGGCATCAAATGCTACGTCCTACGCTCACTGCCGTGAGCAAATGGATAACTTGTGATGTTTTACATCTTCCAAAGCCCTCACTTCTGGAAAGATACACCAATGTGTTCTTCGTTTTCTTGCAATCTGCTTTATTGCATACAATGCTCGACAGTGTAGCGGGAGTTCCTTTAGAGTTTTCTGGTGCCGTGCCGTTTTTCACTATCACTACTTTGGGATTCATGATTGAGGATGGAGTTCAAGAGGTTTATAAACGCATAACAGGGTCGAATACACAGACTGTTTCAATTTGGAAGCGGCTTGTCGGTTATACCTGGGTTATCGTTTGGGTGGGCGTGACAGCAACATGGCTTGTTCATCCAAATATGCAAAACACTCCTCCAAGCAAAACCAGCTTCATTCCTTATAGTTTTTCGGACCACGTGGGAGCCCAATCGGTGTCTGGATTTGCTGTCATCAGTGGTCTTGTTTTGGTATTCGGGCTTGGAGGGGAGATTTAGATTTCATCGTGATAGAACGATTTAATTTGGAATGATCCTCTTAATTGTCGGTTCAATGGTATTGCGCATGCCATACGAAGTAAGGGAAGAATGCTTGGAAAATGTCATTGAAGCTTAAGATTATTTTTGGAACATTTATTCAACTAACCCCTTCTTCATTGATCTGGCCAGACTACATCAAATACCCCCTACTCGATGTTTTTGTTTTACTCAAAAATCAAAATTCTCTTGATGAAACTTGGATAATTCTCTTCATAGTTGTGCGTTCCCACATTGTGGATCTCACCGTCGAATCAAATCGCCTGAAAACCTTGGAAGGAGAAAAAATCCCTGAAAGTAAATTTTGCACGCGACATCATCGGGGCCACAGTGGAGATATAAGGCAGCCGATCGCCCCAATCTTTTTTCATCCATCTCAAATCCATTAACTCATCTTCAAAGCATCATGTGGCTTCTAGCATATCTAGCATATCTTCGCCTGAAAATTGGCGCCCTCATCGTGAGGATTCTAGTCAGACTTATGTCAGGAGGATGGAATGCTAGCCCCGATGTGATCACTCATATTCCATCTCGGGATCCCGGGCGAAAAATCAAAATCCATGTTTATCGACCCTCAGTGCATAAAACACAAATTCCAGGCCCAGTCCTGATCAATTTTCACGGAAGTGGGTTTGTCATACCAGCACATGGTAGTGATGATGCATTCTGTCGCGAAATCAGTCAACGCACAAATTACACTGTCGTAGATGTTCAGTATCGACTGTCGCCTGAGTGTCCATTTCCAGCCGCAATTCATGATACTGAGGATGTGGTGAAATGGGTACTACAACAACCCGCTCTTTTCGATCAGACTCGGATATCAGTCTCTGGGTTTAGCGCCGGTGGAACTCTAGCTCTTGTCGCATCCTCCACTTTGTTTCCGAAAAACACATTTCGTTCCGTAATTACATTCTACCCAAGTACAGAGGGACATATTGATCCGGCGACGTTGGTGGCGCCCGAAGCGGGGGGCCGTCCCATCCCTGTCTCCACTTTGCGGCTTTTTGCAAAATGTTATATTCAATCTGAAGTCGATGCACAGGATCCCCGGCTGATTCCCAGTTTTGCCGATCCCATACTTTTTCCGAAGAATGTTCTTGTCATCACGGCTGGCTATGATACTTTAGCTGACGAGGGAGAGAGACTTGCGAGGCAGCTTAAGAAGGATCCGGAGCGACGGGTTGTATATCAAAGAATGGCGAGATGCAATCATGGTTGGGACAAAAAGACTCGAGCAGGCTCGCATGAATGGGAGCTGAAGAACCGGGCTTATGATTTGGCTGTCGAGATGCTTCATCTGTAGAGCCGACGCTCTGATCTCCAATTTCTTTTCTTGCATTTTCATACCCCAGCGACGAAGCGTTTCAAAGCATTACCTATATAAATGTCATGTACGATACAGTTTTGTGAATCTAGGTTTTTACAAGATGTGTTCGAGTTTTTGTATTTATTTCATAGCAACGACAAATAGACAAAAGAGCAGATTCTCTTTCTTCAATAGTATTCTCTTTGCTATATTCAAATGGAAATATATACCTTCTTCTCTCCATTGGAGCCACCTTCCTTGCTGTCAAGATTATCTCCAGATTCAGCTTGCTCATCACACGACTGGGAAGCGGAGGTATCCCTTTCTTTTTTAACGCTGCGCCATTCCATAGCAATTCCACCTACAATAGTAAGACAGGCTAGTACAAGAGCGACTCGGAAGCATGCACAAAGGGAACCATTATAAGCTTCCAGTACCTTACCATGATCCTTGTCAGGAACTATGCTGAAAAGCCCCGTAGTACCAGAATTCTGCACCTGCTGAGAGGTAATAGTTGTGATATTGGCAAGTCGCTTGACTAGTTGGCTGTCCAAGACATTCTGGCCAACAGAGACGAAGATAGAACCAGAGAGAGTTTGCCCGAATAGCATCAAAGAAGCGCCAATAGACACTTCATTGCGGGGTAGTATCGTTTGTGCAGCCATGCTGGGTGCTTGAAAGCATGCTCCCAAACCGAAGCCATACAATATTTGATATCCAATCCAATAACTCTTCGATGTATCAACATGAAATGTGGTCAGAAGACCGACTCCAATTGACGCTGTACAAATTCCAAATATCAAGAAGGGCGTATAGTACCCGACTTTAGATGTAAGGACCCCGCAGATAATTGATGCAATGACTAAGGCAATGACCATTGGTAGGAGGTGTATTCCACTTTGAACAGCCGAATCGTCTTTAATGGCTTGGAACCATATTGGAAGATAATAGCCTGGCGTCGCTGTGTCAATAAAATGCTAACACGCGAGTGAGCGGGCTAACTTACTCAACAGTGTCTGATGCGCTCCGACGCAGCAGCTTACCCAGAATCCACCAGCGATACTGCGTTGAATGAAGATACGTGGTGGTACAAGCGCACGGTCAGGCTGCCAAATTTGTATCACAATGAAAACGATGAGAAGTACACAGGCCAAAACGAGCAATGCGAGTATGCGTCCGTTGTTCCACTGATCTCTGTAAGTAATTGTTCGGTCTCGATGTGACGGTTTTCAAGAACGGCAGTCAAGTCAAACTTAGAGGTGAAACTCACTGCATACGTAAAGCCACCCCATTCCAGTGCTAAACATAAACATACGACCCCGGGAAGAAGAGCCAAAAGGCCCTCGGCATTCAACTGCATTACCTTTTGCTTAAGGTTCTTCGCTGTAGTTGAGCTACTAGGAACATCAAGTAGGAAGAATACGAAGAGGAGCACGACCCCACCCAAAGGTAAGTTGATATAGAAGCACCATCTCCAGGTGACCTTGGAGGTAAAAGCACCACCAACAAGTGGGCCGATTATAGAGGAGATGCCATATACGGCACCGAATAGACCTTGATACTGCGGTCGTTTTGGCAGAGGCACTGCGTAGACAATTATAACGATCTAAACATTTGTTAATGAAAATCGCCTGAATTTCTGGGTGAAGGGAGAGAGGTTTGAAATAACCTACCACACCAGATTGAACACCACCAGCGCCCAAGCCAGCAATCGCTCTTCCAATGATAAAAGTGATTGAGTTTGGCGCGGCTCCACAGATAGCTGATCCTACCTCGAACAGGACTACGGCCGTTAGGAAAGTCGCTTTGATATTAAGAAATGTATATAATTTCCCGAATACCAGCAAGAAGGCGCAGTTTGTCAACATATATGCCGTTCCATACCACCCGATGTTGTTCGTCGCATGAAAGTCATTGGTAATTGCAGGTAGGGCGGTTGAGATAATGAGTTTGTCCTGAAAGCCAACAAGACACAAATTAGGATTATCCTTAATAGAAATTTGGAGTACTAGTCACGTACTAATGCGACAAGGAACATGCCAATGAATGTTGATATCATGAGCAATGCAAACTTCAGGCCCGAAGGATACTTGAAGTCTGTTGTGTTGGTTGACATTTTTTCGGTTGTTCGCATCGTGTAAGGAGCGTGCGGTATGTTAACAATTCAACTCAAATATAAGTGATGAGCAATCGGGTTGAAAAAATAATGAAAGTATTTATTACTTGACTACTAGACACACTCATCTATTTATACGTTCAACCTCATATCCAATTTCACATTGTGGTTGCGGAGGGTGATACGGACAATAGCTAACTATAGAATCCAATTGACCAATGAACGCCTGCTTATATAATGACTGTCCGACCGTCCGACCGTCCGCAATTCGCAGACAGCGGAAATTATGGAGATTCTCCACCCAGGCCTTGTGCATGGACAGTCTTGTCACTACATAGAACTTTCACTCAATCTCCCCTTCGGACTTTGACACGAATTTTTAGACTCGGACTCCAAAGTGTTTCAGGTGATTTGGGAACATAAGGTCACGAATCATTGGCTGATTGCCAAGGCTTGCCGGGCGCGAGAATTGCTAATACCACCCCTCAAATGGCTAAACCCACCCCTTCTAAGCTCACCGCCGTATTTGTAATACCACGAGGCACAAAGGCATCAATTTTCTGCCGGCAGCATGAATACGGTCCAGAATTAAATTAAATCTCCACGTAAAAAGCTTCCATTTTACCACACATTTAACGACATTTAATATGCAAGCAAGTTATCTCATTCCAAGCTTAACCTAAAGAGGAAACAGGGGCTGATTTTAAAAACACCGGAAAATGCATTTTCAGTCGAATTAACTGGCAAATCTGTTGATCTGCGGACATCCAGGCCTTTTATGCCCCTCCACGCCCCAATTTCCACACGTATCGGGTCTCCTCCGCGATTGCTGAGTTGCTGGCTGCTGTGAGCCTTGTTGGGACCATTGCTCATAAAACTCACGATCTACAGCATCTTCAACGGCACCTAGCTGCTCCCATAAGCTTGGGATCCGCCTGGACCTCGCCTGACCGCCCATTTTAAATTACACCGCCTTGTTAAGGGCTCATATTACAAATACGGCAGAATTTCCCAAAGCGGCTTAGAAGGGGTGGGTTTAGCCATTTGAGGGGTGGTATTAGCAATTCTCGCCGGGCGCCTCGATACCCGATATATCAGGCAACATAACCATAGCCTACATCCAAGCCCTGGAGGCGATGATGCCGACTCATGCTTTAGTTTCTGCCAAATCATCGGACATTGCGTGTGTGGATTAAACGATTATGGAATCACAAGCTTTACTAAGAAGACGCGATAAGCCAATCTTGAGCTGTTCATATTGCAGATCACGCAAGTGAGTTTCATCTTTTGTCGCCCGGCATAATCCTTGTTTTAATAAACCCTTGGCAGAATTGGATGTGATAGAGAGCATCCTTGCGGGCCATGCATAATGCGTGGCAAGCCATTAGAATGCACATTTACTGCTTCAGAAAAAGATCGAAAACATGCTGTTGATTACAGACCCCGCGCCCGAGGACAGCAGGCACGTCAGCGGATCAATCGTCTAGAGAGCCTTGTCACTGAACTGAGAGACATGATCAACAAATCAAGTCAACCATCAGATTGTGAAAATGAGCCAGTGAAAATTCTACACACTCAACCAGCTTCATCTTCTCACAAGAGCCCTACGACCGATAGTATGGAGAAATTGAGCATTACAGATAGCGGGGATGTTTACATTGGTAGCTCACATTGGGCCACTATCTTAGAGGATGTAAGTTCGATTTTGGACTGGATAAAACTCCTAAACATGACTTCAAGGTTAACTAAGCACCTGAATAGATTCAAAATCTGAAAGACGAGTTTGCTGAAGATCCCTCAGATGACGCTACAACTCGACAGTCCACTCCATATGAGACCGCATCCATCCATGGCTCCTTGTCAGCGAGACTATCGCTACTTAACAGCGGTATATCACTTTCGCGTGATCAAATAATGACAATGATTCCCGTCCGAAAAGTGGTGGATAGACACATCTCACGATTTTTCAACACCTTTGACCTTGCACCCGGTAGGTTTATGATCCTTCGTATTTTGTTTTTCTTACTAAATAATGGTCTATTTCCTAGTTATTCTCCATCGTAGAAAGTTTCTTGCCGAGGTATGTTGTGACTATACTTGGTTTTGGTGAAATTCTTTGACATTGGTACCAATAGTACGCAAATTTCTGGGCGAACCCTTCCTCGGTGCCCACCATGTGGATCGGTCTTTTGTTCAGTATAATGAGCATGTCTGCATTTCTCCAGCAACAAAACTCCGAAGCATTTGGTTTACCCATCGATGAAACTCAAGCAATGCTAGAGTCTTATCGAACTCTCACCATTCATTGCCTAGTCAGTGTAAACTATCTCCAGCCAAGCAGACATACTATAGAAACGCTCATCCTACATTTTGCCGTCGACCAAAATGTAAATATCGACGCAGATATCGGAAATTGGCTTTTGATCGGAGTGGTGGTTCGAATCGCACTGCGAATGGGACTACACCGCGATCCATCTCATTGGCCACATATCCGGCCTTTGCAAGGTGAGTTGCGACGACGAATTTGGATTGCACTTTACCAGATGGACTTCTTCACAAGTACTCAGGTCGGACTTCCTCGGATAATCAAAGATTCGCAGTGTGATACACGTCCGCCTGCACATTTATTCGACGATGATATCAGCTTTGAGCATGATGAGACTCCTCCCGAGAGACCACTGGCAGATCCCACACCACTGTCGTTTATCATTCACAGAAATAAAATCATCAAAGTAGCTGCGGAGATATACGATGTCATCGAAGCTGCTCCGCCATCACCTGCTACCATTTCCGCTTTAAGTGCCAAGCTGCAGAGCGCTCTTGATGACCTTCCTTCTTGGTTACAGGCCAAGCCTTGCCAGTCATCCATTGCAGATAACCCGGTTACAATGCTCAACCGAATTTTCGTCAACATACTTTTCCATAAGGCAATGTATACTCTTCATAAACAAAATTTCTTGAAGAGCATGGTCGACAAAGAGGGAACCGAGTCCAGTAATATATGTGTCAATTCCGCCTTGTCTATCCTGGAACACCAACATATACTAAGTGAGGAGATGGAACCTGGTGGAGTGATGTTCAATATTCGCTGGAAAGTTGCTACATCTCTCAATCATGAATTTCTGCAAGCTACAATGATGCTGTGTCTTGCTTTGACTAGATTCAATGTTGAGTCAGCTGATAACAATGCTTTGCAAGTGCGTCAAAAGATCACGGATGCACTACTGTTCACAAAGAGTCTTTGGGAAAGGAATATCGAACGGTCCTCTGAGGCGAGAAGAGCAGTCGAGGCCATTACCGCTGTTCTAAAAAAAGATTCAAAGGAATCAAATAAAGCAGACTTGTTGGTATCTAACGGTAAGTAGGACACATTATTCTTATGATTACACCATAAGATAGCCGCCAGCTGACATTAGATCACAGAATTGTTTGGGCAAATGCCAGGTATTGGTTCAGTAAGTGCCATTGGGGGATTAGAGTACGAGCAGAATATTGCGTTGGATCCTTCTTTGTTTTCACTGGACGATGGAAATATGGCGTTTGAGAATTTTTTCGATGATTTTGTGGTGACTTGACTTGTCGTTTACTAGTATTTCAAGAATATAAACACGCCGTGGATTGATGGAATACTTCATATTGGGGGTCAAAAGCCCGCTTATTATATTATATTGATTCTAAAAGACATCATTTTCTCATAAAATCTTTGCACTGGTGCTGCTAGGGGAGATGCAAAATGTGAGTTGAAGGGACTCGGGTGTGAGCCGCAAAAGGTCAGGTATACCCTCAATATCAAATACCGCATTCCAATGACTTTGGAACATGTCTTCGCCTTGTGACTGTTCAACCCACAGAATATCTTGAATATGACCAAGAGCATCATAGAAACAGCTCAGTTGTAAATAAGCCGAAATAGCCTGTGCTCTCTCGATGAACCATGTATAATTTGATGACCCCGTAGTGATCAGAAGGCCCACTGAAACAAGCCAGACATCAAGTGAATCATACACACGAGGTATTGATTCAAGCTGCTCAAAAGATTCCATAAATCGGGTGGTCATCGTGTTCATTATGACTGCATGTGAATAATAAGTTGGGCCTTGAATTTTGAGCATGAATATAATTATTGCGTAGCGGAGAGATTCGGTGATTGGCGAATGTTGAGGATGATCTGAGGTTGGGACAGAAAGCAGAAGTCGATGTATAACAAAGCATGTGAGGTCGTGAAGGTGAGTGGGTGAAAAGGATATTTGTTGTGTTCGTTGTAGGACGCTGCGTAGACGTATGAAGACATTCCAAACGGCATAGTCGACTTCATTGCTATTGAATCTAGATGAATCATCAAGGGCCGTTGTGTCCAATTGCCATTCTGGAATACAAGATATGCCGTCTCCAAAGCCCACGTCATCTTGTGTATTAAATTGGGGGTGGCCCATGATAAGCATTGATACCCTTTGAAATCACAATAATAAGTAGATGTAACGTGACGGCAGGTATGTTTGAGGCCACTCACCAACTTATCATACGCGCAGTAAGCGGACTAGTTTGTCTCACTGAATTTATACCACCTCTCATGTCGACCAACTTTTTCACTCCATCAACATGGACTTTACTAACATCAATATTTCCTTTTCCAAACTATTCATGTTATTCATTAGTATGGGCCAGAATGAAAAGCGCCGGTTTTCACGACTGTTAATGATAAAACACTTACCTCGATAGCTGCCAATGTGATAACAGAGTTCATAGTACCATCTTGTACAGCTAAAGATGTGTTCTCCACTTTCCGTCTTAATAAAGCCACCGAATCAGCCATAAGAAGTTCAGAAGATTGAAATCCCTTTTGCGCCAGCAGTTCTTCATCAAGGCATGCCGTCTGTAGTGAAACATGAAATAGGGCCGGATCACCAAGAGCAAGCGGCCACCAAGAGACCAAAAAAGGATTGGAAGTTGCGCTCATATCAAGTGGATAGTACTGAAAAGCAATTTTATGAAGAACTAGAACAGTAAGCTGAACTGCCATAGATTGCGCAGCAAGGCTTGTTTAAAAAGAGAGAGAAGAGATACATACAGCCATATATTAAGCGTTGAACTTGTTCCCTAGGAAACCTTGTCTGTGGATAAGAGTCGAATGGGTCCAGGGAGCCGAAAGAACAGTCCATTACAGTGCTGGGCGCATCACCAGATTTTATTAACGCGCCAGGCTCTGTGCCGGGTGCTACCGGCGGCGCCCAGGGTTGATTTGCATAGTCGCATTGAATTTTACGTTTTGTGCAGCGGGAGCAGCGTGGTGTACGAAGGTCGCAGCTAATCTTGGACTTGGAGCACGCAGCACAGGACCTTCGAAGTGTCTGGCGCATGTTGGAGAAGGAAACGAAGGCCCGGCGCGTTTTGTGAAAGTTGAACGATTATTCCAGGAGAGAAAGTCCTGGTGGAGACATCCTCGTCCTATCACCAGGCCCCACACCGCCTTTCGGGTCAAAGAGATCGATTAATCTACAAATAGCCCTATCTGGCCATTAAATATCATGCGGTATTGCATACAGGGGGGAAATTCTATACTACGTCTGTGAACCATAGATTATACTGCTTGTTCAGTGGTTTCATGCAATACATGAAGGTAAACCCTTATCTCCCTGGTCAAGGCAGCGTGTAATAACGGAACGGAGTGTTTTGCTCAGGAACCGATTGTTTTGAAATGGGAGTGGCGAAATATCGCACATAAATAGACCAATCCACCCCCTTGGATCAATAATCTCTCATGAATCGGCAATTCCGGTAGGCATTTCTTGACATCTGGATGTTCAGTGCCAGCAGATCCCCCGCTATGTCAGCCCATGCACCGTTCCCAATCGGGACTAGACCCCGAATTCGCTTTTGGGTCTAACCTAAACAGGACTAGACCCCGTGGTCAGTCCATATCTGACTTGGCGGAGTATCTATATCGAAGTATGAGCCTTGAGGAATCTCCGATGGCCAGCATACCTTGATTGGATGATAGATACTCCTTGAAACTCTTATAGCCTTATGACTTAATTTCATACCAATTATTTCAGCCGTATCGATACTACCACTATGTCAACGTAAGTCTTGATGGTCTTCTAATACAGTGGACATGATCCATGAAAGGAGATTAGCTCCTCTTATGTACTATAGTCCCATCACTCATTGGATGATGCGCCACATTATTTCACCAGATAATAAGATCTACTATAATATTTAATGACCCACAGTTAGGACGGCTGAGTATCTTGTTTTCTTTAAGAAGACAGCACTGCGCCCTTTCATGAATCAAATGTTCATCTATTATCACCTCTACTGTCATGGCTGTGGAATTGATGAGTAACTCCAGTACTCTGGAGAAACATGTGCAATATTGGGATACTGGATTAAAATCCGAAGGAAGTCTAGTAGGGCTTCTTTCTAATCGCCCAGCCTGGCAATATGTCGTAACTTTCTTGATAGGTGTGGTGGTCTACGATCAAGGTGAGCATACTGGTGTCTTGAATATGGTCCTATATACACAAGCTGACAAATTCTCCCTGCTTTATAAAGTGATGTACCTCAAACGAAAGGGTTCTATTGCTGGTCCTTCCTTCAAATTACCTCTCATAGGCCCATTCCTCCAATCACTTGACCCAAAGTTTGAGCAATATCTTGCCCAATGGGCTAGTGGACCACTCAGCTGCGTCTCAATTTTCCACAAGTACGTGTTGATTCTATAAAGCTATCCTCTTTCCAAATAAGCATCAGAAATATTCACAACTTGCCAGATTTGTCGTTCTTGCCTCCGACCGAGATATCGCACACAAAGTATTCAAGTCGCCCGCCTACGCCGAACCCTGCATCGTCCCTCTTGCGAAAGATATTTTGGGTCACAAATCATGGGTTTTTCTTCAAGGCAAAACTCACGCCGAGTATCGCAGAGGATTAACCCCTCTCTTCACAAACAGAGCATTGGCTACTTACCTTCCCATCCAAGAGAAAGTATTCACAGATTACTTTAACAAATTTGTCTCTCTTAGCAAGAAAAATGAAGGGAAACCGACCGCATTTATGTCCATGTTTCGTGAAATAAACTGTGCGATCTCATGTCGTACTTTCTTCGGAGACTACATATCCCAAGACGCAGTTAAAAGGATTGCTGATGACTTTTATCTCGCAACCGCCGCACTCGAATTAGTCAACGTCCCTCTATCAATCTATATTCCATTCACGAAGCCGTGGCGTGGGAAGCGCACAGCAGATGCCGTGCATGTCGAATTCGCCAAATGTGCAGCTAAGTGCAAGGCCAATATGGCGGCTGGGGCTACGCCCACTTGTATCGTCGATCACTGGGTTCTCCACATGATAGAATCTAAACGATACCATGAAAAGATTGCCGCGGGAGAGACAGATGTGGAGAAACCAACTAATCTGATCCGAGAGTTCACAAATGAGGAGATTGGAGAAACACTATTTACTTTCCTCTTCGCATCCCAAGATGCTTCAAGCAGTGCCACGACCTGGCTATTCCAGATCCTCGCACAGCGCCCAGACGTCCTCGATAGATTGCGAGCGGAGAATATAGCTGCACGAGGCGGCGACAAAACCAAAACTTGTGATCTCGCCATGCTAGAATCCCTAACATATACCAACGCCGTCATTAAGGAGTTGCTTCGACACAGACCTCCCGTCATCTTCGTTCCATATCTAGCCAAGAAAGATTTCCCCGTCACGCCGAATTACACTGTCCCCAAAGGATCAATGGTCATTCCCTCTTGTTATCCCGCTCTACATGATCCTGAAGCATATCCCGAGCCAGACGTGTTCAATCCCGACCGGTGGATCACGGGCGACGCTGAATCTAAGACTAAAAACTGGCTTGTTTTTGGGGCTGGTCCACATGATTGTCTTGCTAGAAGATATGTACCATTGTCGATGGCAGCTATGATTGGGAAGGCCTCTTTGGAACTTGACTGGGAGCACCACGCTACAGAGCAATCGGAGGAGATCCGTGTGTTTGCGACTCTTTTCCCAATGGTAAGTCCTCTCTCGCTCTCGGGCTTTGCTCTTCCCGAGCTTTGATCTTCAACGTAATACATTTCTGAGAATAATGTACTGACTATCGGCAAAATCGGCATAGGATGGGGCTCAGTTGGTTTTTACAAAACGATCGTAAATGAGCCATTCACTTTTCATTGCTAAGCAGCAGGATTTTCGGTGTATGAATTTTCGGTATATGAAATTCTGTGGCGCTTTTTTTTTGTTTTGTATTTTACATAATTTAATATTTTTCATGATTTTGTTTAGAAGCAATCTGTTGCATTCTAACCCTCAGCATTCCTCACCAGATCCGGGCGCTTTTTTTTTCTCTGCCTCATCGTATCCGAACGCCATCTTATTTTGCGGATCAATCGGCCCGGTTCCCGTGCTGACGAGAACATTTATTCTTCAGTTGTCAGCATTAGATTCTCTCGAGGCATCATAAAGAGAGGGGTGATCATTCCAAGCACACGCAATAGATCCTATCGACGTCCTAGCGGATCGCCGATCTCGTCACGAGCCTAATGGGGTTCTATCCGCGATCTCGGCAAGAACGGCTGAGCATCAATGATCCGTCTGTTCGCCCATTTCGATTGGCTGTCCTCAAAGCTGCAGCTCTCAATCTTCTTATTCTCCAGATTCTGTTTCTGGGCCTGTTCTGTTATCTTTTTGGATCTTTGTTTCAACAATCCACACATATTCATAATATCAATGTTCTTTTCATTGATTATGACGGTGGCGCTATAGGTACCGCAGTTCGCAATGCGTATCAGAAGCTCCAAAGCTCGGGTTTCCCCACTCTGATTGAGCATTCTTCAACTGAATATCCCCAACCAGAGCTTGCTGTGGATGCCGTTTGCAATATAAAATACTGGGCGGCACTTTATACTACTTCTAATGCGTCGAACGTGTTAGATGCAGCACTGACGGGTGGGTCAGCTGCCTCATCATATAACCCAAGTGAAGTTCTCACTATGGTCTGGAACGAAGCACGATATCCAACTGTTGTTGACTCTGCTGTCTCTCTGAGCTTGACCGAGCTTTCCGAAGCTGCAAGGGTTTCTTTCATGGAGACGGGTGGAAAGCAGTTAATTCAGACGCTGAACACATCTGATTCCGCGGCCATCTCAGTCTTCTCGGACCCTTGGACTTTGGCATCCATTAACGTCCAGCCAACGAAACAAGGCTCCCGCTTAATCTACAACACATTGGTAGTGATCTTAATTTTGATCCAAGAATTCTTCTACCTTGGATTCGTCAATGGGCTTTACCAGCAATTCCACCTTTACACATCTGTATCACCACATCGAATTGTCATTGTCCGCCAATTAATCTCAGCCTCATACACATTCGTTGGATCTTTATGTACCGCGGGTGCAATTTGGGCCTTCCGATACGGCTGGGACGTGAATGGAATCCAGTTCGTGCTCACCTGGATGGTACTATGGCTCTTTGCTCATTTGAATTTTCTCACTCTTGACGTCTTCACTATATGGCTCCCACCTCAATTTGTGCCCATGGCACTCATATCCTGGGTTGTGCTCAACGTCACTTCCATTTTACTACCATTTGAATTGTCACCTGGATTTTACAAGGTTGGATACGTTATGCCAGCACATAGTGTCTTTCAAGTCCTCGTTGACATCTGGTCTGGTGGATGCAATCCACAACTGAATTATGCTCTACCTGTGATGTTCGCGGTGGAGGTTAGCAGTCTCATTCTGAGCTCCATTGGCGTGTATCGACGCGCTCATTATGCGACAATCAAAAAGGAGTCAGATGAGAAATCAGCTCAAGAACGCATCGAGGCTGCTATTGCAGAGAAATTAAATCAGATGGCAATCAGGGATGGGAATGGAGAGGCTGATATTCCGGACGGCGAATCTGAGGCGCCGGTGGCTCTTGAAAGGCGTGGGACGATGGCGACTTTAGAAGACCAGGAAGAACTGGCTGGTATTGTCCGGCGGGAATTATCACGGCCGCCGGAAAATCAAGAAAGAAGATTCAGTCTTCGTGAAAATACTGGGCCGTCGTTCTATTTACCGTTTCGGCAATGATCGGGTAATAACCATCCGGGCCGTGGAGTGGGCTTGACTTAAATATGAAAATCTCTTATACTTCCTTAGAAGATAGTACGGGGACCACTTGTTTATACTAGTAATGTCTATTTCCCTCATTGTTTTCTATTTGTTCAAAGCTTTTACTCTTTACAGCCAAACAAAGTAATACATCGGCGGAACCTGCCATAGGAAATACTCTCCTCATATCACCAATCAAGTACTGTAGATCCGACATAGGGCTAGCGGAAGAAATTCCTCCGTAGATTTAATGACCCACTTATGGGGAGTTGCCTATTTGGGAACATTCAAAACCCGACAATTCTATAAATCCGCCACTTTAACCGTGGCGGATATGCTTCATACATTGAATAGTGTGGGGGCGATGGGAAGATAAAAAGAAGATCGCCAATGAAGATTGGACATAGTGGGGTGTGATCCGACACCGCTGGTCAAACGTATGTCCCTGCATCTATCCCAGCAATATCTCTCGAGGTACACAGGAGTGGATTAGAACTTCTACTACTCGGGTGTATCTTTTAGATTTGACCCTTGCAGGACTACCGATTCAAGTCATAGTCAAGTCTTAATTGTACACAGAGCACTGGGGCAGCTTCGATTACACTACAGTCAAAAATTTCATAAGCAACAGAGTAAAAATCTCACGGAGTATAGAGCCCCGGGATACTACTACTAACACGATCCTTGATATAGCTACGGAGCACAGTGCACCTAAAGGTTCCATAGTATGTATTAGACTGAGTCAGCCGCGGCTAGGGTGTTCCCATCTAGCACACCGGGCGCAAGAAGCGCCGACACTTCTCACCATGTAGAGTTTTGAGGATTAATAGATTTTTCTTCCCTGTTCGTGTTTCTTATTTCGTGTGGTGTAGATCGGTTCATCACCAAATCGGATTAGCCTAATTGAGACAAGCCGACATCTGGACGGTACTTATGCAGGATTCCGTAATCCCATGACCACCATCAGTATTGGGGTTGATAATCCCGTGAATCTATGCAAGCCGAGAAGCATACCCGCTTTTTGCCTCGAGGGAAATTGAATAAAAAATATGGGGACGGCTAATTTCTAATTTCTGCTGAGACCGGAGCAGCGTCCTCCGATCGGTTCCCGGTGTAGACCCTGTGGACGCTATATGGCCAACGGTTGGGACAATCCCGTCATAGAGACCTTTTGTTGGATCTTGTGATTTGCATGGTATTTTTTTTCCCGTGTTATTGTCGTAAATTGAAGGAAGAGGGGGGATACATATGCAGTAATTCCAAGGTTTCTTAGGTTGTAGAGTTTAATATACGATTGGAATTGAACTTGGCTCGTGCATTTGATGCTGCCCCTCGATGAGTCAGCCACTGTAGTATCCCAGCTGTCGCTCAAGGTTCTAGCTAGAGTCGAGCAGCCTTGGAAAATCAGCATAAAACAGGAGTTTGGTGATGCTATGGGCGTGGTCTAGACTAGAAGAGGAGAAGGCACTGTAAATAGTGTCCTTCATTGGCCGTGCGCACGTAGATTTTCCCCGGGTGTTATTCTAGCTGCGCATCGCCGCGAGCATCCAAGAGCGCCCGGACTGCAGCGGCGGTTGCCCCACCACAGACATCATACCCCCCACCAACAAATACGTCCCCCTCCTCCTCTTCCCTTTTCCCTTTCCCTCCTTCCCTTCCCATCTTTCCTAATCTATCTTGAAAGAGTAGGTTGCTTGGATTCTGCCATTCGCATTCATCAATTACTAATTGTACCCTCTCAGAATCTGCCATCATGGGTTACACTGATCTGGACAAGTTGGCCATTAACACCATCCGTGTTCTCGCGGTACGTTCTGCTTACGATCGTGAGCTCTGGATGTTCTCCAAGGCCTCAATTGAGAAGCGCAGCTTTCAATTTTTCGAGTCCGGCGAGAATAGACAGTGTCGCGACACAGTTCTTTGGAATAGATCAATCTTGCTAATATTGCGCCGTATAGGTTGATGCCACCTCCAAGGCTAACTCCGGTCACCCCGGTGCCCCTATGGGTATGGCCCCTGTGGCTCACGTTCTGTTCAACAACTTCATGAACTTCAACCCCAAGAACCCTGACTGGGCTAACCGTGATCGTTTCGTTCTCTCGTATGTCTTTCCGATGAGTACCTTCTCTTTAGAATGCATATTTCTCGCCTTCAGTGGCAAGCTACTCCTCAATTGAGCAGTCGCAGTTTGCTAACCACGATCATCAATTAGCAACGGCCACGGTTGCATGCTCCAGTATGCTCTGCTGCACCTTTTCGGCTACAAGCTCACTCTTGATGACTTGAAGAACTTCCGTGTAAGTTTCGTTTGCAGGATGCGACCAAGTAAAAACTTCGCGATCGCCTGCTGATCTCCTGTAGCAACTTGACAGCATCACACCCGGTCACCCCGAGGCTCACGATACCCCCGGTATTGAGGTCACCACTGGTCCTCTGGGTCAAGGTTTCTCTAACGCCGTCGGTCTGGCCATTGCCCAGGCTCACTCCGGTGGTGTCTTCAACAAGCCCGGCTTCGAGCTGTTCAACAACTACACCTACACCTTCTTCGGTGATGGCTGTGCTATGGAGGGTATTGCCAGTGAGGCTGCCTCCATGGCTGGTCACTTGAAGCTTGGCAACCTGATTGCCATCTACGACGACAACCACATTTCCATCGGTAAATTTGCCCCATTGATCCCCCCACAATCGAACGAGAATATGGTGATGCTAATTCCTGATATTAGATGGTGACACCAAGTGTGCCTTCACTGAGGACGTTATGAAGCGTTTCGAGTCATACGGCTGGCACACCGAGTGGGTCAAGGACGGTGACAACGACCTTGCCGCTATTGACGCTGCTATCCGCAAGTGTCAGGCTGTCACTGACAAGCCCTCCGTCATCAAGCTGACCACCACCATTGGTTTCGGCTCCAAGCTGGCTGGTACCGGCGGTGTCCACGGAAACCCTCTTAAGGCTGACGATGCTCAGCAAGTCAAGGCTCAGTTCGGCTTCAACCCCGAGGAGAGCTTCGCCGTTCCCCAGCAGGTCTACGACCTCTACAACAAGCACGCCGCTGACGGTGCTGCTAAGGAGCAGGAGTGGAACCAGCTCTTCCAGAAGTACCAGCAGGAGTTCCCCACTGAGGGTGCTGACCTGGCCCGCCGTCTCTCTGGCAAGCTGCCTGAGGGCTGGGAGAAGAGCCTCCCCACCTACAAGTCTACCGACGCTGCCGTCGCCTCCCGTAAGCTGTCCGAGGCCGTCCTGGAGAAGATCCACGATGTCATTCCCGAGCTTCTGTCCGGTTCCGCCGATCTGACTGGCTCCAACAACACCCGCTGGAAGAATGCTGTCGACTTCCAGCCTCCTCAGTACGGTATTGGTGAGTGGTCCGGCCGCTACCTCCGCTACGGTGTCCGTGAGCACGCCATGGCTGCTGTTATGAACGGTCTGGCCGCTTACGGTACCGTCATCCCCGCTGGTGGTACTTTCCTGAACTTCGTTTCTTACGCCGCCGGTGCCCTGCGTCTGTCCGCCCTGTCCCGCGTCCGTGTCATCCACATCGCTACCCACGACTCCATTGGTCTGGGTGAGGACGGTCCTACTCACCAGCCTATTGAGACTCTGGCTCACTTCCGTGCTCTGCCTAACTGCATGGTCTGGCGTCCTGCTGACGGTAACGAGACCAGCGCTGCCTACTACTCTGCTCTCACTGCCAAGCACACCCCCTCCATCCTGGCTCTGACCCGCCAGAACCTTCCCCAGCTGGAGAACTCCACCATCGAGCGCGCTCTCAAGGGCGCCTACGTTGCCGTTGAGAACCCCAACGCCGCTGTCACCATCATCTCCACTGGTTCCGAGGTCGGCATCTGTATCGATGCTGCTACCTACCTCCAGGAGAAGCACGGCATTGCTGCTCGCATTGTCTCCGTTCCTTGCTTCGAGGTCTTCGATGCTCAGACCAAGGACTACCGCCTGTCCGTTCTCCCCGACGGCATCCCCGTTCTGTCCGTCGAGGCCCTTACCACCATGGGCTGGGAGCGTTACGCTCACGAGCAGTTCGGTCTTAACCGCTTCGGCGCCTCCGGCCCCTACAAGGAGGTTTACGCCGTAAGTTTCAATCTTAATTATCTTTCATCCTATAAATTCTTTCTAACACGTTCCAGAAATTCGAGTTCACCCCCGAGGGCATCAGCAAGCGCGCTATTGCCACCATCGACTTCTACAAGGGCCACACTGTCCGCTCCCCTGTCAACCGTGCCTTCCAGCAAATCCTGTAAGGAACGTCGATACGCGTCAAAATGTTATGATTTTATAGTTAAGAGGCGACAGCCCTTAGACACAATATTGAAGAATGAAATAGAGCGATGTCCGCCATGTCTAATGATGTTCTCAAAAACAAAGCAAAAAAGAACAAGTAGAAGATCGTAGATGGAGAACCTTCCTTAATTATATAATCTCTCCCTCTGTACTATACAGGTAAAATCACTTCCCCGATTCCTTTTGCAACTGGATAACCCCCCTCAACATCGCCTGTGTCCTCTGTTTCGACTCCACCGAACTAGAAGGGCCATACGCCTCCTCCGCCTGCTGCACAACAGTCCCCCTCCACCCCTCAGCAGGGCCACCATCCCCATCAACCGAAACATCTACTTGTCCCAATTCACCCCAAACAACACTCATAGTAGGCGCCAACTTCTTTAAAAACGCTCCAATACCCCCCTCCCCACCACCAGCATGGTAACTCTCAAAAAGCCCACTACCCGCCCACCTCGGCCCCAAAGAAGCCATCATCAACTCATCCAGATCTCGAACGGAAATCACTCCTTCCCCAACAAGATAACATGCCTCTCGTAATAATGCAAAGGCAAGTCTATTCCCCACGAATCCAGGTACTTCTTTATGCAAGACAACAGGTCGGTAGTACTGTCCTGTAGATGAACCAGCATTCTCATTGTCATTTCCAGATACACTTCCCTTCTTTGGACCAGGACCAGGAACCTCCTTAAAATACCGCTGAACATACTCCACTTCCTCTAATAATGTCTCTGGTCCAGGAACAACTTCAAGAAGAGGCATTAAATGCGGCGGATTAAACGGATGCGCAACAATAAGCCTCTCCCTAATATCAACATCACAAAGCGCACCCTGAGCCGAGGCCGCAATACCAGAGGAACTACTCCATAGTTTTGCAGAGGGGGAGGCAAAACGTGAAACTTCCTTCCAAAGAGCCTGTTTGGAGGCTGTTACTTCGGGAGATTGTTCTTGGATGATTGTTGCGGATTGAACGGCTTGTTGGATTGATTTTGTGAGTGTTAGGCGGTTTGTAGAGAGTAGGTTGTCGATTGTGTTTGTATTCGTATTAGTATTGGTATCGAGGAATACGGGGAGGATTTCGCGGACTTGAGCTTCGATGTCGGGACGTGGATCGTAGAGAGTGACTTTTGTGTCTGGGCGACGGAGGTGAAGGACTGCCATTGAGAGACCGATTGTGCCACCGCCTAGAAGGGCGATGTGGTGATTGTATGTGGACATGGTTCAAAGTAGCTCTTCGATGTGAGAATCAGGTATTTGGACGGGTACCTATGGGTGCTTGTGTTGTAGTTCAGTTAGAAAATGCTGGAGAGTCTTGAGAACTTGAACTTGTAGTGGGGGACATTGGGGTATATGCGGGGAACCCGGAAATTGAAGACCGAGGTATTTAAATGCCAGTGAACCATACGTTGATCCCCCGAGCCATTTCCGAGATTCGTATGATTCATCTCTAGTATATAGGAATTCTATTCCAACCTTGGGATTTCCCAAGTTATCGAGCTAAAGTAATCAAGGGTACATTAATTCAAATTATAGTTGTAGTTTAAGTAGGACAGCCTCACTAAATGCGAGTTTGTTGATCATCTACGATATTCGTAAAGGATTGTTGTTTATGATTGTAAAACACTCATAATATCATGAAATAGCGCTGATGTTGAATCATAGCCAGATCTTGAATGGGACACCTGAGTATAGGTACATATGAAATCTCGAACTTTACTCCAAATCTTTCGCAATACATAACTCGGATGCTAGATCATAACCAGAAGTCGGATAAAACATCTAGATATATAGAATGTCTCTTATGCCATTATAATTTTCCATCGCCTGTAGGCGTCATCCTGCGCGATATAAGGATTAGCCTTTAGTCCAGTGCCGCTAGAATCGGAAACGTTGGGGGGGGGGGACTATCAGACTCATAATAGATCAAGTGATCCAAGTCGAATAGAGTGATTTGAGGAACTCTTTCACCTAGAAAAATAGCTTCTTATAATCCTCTCGATATATAGATATGCAATATTTCATCATAAAGATACCAATTTATCGCAATTATCGGAAGCTCTAGGCCATAACTTTGCAGGTTACACCGATTCTTTCTGTGCATTGAATTTCACATTTTGAGTACACTAGTGGCTTCATGCATTGAAGGGGCTGCAGCAGACAAACAAAACAATAGCGATTGTTGCCTCCAAGGACTAGGCCAATGTTAAACGTGGAGTCTTTGACGTATTTCGCTATAATCGTCTATATTGAAAACAGGGCTGGTAGCCAGGTTGCATGAGCTAGATATGCAGCATCTGTCATCTGTTACACAACATCACTGATACCAATCATACTTTGTTAAGAGCTCACCGTATGTCTCTTTGTAGCTTCAGTTACGTGTCAGCTGTATCCTGGTGCTTAGCGACTATGTACTATAATGGGTACTTAACCGATTCAATCATTTATGCAGTAAGTCCTTCTTGCAAAGCTATCGTTTTTTTTTTGTTATTTCAAAGAGCTCAGTGATGTCATTTCTCTCAGCCACCCTCATCCATTTTATTGGCAATGATAACTTGAATGTCCCAATCTTCCATTTCTGTATGGTGATTGAAATTAGCGTTTTTGTGTCGAAAGTCAATCGTGTATTCTTTGGTTAACTTCAAGTTGAAATTTGTTATGTGTCATATCCACATCTTCCAGAGCATCCTAGAACATTTACGTGGATATTAGGCTATGCCTTAAAGTAGTCGAGTTCTCCTATTCCCATGGGAGAATCAACCAGCTTTCCTCATATATAACTTGAGCTACTTTTTGTTGATGTCCCTCTTTTCAAACGTTTGGCCAATAGCCAATCGCTCCTTATTGATTTACTTGGTTGTACGTCACAACATTACACTCCGGGTGAGAGGGTATCGACAAGTCTCTACGGCAAAGGTTACAAGACACTAAACAACAATACCCAGAACGAGTTTCATTCATCATGATACAATTCATAATCCCTCCAAACTTTTATCATCCCACCGGCTAATGCCATACCTTAAATAAAAGAAAAAAAAAATAGATTCAATCTCTTAAGACTCAATCCATTTAAGCATTAAGAGCCTTGCGAGTAAAGCTGGGGAGCACAAAGCTGGCACGGTGGACGTCCGCGTTGTAGTAGCGGCACAGCTTGTCCTCCTCCTCGCGAGACCAGGAGCGAACGGGCTCACGGACGTTGCGGTTGGCGTCCTTGCAGCAAACCATGAAGCCGATCTGGCCGGAGGGGTAGGTGGGGATGGTGGTGAAAGCGTACTCGGCGACGGGGAAGACCTCACCGCAAGCCTTCTTGAGATCAACAATCAGAGGCAAGTGCAACCATTGGCTCTCAGCTATTAGACAAAAGCACAGTTCCAAACCATACCCGTCAAGCGGGTTGGTTACGGAGTGGTGCAAATAATGTTAGCCTAGTTCTTCAATCCTGTACATAAATCAATAGATAGATCAACATACCTTGGGTGGTGATGACACCGCCCTCGCGCAGGGCACCGTTGAGAAGCTCGAAGTAGGACTTCTTGAAAAGGCTCTCAGCAGGACCCTCGGGGTCAGAGCTGTCAGTGATGATAACATCGAACTCGTTCTTCTTGGCCTTGAGGAACTCGAAGCCGTCACCGATATACTTCTTAGCGTTGGGGTGCTTGAAGCCAATGCTCATGCCACGGAGGTGGGTCTCCGAGACGCGGGGGACAGCCTCGTCGATGTCGCACAGGATGGCCTCCTCAACGGAGGCGTGCTTGACGACCTCACGGAGGACACCACCATCACCGCCACCGATGACGAGAACCTTCTTGGGGTTGGGGTGGGAGTTCATGGCCAGGTGGGTGATCATCTCCTGGTAGGAGAACTCATCGCGCTCGGTACATTGGATGACATTGTCAAGGACGAGGACGTTGCCATAGTCGCTGCTCTCGAAGACCAGAACATCCTGGTACTTGGACTTCTCGTGGTGAAGGACCTGGTTGACCTTAAGGCTCATGGCCTGGCCAGGCCACATGTTGGACTTCTCGGCGAACCAGCCATCTAAAGATTGGTGGGTGGTTAGCGTGGGGAGGGCTTCATGTTGTTCGGACAATTGAGGGGCAAGGTGGGATGGATAGGCATGGTGGGGTATTGTAATTAAGAGGGGAGCTTAGGAGCTGCAGGGACACATAACATACCCTGGATAGTGGGGTGAGTGATCTCGCTCATTTTGAAAGGTGAAGAAGAAAATCGACGGCTTGAGAAATAGAAAGGCCTGAGTGAACGAAGAGGAAGATGGAGGGAACGCAACATTCGAAAAAGAAAAGGAAACGGCGGAAGTTTGACCGTTTTGGGCAAATTTTTACCTGCTACAATTTTCTTAAGTGGGGAACTGACCCTTGGGCTACAGAGGGATCAGCCATTAAGGGAAACTATAAACTACAAGCCAAGATACGAGCCCATCATTATCAGGTAACAGAAATTGTCCAATTGAGTTTGAGCGCTGTTAGTAGCAGTTGAGGGTCTTGGTGGGTGATGGGGTCCTTCAGGCTCCAACTTGGCAGAAGTCCAAGGCGGTAAAGATTAATATATGACCAAGTGTCCATGGGCCAATGGAGATCGCCTAAATGAGGCTGACCCCAGTCAAACACACCACCACAACCCATAGATCTTAAAGGATAGCTCGAATAAGCTATCAGGCGATATAAAAAGATGCGAATTTCCATAATTGAAACATAGGAAAAAACCTCAAATGGTTGATTGCTTTCTAGTTTACTGTACAATTGATACAGCCACGCAGCGCATTCGCGTGTGCACTTCCGGTATAACCCCAAACTTGATAAATGATGAACAAAAACAACACAATTCCTCTTCTAAAGGAACTCTGTTTACTCCTCACCCCCACCCTCGAGAAGGCGGCCGGGCTTGGAGTTCAGGTAATCGTTGCTATAGCAAAACATCATGTCAGTACGGACATCATCCCCCAAGGTTTATGGTTGGATCTTACCGCTCAACAGCCCAGTTCATGGCAGCGTAGGCAATGACGAAAGGAGGAACGACGTAGAGGACCTGGTGACGGAAGCGACGGAAGGTGTTGAAGATGGCGGCGTGGAAAGCACCAGCGAAGGGGCGCTGCTGGTTAGGGGAGAGAGCGTATGTAGCAATGCGCTGGGGGGTAGGGCAACCTGGAAAAATATTTCACATCAGTATGCCGGTTCACTCGTTATGTGTTCTTCTTCGTGTATTGTTCTTCGGTCAATCCGTCTGGACCGTAGTTGTCGGGTGTAGAAGTGATCGTGGATATTTCCGACTTGCGCCTTCGGAAGTTGAAGGTATAGCGTTCACGTACCGAATTTACCCCAGCCACCGGTGTAGCTATAATAACATAGTCAGTATCAAGTTCCAGATTGGTAATTAGAACAATTGAAGCTAGAATAGGGTGCTATCCAATGCACTCCTCGGGTAATCCAATCTCGCGGGTGCGACCGGACTCCCACCCCAGCAACAACAGAAGCCTGGAAAGAGAAAAACTCACTAGCCGTTCTTAGGATCCGCAGCGTGACCACCCATTGTGAAATATGAACAGACGAGAGTTCAAGGTAAAAGGAGAGGGGAGAGAGTGAAGATGTCAGGGTAACAGGGCAAGAAAGGGAAAAGACGTTCAAGTTCGGGAACGAAGTTGGCCTGGGATACGCTAGTCCCGATTAGGATGGGAAAAGCCCGACATCATCAACTAATCAACTGCTCCGAACGACCTCGACCTTCCATCCTCCCCCAACCCTCCCCATACAACCATGGCCAACGCCCTTTACAACCTCTACCGGCTGGCAGGCCCCGCCGCAGTCGGCGTGCTAGCTTTCAACGCGTCCATCTACGATGTCAAGGGTGGACAACGAGCCGTCATCTTCGATCGTCTGTCTGGTGTGCAAGAGGAGGTTACCAACGAAGGCACACACTTTCTGATCCCATGGTTGCAACGGGCAATCATGTACGATGTGCGCACTAAGCCACGCAACATCTCTACGACAACAGGATCGAAGGATCTGCAGATGGTCAGCTTGACACTGCGCGTGCTGCACCGTCCGGAGGTGCCGAAACTGCCGCAAATCTACCAGGTACGGGAAAAAAGGAATTCCAGCATCAGCAACACAGCAAGCACGTCTCCGAAACTCCCATGCTAACAATATATTGATATTTAGTCCTACGGTACCGACTACGATGAGCGTGTCCTCCCCTCCATCGGAAACGAAGTGCTCAAATCTATCGTCGCTCAGTTCGACGCCGCCGAGCTGATCACCCAGCGTGAAGCCGTCTCCAACCGTATCCGTACAGACCTTCTCAAGCGTGCCTCGCAGTTCAACATCGCTCTAGAGGACGTCTCCATTACCCACATGACATTCGGAAAGGAGTTCACCAAGGCCGTCGAGCAGAAGCAAATCGCCCAGCAAGATGCTGAGCGTGCCCGATTCATCGTCGAGCGTGCCGAGCAGGAGCGCCAGGCTAACGTCATCCGCGCAGAGGGTGAGGCCTCATCTGCCGAAATCATTTCCAAGGCTGTCAGCAAGGCTGGTACTGGTTTGATCGAGATCCGTCGTATCGACGCTAGCCGTGAGATTGCTCAGACTCTCGCTTCTAACCCCAACGTCACATATCTGCCTGGTGGTGAGGGTAAGGAGGGTGGTAAGAGCACTAGCCTTCTGCTTGGTCTGCGGAATTAAAAGATCTCTAAAAAGATGAAGGCTGTTATGGAAGTTTTGGAGGGCAACTGATTGATTGCCCGTCCTCAATTTTTTTGTATCATTTAATCGCATGCCGTGGTTGATGCGCCGGCTCGGCTATTGCGTGGTCCTCTGGCGCCAACTTGGTGGTAACAGCGCGCCATCAAGTTATTCCTTTTTATTTACTTTTTTTTATTCTTCTGACTTGTAGCAATACGAATACCTCTACTCTATATCAGAACCTACTACTACAGATCTCGACCCAAGGTAAAATGATGCACGCAAGCCAGGTGCTCCAGGTAATTCGAAGAGTATATACAAAAAAACTAGAAAAAACGATCCTACTCTATAGCCTAAAGCCCAGTCCAAAACTTTTCTATAAACGCTGGTAAATATGCACCTGAAATCGCATATCCTCCAGCCCAGCACCTTCACCAACCTCATATCTCAACCGCGCCGCCTCACGCCTCCACCACTTCGAATCCTGCGTAAAAACCCGCTCCCACTTCCCCTTCGCAACAGAACTAAACGTATGATCCAAAAGAAACTTCATCGGATAATTCTTCTCCTGCACCTCGCCATCAACCTTTCCCTTAAGTTTCAGCGACGAGTAGCTACCCGGGCTATCCACAACAAGCAGTACAGATCCACGGGGCAAAATCTCCGTTAATCGAAGCAGGAATCCCGTAGTCTTAGACATGGAAGTAGAGAAGAGCTCGTTGAGTGTGAACATAAGCGTAACGAGCAAAGCAGATGAACCAGGGTCATCACCTAGAAGAACATTCTTCAACGCATCTTCAGAGATCTCCAAAAGATCTTCTCTGCGGAAAGAGATGTCCAAATCCTCTTTATGCGCTATAAGAGGCGGCTTATGTCTCGATGTAGACGGGAAAGGCACATTAGACGAAACGATAGTCTTCGATAACCTGTCCACAACACTTGACCAATCTGCGATATCAACAGCAGAAATGGAAAGGGTCTTTGAGTTTACAAATGATACTGTCTTCCTATCAGATGCACTGGTACTCTTTGGTTGTGTTTCCTCGCTCTGGGGCTCTAGCGATATATCAGCAGCACGCTGAGCAAGCGAGTCAACTGGAATTCCAAAATCCATATCTCTCCATGCTGCAGCTAGAGCAACGAGTTCCGCCCCAGCACCACCACCAAGACACACAGTGCGTACATTGGATAGTTCACCTAGCTTACAAATGGGTTTCATATCCGCATCTGCAGGGCCATGTCCGCGCATCCAACCCAGCACGCCTTTAAAGAGCCCCGCATACCCTAATGCCCGCGAAGCACTCCAGCGCAACGCATAAGCGCGCAGGTTATCCTCGCCGGCATCCGTGAATGCAGAATCAAAATCTCTCTGATAAAGATGAGACTTGATAGTTTGGATCAAAGACTTAATGTCCAGGGGTGGGGTTTCGGTTTCGGTTCCAGACTCGGCGGGGCCGTCGACTCCGGGAATCGACTGAGATTGTTCTGTGAGGAGGGCGGTCTTGAAGACATCTAGGAGGAGTTGTTGGAGGGAGAGCGGAATTTGGGACGAAAGGTCAATTGGGCCGGTGTCTTCGTCAGGAATTGGATCTTGTTGTTGGACTGGTGCGGTTGGTTTGCGATCGGGCTGTTTTGAGGGTTTGGGGGTGCGTTTTTGAGGTTTTGGTTTTGTGAAATCGTTGTCTCGGTCTGCTCTGCGATTTCCTTGTCGAGGGCCTGGCATTTTAGGCAATATAGAGAATTTTAAATTATATATATAATAGATTTTCTTTATGGATCGGAAGTCGACAGAGTAAGGACTGAAAATGCTGCGCGGGGGAAGTTGGAGTTGAAGCAACTTTTTTTTTTGGCTTATCGTACCTTATCGGAGGTTTAAATTGCCACTACGCCAATAGATAGATACACGTCCACGCCAAATAAAAATAGCAGAAAGATATGAATGCAAGGATAAAAATAGACCTCATCCAAGATGGAAGGGCGCCAAATACTATTCCGGGTCATCAGCCACGGGAGAGGATGAGAAGAAAGATAGAAAGAGAGGGTCCGAGGACAACGATCGTAGAGAAGGTTCAATCAATCCGGTTCACTCAGACCGGTACATAAACGATAGACGAGAAAAGTGATACATATCGTACTCAGACATGGAATATCCGTCGTCTGGAAGTAAAGAGATTCGTAATGTAAAGTCTGAGATCAGACGACAACAGATAAAGGATGGAATGACCGCCGAACAGCAGGATGTAGTTAAAGTAATGAGAAAAAAACCCCGGAGTCAAATATATACAGACCGGTAAAGATGAAAAGATTTCAAGTAGCAAGAATGGGCGAAGACGAGACATTAAGAGACGCAGAGGAAAACCGATGTGAGGATATCGCTATGCCGAGATATGTGCGCCATGAAATTCAAAAAAAAAATGCATCAAGATCCAAAAGAGGACTGTCATACCGGCTGCTCTGGGATAGACGGCTCGGTAGCAGACTTCTCTTTGTCTTTTCCTTTCCAGAAATGCATTAACCGGGTGATGCGACGGCTTTTCTTCCTAGATGTTTCGTGTGCATCTTCCGGTGGTTTCTCCTCCTGATAGAGTTTGCTTCGTTCTGAGTGGCCGGCGCCAACCAGCTTCGAGAGACTAGCCAAGCTAGACCTCTTAGAAGAGTTGGCTTGACTACTGCGCCGATGAACAGCAGCTGAAAATGACACAGCTCTGTCTGTCGAAAGGCGGCTTCGAGGAAAGAAAGTCGCAGAGAAACGGTTCATGGTATTGGTAGATGCGCTGCTCGTCAAGGATGGGACATCCTCAACTGAGGCATAGTGATAATCCGTTGGAAGGGTCTGATAAGAATGACTCGAAAAGTTGCGGTCAGAGAATCGTGGCGCATCTGGGGATGGAAAAGAAGAATCCGAGGGCGACACGCCCGCAGAAAGAGAGAATGGCGGAATGGTGGGCGGTAGCTGATTGGGAGATGTAGATGGTCGCTTGTCAACAGCTAGGAATCGAGGAGAGATATCGGGACTCGGAGGCGCTAGCTTTTTCAATGTTGGCTTTTCCGGCTTCAAGCTATCTGCTGGGTCTCGCGAAGACGGTCCAGCGAATGGGTTGATGACGGGTAGGGGTAGGGTTGAAATCTCTTTCTCCTCAATCGGGACTTCCTTCGAGCTGGCAAGCTCCTCGGTAGCTTGAATACCAAGGCCCTCCGGCTGGGCAGGATTGGATTCAGGTGCCCGTGTCAGAGTGTCGGCACTCGTGGTACTCTTGACTGACTCCGAAGACGGCTTATGGCCTTCAGAAGACGCTGAAAGTGTTGGTACGTGATCTTCAGCTCGGGCTATCCTTCCGTTCCTGGGTGACTGATTCGCAGCCAGGAACTCATCCTCTTCTTCTTCATCGAAAACATCTGGAGTCTCTGCGCCTCCTTTACCTCCTAGCCGAATTGGGCCCAAAGAGCTACGGTCAAAAGGTTGCATAACAGGTGCACTCTCTGTACGGCGATGATAGCGCATTTCTGGGCCAACAAATTCACCTCGTCGACCACCACTGTACATACGTTGCGTTGCCACGGAAAATTTGCTCTGACCCCCTTCCCGAGGGCGCATATCTGGGGTGTTAAATGGACCCAGAGCAGCATCCAGATCAATGACTGGGCTGTTCAGAGTATCATCATGTGCTGTTTGTTCGTAGAAACTTCTCGGTTTCCACGAACTCTCAAGAGAGGGTGCAGGCACAGGGGAACTATCCTGGGCGTCTTGGACCGATGATACAGGGCCTTCTGGGTTGGTAGGAGTTCGAAGAACCACGACATCGTCATTATCAAAATCAACTTCCATGAACGAGTTTGCCGCTGAGTTAGTACGCGTAAGCATTGGAGGTGTCAATGCTGGCGGCAATTTCTTCTCCTTGTTCTTACATTTCACCTTCTCAGGCGATTCAACAGCTTCGCCTTCATTCTTCGCATGGCGCTTGCCTTTCCCACGGGTCAGTATGGCACCAGCCCAGGAACGAACACGCTTTTGCTTCTTCTTCGATTTTGACCGGGATTTCTTGGGTGAAGAGTCATCATCCTCGTGGTCATCTTCATTATCACTGGACATTTCGGATCCATCATCAGAGTAAGATGGTCGAGAAGTGTCGGTTGAATGAGCATCATCGCCACCTTGGTTCGCAAGCAAATTCGCAGCCGATCTACTCTTGCGGGAACGGGAATGCCCCGTTGACTTCGAACGTTTGACATTGGGCACATCCGGTACTTGTTGAGATTGCATAAAATCGAATGCCAACGATGCATCGGCGGTTTTCGGGCGTGGCTTTGACTTGCGATTTGGCTGCGGTCGCTTCTCAGCTGGGGGAGTTGGAACTTGCAGTGGCTCAGATTGGACAACCGGGGGACTTTCTGGCGTCTCGCTAAAGACCGCAGAAACAGGACGGCTAATTTCAACGTCATCATTGTTCGGAATAATTGGGATGGCTACTTCGGCTTGAAGAGCTGGCGGGATCGGCGGGACTGGTGGTATATAGGAGGCAGGGGGGGATTGAGGAGAGGCGGGAGGTGTTGGGCGTCCAGTGCTTCCAGCCGAATAGGAAAGTGGCCTGGAAGTATCTTCATTTCCTTTGTCGAATAACTGGTCTCCGGGGGTATTGGGCGCGCTTATTGGACCTTGGCTTGTTGCGAGCGCTTTCTGGATGGCGTTCATATCGACTCCGGAAACTGCTGCAGAGCGGCGATGAGCATGATGCCGTCGCCCGGGACCTCTTGGAGGACCAGGTGCTGGAACACTCGATTGGGTCGGAGGAGAAGACTCTTCCCGCTTCTCCGCATCCCCTGAGCCTGGTGTAACCAACTGATTGTCCCCAACAAACTCACTCGGCCGTCGTCGATGGCCATTTGGTCGATATGGTACATGTGATGGGGGCAAAGGTGGTTCTGATCCGGATCCGGGATTAAATGAAAATGCTGGGAGAGCCGGTGGTGTTCGCTGCTCCGCATGCTCGGGGTTGGGCGCTGGAGCGTCCGGGTCGCGCGCCGGGAATACGAATGGTGGATTTGGCAAATGAGGCATACTGGTTCGACGACTCGACGATGTATCGGGAGGCGAAGAGTCGAAATGCTGCGAGAAGCCCGACTGGGATTGCGGGGGGAAAGAAATCGAAGCCATTAATGCTGTGCAAGAAAAGAAAAACCACCAAAAAAATAACAGAATAGAAACAAAATCAACAAGTCGAAAAGATCCAGATGGACAAAGAGACCTCCAGATCGCTCGACTTCCCTGTCGATAAGAGAAAGTCGCAAAGAATCTGGAGGTCAGTCTAATAACCTCGAACAAAGGTCATTTGAATCTTCCGCACCAGGCAGAATCCAATAGCAAAAGTTGAGTAAATAACAGAAACCGGGGGTGCTCTCAAGGTCGAGAGAATAAGGAACGGACGGCCACGACGAAGGCCAGGGAGGAGGAGAGGGGGAGTAGTCGGAAGGACAGGAGAGTCGTTGTGAGGAGAGCGATGGCGAAGAGAGGAATAACAAATGCAGGAGAGAGGGGAGAGGTTCAACTGTTACTGTACGGGGCAGTATACGAGCGTATTCATACAAGCGTGTTACCCGTTGCATCCGAGCCGCGGACCAATTACGTTGGGCAAATGATGGACAAGGGGAGATTACGAACAGAGAAAAGAGATTGGTTATGGAGATTTACTGCATTTACTGCATTTACTGGATTAGCTGAATCCTCTCTCTCTCTCTCTCTGGAATTAGGCAATCTGAAATCCGAAATGCGAACTTTGATAAGTACAATTCGTACTACCGTCTCTATGTATGCTTAAAACCAGGGCGAGATCTCCCTGGCGCCCTTGACTCGGCTGAAAAGGACTAAACCCAAAAAAAACATTAAAGTAACATTTGAGTTTGGGAACCAATCTCTTTCGTATTGAGTTCGTCTTCGCCATCCTGACCCTTTGTCTCCCATGCGCCTATGCCTCGCCTAAGCCTCCTGTAGGTACATACATCGGTCGCATAAAGTTAGAACAACAAAAAAAGAAAGCTTTTTCTTTGTTAACCATAATCCTGGCCTATAGTAAAACACACAACGTTCATAATTCACAACAGATCAAAAAAATCTGTCAGTCAAATCCTATTCTCCCAGTGATCTTGGCTGGATCTAATGGCGGGGAATATAGGACGTCATGACTTTTGCTGGTTGCCACCAGGTAACCAGAGTAGTTCGTCCATCATTGTAGACACTGGGGCCGAACGGTGCCTGTACCCAAGCACTGCCCATCGAAAGGATCCTGGGGTCTACCAGACCGTACCCAATGAGTGAACGCACACATCCGGAGAAAAAGTGGGTTGCAGGCACCAACGAGTCTAAAGACAGGACCAATCAAGCCAAACCCGCCAATCACTTGGCAGACAAATCTCGCTTGACACAGTGGGTCCTCGGACGCCACGCTGGGGGGGAAAAGAACCTGCAAGTCAAAGGGGGAGAGGAGGAGGGAGCAGGGACAATGCATTGCGTGGTCGTATCTACTAAAATCTACACTAAATCTCGGTCTAAATTCTGCAGTGGTACATTGTCTTGACTAGTACCGAGAATATTAAGCTTGTTTCTTGTTTCACTAATCTCGCTAATGAGATTGATTATTGTACACGACCTACCTAATCTGCACCTAGTGTCCTTCGTACTCCATACGGGTACATACATCTATCTACAATTACCAACCCAACATCATCTCCCAACGATCAAACCTGTCTTTGATTATGGAGCCCAGCGGAGGACACCATTGCCCGGGAGATTGCCTGGCCCATCAGTGGGGCTTGGCACAAGTGAGATCGGATATAAATAGTGGAATCCAGCGCGAGGTCGAAGCGCCTATTGGTCCAGGGATGGAGTGTACCCAAGACCAAAGTACTCAGCTGAACCGGCCAGAAAAGCTAGTTTATGCTCCTCCTGGCGTGTGCAGGGCGATTGAAACACATCTGCTTTTTTGTCGTTATCCCTAGCGTCGAGTCCATATCGTGGCCCAATCACCGACCCGCTTTCTCATACAAAACTGCATGTGGGTTGGTCCATTCGAAAAAAGGCGCACGCGTGGGGCTGATCGTCATGAAGCCAATTGGGGCGGCAACGGGTGATCCGGGATACAATCAATAAATAATTCCAATAGACTCATCAAACGCCGGGGCTTGTGTGGCTCGAGAGTTCCTCAAGTTACATTACTTCTCTTATAGCCAAGTTTTTTTTTGTTGTTGTTTTGTTTCCCTGTCGGCTGAAATGATCGCCTACGGGGATTGCATGAGGTTACAGTGCTGATTTCGACCAGATAAGACCAAAACAGATCAGCAGGAGATTTCGGAGCCTGAAACTGTCAATACATGTACGCGTATGGAAAACTGGAGATGTGATTCGTCGGCCATAATGCAATCGCCACTCTTAATCAACCGGCAGAAAGGCCTCGTCATACATGAGGTGTTGGCGATTCGCTTTTAAGATACAGTAATTTTATGCATTTCGTGGCCTTTTCAAGGTTTATGCGGCTTGATCTTCTCCGGTATGCCGAATGGCCCTAAACAGTAGTTCCCTTCACATCTACGGACAGTTCTGTGGAGAATGGCCCTTGTTCAAGTAGACGGGCCCGCGATCGGAGCCGCCAACCAAACTTTCAATGGTTAAAGAGGGCTCAGGGACTGCAAGTCATGATATCAGATCTAACATTCACCTCGGGATTTTCGCATTATAATCCTAAATTAGTGAAAGGCCCAGTATTTTAGACTTTTTTCCCTTAACCTCTCGGGATGTCCGACGGGCTTCACTGCAGACTTCAAGTTGGGAGTGCCACCTGGGCAGCTGATTCCAGGTTGGCTCGGGAATATATCGGACAATTTTAAAGTGGATATATTGCGTTTTATAGTGACTCTCCCAAGGTTGTCACGGGCAGTGGATTGTTCCAGGGTTCCAGGGTTCCAACTTCAACTTGAAGTTAAAGTGTATAATAGTAGGTAGTATGTACTAGCCCTGGAGTAGTCTACTACGTAACAATCCGCTTACTATATAGTATCCAGTCACCGTTCGACCTATCACAACCTACATCAATAGTATGGATGGATGTCGGTAACTAACATTGAGCTAACTATGATTTACTGAAACCCGAAGATTAAGGATTAAAATTTTTTTTCCAGAAAGTGCGACTCGGGTCTCATCCACTGCGAATATAGTGTATGTGTATGCCAGTGATCGGGATTCAACTTCAATGAAGTACTAGTAGTATAGGTACTACTACTTGTAGTAGTAGCCCCAAGGTTCAATGACTGCGGGTTCACGAATATTATAATCAAATTTCGAAAAGTACTAGATGCCCTTGATTTCCAGAAGAACATCTCCAAGATGGATTCTATTAGACTTTTTTAATCTCATTAAGAATACCGGCTAAAGACTAACCAGTGCTTTATTCCTCTATATGACCCTCGAACAAATGAAATTTTGCAATCTTACCCAAAATTTGGAAGAAATGAGAAAAAAACTACACCAAGTATGGAATATATGCTTCTCTCAAACTCAGCAAGAGTAACTCAGGCCTCCAAAAACAAAACGCTATGCAGTATGTGATTCATTAGAATAAGAAGACCGGGGCGGGGAGACAAGAAGAAAGAAATACAAACCATGAAAAAATTGCATCTGCAAAGCCCGACAGATACCTGTGCATCAGATATACTTCTCCTCCCACCCATCCACCAAGAAAACCTCAGGAGAAGGGCTGATCCGAGGAGTAACAATGATCGCCTTCAGAGGCACCTGCCCATTCCCCGGGATGAAAAAGTCCAAGCATTGCCGACAAGGACAAATCATCTTGAAATGCATTCGAGCCCAGAGATTTCGAAGCATGGTCTCATTCCGAGTATCGTCTGCAGGATTCCTCGATTCCCACTTTCGCTGCTCCATCTCCGCCTTAATAGCCCACTCACCTGCCTCTTCATCAATACCAATAGAATCCTCAAGGGTAAGCCGTCCAAGTTGTAACGTGAGCATTTCGAACATTTTCAATCCGAACTCGGTAACGTTGTGGTGACCGTCAGTAAAAGTATCGGCGATTTGCTCAGTAGCATCGGCAAGGCATTTGCAGCGAGTCTCGAAACAAGTCAGACTTCCTGTTCCTTGACTCCCAGGAATTAGTGACCACATAGAAAGGGTGTTTCGTAAACGGCGGAGTTCAATTTGGATGTCGGAGAGAGTTCTGTCTTCAATTTGGCCTTCGCCGTATCTTTGAAGATGAAATAGGAAGTCGCCGCGGATAAATTGGAAATCATTTATAACGGATGTTCTGAGCTTTGCATCCATGATGACGGTAGAGTTGAAAGGAGGTGAGATTTGACTTTGATTAGATTAGTGTATCTTGTTTTCAGATGGAAATCTAAAGAGTCAAATGAATGGATGTAGTTCTGATGATTGCTATTTGTAAGTCCAAGTTGATGTGATAGTTCGAACTGGGAATAGAACCGTTGCCTCATATACTTAGGAAATTGGGTTTTGATATTTGTTGCCTATACCTTGAATTGATTGCTGACGCGAATGATGACGACCAAGGCTGTAGAGGGCGATGGGTGCCTCTTATAGTCGAGTCTTCCGGATGAGGCATCATGAGCCTTTCATCTTGGCCAAACAGAATCATGGCTTTCACCTTTGTGATGGTATGCTATTGTTGGGTGTAGAACAACCTACTATTGATAGCAGCTTGAATAGAGTGCTTGTTCTTGAATAGTATTTCTGGTGATGCTGTTATGAAAGAGATGTGAACAAACGCATTGTAAACAACTATCCACGTCGCCAATAATAGGTACTGTTTCATGCTGTGCGTTGCATGTCAGAAAGACAAAATAGATCAGAAAAGGAGGTGGGTACAAAGAGTTTTAGACTGAAGAAGAAGGGGACCACGAATATTCAAACCAGACTCCTTTGAGTTATGCTTGGGTAATAGGATTATTTGTGAATCAAAGAGAATGTTCTATTTGAGAAATAAATTGAAGTCCTCTTTGTTGAAGTGCTCTTTGTAGGCCTCATTTTGCTATAGAGGGGTATGTAACTGAAAGAGTTCACCTCACAGCCTGGGGCAACACACGTCTGACGAATTTTCATCCAACCCTTCACTCCCACCAGCCAACTTACTTTGATTATCCGCCTGCGTACTGATACGCACAAGCGCTGGATTGCCCGTAAAAAGGTTAATGGGCTTGAGAGAAACCATCATTTTCTCCACAGGCATGACAGGCCAATCCTCCACACAGGGTTTATGCGTTGTCCCAATGTATGCCAAACAACAGATCCTCTTTGCGAACACCAAGTGGTCCAGAGCGATTCCGGATCCACGACGCAATCCCCTCACTACTAAGTGTACGGGAGACCATAGTGGCCAGCAGGAAAAAACCCCCTTGGCCCTATATTAATATTTATCGCCTATTACACCGCTATCTGTACTGTAAGCTCTACATATATAAGAAAGCAATTGGAAAGACAAGTAGAAAGATGATTGGAGAGACCAATGCGAATATATCTTACATTATACTAGTAAGTTCGTTTCAAAAGCAAAAAAATTTATATCTTAAAGAGAGCAGGTTTGAAGCTTAAGCTCATGATACTCAGGGCCTATAGGGATATACTAACTGTATTCAAGTTGCAGGTATCGTAATTTTCTGCTGGTCTAAAATATGCCGAAATAGGGGTTTTCCCTGTGACCGCTATGGCCCCCCGTACTAAGTGACTGTATCATGTTTTCTTCCTGAATATACAGTTTCCATTATGATACCGAGTTTAAATCCAAATCCAAATTCAAAGTATTATTCAATCTGACTTAACGAACATGTTGACCTACCACAAGACTCAAAGAGAATTTCCAAAATCATCTGTAACTAGTCCCCGCCTCTGCCTCAAGGACTTCATTCGCAAGAATCTCCATGAGTTCATAAACCAGGTAGTACTGTCTAGCCTATGGCTCGTCGAGCTCAAGGTCCTTGGCTGTAATACCGCTACCATCTGGTGCCTAAAAGTGAATCGTTCTTAGCCCACAAAATTCATTCTTCCATAGAAATTCTCATCAGCTTACCGAAGTTGCGAGATCGTGCTCGACTCTTGCGTAGAAACTGCTCTTCTGCTCCTCGCTCATCGCACCAAAAACATTCTTTTCGAGGTCACGGAACTCTTTATCGAACTATAATTCCATATTAGGTTTATTCTCAACAGCCTGTCAGGATGGATTTTACCTGTTCCATATATCTTGACTCCGCAGCCTGATTTTCCTCCCTTTCCGCGTTTTCGGTGGCCTGATCAAGATACTCTTTGACCTATGTAGAACATTTATGTTAGCTAATACTCAAAAGAAATTGATCTAGATAGAAATGGCTCCTACACTATCTGGGGTGACCGAGATGTCGTTCTCCTCCAAAACCTGCTAATAACTCTCCATGGTATCTGAGTCCAGCAAGAAGTCTTTGACAGCTGCAACATGGCTCATTGGCGTTGTAACCCCACGAGAATTTGGCAGTGCACGGTCGAGAGGCCCCGCTCTCATCTTATCGAATTCCTCTGCTTCTTCCTGTTTGAGATGTTAGCATCAATTAGATAATAACGATGTTATAGGAGCAATCGGTTACCATGAACTTCTCCTTATATTTTAGAGTGTAATGATACGAGTAGAGATCCTTGATCCGACCAGTCCCACCACCCCAGTTGTTATACACTTTCTTGGGGGGAATTTTATGCTTGAGTCCATGATCTTTCATCGAGGTATAGGCGAACCAGAAGCAGTTGTGATCAAGAAGGTTATACGTGCCGCCTTTCTGACTAACAAGCCCAATAGTCTGAGCCAGGTCAAGGATGGTCGGTCTCGCTTCGGCATCAGGGTAAAAAAATGCCTCCAACGGAAGAGGCAGATCACGAAGAGTATCCCTACCCCATCGGCCTGGCAAGCTCTTGTCTCCATTGTCCTGACTTGGCTCCTCCTTTCCAGGGGTTGGGAAATGAATACCTTTACTTTCATTGTAACCAATCGTCACTCCATCCACCGAGTAAAGGGATTGACGTCCAGCGCGGAGATAGGGACTACCTCAACAGCATCCCACGCCACGCTCCGCGTAGATACGTGTTCGCTCTTTGAACACAATGTCTTCGACAATGAATTGGACATATTCATGAGCCCATGGCGATTAAAGGTCTTTGACTCGAGTCAAGCTGATGACGCGTAGCGATTCATAGTCTTTACTCTTCGCTTCAATGCGCTCCCACCATTCCTCTGGCTTAGTGATGCACGTCCTTTGCGAAGACAAGGGGCATTGACTGATAGCAATACATATTCAAGATGTAAGAATGAGTTTGATAACAGAATATTTCTTCCAAGATCGTTCTCGTGGGAAGTGGCGAAGCAAAACTAATGTGTCAATGCCGCGCTTTAAATAATTGAGCAGCAGAGCAAAATCAGGTTTTCTAAGCAAAATCATTGATGTCAAGTCATTGTTCGCATCCGTGGATTCATAAACGATCTTCATACCGATATTGGGGCATTGACTTTCAGCTGGCACGGAAAACCAGTAACTTGAACCCGCCCGGAGACGGTATTCGTGCTGTATTGAGGCTTTTTGGAGCATAGCTGAACTGTGGGTACGTTGTATGCCATTGATTGATCCTAGTATTAGTTTGCATAATATTGCCTGCTCCACCATTGCAGTTCCGTAACTTGAAGTAAGACAATAGTCAATGCCTTCTTATACAATTATGGACAAAGCGACACAAAGCCTGTAGATTCAAGATGATAAGTAAAACTTGGACTCTAGATGTGTTGCGGTCTCACCTACATACCTCATTTTTGGCCATGGTAGATTACGTTGATTCTTGTTTCGCTCCATCTCTTTCCCATGAACATGGTGGGTGGGGCCTGCAAAATGGAGCCAGCGGCGTCAACGCCAGTATTTTTGTCAACTTTTGCAGATGGATTCTTGTACAACTCCACAAGCACGCTCTCAGCCAAGTCATCGTACATCCTCTCGATAATTCCTTGGCTCAGGAACATCATGCGGCATGCTCGTCAGTGGATACTTCTACCTAGATTGGATTGGTACATACGCATAATGGGAGATCCTATGGGGAATTTGGCTGCCTGCAATACCTGTTCTCCAGCTTGAGGTCATAATAAATTGATCATAGAAAATAAAGGAACTGACGAACTTGCCACTTATCTCCTCACGTTACCATGGGCCGCAGAAATACAAGCGGACTGTTGTGTGATACGGAGCGTTGGACCCGCTAACAACTTTGTTGTTTGTTGCGCCTTCAACCAGTCTGTTGTGACGAAACTACTTGAAACAGTCCAAGTTCAATCATTAAAGTGGTTTCTAATAGTTCAATAAGCTCGAAGACTTCGATTTGACAGTGGTCATTCAAATTGCCGGTGTACTTCAATATCTCGCGGATAGTGGCACGCCGCGGCCCGCGCCCTCCAGAACCACGACATCTGGAGTGGGTCCCCAATATTTACGCCATACCAGTGCCCAAAACATTCCAGGGCTGTCGATCATAAGTGCCGAGTACCAGCAGAGACTAGCATGTTCCGCTTGCGTCTGAACCAAAAAAACGACGAGTCCAGGTTTCTAATTATGGTCTATCCAGTAATTTAAACGAGCACGTCTCAACATGTGGTTGAATCTCGGTACCGTAGAGCTGTGATATTGAGTCGGATATTGCCGCCAATCCCATCCTAATATCTCGACTCGACGCAATTAATTGAAAGCAAGAGCCACAACATGATGAAATATGGGGGTCATATCCAAACGACTACCCTGGGTTGGAATCTTCTCCCCTGAGCAAAGAGGTATATGATTACCAGTCCTGAACATGCATGCTTTTCGGGGACTCCGATATAGGGAACAGCCTAGAAAATCTTAGCCTTCGGTGGCGTGAAAAGAACCGACTTCCCGAGAGAGAAACCTACCCTGGTGATATCTGTTGGGGAAATTGTATCAAAAGGGTGAAGTTGAGCTGATGCCATGTTGAGATGCTAATTAGAAAAAACACTTTGATAAAAGCAGAAGTAGTAGGAGAACGAAATGTTAGAATAATTCAAAGTCTATCCAAATAGTCTTCTATATGTGGGGAGATGACCGAGAAAGGCTCAGTAGACTAGATTAACATAGCATGATGATACGATGAGTTGACTCCGCGCTAGTTTAAATCCGGATTTCAAAACGGATATCATTTCCTTAATGCGAGGTATCAAGATTTCCTGTAGGCTGACGTAGAAGACGTGGGACCGTTGACAGTTCAACGGGCCAATGATAGGTGTCTCACACCCAAACAGCCATGAGCTGACAACAAAGCCCGGAACCATCTGCAGAGGAATTGCCGCTTCATAGTGGCATCTCAAGTAGATAGGGCGTCTACGATTCCTAGGGTGATTGAGTGGCGGACTAGACTCCGCGCTGTTGTGCGGGAAATGAACGTCGTGCGAAAAATGCGCCCGTTCCAATGTATGCACCCATATATCCAGGGTTGTAAAGTCCTTTAAAGGGCTATAGCTGTACAAGACATGACAAAATGTCTGAGTAGATGCTCAACAATCAAAAGTAAAAGAGAACAAAAAAAAAAGGCAATAGTACATCAAAAAGTCTAGTCGTTTATTCGTCACTTTCAGACTCAACTTGGTCATTCTCAAGATGCTTTCTCCGTTCTTCCTGGAGTTCACGATACGTGCTCCAACTCAGGAGGAAGAAAGCAGCCATAATTAGGATACCTCCAATAATGGCTGCGAAAGAGAGAGGTTGCCCGGTGCGGAGCCAGTCGACAATGGCAACGAGGAAGATAGTCAGGAGCGCAGCAACTGACGATAAAACGGGAGATGTAAGGGAGATAAGAACCAAGAAGGATCCAGAGAATGCTGAAATATAGTAAGTATCGTGTTTTCAAGAAATAGTTGAGTGGCATAGACTTACTAGCATTGGAACAAATGGAGATAATGAGCATCCAGCCCGCCTCACCAGTAGGGAAGCGGAATTCCTCCCAGCCCAGATAGTGCAGAATAGGAATCGGAATCCATAATACTAAAAGGGTAAAGGCTCCAATCAAACTGCCGAACGTATTGGCGAATATCGTACCGCGACCAGGACTTGTGCCCTCTGGTGGACAAGCAAATCGTTTATATAGAACCTCATAGAGGCCATAGAGGATGCTGCCAACACCAATGATGACGTTGCCAACCAATCTGCTTTGAGCTTCACCATCTGCCTTGGTTGTCCCGCCCTTAGACACCTTCTTGTCTGGTCGGTCACCATATGCTACGACAAGCACGCCAATGATTGCCACACCAACAGCAAATACTTTGTCGAGTCGTAGTCTCTCTTTGAGAAGCGGGATAGAGAAGGCGTATGCGAAGAAGGCCGAGCAGTTGTAGATCGCCGTCAAGTCGCTAGCTGTAGTCAAATTGACAGCCACGTACCATGAGCCACCGGCGATTGTAAGAGCACTGGTAACGAATGCAGTAGTCTTGAGCATATATACGACCGGTGAGCGGTGGGAGTCGCGAGCGCTGAGATGAACCTCCTGCGTTTCTACCATCTGGGCTGTACTCCGGAGAAGAGAGACATGGCGGCGCCAAAATGCTTCCCACGATAGTTTTCGTTTCTGAATTCGAAGGATGAGTAACTGAAAAGGCCAGAGTAATACCCAGGAACCGTGGGTAATATAGCTGCATATGGGAACGAATTTGATAAGCAATTACTCCGTACAAGTCCAAGATATTAATGGGTTATAAGAGGAAAGTGAATAAATCCGCGGGGTCGGTTCTCCCCGGTTTTAGGCTCGAGTCCAGACTTACAGCATGCAATACGGCTTATCCCAGCCTAGTTCATGTTGGATATACACGGCAGTTTCTGTTTGAACCACAAAACTAGCCAAGCTTAGTAACAGAAATCCCAAAGCAATCATGTACTTCTTGCGGGTCGCTTGGGCGGCATCGTATTCCGGGCTTTTACTCCGGATGGTAGGTCGACGGGTGTGGTGCAACATGGGCCTGCCTTCTGCATCACCGTCGTCGAAACTAGATCTCGAAAGACGGCCATTGCGATCGTCTTTGAGTAACGGTTGTTGCGAGCGGCCATCCGTAGGGCGGTGCAATGGGGGACGACTGGTAGCCATGTCGTCTTCTGAATCCTGGCAATTACGATCCGGGCCCGGGGCAGAGTTCACCCGCGAATCTTCAAGTTCGATGTTTCCCGAAGCCACAATTGCGTCGGTCTGGTTTGCCACGTAGGATTTTCGCGATAATGGGGTAACTCAGAGATAATCGGAGACCACTTGGTCCACTCACTCGTCACCCTTGCTTAGCCAAGATAACAGATAAGGACCTTAGCACGCCAGGGATGTTCAACCCATTCAAAAAAATGCGCTGATTAGAACTTGAGTTATCGGTTATGTGGGTATTTCCAAACTCAAATTGGCCGTTGGGCTTGTATGATATCGAAGTGAGAGGTTTGCATGCGACCGCCTAATCGAATGCAAATGCGGCCACGTATATTGGACAAACAGGGTACAGGGGGTTGCGACCGCATGGAGGGGCTGCAAAGCGAGATGCGTTCGGAAAGGAAAATACCGACGAACTTGTGCAACACAGGCTGAGTAGACGACGGGCAATTTCACGAAATTAAGAAATGGAGAAGGTCAATAATAATCCCGGGGAATGGATGCCTTCGTCATCATGCCTTCGATGGCCCTATACCGCTTTTGGTAATTGGCTTATGTGATATGGCCCCTGCCACCCGCTAAACCATATACGGCCTAGCGCGGCCCGCCAGTCTCAGGTGTCCTGTCGAGTGACCTAAAATAGCACCGCCTGACTCGTTCCAAAGCCCCCTGGGTCCCTAATCTTGGAAACTTGGGAACGATGCATACATGATTTACTTCATTGCCGAGCCGGTTTTCTTGGCGGCCACATGGCCAACCGGTAACATATGCCCTGTTGACTGGAAGCATTCTGGAATTTCATTAGTCACAAGGCGTATGAAAATCTGGTGATGAGATATCTACAGAGTACGTATGTGATTTTAGGAGCACATGGGAACGCCATCACCTAGAGCAGATGGCCTCAGCTCAGTGAGTAATTACGATGGAAATCTAGTTCAAAAGGACTAGCATCATTGGAAGCCAGGCAAGCTGAATGATTCCGTCATCCTGTCAATTTAATTATTTGTGCAATGAGTCAGGCAACCAACGGCTAATTTTATGTTCCAGAGTCTCCATCTAAGCCTTAGGCTTGAACAAGGCCTCCTGGGTATTGTAGGTGTACTTTAAATCGAGATGCCAGTAAACTGGAGAGTATGGCTTAGCAATTAACCACGCCTTCTCAAGTGCCTCCACAACGTCCTCAGGGAGAGGGCCCTTCTGCACATCACGGATATTCGATTCCAGTTGAGAGAAGCTGCTAACGCCGAGGATGATACCATCCCGGCCACCATTACCAACCTTGAGAGCTGAGTGGTGGTGGAGCCAACGAAGAGCAGTCTCAATCAATGTTAATCCGTGTTTTTCAACCACAGGCTCGATAATGCTGAGGGCTTCGAAGTTTGCATCCTTAAAGTAGCGATTGCGGGAAAGGGTTCCAGCAGGATTCTTAGCACTAAAGCGACCTTCTTCGGGAATATCTTTTGTCTTGTATTTGCCGGAGAAAAGACCACCGGCTAGTGGGTTGTAGACAACAATGTCTAGGCCATAGCGGCGGCAGGCATGAACCAATTCCACCTCAATATTGCGAGCTGTTGTGGGAAGAAACGGTTAGCTCAATGTACTCTCGTTATATAAAGACGTTATCACATACTGATGGCATTGTACATGGCCTGATAAATGGTGGGACGAACCCAACCCTTCGCAGCACAAAGAGTAACAATCTCGGCTACCTCAAATGCTGTGTAATTACTGAGACCCAAGTTGACGAACTTCCCCTCTTTATGCAGCTTATTGACCTCCTCAAGAGTTTCCGAGAATGGAACTGAGCGATCGGGCGCGTGGAGGTAGAAGATATCGACCTGATTGGTGTTCAACTCCTTGAGAGACTTCTCGAGGTTCTCACGCAGGACATCAGGCTTGTGGAAGCCAGGAGTTTTAGGATACCATTTTGTGGCAACAGACAAACCACGGTCTTTCCAACCTGCCTTTGCTGTCCAGGCTTCCTGTTCACCATCGACATAGATTCGAGCAGTATCGATCTCATTGAATCCCTGCTGTTGTAGATAATCGAGACACTTATTGTATTCATTCAGCGAGGTAATGCGAGCACCCTTTTCCGCAGTAGGCCCAAAGGTCATAAGACCGAGGATGACGCGAGGAAGGGGGTTCTGAGCAATAAGAGGCATGTTGAATTGCAGGTGGTTATTGTGTATGTATGTGTTAGCCTGAGGTTGGGAATTGGAGAACTGGTTCAGAGCGGGGGAGGGGTTGCGGAGTGACCCGATTGTCGATAACAGCGGGAAAGCCATCGCGCAATACCTTTTTCGTCGGAACCGACCGCAGCGTAAAAGCGAGGTTATAATTATTATCATTTCTAAGGCAGCCGATTGCCCAATTCCCAAGCTCTATTGCGAGAGACTATTCATTCCCCCCCAACCAACCACAATGGCGACACCCACATATAGCAATGACAACCCCATTCGCGTTTTGGTTATCAACCCCAATACCTCCACACATATGACCGATGGTCTCAAGCCGATACTTGACCAACTCAACTACTCCGATGTCCAATTTGAATACTTTACAGCGCCCAATGAGTCCGTGACCGTAAATGGAAAGACCTACGAGCCTATCGCGAGTATCAACTCCGGCAAAGAGTCGGCGCAGTCAGCGCTAAATTGCTGGTCAGTTTTGGACCGGATTTCGCAATTTGATGCCTTTTTAGTGGCGTGCTATTCGGCCCACCCACTAGTAGGCGTATTGCGACAGAAAATCCGAGAATTGAAGAACGCCGATCCATCATCACGAAAGAAATACGTTACCGGAATTTTCGAGGCTAGCGTCACTACATCCCTGTCATTGATTAGCGCATTTGATTTTGTGGCACAGGGGGAGCTAGAGAAGAGCCAGGCCAAGGAATCGTTTGGGATTGTGACTACTGGTAGTGCCTGGAAAGATGAGCTGAGCAAAGCTGTCTCTAGCATGCTCGGCACCACTCAGACATCTTCCCGTTTCGCTGGAGTTGGCACGACTGGATTGACTGCTGGGCAGCTTCATACAACCGAGCCTCAAGAAGTGAAACGACGGATTGTTGATGCTACACAGAAGCTCCTTCGGGACTCGCCAGTTCCTGTAGGTGCCATTTGCATGGGATGTGCAGGTATGGCAGGCATGGAACAGGCTGTGCGAGAAGGTTGTATACAGGTCTATGGAGATGTTGAAGGTCACCGTGTAAGAATTGTGGATGGCGTCGTGGCAGGAGTTGGAGCATTAGTGACGTTGTGCCGAGCGGGATTTTGATGCTGCCATTGATTCTCTTTATCTAAAAGTACCTTGAAACGTTGAATTTTCGAGTATAAAATTATTGCATGGAAATAAGAGTTTATAGAGATTCCAGTCCATCGATCAGAGTCCACCAACAATGCAATTATAGCCCAGAAACATGACAATAGAATGCTTGGATAGTGATGTTGATGTCTAACTCAATTGGTGCCTGAGGCGGCAGCTCGGGTCTCAAGCCAAAAAGTTCCCCGCAACAACGCGGTACAACGCGTGAACCAACTTTCTCCCAACGGCACCAGTGGACCACAATGCCTAGGTGAGAGCCTCTGTATCCTCCGATGAACATTTCAAAGAGAACCTCAACTAATTCTGACGGCAATCCAGGGAAATCATCACGATCCAAGCCGGCCAGTGCGGCAACAATGGTATGTGCATCTCCGCAGCCTTTGACGGACGAGCCCCCGCCATTATAGCCCATCAGCAAGAGAACATGGGAGGAACATAGACCAAAAGGGAATAAAAAGCTGTCTATGAGCTTTGCTGACCCCATATACAGTCGGTAGCCAGTTCTGGCAGCAACTGTGCCTGGAGCACGGAATCAGCCAAGATGGTAACCTGGAGGAGTTTGCGACAGAAGGCGGCGACCGCAAGGACGTTTTCTTCTATCAGGTATGTTTCTGGATAATGGGGCATAATCTACCACTTTGGTGGATTGTCTGTCTAGGTTTGTTTTGCCCGGTAGAGCTAACAGAAGCTTGATAGAGTGACGATACCCGATACATTCCCCGAGCTATTCTTCTCGATCTAGAGCCTAGAGTATGAACTCTCTCCTACTTGAACATGCAACGAAAACACGCACGGTCGAGAAAACCATTCTAACCCAACAACAGGTTCTTCACAGCATTCAATCAGGCCCGTACAAGAATATTTACAACCCGGAGAATTTCTTTATCGGAGAAAATGGTGTTGGAGCTGGTAACAACTGGGGTGCCGGCTATGCGGCAGGAGAGGGTGTCCAGGAAGAGATTTTTGATATGATTGATCGAGAAGCAGATGGAAGTGACTCATTAGAGGTTGGTCTTATACTACAATCCTGTGTACACCTTGGGATAGACTGGCTCACAGACTTTGACAGGGATTTATGTTGTTACATTCCATTGCAGGAGGTACAGGTTCTGGCTTGGGAAGTTTTCTGCTGGAGCGTATGAATGATCGTTTCCCCAAGAAGCTGATTCAGACATACTCCGTGTTTTCGGATTCCAACGATGTGGTCGTCAATCCTTACAACAGTTTATTGACGCTGCGCCGATTGACTCAAGATGCCGACTCTGTGGTAAGTAATGATCTCTTGATGCCTTCACGCAACTTGTATATTGATGTCTCGATAGGTTGTTTTGGATAACCTTGCTCTAGCAAGCATCGTTGCAGATCGTCTCCATGTCCAGAAGCCCAATTACGACCAAACTAATCAACTTGTAAGCTTATCCAAGCCCAGGATTACCATCCATGTATCTCAAGCTGACGAAATAGGTATCTACTGTCATGTCGGCTTCTACCACCACCCTCCGCTACCCAGGATACATGCACAACGACCTAGCAGGAATCATTGCGTCCTTGATCCCAACCCCACGCACCCATTTCTTAGTCACCTCCTACACCCCATTCACCGGCGACAACATCGAGCAAGCCAAGACAGTGCGCAAGACAACCGTTCTAGACGTGATGCGCCGCCTCCTCCAACCAAAGAACCGCATGGTCTCAATTAACCCCAGCAAATCAAGTTGCTACATGAGCATTCTCAACATCATCCAAGGCGAAGCCGACCCCACAGACGTCCACAAGTCCCTTCTGCGTATTCGCGAACGTCGTCTAGCTTCCTTTATCCCATGGGGCCCCGCCAGTATCCAGGTCGCACTCACAAAGAAATCACCATACCTGCAACACACAAATCGCGTCAGCGGTCTGATGTTAGCAAACCATACCTCTGTAGCAACGCTGTTCAAGCGAATTGTCCAGCAATACGACCCGCTCCGCAAACGCAATGCGTTCATCCAGCAATACGAGAAAGAAGCACCCTTCGCAGATGGCTTGGGCGAATTCGATGAAGCCCGTGCGGTTGTCATGGATCTCATTCGTGAGTACGAAGCCGCCGAACGCGAAGACTATTTAGAACCGGATGCCAGCAAAGAAAACCAAGTTGGCGCATAAGACATCGGCCGGGTCGAAAATTTCTTTTAACTGTTTGTTCTTGCTCTTGTTCTTATTCTCATTCTCATTCTCATTCATCGCTTGGTTGGGGCAACGGGGTTCGCGGCGCATACAGACAGATACAAGGCGCCCAGGTATGTAGGGTTCGGGCGGTTTTTTTTTTTGTTTAATTTTTTTAACCTTTTCTTTTCTTTTTCTTTCTTTTTTTTCACCTTTCGTCCATTCCCCTCTCGTTGGATTGGGTTCTTTGATCAAAGTCCATAAACCAATTATTTCGATAAAGTACTCATTTCTTTCATGGGCGGCATTGGATTCAAAATGGGTCCTAGACACGTAGACCGAGAAGGCAGATTCCGGATGACCCGCTAATTGCAACGGGCCGGGCTTTGCAGCGGTGGAGAGATGCAGATGCAAAGGGCCTAAAGGAGAGAATCCTATGAAGGAAGGGTTACTGTATGTATTAAGCGAGTCTGTGATAGATCACAGGTAAGTATGTAGGTACGGAGTACTCCGTACGTACATGGAGTACCCGGCATTAGGTAGGTACAGTAATCTGTGTAATACAAAATCAAGGCAAGGCAAGGGAAGAAAGAAAGAAAAAAGTCAATGATTAGGTTGGGCGTATGGGCAGCATTGATCGACTACCTACTAAACACAATTAGTCAGTTTATAGGTTCGAGTTCTCCCACCTAATTGACCACTGTACAGGACGGTTACTACGTGGTCGATTCTAGTTCCCGGATGACGGACTAGCACTAGCTCCCCGCAGATCATGGTGCCTCATTTCAGGCGCATTGACCAAGGAGACTGGTCTAATTTGTATTTGCATCTGCATTTAAAGTATGTAATGTGGTATCTGATATATGGTGTGGTGCTTAAACAAGTCTAGTTAAATCCCCTATCAGGTTTTCCTACATCAGTGGCTAAGAGTCATACTCATATTACTAACGGATGAACTCCATTCTTTTGCCACTGCGTTGCCGAGTGAGTGGGTGGCGCGGTGTGCGGCACCATGGTGGAACTAAACTCTGGTGCCATTTCAAGTTTCTCTTCCTCGGGTAGATTACACAGAACTGCAGGTTGCAGGCAATGCAGAGGGTGGGAAACGGGTATCCAGTTAATGGTTCTTGTTCCAGTCCAGGAGCCGCGATTAGTAATTCCCGAGTTTGATTTCCTCGTTCTCGGATTAGATCATGTGAATTGGATCTCGGGTATTCCGTACATATATGTACAGGGTAAAATCAGTACTATAGATATACTAGATAGAGATAGGGTGATTGAATGGGTCCACGTGATGGAGTGGTCTTGGTCTGTCAGGTGAGGGTATTCGTATGGTTCGCAATGACCCTCTGGTAGTGCTGGATCATCATTCTCCTTTCAGTGGATCTTTCAGGTGGTAGAGTGCATTATACAGCACTTGCCTATCGAGGCACAGAGTATTAATTTTGATTTTGATTTTGATTTTGATTTTTAGTTTTGATTCCAATGTACTTGTACAGTACTTCGTACATGACTCGGTCCCACGGGTGGGGAACCAGTTTTGGTTGGGCTACTTTAACTTCCTCGGTGTGAAAGGACTAACGTGCCAGATGACGGAATTCCGGAGCACGGAGTACTTGTAGATGTATTAACCGCCCTGCCAGGACCCAGGACCCAGGACCCAAGGTTCGCACGGACACATTCCGATCATTGGATCCCCCGATCAGGCTTGAAGGGCAGCTAGTTGGCTCGCGTGCGAGAAAGGCGCAGGAAGCGCAAAAAGGGGGCATGGTCCTGTGCAGTTGTACCGTACAATTAGGGTGGTACTATAGATACATGAACCCCCACATGCATGGGTTCAGGTGTTCATCAGGGCTGCCAGTGGCACCTGGGCACTGTAGAGTAGATTAGAGGTGATACCCAAAGCAAAAGCCAATGCAATGCGTTTTGAATCGATACCTAAGCATGTCTATTATATGGATACTATCTAGTATAGTTATATGTATGGTGATTATGGAATATATGGATCCAATTATAGTACTAAGATTGCTAACGCTCTTTAACTTTATTGTACTAATTTAATTAATTAATTAATAATATAAAATAAATAGTTGATGGGTTGATTTACCATAGTTAATAAGTCATAGTAGGGGGGAGAAGGACCAGAGACTACGCCACGCCGAGAGTCGGTGCCAGTAAAAGGGGGGGGGGGTTCAAGTTTAAAAAAGGCCATTAAATGAGATGGATACCGTTAATAGTGCACCTAGGTTAGGTTAGTTCCAGTAGTTACGGGGTACGGGCCAAGCAGCCCAAAAAAAAAATGGGGGCTTGACCGTATTAAAGAATGGAGCCTATCGAACCTTCTCGGACCCGCTCGCCTCCAGACTGATTCCGTCACTCTCCACGCCTCAAACTGACTCAGCCGACCAGTTTAATCCATGTTTGACTTTCCTTCTTTTTCTCCCGTCCGTTCCGATTCTCTCTATATAATACGTGGCCGCCCCTAAGGTATGTTCATTTCCCTTCTTTGCCCCCTTCACCTTCTACCATTTGGACCCCCTCAGCTGCTTTACATCATTCCTCTCCTCTTTCTCCCCAACTCTCCTCAACGTCCCCAATTCTATCCTCTCCCTTCTCCAACTTGCAACTCGCATCATCTACCTGCCTTTGAAAGAGATTCATTCTTATTTGGAAACATAATCAGCCTCAGCATATCAACATCAACCCTGTTCCACTAGCCGCTGCCTTCGCTTTGAAACGCCTATCTCTCCGCCCCAGCGCTTATCTCAAACCTACCTCGGTCCACAACTTAGAACACGTCACAGAGTCACAATCACATAAGTGAATTGATCTTTTGATCCTCCGATTCCTCCTCGTGAAAACCACTGCTTTCCTACAACTCCTCCTTTCACAACTACCACTTTCTACAACTCAATCATTCACCATGGCCCCTACCCGCAAGCCCCGATGCAACTTCAAGGAGTGCAAGGAGGCCGCTCAGCGAATCGTTGGTGACTGCAGTTTCTGCCATGGCCACTTCTGCTCAAAGCACCGTATGCTCGAGGCACACTCTTGCACCGGTTTGGAGGACTGCAAGAAGGAGTCTCACGCTCGGAATGCAGATAAACTGAATAGCGAGCGAACAGTCGTTGTTAAGGGTGTATAAGGACGACATGAGTTGGATGTTTCCTATAATCCTCAACATAGCCACAGCCACAACCTCAACATCAACCAACCTCTCTATTCTTCTATTCACTCTCGATCTCTCATGAGGAGGGAAGATAGAGAACCTGGCAATTTGTGCCAATTCATAAACCGGTTGAATATTTAGCGCCGGTGTTTAATGCTTCCATTTTCTTTCCTCGCCAAGCTCCATTTCCGACTATCCTTCTTGATTCCCTTTCCTTGTTCTGGGGGTGTTTCTTCATGACTTTGTTGTGGCCACGGCCTGACTGGACCGTTTTGTTTCTGTATCTGTTACTTCGTTATTTATTCTTTCCTTTGGTTTTCCTTGTCTCCGGGTGGGATTTCATCTACATGGCGTTGTCTTTCTATTCCATGTCTCCAATTCCAATATGGAGACTTTTGCATTCGAGGCATGATGGTGGTCTGTCTGCTTGTTTCCTTTTGTTTCCTGTTTCTTTCGGGGCTGCTACATAGAGATCCTACGGGACTCACATGGGCATCATTATTTTTTTTTTGATTTAGCCTTGATTTCTGCTTTATCTTTGGATCTATGAATATACATCTTTAACCTATTTTGAGAATGGTATTGGATTTTTTAATTTATAGTACAGTACATGATGTGGGTAGAATTGTAGCAAACAACTTGAAGCAATAGCAGCCTTTCCTTTGGCTTAACCAGGTCCAATCTTCGGCCTATATAATTGTTAGCAAATGTTTCGATAACGTAAGATATCGGAATAGTTGCATTAGAACTTGAACATACATATCATGATGCTCACTCAACCGACTAAGATACTTATTCAGTTCCTCCACACGCTCCTTATGCGTCTTGATTCCATCTCGTTGAAGACGTTCATGCAACTAAACACCGATTAGCAATGTCCAATTATCAAAAACCCAAAGACCCAAAGAAACAAAAAAAAGGAACATACCCTCTTCCTCCGCACCTCTTCATACTTCCTCTCCGTCTCCGTCTTTCCAGCAGACTTCTCCCCCTCAGGTGTCCCCTCAAACTCAGCCGATAACTCCCTCTCCGCATCCTCATTCAGCTCGCGTTTCGCATCAGCCGCACTGGCGTTTGCATTTGCACTCGTATCCGCATTTTCAGTTGCAGTTGCAGCTGAATCAGCCCCCTTGTCCTTATTCTTCTTGCTCTTCTTTTTCTTTTTATCCACTCGCCCATCACTAACTTTACTCCCCTTCAGTTTCAACTTCCCACCCCCGCCAGTGGAGTACTCATCTGGCGCCATAGTGGAGTCCTGATTTGATAAGTGAAGAGGGGGTGCTGCGCTAGGACTTGCTGTGCGGAGTAAGAGGGGAAGGAAGGGGCAAGAAAGAGATGGTTGGGTGGACAGGTGAGTTAACCCAAGCGATGAGCCCGTTGGGGCGGCAGTTTGTTTGCAAAAGGGTACAGTAGGTATGATGTTACTTTGGGCCTTGGATCCGTGGCACTTTTACCACTGTAATTTTTCTCTCTTTTTCTTTGGGTGTGGGGGTGAGGTATTAGCCACAATAGGAGGGCTGGGACTTCCACTTGAGTTCAAGGTGCAAATGTGAGGTTGGGATTTTGGGGCGGTGGGCCAATCAGAGGGTGTGGTGTGGATGATGGGTCCAGCATGTGCTGGGTTGTCGGGATTGTGCAGCGATCGCGGTTTATAGTTTGCGATAAGGGAATACGGTTTATTGGGAGTCAAAGAGTTCCAAGGTTAATTAGGTGGGCTTAACTTTGCATGTAGGGAGTACAGTATTTGTGATTCCTAATTTTTCCGTGTGGAGCTTGAGTTTTTGCTTATTAGGTACTTACTGGTACTATGTACATAGATTAGGCCCCTTTAACCATACCTAGGCAGGATAGCTTCAGTCTGATATTGTTCATCTTCATGACTAATTCTTCATTTCTATTTTATTATTTCTTCATTATTTCAAGACTATTTCCATGCCACTCGATATTTGAAAATAAAACTTTTAATCAAAGGGAATCGGTCGTAATCCAGATCCTCCCATACGCTTCCGCATCTCCGCACCCGCCGCAATCGTACTGGGAACCTTGATACCGCAACAGTCGCCAAAATAATCAGTATTCTGATGTGGCCCATGTGGATGATCATGATGTTCACAATTGTGACCATCATCCTCATGATCCCCAGAAAGCTCACCCATGCCCTCTACAGCAGGCAAAAGGCTCCCAAACAAGAAATGCTGCATAATAGGGAGTTTCCCAAGAACCTCCTTGACGAACATCTTCTTCATACCACTTTCAACCTTAAGCCAGTTCTTTGCGCCAGAAATATCATCCAGCATTGGACTATGCCAGCGCAACCCCTTCACTGTCTTGACGCTATCCACCCACCGTACCTGATCCAAATAAAGATATCTATCTCCCTCTTCGTCCAGCATAGCCGTGTTATGAATTCCAAGCGGCGTGACATATGGATGATCCACTAACTGGCTGGCGCCAAATAAGAAAGGCAGGAAATGATAGTCGTCTAGACCCCAGACTCCGTGTGAACCTGCCGGTTCGAGATAGTATGTTGACTGGATGTCTCGCATGAGATGCAGATACTCGAGGTAGACCTTGAATATCACGGCCGGGAAGTCTGTAGCGGGCAATAAGCCCAGCTGATAAAGACTAAGTAGCCACATCATGAAGTTCAGCTCATGGCCAGAGCCGTAATCTAGTCGGTCTCGGGAGCCGAGCGAGTTGATTAGGTATGTTGATGACTCGTCGACGGCGGCGGTATTGTTCATTCCGAGAATGCCGGTGTGCCATTTTGGGCTCTGCGCAGCGACATCGTCGAAGAGTGTGCGAAACGCAGGATTTCCAAATCGTGATCCACCCTGATCCAGAGCTGGGTGCTTCTCTACTAGGGAGCGGAGTTGCCCCACGACTTGGAGGACCTTTGAGATGGCATCTGAGTCCGGTTTGTTTTGTTCGGGAATGGGGTGGCCCCTCACTGAATCGGAGAGACCGAATATGAAAGCTAAGACCAGTTTATAGGTGGGGGAGGTGAGGAATGTATCGTGATCTTTTGGAGAGAGAATGCGGCGAACGGGGCGAATGTACTGGTGGGAGGAGAGGTCTGGCGGAGAAGGCAAAGGAGGGGTTATCGGGGTTGGGTCGCGAGATGAAGCGGTCTGTGATCGTCGGTTCGTTGACCGCAATTCTGAAAGTTTCTTTGAAAGGTCCACCTTTCCTCCTAGAGGCGGGAGTGTCTGGGACGCCATTTTGTGGTAGAAAGTGAAAGGTGAGAACTGAAGATCAGATTGAGGGACCTCGACGCCAGCGACATTAAAATGGATTACGTAATATTTGTAAGGGCCCAGGGGTGGACAGTGCAGAGCTACCGCCTGCCATAATAGGTCTAAATGACGCCATATCAAGTTAGCGTTAGTGGAGCATGTGATCTTCCCCGGAGATCAAATCAGCGATCATCCGAGCATTTTCTCTTTTAGCAGTTTCAGAGGTGACATTGGACGAAGTGGGAACAGCCACATGATGGACCCCTCGGCAATGAACTAAGCGGAAAAATCAAAGCCTCAAACGCCTGGGAATGTGAATCTGCTTGAACGAGCCCCGGAAACAGATCCTCAACCTTCTAACACGATCTCACATCCCGCTTTGCACCCACCACCCGTTATCAACCATTCCTAGCGCCCCCTCTGCATAAATCCTTCTGTTATTATCATCTGATTGGATAAAACTATTTAAGGACCTAGTCACGGTGCAATCACGCCATCATGAACACAGTTGAGCCATCGGCGTCCAACCCGACAGGCTCTCACAACGCCAGCGAGGCCAGAGATATCGATTCATCCTCATCACGCTCCCCCACAAATGCAGACTCCCACCTGTCATCGTCAATAAGCAGCAGCCGGTCCCACTCAAGCCTGTCTTCCCGAAACTATGCTCGAACTCAGCAGTCCCAGCAATCACAGACGCCCTTCACAGAGAGCACCCCGATAAATGCGGGCAGCTCATCGCGTGGCTATCAGGCTACTGAGCCCCCCAACGCGCACGGGGGATATAAAATTGGCGACGGGAATAACGCCGGTCCCACCAACCAATCCAGTCAGACTAATTATCCCGAGCAAGAGGATGAACACCATCGATCCCGGCTCGGACGATTTGTGGACCGATTCGGCTCCCTAGAACTCGAGAACAAGGGTAGTGTTGCACGAGACCATCTAGCTTTGGGTATGGACGTTGTATCTGGACCATATTTTCCCCGGGAATATCCTCGCTAACATTGTCTAGAACGAACATTCCTAGCATGGATCCGTACCTCTTTGGCTTTTGCTTCCATCGGCATAGCCGTTACTCAGCTATTTCGTTTAAACACAGCCACAACCAGCACAAATGCAAATAGCACAGGCTTACGCAATAACTACCAAGGAATACAGTCACCTCATAATCCCTCGTCTCTGCTAGACATATTCATCGCCTCACCTCCAGATAGGGATATGTCAAAACTCCGCAGTGTGGGGAAGCCACTCGGCTCTACGTTCATCGGCGTTGCTATTCTAATCTTAATCATTGGGTTCCACCGCTACTTTGAGAGCCAGTATTGGGTTGTTCGGGGAAAGTTCCCTGCTAGTCGGGGTAGTGTTATTTTGACGGGTTTCGTGGCAGGTGCCCTTATTATTGCCGCGTTGGCTGTAATATTAGCGGTTTCACCGAGTGCATATGAGACCTGAATATGGGATCTGACTCTAACAAGACAAATACAAATGGGGGGAGGGCTTTTATTTCTCTTTCTTTCGGGAAGTTTTATTATGTACTAAGCATTTCTTTTTCTTTCTCATGGCTGGGAGTTTTGTCTTTTTTGGTTTTCTTCTCTTCACTTCTTCGGTACATATTACACCTTGAAATGAACAAACAAACGTGAAACCTTGTGCAAGTAGGTAGTGGCTTATAAATATGCGAATGATTGGGTTGCTGTTGGCTATCGGTGACAGGTTTTCATCATTATCCAGATGCTGAGCCCGTTCAAGTTCGCCCAAGACACCCTCCTTGTATAGACCATCTAATTCCGACGGACGGAGGGAGAAATTGAAGTAATTGTCTACGATATTAGAGGTAGTCACCAATAGCAGGACTAAAGCTAAGCGGATAACTTATTTATTGCAAGTTATATTGATGGAATATTTCTTTCTTTTCTGCCAACAGCCCCAGATCCACCTGCAACAGACCAGTCTAGGTAATAAAGAGGCAGTGGGACGCGAAAACAAGATTGATGGGAAGTATATCGACATGATGGATAGTCGGAGGGGAAAGAAAGGGAGAAAGTATAAGAGGGATGGAAGACCGCTTGCAGATCATGCGGAAGAGTGCAAAGCAAAAGAGAAAGAGGAAAACAGGGGACATAATATCGGAGATGAAGAACCGCCTACATACAATCGCTTATCGTGGGCCGAGTTTTGCGAGAGCGCGGGCTCCCTGTTCCTGCCACTCCTGCTTAGACACCCACATATCATCCTTGTCGGCAATCTGTACCAGGGTGTTAGCTTGAGATGAAAAGAGAAAAGGTGAATGTCATGATAGCTTACCAGGTTGGCAAGGACGGCACCACCCAGGAAGACCATGTGTCTTCGTCGTGGGGGATCTTCAATGCGGACCTTGAATTTCTGTAACATAATTAGTTTTCAGGTCTTTATTCAGGAATAGATGAACGTCGGACATACGTTAAGACGCTCTGGGTTCCCGCCCAGGACGCGAGTGAGCCAAAGTTGCTTGATCTCCTTCTCCAATCGAGAGGGCAGACCAGGGTACATGCTGCTACCACCACTAAGAACAATTGCTTTGTAAAGGCTGGATCGGACATCGACATCGGTGCCCTGGATTGTGTTGAAGACCATTTCAGCTATACCAGGCTGGTCCACGTCGACCAAGTGAGGCTGGAACAAACACTCAGCAGCCTCAAATCGCTCGCTACCGACACGAATAACACGTCCGTCGGGAAGGGTGTAAGACTCAACCAGAACAGTGGTGTCCTCCGAAAGCTTCTTGTCAAGCTCGAGGTCATAGGAAACGTAGCACAGCTTCTCCTTGATCTGACGGACGGTCTCGAAATCGGCAGTTCGGTTCAGCGCATATCCACGGCGCAGGAGAAGGGCGATCAGGTTACGGGTAACGTCGCGACCAGCAACATCCAACCGGCGGATGTGGTGGTTCAAGACGGTTGACTCGTAAACGGGAATGACGTGGGTCACACCATCACCGGAGTCGACGACCACGCCACTGCTCAGACCCTGGGCATACAGTGCCAGCACCGCCTGGATCGCCACATAGACGCCTCCAAAGTTGTATCCCTCCAACATGACTTCGGCCATCTGCTCACGGTTCTTAAGTGGGTTCATAGGAGGCTCGGTGAGGAGGATCTTGCGACCTGTGGGGTCGATGTTCATCTTGTCGTAAAAGGTATAGTTCCAGAGATGTTGCATGTCGTCCCATTTCTTAACAATACCATTCTCCATCTAAATCGGGCCCGTCGGGCCTCTAGCTATTAGCAAATATGTCTCTTTCCTTGCTGCCTTCTGCGGGAGGCCGAGGGGGCGGGGTAATAAACGGTCAGGACCGGGGCTTGACATTGTATAGACGTACCGGGTAGCTAATCTGAAGCATTGATCGAGCGGCGGCAGCTTCATCTCCGCACATGATATCCTTCACAACGATGTCACCAGCTTGCTCCTCCGTTCGCAAGATGGGCCGCCCCACTATGGAGGGATATTGGTGCTCTGGGAAATTCTGGTGCGCGGGTTCAAGTCAATAGGAGTTCGGATGATTGGAATCGACCGTGCGACGTACCTGGCCTGCATAGCCGACCTTGAGGAAACCGGTTCCTCCGTCGAGGACTGCGGACTGTTAGCTTGGTGGAACTGGAGCTGAGGAGACAACACAGTCGCCTTGGGGTGGAGGGCGTGGGTACCAATGGGCATTTCCGCCATGATGAAGGGGATAGTAGTACTATCAGTCTGTTCGGGGGGGAGGGTTATGCACGGAGTTCCCGGGTTAAGGGAATTGGAGGTGGGGAGGTGGGGAGAATATGATGGATGGTTAAGTTGAGGTACACATTGAAGTCGGCTGCTGCGCCATCGTGCCGTTATTTTACGTGACAATACCATACTCCCATTTTTCCCCGCAAAACACCAAAATCGGCTGGGCAAGTTGACTCCGATTACAACGACGTAATTGCTTCAGCCACTACATAGTACGGTAGCCTTGATACTGCAGGTTGGTAAATTTAGGGACTATTTACTATTTGATAATGGCAGTTGCTAAGAGGTGAAGTCTGATTTTCATATTTCAGGATCTCATCTTGCTAAATTCCCCTTACTGTGTTAATCTAGTGATCGAACATACTTGAAGTTGAAAGTTCAGGCTGAAATTGTCGAGCTGTCGATTTGGCCCCCAATTACTATCAATGCCCAGGCTTATTGGGCATATTCGACACTCATCTGAGTGTTAAGTACATGCCTGAGATGATGATTTTCGGTTCCAAACCCCATTCGATGGTTTGAAAGACCTTCCAACGACCTTGGCACAAACATTTTACATATCCAACAACTGGAGGACCAAATTATTGCATTTGTCCATAAAAGACGCAGCATCCTCTTTGGTATGCCAGGCATTGTTATACGCGATGCTCAATTCCAAACAACCGCGGAAAGTCCCAAGGAACAATCCGAATCCATTTCCCAGCTCCTCTCCAGTAACCCATGGAGAGAACAGTTCGAAGGCTCCATATCTTTCTGGCATGATCTTATCAATGACTCCCATGCTTGACATGGATACTGATGGCATCTTGTTAGGAGCTGGAATGGGTGGAGCCTCATCTCCAGCCGGATAAGAGGGAGTGCCTAATACCCAATATGCTGGCACCAGATAAACATGCTCTTTGTCGTTGCGAATGTCAAGATAATAGCTCTTTACTTGTTCAACTGCCCTGCGAAGCTCTTGTAACTGCTCCTTGATGCTCGGCTTCGCTGTACCAATGGCAGGTATTATCGAGTCTAACACAAGACTCTTCCCAGAGACTGAGTGGTACACGGAAACAGCGTGCAACGGGGAGTTATATGGCTTACGGCAGTGTCCACGTTCGTTTATTAACGAGTAGTTGATATATCGCACTTTTCTCTCCATGGACGTTTGCTTCTGAAGACCAAAAAGTACAAGCGCAGCGCTAGCATGATACACATGTGTCACACTAGCTCCGATCTTTTGACATGCACCGAGCACTCGATGAGTTTTGTCCGCTGTAAGAGTCAAAGCCGTTCTCTTGTGAGCCCCAGGCACAGTACTAGAGTCATCGTATGGCACTGTCGCAATCTCAACATCCTTCTTGCATAGTTCTTTTTGTTCTTTGGTTTGCTGAAGCTTGCGCTCTTGTTCCTCGGTCATACACGCAGGTAATGAGGCGGCAACGCGGAATGGCGGGCTCAGATTTTGCCATTCCTTGTCATAGGTAGAAATATGAAAGTCGTGTGGATTTTCATATGCAGCTGAGGTGTATTTCATAATATTATTCAGCAGAAGCAAAGCCCCAATCCCATCAACAATATCGTGGTGCGAACGCAGGACAAGATCGAAAGACTTCTTGGCTCCAACATAATTGTTATTATAGATCAAGAACAAAGTCGGAAGCTTAGGCACTGGAGGGTCCGAATTGCACCATTCCTCTCCACTTTGGGTGGTAGGTACTGGTCGGATGGTCTCATTCAGCCAGGCCTGTTGCTTTCTTTCGTTGGTGAAGCAAGGTTCATAAACCTTCCGACATTTCTTTTTGTCTTCTTGATACTCAACCCAAGAAGCCACTGTGGGATGATCATACCGGATTCGCAGCCATGCCTGTCGAATGCTGACAATCACGCGATGGGCTATCGCTTCCATTGATTCGGGCTCAGTGACGACAAATGAGATATGAGCAGTCATTGCGAAGAAAGTACGCCCAGTCCCTTCAAATGACCTGGCTAGTGTTGTATAGAATTGCTCGACCTCGTCGATGTCGCGCTCCCATCTACCATGCTTGGTAGCAACCAAAGTATAGTCTTGACTTGCGGGAGATGCCATTGTGCTCTTATCCCACTCAGTAGCGGAGCTAATAGCAAAGTTTCGATGTTGTATCCTCAAGGGAGAGATGAATCAGGTTGATGAAGTAGTGAGAAAGTCCGTGGTACTAATAAGTTAAAAGAGGTGAGGGAAGGGACATCAGGGATATAGATTCAACCCGGCCTGATTGGCTGGTCCCATTAGGCAATGGTCCATTGACTTGATCCAATACATTCGTTCTAGGTGGATCTCACACCTTTATTTGAAATGTTCATTGATAATCAGCAGAGCCCATCCAATGGGCAAACTAAACCGTGGCTCGGGGTTTGATGAGAACGATGAGCCCGAGAGTAAGTTAAAATCCTTTTCAACCTAAGATTGGGGAAGTGGAGAAAGTATCACGGAGCACACGGACCTTCACTGCGGTGGAGAGGGCTCTAATCTGCAGACTCCACAAATTGTTAAATTAAATTTATAATTCCCTAAATGCTGATCGCTTACACGGTAAGGATCGCTACGAGTCTGGGGGCCTATATCCGCTATTTTTGCTGCAGTGTTTTTGTCTCTAGACAGCCTTGCCAGGTATATTCAAGCTATTAATACTTTTCATCAAGCCAATCGTATTGGCTCTCGCTTATCCCGGGGTCAATGATTCCTCGCGTCTTCCTCACCCCTCGGCTCGGAGCTATCCTCGATATTGAAAATCCCGGAAACTTCCTCTAGTGATCTTCCCTTCGTTTCCGGGAAGAAAAAATATATTGAGACAAAGAAAAATGTGAGACAACCCAAGAAAACACAGTAATAACGCCAGCGCAGACTAGAAAAAGCCACAGGATTGACGTATTGGTTCGAGAAAGCGGCAACAGAGTCTGACAAAAGGGTTATGGCCATCCCCTTTGCCCGAAGCTTGAATGGAAGTATCTCGGCTGGATAGGCAATAAACATTGGAGTATAGCCTAAATCATATGCAGCGTAAAAGAGGAATAAAAATGGCACAGTTGCAATCCCAGCGGGAGAAACCCCCTGTTCCTCATAGAGACCAGTCAAAAGTGTTATAATGGTCAAAAATAGTAACATCAAGACTGTTGCCGACAGCCATAGAGGTCGCCGCCCGTATTTTTCAGATGCAAAAGATCCCATACTAGCGATTAACAGATTCCATACCTGGATGCTTAGGTTTACCCCGGCCTGATGCAGCGGTTCTCTGATGCCAACAGATGATAAAATAGGCGCAAGGTAATACGACATAATCCCTACCACGAGTCAATATAAGTATAATTAACCTGGACGAGGCTGACTGACCATTACCAGCCCACTCTCCCATGAACCCAATCAAAATACATATTGCCAGAATATGAATATGACCCCGGGAAGAAAAGAATGTCTTCCAGCCTTGTTTGGCTGTATTCTGCTGTTGCAGTATCGACTCACACATCTGTTCAAACTCACGTTGAACTATATTGTCACCAGAAACGCCATTTGCATGGCACTTGGTTAGAGTGTTGAGAGCCTCCATCTTCTGATTATTCGCGACTAGCCACCTTGGACTTTCCGGGATAAAAAAGAGACCGGCAAGTTGGAGCAAAGGGAACACAGTTTGCAACAAGCAGGGCAATCTCCACGACCAAGGACTTGCAATCCTCAGAGCAAAAAGTGACACAGCGGCTGATACCAAAGATCCCAAATACCACATAGAGTTATAAAGCGCCGTTGAAGTTTGTCGCATGTGTGGATGGGCTACTTCTGTAACAAGCAACGGAGCTGCAGTAGATGCCACTCCTCCTCCTACACCGGCGAGGACCCTGGTACAAATAAATGCCCACTTATTTGTAAATATAGCCTGAATCACAGCAGAGATGACCACAATCGCAGATCCAAGTCCAACACAGAGTTTGCGCCCGAAGATATCAGCCATATAAGATCCTGGCACAAAAGAGACAAATCCCCCAATAGCGGCGGCGGAAATCATAAGACCGAGAAGCTCGGGGCTGAAGTCCTTTGTAAAGGTAGTAACTTTAAGCAGAAAGTCAGTCAAATCCGTCAATGAAAAGATTCCAAAAAAGAGGAAGAGAAAGGAAAAAGGTGGAAAAGAGTCTCACAGTATGGTAGCACAAGGAGGCCATTGATCAAGCTAGCAGTATACCCCACTGAAGCTGAAGATGCAAACATAAAACAGATGCCAAAGTTTAATTTGATGATTCCAGCGTCTCGAAACCATATGCTTCGACTGATAGATGATGTGACATTGACACCCTTGCCGCTCGCTTCAACATCTCGAGACATTATACTTCTGCGAATATCATGAACTTCTCATGCCATTTGCAGGTCAAGACTAATTATAATGAGAAGGCCGACCATTTAATATGGCGTGACTACATTCTTCCAATACTATGTATGACCTGTCTGTCTGACATCGTTTACAAGTAACGAATCTAAATCATCGGAATGGAGGGATGAGTATCCGCTTTTCAGAAGGTGCCATATTTCGGCCCCTTGTTAGCAAAGAATGATCTTTATAAAGCTTTGATGTCCTTAAGATACATGGCAAATATTAATGCTTCTCTCGTCTCAATCATTCAAGTCCGACATTGGTCGCAGCCTTGAGATATGCCTCATAATGATGCATTCAAGTTGTTAAAAGACCGACTCGTGGGGCTAAATTTTGGACCAAGGACTTCCATGCAACTGTGATTTCGTGAGATTCAAATAATTTTCGATTAGAAGTGATTGTAGAGCGGGAGCAGGGTTTTTGATTCTCGGAGAAGTATAGTAATAGGAGCTGATAAAAGATCTGCAGGAGATCATGATCATGTTCTATACTACTACTACACGTGCGATGGAACCTTCAAATCTTCAGCGATCAGCAATCAAATCGTACTACTACTGATACCTAGGTACAGAAGATGTTTCGGACCAGCAGCCCTGGAAGCCGTAGCCAATCGACAAAGATATAGTAGTATATTGACTTAACAATTGTATACACTGACCGCCCAGCTATTAACTTGAAATTGCTTAGTGACCCCCATAAACTAATCAAGTGAATCATTGGTCCTTCCTAGTAGGGTCCTGAACAAGTGCCGAGCAATGCGGTGTGGTTTCCCTAACTGCATTTGACCCACACCAATCGTACATGTGCAATCGCCGGCTCTTCTTGCCACGGAGCCTCTGCTCATTCCGACTGTTTTGAGAACTATGCAAAGGGATGCTACATGGGCCGATGTTTCCCCGGTTGTTGCGATCGGAGTTAAGGAAATAAGGCGCCGATCGGTGGAGATAATTGCGTCTCGATTAACCTAATGGGGAAGGTGAGCCAGCTTTGAAAGCTGCAGCAGTTTTTGTGGGGTATATGAATGGGCCCAAGCAAAGGAGAATATCCGCTCGACCTTTTGTCTTACATATGCATTTTGTTTAATAGGAGAAGTAACAGGCATAGTCTATAGGTTGATGATTTAATTCTAGGTTGATAATTCAATTGTTTATCTTTTCATGAAGGGCCAAAAGCGTTGGCAATAGTTTGTGTTCCGAGTCCCTCACTTAGGTCTGACTTTCATTGGGTTTATGGATCAACAACTTGAACAGCCCAAACGATACCGCCTGGCATTCAAGTTTGTATGGTCAATCAGATTAAACAATGCCGTAGAAATTTGAATATACCAGTACCCAATCGATCGCACCTATACCCCATCCTTAGCACTGGAACAATTCCATTCGGCTACACGTTCCGAATTAAGCACATTTCTTTCGAAAATTCAACGGAGTGAATCTCCAATTGGAAACCTACAATTGGTCTCGCAATAATTCCAAGTTTACCTCAGAAGGCAGTACATCCGTACTACTCGGATTGACCCGCCCAAAAACGGGTCAATCACGGACCTCGACTCGGACCTGTCTCCGTTTCCCCGTCAAATACACCTTGGCATGACTTCAGCGGCCCTAGCGTCGGGGTGATCTCGTAAGGGTCCTCCGGCTGAACTTCGGGTGAAATGCACTTAGGTTTGATTTGATTAAAGTACTGAGGATCCTTGCTGAATGAAGACGTTGCATAACGCGGGGTCTCTCCCAATAGAGGAGGAATCAGCAACATTGAAGCCTCATTGCCAAAGGAGCTTGAGAAACAGCCTAAGCAAGATAGATGTTGGAAGCGGGAAAATTATTGTTTTATTCCAGAGGAACTGAGACTATAAATTGAGAGGAAGACACAGATTCTTGGATTATACCTTGTCATCTAAATCTGTCTTGACATCAACTGTCTTTTGATCTGAATTGGCCAAAGATATAAATGTCGTATTCAAAGTTAAAAAGGGCATTTGGCCTTTTGCTCCTATCTGCAGGGGTAGTCAATGGGTCATCCGATCACATTCCATACCGTAGGTGTCGAATATGGACTTTTGAAACCGAAACTGACAACCGACAGCAAATGCAACAGGAGCGGAATGGGATTGTGCTTTTGGACAAGCGAGTGACTTTGTGTCCCAGCTCACACTTGACGAGAAAGTGCTGCTTGTCTCAGGCACCGAGGGTCCATGTGTGGGAAACATTGCTCCTATTTATCGCCTCAACTTCACTGGTCTCTGCATCCAAAACGGGCCTCTTGCACTCGAGCAAGGCACATACTCATCCGTTTTCCCAGCTGGTATAACCATAGCGGCTACCTGGGACAAGAAGATTGCATTTCAAAGGGGCTTTCAGCTCGCAGAAGAATTTCGTGGTAAGGGCTCGCAGGTTATTCTGGGCCCGGTAGCTGGGCCTTTAGGTCGCTCTGGGATGGGAGGAAGAAATTGGGAGGGATTTTCACCGGATCCATATCTGACTGGTGACCTCTTCACATCTTCGATCAATGGTATACAGCGGGCTGGTGTCCAGGCATGTGCGAAACATTATATTGGAAATGAGCAGGAGACCCAGCGCCAACCTACAACCGATGACGGAGGTAATACTATTGAGAGTGTTTCCTCCAATATAGATGACCGTACATTGCACGAATTGTATTTGTGGCCTTTCCAACAAGCAGTAAAGGCTGGAGTGGCATCGGTGAGACTCAAGTCCAGAATAAAGAAACAGATCACATATCTAACAATTCTATCTTAGATCATGTGCAGTTACAACAGGCTTAATCAGACATATGGTTGTCAAAACGACAAGGCTTTGAATGGCATCCTCAAGACTGAGCTTGGTTTCCAGGGATACGTGATGTCTGATTGGGGAGCAACTCATAGCAGCTCGCCTGCTGTTAATGCAGGCGAAGATATGGATATGCCTGGTATAAGCAAAGGCTACACTGTCTTCTGGCATCAGCACCTCAAGGAAGCTGTTAAAAACGGATCTGTTGCAATTGAGAGACTGGATGATATGTGTCGTCGAGTGATGACTCCATACTACCACCTCAAGCAAAATGAAGGCTTCCCTGCGATCGATCCGAGCGAAAAAGATCTAAACGCGCTCTTGTTTTCAACCCGTGAGTATTACGAACTTAATTTATGGACCTTTTTGCTAATAGAAGCCGCCAGCCGATGAGTACAGGTTCAATTTTACGTACGGTTCTCAGCCCAATGTCGACGTCCGAAAGAATCATGGAGCTGCAATTAGAGCAGCCGCGGCAGCAGGAACCGTGTTGTTGAAAAATGTGAACAACACTCTACCACTGAACCAACCTGAACGTATCGGGGTTTTTGGCAACGATGCAGGCGACCTTACGAATGGAATGTCTTACTTTTTTTTCAATGGTGTTGGAAAGTACGAATACGGCGTGCTTCCCACCGGCGGAGGATCTGGTTCTGGTCTATTCACATACGTCGTGAGTCCATTGGAAGCTATCAAGCAGAAGGTGAATTTCAAGAAAACGCTGGTTCAGTATGTCTTGAATAACAGTGCCATCACTGAGCCTGACAGTCCATAGTAAGTCACACCGCTGGAATTACTTAGTGGTTCAAAGCTTGCTCACTTCATACAGCCTCCTCGCTTTTCAGCCGTCTACCCCCGATGTTTGTCTGGTCTTTTTGAAAAGTTGGGCGACTGAAAGTGAAGACCGAGAGACTTTGAGTTTTGACTGGGACGGAGACAAGGTTGTCGAGAACATTGCTGCAATGTGTCCTAATACAGTCGTCATCACTCACTCAAATGGTGTGAATGTTATGCCCTGGGCAAACCATCCTAATGTCACGGGCATTCTCGCTGCTCATCTTCCTGGAGAGGAGGCTGGTAACAGTATCGTAGATGTCCTCTGGGGTGACGTTAACCCATCAGGTCGTCTGCCATACACCATCGCGAACAAAGAGTCCGATTACTCTTTCGCTCCGATTACCAACTCTACAACTCTGGTCAACACTCATGACCCAACGGCATGGCAGGCAAACTTTACGGAAGAAGTTTTGATCGACTATCGTGAGATGTCACTCTTGTGATCAAGTAACATGGAAATATTACTGACCATTCACAGGCCATTTTGACTATTACAATAAGTCCGTGCTCTATGAATTCGGATATGGTCTTTCCTACACCACCTTCTCAATTAGCAAAGAGATCGACATTCATTCTTTGTCCAAAGGGCATGTAACAGCGACTCCACCTAACGCAAAGACTCTGCCCGGTGGAAACCCGCATCTCTGGGATGATCTGTATGAATTGTCTGTGTCGATCAAGAATACCGGCAAGGTCGCAGGCGCTGCCGTGCCTCAACTGTATATTATGTTGCCTCGAGGCTCTGTGAAAGGATACGTGGCCAAAAGTGTTCTGCGAGGGTTTGAGAAAGTACACCTCACTCCAGGACAGTCGGAGAAGGTGACATTCAAATTGAGCCGGCGCGATATCAGTCACTGGGATACCGTCCGTCAGGAGTGGGTGATTCCAACCGGAAAAGCGGAGGCTAGAGTTGGTTTCTCAAGTAGGGATTTCCATGCGTCTACATCATTTCGACCCCTGGAATAAGTTCATACACGAGAGCCGGAAACGCTCACGTTATGGAAAGAGGGGGACGCCGGCTTGCGGTATCCGTAGTGTGGAAATAGGCTTGCTGCGACAGCCTACGTCTGCCGGGTGCAGCAGGAGATATGGAGAGGAGAGCCTACGGATAGCTGTGAAAGAGGAGTGGTCTGGATTGTTATACTATCGAAGATGTTTCTTAGATACAGAAATACTATTGACTCACGCCAACATCGCAGGAGATCTCCACTAAAATGTCTAAGAAGAATCATGTGGGCCAAATTAGGCATTTTGATAGAGACGGGGCTAGGAATAGGTGGACTGCATGCTTAATCAAGGCAATGTAAATACTAGTAGTAGTCTTGATCACACAAGAGGATTTGAGGGCGTCCACAACACAACGTGAGAGAACCCGCTCTTTGACACGTTAACAGAGGAAGCCTCGAAAATAAACATAGCTAGAATCTACAGTATACTATAACTCAGAAGAATCGACCTAAGAAAATTACCCCATACCGGGATAATTTACTCGGTCCGATCTCCATACAAGAAACTTTAGCCTCCTATCGCCCAACCGTTCCCCCCTATCGGCCGACTCCGATTCCCTCGGGAAACGGATGATCCACCATCGGCAGTTCCAGAAACACCTGTCACTCTACCTAATCCCAGCAACCATCTCAATAACTAATATCAAGACAAATTCGATAACACAAGAACGTGACAGCTAAGCTGTGCGTAGCGTCACACGACTCGACCTTGTCTCTTTGCTGCAGGGATTGGCACCCGCAACACCCAATCACCGCGACTATTACCATATCAAAACCACCAGAACAAAATGACTCAAATTGGCTGGGTAAGCACTCAATCGATATCTTGAAGTTACTGAAACATTAAAGAAATTAAACAATAATACAGTATGGCCTCGGCTCCATGGGCCTCGCAATGGCAAGCAACCTACAGCGACACCTGGCCTCCAAAAAGGCACTGAGCCTGCTCTATTCCAATCGCACCTTATCGCGCGGTGCACCACTGCAAGCTCTCGGTGGTGTTCCCGAGCAAAGCTTCGATAAGCTTGTCTCCCGCTGTGGCGTTATCTTCACCATGGTAGGACCATTGATTATGTGGCGTCGCGTCTGTAACTAAGATCTGTCTAGGTTGCAAATGACTCTGTTCTACAGAGTCTCGTCTCTTCTGCTGTTGAATCTGGCCATTCTCTCAAAGACAAGATCTTTGTTGATTGCTCGACCGTTCATCCTGAGACGGTGAGCTCTGCAATTGCCCAGCTGAAAGGACCCGGGGCGTCGTATGTTGCCGCGCCGGTCTTCGGTGGGAATCCCATTGCTGTGGATGGAAAGCTTGTGTTTGCGATCGGAGGTCCTAAGAGTGCGACTGATGTCGTGAAGCCGCTTATTCAAGATGTGATGGGTCGCAAGGTGATTGAGTGCGGTGAGGATGCGACTAAGTCTTCCTTGTTGAAGATTGCGGGGTATGTCACAATTCGTTGGCTAAGTTGTTAAATGAAAAGCTAACATTTACAGAAACATCGTGACTGTTAACATGATGGAGGCCGTTGGTGAGGCACAGGTCTTCGCTGAGAAGACAGGGCTTGGAACTGGTCCCATGGAAGATTTAATTGGCGAAGCATTCGGTCCTGTGGCTGGTGGATATTCTAAGAGGTATATGAACCCACTCGCTCAAATACTAAAGATATTGTTCTTACTATTTTCTAGATTGACAACTGGGGCATATGCACCACCCCTGGACTCACATCCTGGATTTGGCGTATCATTAGCCATTAAGGATGCTAGACATGCGATGACGATGGCGCAGGAACGAGGTGTTCAACTTCCTGGTCTTGAGCTTGCTCGTGCGAATATGGAAGCTGCTAGGAATTTTGGTGGTGAATGCCTTGACAGTAGCTCGATGTATGGAGTACTGCGACAAAAGGCTGGCCTTGCGTTTTGGAATGAGAAGAGCCGACAGTCTTAGATTGTGTAATACCCTATTCTGTGAATTATGCTACCTCTGCAGCGTGTTTCGCTTCATGTAGTTTGGAACTCAATGCCTTGTCATGTAAACTACGATTGACTGAAATAAAAGTAGATTACACGTGTTCTATTTATTTGATGGGATATTCGAAAGCGGTTAAGAGTACTGTATAACACTAGTATCGATTATATGCAGCCCTGGGGGCGATACTACCTGGCAGCATATTAAACGTGATGATCCTACTTATCAGACACACAGACTCGGAGACGATAAGCTTGAGCCAGAGGTATTAAAGGGACCATTACGATTTCTACTATCTTTGGCATTGACTTCGAGTCAATTTGGATTTGAGATGGAGCCCGACTCATACAATACTTATCAAATAGATATCTAGAGACATAATAGTACCTAACAGTCTGCTATAAAATATAATGAATTTATAAAATTATTAGCTATGGAGAGCTTTACTACCTAGTACATATCACTACCAAAGCCAGAGGGGTATATCGTTATGGACGAAACCCCAGGGATCCATCTGTTCTAGACCTTTTTGGTGCAACGTGAATCAGCTCGAACGGAAAGAAATGCCAGGGGTTCAAGCATGGACAATTTTCTTGCATGTTATCATAGACACGGTATGAATGTGCATACCCCGGATAATCTAGACCGAAAATGATACAGATAGGAGCCAAAGAAAGAGCAAGAGAGAAATTCTATCTGATAGGGGGGGAAAAAGAAAAAAATGAAGAAACATCATTTCTCCTGAGAATTGTTCAAGTACGCCCGGCCAAACCGCAATGCAAAAAGGCATGATGACCTAGGACGATATCCAACACCAACACCCTCGATCACTCGAAACGCTTAAATTCGCGAGAAGTAGAACAACAAAAAGGCCAAAGAAGCTACACCAAGTCCAGCTTGGCCGAAACAACAGTATGCACACCCTACATAGAGCGAGGAGGAGAGCTAGGAGGGTTCAGCTCCGGTCTGATTCGGGTAGTGTCTACGAGACCAGGATAAGTCTCCGCGAACATTGGCCCCAATGACCAATTGTTCATATTGCGCATATGCCTTTCAAAAACGGGATTAATGAGCAATTCATCCGAATCGCCAACAGATAATAAGCAATCCGTAGCATGGTATGGCCAATTAACAGACATTCCCCGCGTGAATGGGATAAACCAATTATCGAACGGGTAGTCTTGATGAGCGGTAGTAATCCGGTCACGCATACGCGGCCAAGGAACATAATCCATCCAGGCTGGATGTGGCTGGATAAGCTGAGTAGGACGTGGCGTAAGCCAGTCGGGTAGTCGCTCATAGTTTTCCTGCGTGGGGTATATTTGCCAACGCATTAGGAGGAACATGGTGTATAGCACGGCGACCTGTTCTGGAAGTGATGAGATATCTGGAAATGTACGGAGAATATCCGTGAAGACCTTTGATACGGGATGGGAATTGGCGCTCTTTTCTGGATTCAGCAGTGAGGAAACACTTGGGTATGGGGGCCCGACTAGCTTCTGGCGGGGTATTCCTTGCGCGGCCTCGTGTTGTCTATTATGAAGGAAGTCTAACAGAATGCTGTCGAGCGGGCAAGTCGGCGCGATATTTTTGATAGGTGTAGCAAATGCGGATGGTGTTTGTTCGGATGCTTGTTCGGATGAGCAGTTTAATGGCTGTAAGTATGCTGGGGATGACGGAGTTGGGGTCGGATGCGAAGTGCGAATATTATCTGAGCTGCTGCGCCGCACATGGTCGACCTTGGGGACAATCTGTGAAGCATCTAGAAGGAAATTGAAGCCCAGTCGCTCTTCGTGTCCAAAATCTAGGCCATGGGCAACGCTCTGAGAGACGTTCAATCGAGGATGGGCGCCGTGACTACTATTACGACGGCTTCCCAAAGTCGGCGCAGATTGTGTAGGAGAAGGCGTGTCGATACTGCCAATGGATTCGGCATATGGCTTTTCCGTTGCCAGAGAGTGGTGATGGGATGTCAAATTGTCTGGATCGGGGAGAGGAGAATCGTGGGATAGAAGTGGGGCCGGTTTCGCATGGGCCAGGAAAGGAGGCAGATCTAAAGAGGTCAGTGGGAGGTCTGCAAGACAATTTAAATGACTGTATCATACCTGGTATTTCTGGTCTTGCAAGCAGAGGCTGGATGATATCCATTGCAGCTTTAAGGCTGTTCCGGAGCTCCTGGTTCTCCACTCTGACTCGTTCATGGTGTATCAAGGCTGCCTGGAGATCGAGGACTGGTTTTTGCGATGAAAGGTCCCGAACTTGCTGTTCCAAAGCTTCGATATGAGTTTTCGTGCGCTCGCGAATTGCGCGTTGAGCTTGGCGGTCATTGGCACGCTTCTTAGCCAACTGGTCCGCGGTGAGATTCGCAACACCTCGTGCGGAGGCACTATTCAGTTTGCGCTTGCGCCCAGCCGTTGTGACCGGGCTGTTTATATCATTTTCCACCAACGAGTATTCTGGGCCGAGGGAAGTCGATCGTGAGAGCGCAGGGGAGTCTTCTGGCTTTGGAATGGGGGTGGGATGCGAATTATCTATCAACGTGTCGAGTGGCGACGGCGCCGCATAATCGCGGGGGTCGGTCGGAGCGCTACTGGCCATTGCCGGACATGCGCGCTATGTGCAAGTCAAAGCCATTCAAAAAAGACGGAAGGAGATGGGAGGAACTCAAAAGGGGCGGTTGAGTCAGTTGCGCGGCAAAGGTATTGCTGGTATGGGGTGGGTGGGTGGAGAGCGTATGTGAGATCCCAAGATCACGGTAACGAGAATTTTGGGTTCGGAGGCAGCGGGCGCGGGCAGACCCGTCCGACCTTGTCTAGCTGGAAATATTCACTCAAAATTGTCTCGAGTTAAACAAGGTCATTGTTCAATGCTCGATCATGTTAAGATATCCAAAAAATTGTCAAGGTAATGTGCATGGCATTTAAGATCTACCAATTAAGACAGACGCGGCAATGATCCACCTGCAAAGGAGTGGAAATAACGTTGAAATCAAATCCCGAAACTCCAAAGACTCCCAAAATCGAAAACGGTATATAAACTTGTGCAAGATATTTTCTGAAAATCAAACTGCCGTCTGTTCTTGGGCCAAATTCAAAATGGCACAGAGAGAAATGAGCTTATACAAGAATCGGCAACGACAAGGGATATGCAAGAATTCAGTAGAAGGTGGTCGTGTCGATCGTGTACAAGAGTATTGTGGTTCCCGATAAAAACAAGAAAGGGGAAATAAAATAGTAAAAAATAAGCCGCAAGCCTTTCCTCCTTTTTAATGGACAAAAGAAAGAGATTGAATATAGAGACAATGGCGAGCAGGGGTGTAGCGTGACCGCTAATGATTATTGGAGCATATGGCCCATTTTTGAGATCTATCGCCATAAGTTGCATTAGCGTGCATCCACAATCGCAATTTCGGTCCGGTTAGAGCGCTAACATACCTTAGTCTTCAAATATCCTTCAATCTCCGAGCTCTTGATACCTCGTTCTCCTCCAGTGCGCCATGCCAGTGGGACCATGGGGACTCTCTCTTTAACGAGCACTTCGCGGTTAGGTCCCTCAATGGCTCGGACTTTGTCTGGGTTATTAGTTAACAAACGAATTCCATCGGGGTGAATATCCGCGCCACAGCCCAAGTCCTCTAGCATAGCGGTTGCTAAGCCGTAACTTCGAGCATCGGCCGGGTGTCGCAAGAGGAGATTAGCCTCGACAGTATCGGAGCCGAGATCCTGTAAATTGTAGGCCTTTAATTTCTCGCCAAGTCCGATTCCTCGGCCCTCTTGTCGCAGATAGACAATGACACCTCCTGCAGATTGGGACTTCAATGATTGTGCTTCTGGCGGCGCGTCAGATGACAGATCTTCGACAGGGAAAGACATCAGTCGTGCGGCTTCATCCAACTGCTCGCCACAATCGCATCGGGCAGACCACGCTGTTTCTCCGGTATAACATTCTGAGTGAATGCGCACAAGTGGTGGCTGAACCTCTCGGCTTGCGGATGATTGCGACTCTGTTTGCTTCTCGTCATCAAACCAACTGCTGACTCTTCCCGGGTGCAGTTTGCCCACGTATGCGCCGCGAATCATACGATCCATCTCTGTCTCGCCAGGCTTCACTTCATCAAGACTGCGACTTCGAATATTGTTGCCGAACACAATGGCCAGATGCTCTTTATTATCCAAATCGTTGAGGTAAAGATGCAGGAACATCTCGGCACCATTTGTGGTTGGGATTCGCGCTCGGACAATGCATTCAACCTTTGGAAGCTGTTGGAGCAGTTTGGGTCTCTTCACTTGATCGGCAGGACGCTGAAGACCTGCCGCTTGGTTATGGTGGAGTATTTTCGCTGGGTTTAAATCGAGGTTCAAGGTACCGCCGGGTGTCGCGGGCGGGGTGAATGCGGGCGACAGTAGCGAGTCCGGTAGAGCTGGCGTTTGCTCTCCAGTCGGAGTGCTGCTTTTTTGACTCACATCGTCTGATGTGTCTTCTGGCTTGCTGGTAGGGGGGTTTGGCTGCGGGGCGAGTTTTGGAGAGGCATGTGCCGGTAAGTCTGCCATTTCGGCGATTGGAAAGAGAAATGGGTGAAGAAGAGGGGACGATTTCCTTGGTAAGAAGCTTTGCAGCGCAGAATCCAAGGACTAACAAGCACGTCTAAGCATTCAGCTAAGCTTTCTCACAATTGATCTTTTTGTGTATCTGAAGTTGAGAGTCAATGGCGTTATTTAATCAACCGCCACCGAGCCCGGTCTTCGGGGCCCTCGGCATGAGGGGGCTGACTCATCGTGGTGGAGATCCCTGTCACTGCTTACAATAGGCCGCGCTGCCCGCAGGGACCCCTTGATGCGCGAAGACCGCTTTGCTATAATTATTAGTCATGGTTTTGAGATGTGGAAAACTACGAGAAAATACTTAAAGTGGTTTTCTACACGATAAGATTTGCTTTTTATGCTGATTGTTGGAGTACTTCGGGTGTGGCTAACAACGAAGGATATGCGCTGCCGCTCTCAGCGCCGCCTTGGAGAAATGGAACCATTCCGACCTCTCCAAAAACAGGAACTTTCTCGATGTAGAGGAGATTAAAGGATGGGTGCAGAGCCAGTCTCTATAGTTGATCTGCAGAAATTTCAATATTTTCCAATGGGATATTTGGCCTTAGTATATATGTGACAAGTAAAATGTAATCCTTAGCTAAAGATTACTTGTCTCCAGGGCTACGAAGTACATAATATAGGATCATTGTATGTACTCCGTGCTCCGTAATCCGTACATAAGGCTTAAGCCGAGCCAAAAGCGCGTCTGCGGATTCGACCAATAATAGATGCCTCTAGCACCAAGAAGTGGGGCTGATCTAGCAGCTTCCATTGCTTATGAGATGATGATTAGGACGATAAGCGGATCTCATTGTCCGCGTATATCCATATATCCGATTCAATGAACTACACGCCAAGTGGAATGTAATATACCAGAATCCATTGTCATAGTCCATGGATATGCATAGATAATATTCTCATCAACATGCAGGGAATATCGCTATATCGACACACTTTGTATATCATTCTTGAAGCGGTGCAAAATAACCACCTGTATGCGAACTAGCTTCAATACTCCGATTTAGATACGAAATTAAAAGATTCAGATATCTGCGTGTGTCGCTTTATTGGTCAGATACATAGCAAACTAACATGAGAATTCCAAAACATCGCGATATGAGGTGATGTACTTTCTCAAAAACAAGCGCGTAGAACTCCGAGGTTGGCACGCCAGCCACCCATGGACCGTCGCTTACCCCACATTCTTGCGTACCGGATAGATCGCTCACAGCCTCGTAAACTGCCACCACGTACACACCCCTCTTCTCATATGATTGTCTAAATTGACTTGGGATCTCCATATACCACTCACTGCAAAATCGAGAAACAAAAGTTTCAAGCAAAAGTCTCAAAATGACCTCAGATGATCACCCCAACAAACAGAAACTGATTGCCCGTGCCCGAGAGTTTCTAGCTGAGGTCGAGGAACTGTACAATTGCACCACGCAGGCAAGCTTGCTCTTGAAACAGAGACTAACAAACCACTTAGAACCCCCGGCAAAGAACTCGAAGAAAGACTAAATGCCAACTACGGCTCTGGAAATGCATACTATGAGGACTTCTGCGCTCTAATTCGACAGGGCATATTGAATAACGAAGGATGGCTAGCGACCGATGAAGTCGATGGCCCGAAGTATCGCCGGTCCAGATTATGCCAGCCATCAGAAGAAAATCGTTTCTTTAGCATTACCGCCGTATATATGGTTAGTCAAGATGTGTATCGTGGCCAGTATCATTTGCATCCATACGGTGAAATCAATTGTGTGATTCAAATAGATCCTTCAGCTGAATTGATGGGTATGTCTGGGTGGCAGGGTGCTGGATGGACATCACCGGGTGCAGGAACGCATCATTATCCCGAGGTCCGTGGAGGTGCATTGGTCGCTTTGTTTTTTCTCCCTGCTGGTCGTATTTCGTACAGCAGAGCGAAACCAGGGGATGCGCAGCCAATTGTTATTTAGGAATCAACTTGATGTTATGTAGACTTCCAGCTAAAAATACCACCTGGGCAATAAGTATCGCTTCCGAGTCCTTTTTGGTATTATATGCCAATGAATACTTTTTTTAGTACTATATATCTGTGCACCAGTGTCATTACTTTTGGGACCATGCCACTACTACTGCCTTTGGGACCACTATGTATGATGGCCATTGCTTTTTGGTTCATACCATTACTGTGAATGCGGGGTCATTATCTTTAAATAGATGTCATTGCTTTTTATGCCTCGTTATTGCCTCCGACGTCAGACGTCCACTGGTCTACGCCATTGCTCAGCTGGCTACTGAATACGTATACTAGAGCCTGGGATATAAGATAGCTAGTCAATACACGGGACTTTATAATTGTATAAGCCAAACTTATAATCACCAAAATCAGCTTTCGAGTTAGTATCTATGAAATTATTTCTTTCCAACAGTCGGCGAAATGAATGACATGTGACTTTGACAGATACATGACAATCATCTTGGTAAATCTCCCAAGCCTTGGTAGGTTCAATAAATGAATACTGACTCTATTTATTGACTCTAACCTTGGAGGTTTTCGAGGTATGCTAATTAAGTATGACTGATTGGCTTTAGCGAAATCCTGATTGATATCCTGGGACGAAGTCGGAACATGGGATTTTTAGTTGTTGGTAGGAGTCCACCAGCGATCAAGAAAATTGGGCACATGTATCCATAGTATAGTTATAGTAAAAAAGACATCATTCAATTGTTGGTTACGACCAACGAAAGCTCATGCAAGATATGTCATGTAGCCAGGGGCATCGCTTGAACTCCAAAGTAGCGCCTCGCTAAAGGGTATCACATCATCATATCAGATCATAGACATCTGAGGACCGACTAACTATTTGCCCGGAATATCCAAAACATAGAGTCGATCGACTTCCATCTCTTTATCATCCTCCTCTCCCTCGAATTTCAGACGATATGCATCCTTCTTTGAGCCCATTACCTCGGCCCGGTAGAATGTAGTAGTATCGGGGTACCTCGCGAGAACTTGTTTCCCAGAAGGAAATGATGGTAGAGAGCTGCTGACTTGCGGAATTGGGATAAGAGACGAAGCAGTGGTCTTGAAAACAGCACCATGCTCGCCATTTTCGTTAGGCTCGGGGTCCTGAACATCGTACCACCTGCAAACAAAACACAATCAGCTAATATGGATCGACAATTGGTCAATAAAACATGATACGTACCGTTTCTTGTGACCATCACCTGAGATATTCTTGATTATGCACTGAATCCCTTCCCCTTCAACTCCTTGTTTATTCTTGTTATGTTTGAACACCACCTGAGCTCCGACAACAAGGAGCCCACTGCGCTCTGCTACAGTTCCCTTGATACCCTCAGACCCTTCTTCAATTTTCACTGCGATTCCGTCATTTCGTCCCTGTCCCTGGGCACTTGACACGCTGGTACTGCGTGGAACATTGCCTTTCGACCGACTGTTCTTGTCCACACCCGAGGCACTCGGCGAGTCCGTTGCCGAGCTCTCAATATCAGACCTCTTCTTCCGGGACTTCGATAATCCGGATGATCGTTGCGGCGGTGCCTCGGCCTCCGAAGCTTTCCTTAAAGCAGTAAGAAGCTCGAGGTTCTTAATCACATCACACGGTTCATCCATCATAATAGAGCGTTCCTCTTCACTGAGTTTCTGACTTTGACGCAGCCATGTATCGAGTTGGTCGTGATCCGCCATTGTCGGTCCTTCGGTTGGAGAGCCTTACTTTTAGTTTATGTTGTATTTCTTTGGAAGTAGGCATATCCCGCGTCCGGGACGCGTATGACGCAACGCGGGGAGAGGTCACCGACATTGCCGTCGCATTCGCGCGGAGCGGGAGTAGATTCAGAACTCACTATTTCCATCACGAGTAATTTTATCCGCTAAAGTTTTGATTTGATCGGATAATGTCGCTTGCTGGTCGAATTTCTCCTTGGACTTTTGGATATCCTGGCATATCCTTGTCCATAGCTCCATCTCCTCGTTGTTGCCGAGGCCGTTGTCTCTGGGTCGGGGGCGGTTACGAGACATGATGGTTCAATATCACGGAAGGATAATTGAATATTTCGAGTCGATTGAGCAAGAATTCGAGGAGAAGAGAAGAGAGAACAAAGAGAATGGCAAGGGTAGGGTAACTGAGGGAGCTGGGGATCCCGTGAAATGACATTCCGGACGATAAGAAAGGCGGTCGGATAACCGCGCGCCTATTCTTGGCACAAATGAGGTTCCTGATGAGCGCGGGCAGTATACAAAGCATGAGATGAATCCTGGGTTTTACATATTCAATTCTATGGGATATTACAGATTATAAGTTGAAGTAGTGTAATTGTGTCTGATCACATTCAGTTGTGGCCCTTAATGCTAATAGTATTGAATGTAGGACTATATTTTTGCGTGTTCTTCGTTATTCCGTGTTAATGCGCCTCAAAGCGGAAATGTAGTTCATTTGGGATGTTTGCGGGCAAAACCAGCACGAATATTTACTTTGGCCGATCTTGTACATTTCCCGATATTTTCTTGCGGTTGCATTGCCACAAGCAGCAATAATTTCGGGCGTATTCTCCGACCGTGTCCACTTCCATTAATTCCTTAACATAAGAGGAACCCCCGGTCCCTAGTGACAGCTCACCGGGAGTCTTGGCGTGGAGATTCTGCGTAATAGAAAACCACTGAAGCGTCCCCTCATTCTTCTCAAACAAACCCACCAAAATGCAGATTCCATTACTTCGGCTACAATGCGGTATGTATACGCATTAATACATTTGTTATATGATTTATGCTAATTTACTTCATATGTAGGCGTCAACAGTTACGACTGGGGTAAGCTTAAAACAACTTCAGTTAAATAAAGCCCCGCACTAAACTCCGTCATAGGCAAGGTCGGCGAGACGTCCGCTGCAGCCCGTTATGCGGCCACAACGGCAGCTCCAGGTTTTGAGATCGAGGCTGAGAAGCCATATGCGGAGGTAATCTAGAACCCGGCTTTTCGTTTGCTATGCATCCCACCAGTGATTAACGAGTTATTCTAGCTTTGGATGGGTACTCATCCTTCCCTACCTTCAAAAGACATCGAAACCCAGCGCACACTCCTTGATCTCGTTCAGGATAACCAGGCTTTACTTTCATCGGAAATTAGTGAGCGTTATGCTGCTCGACTTCCTTTCCTCTTTAAGGTGCTCTCAATTGGCAAAGCGCTTAGCATCCAGGCCCACCCCAACAAGAAGCTTGCGGAGCAGCTTCATGCGCGGGACCCAAAGAACTATCCCGGTATGCCACGAAGATCGATTGATAACAATAAAATGACACGGGATGCTGATTGAAGGGTCCGAATCACAGATGACAACCACAAGCCCGAGATGACCATTGCGATTACACCGTTCGAGGGACTCTGCGGTTTCCGTCCTCTGGCCGAGATCGTCCATTTCCTGCAAGCGATCAAGCCTCTCCGCGAATTGATCGGAGAGCAAGCCGCGAGCGAATTCGAGAAGATCGTGAACGGGAACGATGAATCGGAGGACGAGACTGTGGTGCAGCGCAACAAAGACGCCCTGCGCGCCCTGTTCACTACCCTGATGGAATCATCCTCCGAGAAGATCGAGGTTGCATCCAAGGACTTGGTGGAATTGGCACAGAGCTCATCAGAGACCTTCGGTACATTGTCTGAAGAGACTGAGACCAACCCAAGCAACCCTGCCGAGCTAGCCTCTATCATCCAGCGACTAAACGGACAGTTCCCCAATGACATTGGCCTGTTTGTGTTCTTCTTCCTGAACTTCATCAAGCTTGAACCTGGTGAGGCGATGTTCTTGAAGGCCGATGATATCCACGCCTACGTCTCTGGCGACATAATTGAGTGCATGGCTTCCTCCGATAACGTTGTGCGCGCTGGATTCACCCCCAAGTTCAAGGATGTGGATACCTTGACCAAGATGTTGACCTACTCCTACGCTCCCATTGAGGAGCAAAAGCTCCGCCCAGTTGACTACCCGTACACAGTCTTCAATGCGACAGCTTACTCAAGCGGCTCTTCTTCTTTGCTGTATGACCCTCCCATTGAGGAATTCAGCGTGGTCAAGACCGATTTGAACCGCACTGGTGCCAAGGCAACCTTTGATCCGGTCGTCGGACCTAGTATCTTGATCTGTACCCGTGGCAAGGGCACAATCACCGTCGGCCACAAGACTGAGGAGATCCAGGAGGGCTACGTCTTCTTCCTGGGAGCGGATGCCGAGTGTATTATTGTGAACTCGGGAAGCGGAGAGGGCGAAGATGATGTTTTCACTACATACAAGGCCTTCTGTGAGCTGGACGGTGAGGACACAGCCGACCAACAATAGGCCCCCGGTTCTAATTGTCAATAGCTTCCACTAGCCGGGCCAATCTGTGATGGAGAAAAAAAATCAAGGTTTATTTAGGACGGATTGAATTTAATGCATGATGATTGAACAAGTGGCTCAATACAAGCTGGGAACCATATCTCAATTCTAGTTCGCTTTCAAGTTGTTCATATACTCTCATCAATCTCTACGAGATTCTTTCAAGTCTAAATATATCCCTGCATAAAATTTGTCAATAGCTTATGAGCAACACCTGCAGGCTTGACCCCTCACCAGGGCCAGCTAGCGGCGGCATCTGCGGCCCCACCAGCAGCTATGTACCGAGGCCAAACAATGGGGAGATCGGCGGGTCTACGGAGAACGAAAGCGGGGATTCGGCACTCTTTTCTCTCAAGAACTCAACGTCACCTCTTCTTCTCCTGTCCTACTCCGTTCACCATAATAAGTCAATTGCCCTTACACAATGGCATCTTTCAAGCGAGTCGACGCCCCCGAGCTGGGCCTTTGGGAAAAGGCCGATATCCCTTTCATCAAGGCTACTATTTACGCTAGAGGGCTACTCGCCGCTCTTCTGGGCGTTTTCCGAGGGAATAGCTACCCCAGAAACTTTAAGCACCATATACTGATGGAAAAAATTCGAACGGGTCTTCGGTTCTCGCCTCGTCAGCAAAAGTAGGTTGTCTCATCATGCTCTCGGAACCCAAGCAGAAACAGTATAATATACTAATGAATTTCTCCCGGAATAGATATCTTAATTTGTCTACTCCCGAGGTCTATGAAACTACCATGAGGCAAAGGGGTCTGGAGCCAGATGCTGTTCCTCTACCACACGATGCAGATGGCTATTGGATTGGCAACAAAAACGCGAAGAAAGTTCTTGTTTATTACCATGGTTTGTACCCTACCTATTTCCTATTTGACATGCACCCTGCATCTCCATAACCAATTCTCACCAAGAAATCCCGATACCACCGAAAACCTTTGAATACATGATGCTAATATATATTAAATAGGCGGTGGTTTCGCTATGGCAGCCATGCGCTCACACATAACATTCTTCGCCGATCTCATCAAGATCCTAAACGATAACGGCTACGACATCGCCGTCTTCTTCCTCCGCTACACTCTAACACCATACGGCACATACCCAACCCAACTCCGACAAGCCGTCGGTGCTCTCCGCTACATCCTCACAGAAGCAAACCGCTCCCCAGCAGACATAATCGTAGGCGGAGATTCAGCAGGTGGAAACCTAGCCATGGCAACGCTGTTACATTTATCGCATCCGCACCCGGAAATCGAACCGCTCACGCTTGATAAGCCACTAGCAGGTGTCTTCTGCTTTGCACCATGGGTAGACTTTAGCTCGGATGGGCCATCTATGACCCAGAATGCGAATAAGGATCTATGTACGGTGTCTGGATTGGAGACGTGGTCTGGTGCGTATTTGAATGGGAGGCCGGGCGATAATTGGAGTGAGCCTAGTCGGGCACCTGCTGAGTGGTGGGCGGATGCGAAGACGGAGCGGATTCTGATGTTGGCTGGGTCTGATGAGATTCTGCTTTCGGGTATTGAGGCTTTTGCGAAGAAAGTCAAGGTACGTCGCGTTTTATTTTTCTTTCATTTTATTCCATTCTGATTATGTGGTGGGGACTTCGCTGATAAACTTTAGACTGTTTTCCCTGAGACGACATATATTGTTGGTTATGATGAGTGTCATGATGCCCATCTATATGTTGGAGAAGCAACCCAGACTGGTAATGAGTTGCGGCGATGGGTTGCTGCCCGCCTGTAGGTATATTGCTTAGCGGAATACATATGAATAATTGGAGTATGGCCTTGAAGTCGATGATCTTTTTTTTGTTCTAGTATATCAGCATAAGTCTCTTGGATCAGCTTTGAAATGTTATTATACCAGGAAAAAAACAAGATGAAGCGCGCACTAGGCAACATAGACAACCACGTATATAAATATGTGAACTTATGAAGATTCAGCAATGTCTCAATGTATCATTTCGAAAGTTAATATATGAAACTCAAACAAAACATGTTTTCAATGGCACTAAGCAGAGGTCGTGTCAACTCATAATAAGCCAGGATATTATACACCCTGGCTCTAAAGAACAGGCTCCACGCAAACAGGATGGTGTATTTTCGCAATATTCCAACAAACGCTCCTAATGTTCCCAGGTCCTAAATCATCCAGCGATTAGGAAGACACCTTGGGGGCATACTTGGCCGCAGCCGTATCGAAGAACTCGCTCTTCTCTTGGATATCGGCAAGGAGGGCGTGTGATGGATCGATTTGCTGGAGTCGGCTACATAATGAGGTTAGCAAAGAGTCGAAATTCGGCAAGGCAAGGCAAGAGCGCTACTTACGACTCCAGATCTGTGCTCGGCTTCCCCGACAGCACATTGAGAACAATTGTGTTGGCAATCAGTTCTGCGTCCTCGGGGTATCTCTCAAGGGCGGTGGTCAGGGCGGCTTCGGCTTCGGGGAGACGGCCTAGATGGAGCTCTGCGACGGCTTGGCCGACGATGGATAGAGGGGCGGAGGTGCTAGGGGCGGAAGCGAGCTCTTCGTAGACGTAGAAGGCGGACTGGTACTTCTCACCACCCTATTAGATGAGAAAACGATTAGTTCTGAGCGTTTGAGTGTCACGACTTCGTAGTTTAGATACGTACAACTCGCAATCCAACCCATGACTCGGCCAAATTGACGAGCAGGGAATCCTGAGCCCAGCGCTTGGCAGCTTGAACCTCCTTAAGCGCGAGATCGGTGCGGTTCTGCTGAAGATGAATCTGAACAATCAAAGAAACACTAGTCACGGCAAAAGTCAGATGATGCCCAAAAGTGCAATACGTCGAGTTCGTAACAAGAAATATCACTCACGCCTCCAAGTTACCCTGGTGCTTGGTCAGAAGGGCAATAGCCTCGTCACTATATCCTTGCACCTGCAAGATTGTAGCGGCCAGAACCTCCACTGTCGCATTCTCGGGGTAGTTTTCAGCGAGCTCCTGAGCCGACTGGAGGGCGGCGTCAGTCTTGCCCGCAGCTTGCTGAGCAAGGGCCTTAACGGCGGCGAGGTCGGGGGTATCTTCTTCGCTTGAGACGTCGGCGAGGACCTCATCGATCTGGCCGAGGGCGATCTGGGCGCGGAGCTTAAGTACACGGGCTGGGAGCTGGTTTTCGGAGGACAGGGCGGCGGTCTCGAAGTCGATCACCTCCTGGTATTGGCCAGAGTGGAAGGCATTGTGAATGTTGAGGAGCTCTATGGGAGGGGTGAGTGAGATGTAATCATAATTTTGGAGATGTGGAATACTTACCGCCCTCTGCTGAAAAGGGATCCATCTTGTTGAGTAGTGGGGTGTTAGCAATGGGATTGATTATGCGGAGGAAGCGGTGTTGATGTTCCCAGGCTGAACTGCATGCTGGCGTTAATGGGGGCAAGGAAGGTCAGCCGAGGGAAAGTGGGCCGACCGCCTTTGAGGCTGTGATATAGTTAAACAAACGAGCAGCCAACTTTTACTACTGATTTTAAGGCAAGAAGTAGTATGAGTTAATTAATTTCGTCGATAAGAGAGCCTGGGTAATTGCGAGTAAGAAAAGATGTTCGGTATTGAGTTTTGGCACATATTGGGGTATTGTTTGGGGCCACATGTGAACAGGCCTGTTGAGTGAAAACCGGATCACATCGAGATTCAAAGTTATAATAATCATATTTCTTATTGGAGCCAAGATGATAAGTGATATTCTAAATCCAAAATTGTGTTGGCGATCCTTCCACCGCATCCCCATGGCAATCGAGGATATGCAGGAACCGACTCGGAGTAGATGGCAAAGTTATGTATGCGTGGAGTCAGGAAACAATATACTGAAGGCTGTTACCTAGGGGTCTGTGAGAACTCAGGAGAAGACTATTTTTCCAAAATGGCCGAAAGCTACAGTTTTAAAGCTCACGAATACTCACGGTACTGAATATTATCGGCTTGTTTTCATTATTGAAAAAAAAAAGATCCCCCCCATGAAAATAAAAAGCCCCAACGGCAGTGTCTGAGAAAGATACAAAAACAACAATCTATTCCTAACCTTGGAATTCACTGGAAATATCTCCGCCGGTCCGCGCAACGGTGCAGATGAAGTGGGGCCTTGTATCTGTCCTTAACTTAAGCTAAAATGCGTTTTAAGGGTCTTGGCAAATGCTCCCCAGATAAACTCTACTGGCCTCGGACCTTTGTCCTTTTGCATACAACAACCTTGGGATGACATAGCCTTGGTTGGCGCCTTGACCCCCGAAGGCCCCTCCCCAAGCGATAAAACCATGCAGCCATGCTCGGGAGACGAGTGAGAGCTAATAGCGTGATTGCTTTGGCCCACACGTTCGGCTGTTGTTGCCCCTCGCTTTGCTGAATGATCTTAAATATCACCCCATAGACTTCTGAGCCGCTAACATTTTTCCACTCTCTTCAGCAACTCAAGTCATGACCACGTCAATATTAGATATCCCGCCAGAATTACTCAGCCACATTGCAAGCTATGTTACATCGCTTCAATCATTGAAAAACATAGCCAGTCTAGACCGTCGGCTATATGCTATTTTCAACCCTTTATTATATCGACGAGATGCGAGGTCAGATCGCAGCCAGGCAATAGATTGGGCCGCCAAGAATGGAGATATGAGGATTTTAAGCAAAGCTTTAGACCACGGAGCTAAAATACCTGGACCTTGCAAGGCTAAAGTCAAATATCACGCGGAAAGACGCCAGCGTTATGGAGTCAAGATCTCGAGATATTTTGAGTACAAAGTATCTCATCCATTATGCATCACAGCCGAGACAGGGAACAAGGACATAATGGAGTTCTTGATCTCGAAAGGATGTGACCCAAATATGCGAAATTCTGAAAATTTATCAGTCCTATCCATAGCCGTCGTTCATGGTCATCTTCATTTAGTGCAAGTCTTGCTAGCGTCGGGAGCAAATCAGTTTGGTTCCGATTTTCCGGATAAATACAATACTCCCCAAGAAAATTACGCCCTTCAAATTGCAGCTCATCTTGGCAACAGTCAAATTTTTGATTTGCTTTTGACGCATGACCCGTATAAAATACGAAATGCCGCTGATTTGTGGTGCTCCCTAGAATGTGCTTTTCGAGCAAAGCACTACGGTATCATACCGCCACTAGTTGAATGTGGAGTTTGTTTGAATAGCTGTTTCTCTGAGGGATTTCAAACGCCATTGTCCTTAGCTGTCGAGTCTGGAGATTGCAACCTCGTTAAATTTCTTTTGGATAGCGGGGCTGACCCCAGCTTCACTATCCTTTCCCAATGGGACAGCTATGGACGGCCAGCAACCTCGGTGGGGTGGAAAGGGGAAACGGCGTTATCCAAGGCTGTCATACGACGCGATGAAGCCATGGTGCAACTTTTAATGGAAGGTTCTGATCGAATCACCCGGACCCGTGCGTTATCTCTCAGCATGGATCAGCTTGATGCACGTATTTCCAATATTATCTTGTCCCAAGGAGGCGCCGTTGAATTTGAAAACCAGGACTATCGGCGGTACCCACATTACAGAAATCAGGAAGGAGCTGATTATGACATGATTAATCCGATCGTGCGGGCTATTAATTCCGGAAATGTGGATATGGTGCGACTTTTGGTCAGTGAGAAAGGTGCCTCTGTAAATGTTTGGTATCAAGGATTGTATCATTCACAATCATCACGCTCAGAAGGCTCCGCATTCCAACTAGCAATTGATTTAGGCCATATTGATATTATTCATTTTCTCCGGGGCCATGGGGCACAGGAGGGCGGATATGGAAGCTATTGGACCACCATTTTTGCATTGTCCTTGACGGATTGAACCCGAAATCAAGTTCTTGATTAGTATATGTGGAATCTCCAGTTTGAACAATAGAAATTGTTCCTTGTGAAATAGGCACATTTAAAGTTTGGATGAATCAATCAATGTTTGATATCCCCGATTATACCCCAACGACAGACAGTGATGACAATTGCTACTCCTATACTGTGGAGTTAGGTGATACTTGTAGCTATCTTTCAGCTTACTACGATATCACCCCGGCAGAAATCGAAAGTTGGAACCATGATACGTGGACATGGATGGGATGTGATGATTTGTAGCCTGGAAATTCTATTTGTCTCAGCAATGGATGGCCCCTTATGCCTGCAACTGTGAGCAACGCCGTCTGTGGACCACAAGTTAACAATAAACCAATCGCATCTCATGGTACCAACTTCAGTACTCTTAACGAGTGCCCTTTGAACGCTTGTTGTGACATTTGGGGCCAGTGTGGTACCACCTGCTATTCATAGAGGGCTAGGGAATACTTCCGATGCAAATACAGGCCTTTGCGAGGCTTAGACTGAGGCGATGAAAAAATTTCCGTATCGAGAATTCCCCGGCAATCCATGCGGAACAACTTCAGGACTCAGATTTTGTGGCTCGTGATTACAGGTGATGACTTTCATTGTCGATTGGATAAACACCCTATTCTCAGATACTCTCTATTACTTGAACCAGCCGGATAGATGAACATTAATTGATAGGAATAGCGCCATGAATAATAGCTTGTAGCTTTCATTATATAGATTGAGATTTGTGCAGATTTATGTTCTTGTCTCTAGCTTTGAGACTTCAAAATGAGCCCGCGATAAGCAAGAAGTTGACATATATTGCTCCGTTGAACGATGTCGTACATTAGCTGGCTATTCTCTCATAGTCAGAACTAGGCCCCAGCCGCGTGACTACCTAGGTAACTCATCTCGTGTTTGGATGTCTGTCAATGGGATACTCATCTTAAATCAAGCGTCATCAATCTCAAACTTGAAGTCGTTAACGCTCCTGTTACTCAGATTGCGCAAGCCCGGGCGTTAGGCCATCCACCACAGCTTAATATTCCTAGCAAGATGTTTCACTTCAGCTATAGTCTGTGAAGGTGTTGGCCTCTCGAGCATACAACAGCGATCCGAGTGCCCGCAGCATATCTGAAATATTTCCAATCTCACAACTAGTCGTCATTTCCAATTTCCAATTCTTCGGTATATCAAAGTTTTTAACTTCTAGCAAGTTTCCCTGAGTTCATAAATCAATGTATTTTACTCTACCCGTCGTGATGGCTCTTGCAGCCACAGCAAGTGCCTTGAAGCCCAAAGTCCCTCCCGCAAGGCCGGATGCCACTTCAGGAGCCCATTATTCCGTGAATCCCGCATTCGTCATTACCTGGGAACTTCAAGAACCAGACCAGTAAGACAAAGCCCCGAGCCTCTCTTTTTAGCTATGGGAATTGGTACTCAACTGAACTTCCATGTAGAACTGATGGAAAGTCAATGTGTCTTTGGATTATGCTCACAACTGCCAGGCGGGATCCCCTCTCGCCATTGGGGTTGACCCTAGAAACATGAGCTGGCCTGTTCACGTCAGTAGCCTCACCAAGATCTCAGGCCCGATGCAGTGTTATGATACTGTGGAGGCATGCGGCCTTGACACTTGTACTAAATACTATCCACCTGGTGGCGGTCCAGTGTGACACGAGTAAGTTCGCTCTATCAAGACCTTGACCGTATACTGACACGCTGCTCACCATAGTATTCAATATGAGATTCGCTACTCCGTCGAACCAAGCTGTGGAGATCCCAAATCTTTTCCCCAACCCCCCATGCAGCAGACTGTCGACCTTTTTTGGACTGGTAATAAATCCTGCTGCTCCACAGAGCGATTTAAAGATAGTCGAGCAGTCATTTTGGCCAAAGATGATGTATTGCTTCAACGTTGTTCGCATAATTTGAGACTCTGTATTGTGGTGACTAACTACCTTAGATACCTGTCTTGGTGACTAGTTGCGCTTCATTTTCCTATTGATTGCTGTTGATCGATACAAGATTCGCCTTATCACACTCGTTTAAGTATCTGAATGTTTTGAAATTGAATTATCTCATTTCCTGAGACTTTGTTCCCTACTTTTGGATCTGTAACACCGTGACCTGTCAAGTTCAAACTGTAAGAAAAGTACGACTGCTATGCCATGTTTTTGCAAATTCCAGAATCTAACAACTTTCACTTGGTATAGCAAAACTGTTTGTCCGGTTCCACGCGCTATACGCGACTCCCTCCTCTAGTCCACGCTTCGCAAAGCCTTTCTAAATCTCACAGATATGAGCCGTTGGTCGGCGCCACATCGGCATCGATAATAGCGACACGGGCTTGTAGAAAGTTGGGGGTGCATGGTAGCCTAGAATATTATAGCTCAGTAAAATGGTCGAGGGCCAGTACGATGTCATAGAAGTAATTTAAGACCTACAATGCCATCCCATCAATGACAAGCTTCATAGTAAGATATTTGCCATCGGTAGGAATCCCATTCTGAAAATATGGACGGGGTTTGTCGTTTTGGCCAAGCTTATCTATCATATTCCAAAGAACCTCATACAGCATACTGCCCCCAGACGTTTCCAATCTGATGTACCTCAGTCCAGTCGTTGAGTTTGGTACATACCAGAGGGTTAGTATCCATAGGTTTCGAGTACAGATATTCTCTGATACCCTTCTTATTGTTCCCCGCCCATTCCGCGAAAGCATATTCCATTGCACGTGTATCATGGGGCTTCAGTCGAACTGAAATAGCCATAAAGTTACTCCATCCTTCACCCATGCCACCAGATTCAAGGCCATTAAGACATCCAGGTGTGGCAGGGCCGCCAGTAAGTCGATGGGATACTAAAGGGATTATATTAGTATAAAGACCCTATAAAGACTCGACAGTTGCGAGACCTAATTATTACAGCCATGGGTGTACCCATGGATGACAAGCCCAGCATCAAAGGACCCGTCGCGATCTGGGACAGAATTATGCCAAAGACCCAGAAATAAGCGACCAGGTTGTCCATCAGCAGGGGATATGAAGGTGCCGAGATCAAAGTCGTAACTGTCTTGGGTATCAATAATCACATAATCGCCTCCGACGCCACCCTTCCCGTTATTGTTCCATTGAAAGTTTCCGGCCTTTCTGTTAAATCCGAGGACATAAAGTAGGTCATGGTAGATGTTCAGAGTATAGAAAGCCTGCGTAATTGATGCATTGATATACGAAGTTGGGGATGACGAAGATGGAGAGTACGTGTATTCAAACTGGAGATCTGGGCTATCGGGGCGAAAGTTATCAAGGTATCCATCGCCACCAGATGGGTTAAACTGTGCAATCGCGTTGTTACCATGGGCGGCCCAATCGCTTCACCGAAAAACATGTTAGGCACTCAAGTCCTTTCAGACAAACGGTGAGATAGACTAGTCAACTCACTAGACTTTATAAGTGGCATACGACACATAGTCCACAACAGCATATACTTTGTAATTGGTTTCTGCGTCGACGTATGTAACAAGCCAATTGGCACCGGGATTCGTTTCCAACTTCCACGTGAGAGCTAGATTTTCATCTGCCTTGGGATCAGACACGGTCCCTGACATGCCCCTGAAGGTGTAGCGTTTTCCCTTCTCAATAGGCTCAATCCAAGCACCTTTCATCGAAATCGGAAGATCTCACATGGTAATTATGTGCCGTAGAGCAGGGACGGGATCCTGATAATTCCATTTGAAGAAAGGGTCGGCTCCAGGGAGGCCCTTGGTGAAAAATGTACTCCCATGAGAAAAAACTGTTCTGTTCCTACCAATATATTGGCTGTAGTTAGCTTTGAAGTCTGGGAAAGTATGAGGAAGTAGAGATCTCACATTGACATTGAAGTTAGCATTATCAATATCTATTCCATGAAGGGTCTGACGGAAGTAGTCATGGGCCACGCCGTTGTCACCAACATAATGGTCATCCACCAAGCGAAAGGTCATGCCTGGTGCTGTGGTCTGAACAAATTGCGTCGCAATTTCAACATAACTCTGATTTACCAAAGGAGAGAATGAAGCTTGTATCGTGGATTATTTATTTGATCCGTAATAAACTGCGCGCTCGGTCAAATGGAAGTGCTTGAAGTCAATGACTCGTGGGATTCCACCTTTGCATTCGGTGAAGGTGGCAAATTAGCCAAATACAAGGCGGCAATGCTCACTAGAAACCCGTTTTTATCGGCTCGTATGGTTGCTGACTGGTTGAAACGGGACGAAGGATGTATGCGATACTACTCGAATTTTGTTAGACCTTCGTTATTCACGAGCCAGGTGATTTAGCTGTTGGAGATGAAGTTTTGTTAGTTATAAGGACACACGACAGGTAGTCTGTTATCACAAGCAGAGACCCATTTAAACATCGACCTACCATGCAGGTCACAGTCCTTCGGAAGATAAGATGCTGAAAAATGAAACCATTGTTTGAGTTCATTCTTTCCGAGATTGGTATTGGAGATCCTCACTATTCGGGGAAATAAAAAATAAAGTCAGGGGCTTTTCAGGCCCATTCAAGTGGTACCACTCTCAATCGCACCTTGGAGATACAACAGGGCTCAAAAACCCCCAAAAGATCCCCTAAACTCCCCAAGTCCGTCGTTGTTCTCATGAAAAGCGCTTAATCGCAAAATATGTAACCATCCAACACCTTTGTCATCACTCATTATCCCTCCCTTCAAACTTTAAAAAATAAGTTTGACTTTGTTCGCTCTATCATTGTCCATTCCCCATCTATCCTCCCACAGTTGCCTCTCAACGTATTGCCAACCCATAGGCGCATTGAGCCCCCACTGGCTCTTCATCTCTGCTAATGTCACCGGGCGAACCAGCTCATAGAGTTCGAGAACAGGATAACCGTACTTGGATTGCTTCAACCCGGCATTGAAGTCATGATTGCCAATACCGAATGGCTCTTCAGGTACAGAGCCAGGGGTATGGCGCAGTGATTCAGGAATAACGGCAATGTGGCTGCAAATGGATTAGTAAGTAGTCAGAGCTAAAATGGCATAACAAGCCAGTAAAGCAAATGATGGTAAATTGAAGTGACCTACGTAATAGCAGATCGACCCGCGCCGCCTTCACGTGTCTCGTAGAACCAGATTCGTGTGACCCCGTCGCGCAGCCGATATTTGCGATACTCGTGATTCTTCTTGCGGTTGGCGATGTTTTCCAGGTGTTCTGGCTTAATGGCCAAAAGCACGTCGGTCAAAACACGACGAGAAGAAAGGGACTTGGTTGACTTAGACTTTGGTTTTGATGATGGCTGTGTCTTGGTAATTCTGTTTGCGTTCTTTGTTGTGAATAGAGTCTGCGGCAAGTTTTGGCCAAATGAACCACTGAGAGTGGTTTGGACCTTGAAGGAAGTTTCATGTGCGGGAGAGCGAGAAGGTGCCATATTGATAATACCTTACTACAAGGCAAGGATGAGATTTTTAGAAGCTAGGGCCTTTGGACAATGAGGAAGATGTGTTAATGTTTACGAGGATGAAAAGCAACCTTTTGAAGACGCGGGTGGATCCGATTAGTCATGATTTTTTTTGCCCTAGTTAACTGTTATGTACTCCAGATGTCAAGTCTGTCCAGTACTTACTGCAGAGGGGAACGCCGATAAAGACACGTAATGACACAATATCGTGCATGCAACAAGAGAAGCCATACCAAACAGACCTAATTACAGCTTGGAAGGCTTCATCAAATAAGCAATAGTAGAAGAAAATGAATGGCATGGATATTTTAGATGGAAGTCTATCCGGAAGTATACTATATAAAACATGCAAGCCCAGTTTGGTCACGTGTTCCGTGATTGCCTAACATTTCCTTCCTCCCCACTACATTGCATAGTGCATCCCCACTTCGGTAGTTAAAGTACTCCACAATTGCAGATCACTTGTTCTTGTTCCTGTGATCCCACGATCATCAGGGGAAAGCCCCTTTGGTCATAGATACATATGTAGCCTTTACTTACTATTGCATCGCTAACTGTACTGTAATTTTACATAAATAGAAAACCGAGTAGAAACGCAAGTAGAAAGGTAAAAAGTTTCTCTGGTTGATTTTCTATAACGAGGAGTTTAGGTATTTTACTACACTAGAGGCATTGTGATTTTTTGCTGACTAGAAAGATTAAGAATGATTTTTTTTCACTGAATGATCGTCATTGCCATACACGCCCATCACATCCATTTCTGTCCTTGCATAATGACCCGATGAAGATACTCCACCGAAAATGTCCGAAACAACTTCTTCGGATCCTCCAACCACATTTTCACCTCCTCCCACAATCGTCGGAGCCCCTTCTGCTCATCTCCGCCGAACTGCATCTTCAACTGTGCAAAACTGCACAGCCCCTCGGTCCCGAGCATCCTCATTGCCTCATACCCGCCCTCTCGAACGTACAAAGACTTGGACAATTTTGCACCGCTCCAATCCACGATCAGCGGAGCATACGCAATATGTGGTGTCCGACCGAGAGCTAAGCCCGTCGCAGCCGACCAGAGCGCCAGCGGACGATAGAGCAACATCTCCTGATACATGCCGGCGTAGTCTGCACCCGTAACACGAACATGATGTTTCTCGGTATCCATCAGCTGGCAAATGCTGCGAATGAGATTGCGGATTGGCGCATTAGCTTCCAGGCGTGCAATATCAGCTGGGTTAGAGATACAGATGGCATGCCGGCCATGATGCGGGCATTGAAATGTAATCGCATCTTCAGCGCTGCTGAACAACGGAAACGGATCTTGCTCATCAGCCTGAATCTTGTAATTGTAGGTGTAAGTGTTAAGCTGCCCATGCTTCTCGGCTATCCCACAGCCTGGATGGGGGCATGCCGCACGCAGAGCTAACTTGCCGTACTTAGGAGAAAGCTGATGGCCCAGTAGAATGCGGTTTTCGATAATGTAGCGCATGATAGATGGCATAGCTGGACTGCGAAAGAAATCCGACTGAAAGTCGATACTAAAAGGAATGTTGGACCATGTAGACAAGAGCCTGAGAATCTGTTCGTAGTCGCCCATATGAGTTTCAAGGGCCCCCGGGGTCGCTCTATGGGACCTCTGATATTGTATGCCTGATATCTCAGTCTGTTGGCCATTGACTGGTGCAGTATCAACAAAAGTGATTTGAACTGAGACAGCTAATGGGTTCAAAGAGATATTCCCTGCTGCATCTTGCATTCTATCGCGGATCTTCCGAGCCAATGCGAAGGCGTAGCAGAAGACGACAAGCGTGCCAGCGTGAGGAGAGTTGTTTGGCTGTGCTCCGGCGTGGATGATAATCGGGCGAGTTGGAACTTGAACTTGAAGTGAGTCTCCTAAATGAACTTTTGGGGCGAAATTTCCATCATGGCTTCCCATATGGTCCCTTTCAATCCCCTCGTCGACGATCAATGCTCGCAAGATGGGCCCAACGAGATCCTTTTGGAAGGCATAAGAGCCACCACCGAGTGGATTATGTACCTGGCCATCATGAAACGATGCGAAAATGGGGCTTTGGGGTGTCAAAGTGGGGAGCAAGGTCTTTATAGCGGATAATGTGTCCTCAATGTTGATACTTGACAACGCGAGGAAATCAAGGTCCTCGGAGTTTGCAAATGTGGGGAGATTTCTTTGGGCTTCAAAGATAGGATCAAGCTGCCTCAAAAGCTGCCGGGCGGCATCAACAGATGGACTGCTAACAGGGGTGTTGAGTAGCGGAGGTGTAGGTGTATTGGTCATCTTGAGGATTCAAAATATTGGAGGAACTTTGCGATGTGAGCAATAACATGTGAATCGGTACTTTGGTGTCGAGTAAAAATGGGAGCTGAGTGAGGCGAGGAGAAAGTGAGAGGAGCCAAATGACCGTGACATGATTGACCACTTGACCGATAAGGAAACTTCGAAGGAATCCAAGGAAAGTCAGGATGTGGATAACTATACACATATATGCAGATACAGCTAACCTAAATGAAGTCATCCACCGCTGTCTGTTCTGTAAACTCCCCATTAACTCTTCGGTAACCATCATGATATAGAGATAGAACTTGATTGACTTCTATTCGCCAACCTCCCTGTCAGACTCCCAGCGAACTCCTTTCATGATCCACAATCCCAAACTCCATACTCGAATCTGCCTTCCCCATAAATAAAGTGGAATCCACATTATCAAGACAGCCGCACAGATACCAGCCAGTGACCCAAAGGCATTGATGTAACCAGAAGAATCAATCCAGGGGTTGGTATAGAATGATAGAAGGAATCCGAATGCCGCTGAAATCGTTAGATGCATTCAGTAGTATAACTATTGCAAGCGCAGGTCATAACATACCTTTGAAACTCAGTTGTGATACAACGACCTCGCCAGCAATGGGTCTATGAGCATCGATCGCGTAAACAAGAGCTACATTGCTAACTTGTGTAATCACAAATCCCACTAAATTCGTTAGCATTGCAATAAAAGCAGAGTCGAGTGTTACGTACGTAGACCCAGTCCAATCACTGGAACTATCCAATGCAGAGATTTCTGTATTCCAACTCCATACAGTATCAAGGACACCGGACATAGAATAAGCGAAATGGTCACAGTTGGTAGTCTCATCTCTGGCTCTCGAATTCCATCTCTGCGCTGAGTTAACCAATCAGCGATTTTGTCGGAGAGAAGACCTCCGCCCCAAACACCAGCGGTGGCTCCAATGAGAACGGCATATATGTCAATCCGCATTGCCAGGTCGACCAATTATATGTAGTGGTAAAAGCCGTTGCGAAGTTTGAGCAAATAGCCACGAAGGTCCCAATCGCAACGGACATCGCTAATGTTCCCCATAATACCGAGGGAAGGAAAAGAAGGGGCACTGGACGCCAGAATAATGTGAAGAGAGATTCTTGGGTAAAGGCCGGATTAAGAAGTCTCATTCGTTGCGAATATGACTTTTTGGGCGGAATAGCAGTCTCTCTGTGTATAGCGTGTGGCTCATCGGAGGCTTTATTAGGTTCTTCGGGGAGATCGGGTATCTTTCGCTGGTATGCTGTCTCCGGCATGGTAAATATAATCAGAAGAACCAATGTCCAGATCATTCCTGCTGCCACGTAGTATATCACACGCCAGCTCTGGTGAATCGTGATCAGTCCGGAGAGGATAATACCCCCAGACACACCACAGGACAGTGCGGCGGAGTAATAACTATGATTTGTTATCATGAAAGCCGTCCTTTGTCATATCATCTGTGAACCTACCTCATAATCAGACCACGCTCATGCAAGAAGAATGTATCAGCAATTGTAAGCGGCGCAACACATTCAGCAGAGCCACCCGCAAACCCCATTATAAGCCGTGCTGCCAATTCGCTCGAGTATCCCTTCGCCAACCCCGCCCAGAGTGCGCACCCTCCATATATCAAGAAAGAAATTATATAGACAGGTCGACGCCCATACTTGATAATAAGGGGCATGTAGATGAGATTGGACATCCCCTGTGCCAACGAGGCGCCACTGAAGGCGTATGACATTTTAGCCAATGAAGATGAGTAACCCGGATCTGAAGGCGAAATGCCAAATATATCCTCCACAATTCCAATCATGTCAACCGATGGACCAGCTGCTAGAAATTGAGCCATGAAGATGGCTGCGCAGGAAATTAAGGCAATGTATATTCGGTAGCCTCTCGACCTATAAATTCAAGTGTTAGATTCAATGTTAAACTTGCAATTGGAGCAACTTGAATACATGAGCAAGAAATGGGTGTTGACAGTACCAGTTCAAAGGATCATTGGGATCATTCGATGGTGTTGGAACCAGTATAATATCGTTGGTGATTGGGTTTCGTAATTGTACACTTCCTAATGTGTTCGTAGGTTTTGTCTTTAGGTCCGAGTCGATCGAGTCCGCGCAGCTGCGACCATCATCAACATCGTCGAACCTGGGCTCGATACCATTCATGGGGGGCACTGGGTGCTGTTCCTGAGACATCTTGTCGAACAGTGATGATACAACTGCTCAGATAATTTATTCTTATAGCAGAATTCGTCATTATCCCCAGGCTATGGTCCACTTGTCCCGAGATTTGCAGTTCCCATGGGGTAAAGGCGGGGCTACCTACTCGCAAATCCTCTCCAATCCAGACAGCATGACGCGCGTGCAGTTGTAGAAAAGGGTCAATAACTATGACAACAAATTCTGTTGCAACATATACCAATACTCAGTTGGCATTTTCATAGTGAAGTTAATCAATTACATTGTGTCTAAAACAAGGCTGGTTTTGTCGGGCACTTCGTTGGGATTGGTAACCTGCCCTATTAGAGGTGTCTTTCTTTTTACTTAAGGAACCTTAATCTCGAGGTGATAACTCTATCCCGAGGTTGGAGAATGTGGACAAAATTTATCGTAAAGGGGGATCTCCGAGTCTTGCTATGCTACATATCTCCACATCCCGAATTACCTCGGGAGATACACAGTAAATCATGATGCAAAGATCTGCAACCTTGGAACCGCAACTACAATTTGAACAACCCTTACATACCTATTTTCGGCTTTCCTCTCTCTGTAGGCGGTTATGGATATTTAAACTGGGATATCAATGGTAAGGAGAAGTTTAAATTCATTTCAGGCTTATGATGCATCAAAACGTAATTACAGCCTATCAACCAAAAAGGGGGCATGGGACTTTAGGAATCTAAGAACTTTTCTCAAATTGCAATCTTTACTAGTTGCCCGAGGCATCTTCATGCAAAGATTAAAAAGAAAAATCAGTAAATCATAAATCATAAATCATAATGATCATCGAAGTAATGTCAAAGCTCCAAATTTTCAACCTCTCCACCGGAAACGACCCTCCTTGAGAGTCTTCACAACTCCCAACGGCATAAACTCCCGATTAACAGCCGCCAAGCTTCCATAAGTCCCCACCATCTCAGAATGATACATTTCAGCAACCCATCGCCAATAAGGCGTCATCTTGCTCCAGTCAGCCGAAATATCACCCTTCTTCTCCGACTGCCGAGTAGATCCCTTCAATCCAGTCTGATTCTTGAGGAAACTTCCACTAGGAGAAACGCCCTTTTCCTCAGGAACCTGGAGAAGATTCTCGTAGGCACCGGTCAGGTACCTACTCCAGACTTCTGGGTACTTGCAATACTCTTCCAGAGACATGAAGGGGGGAGGAGTGCCATCTGATTCCTTCAGGGTAATGCTTGTGGTAGGACCGTCCCGCTCGAATTTGTCTTTGGCATTATTGTAAGCTCGCTCGTCTTCTAGAGAGGCTCTCTCAAGTCGCTTCCGAGGGTTTTGCTTGATGTTCTCGCGCATGGCGAGGAGGCGGACAAATGGGTTCAGGAGTCCGAGACCACCCAATTCCACAGGGTAGTAGAAGAATCCTTCGGGCAGATCATGGATGTTGAAACGTTCTGCAATCACTGCTCGAAGGTAGCCAGTGACATTGACTGAAGTGGAAGATGCGCTTGATTCAGAAAAGAGAGTGCGTTCAATACGACTGAGTGTCTCAACTGCCATGTCGATGTGGTCTCTTCCGAAGCACATGGCCGGTTTAGCAAAATTGTTGGCGAAAAACCGGCCGAAGTAGCCATTCCAGGCCTGGACCCATTGGAAGACACTCTTGCAGGACTTCAGTTGAACATCTAGTTCTTTGATATGCAGGTCGACTGACTTTTGATCAATGACGAATCTCCCCTGCTTCGCATCGAGAACCAAGAATCCCCAGCGGATATCGCCTTTCGGGAGGACTTGGCTTTCCCCATCGTACTGGGTTGACATGTGGACTGATCCGGTCTTCTCTGTATTGAACGTCAAGCCCATAACCTTCGCAAACTCAACCATGGAGAGCCAAGCGATCTCACAGGTGTCCTCTCTGCCCCAGAACCAGAAGTCGTCATGAAGGCGGTACAAAAAGCCACCGTTCGTCTTTTTGTTGACAGCATAGTCCATGCAGAAGAGAACAGACTCGCCAAATACATCGGAAAGCGTGTGGCTCATAGGAACACCGCACGTCCGGACCCGTGTCGAAGCATTGGAGCCATCCTGCGTGAATTTCATAGGAGCTTCCAGGAACTTTTTAAAGAAGGTAAGCCATTGCTTAGAAACACCGAAGTATTTCAGCACGGTGAGAATAGTGGTATGGGACAATGCAGGTCCAAACCACTGATAGTCAGATCGTACGGCGGTGAATTCCCCATGAAGCTCCTTCTGGATAATAGATTCAGTGATTAGCAGGTGAAGAAGTGAATGCTTTTTTTCGAGTGCATTCTTGAGTTTCGAGTCATCGTCGTAGCTTCGTGCTCCATCCGTAGTTGAATCAGGCAGTTGACTCATAAAGTAGTCACTCTTGTAGAGATTCTTTCTGTGGTCATTAATACTAAATCGCTGATTATCACCAGAGCTTCCAAGGAAATATTTGCGTCTTTCTTTCAGTTCTTCACTGATGTTTGCATGAATAGGATCCCCGGAAAAGTGGGCAAAGAATCTCACAGCTTGTCGCTGAAATTTAATAGCCCATCTTGTTCCGAGATACTGAAGCAGCAAGCTGTCAAGTAGATCTTCGTCCATGAAAACTCGGTATTTGCCATTGAGTTGGCGACGCATCTCAACGGGGATCGCATCTTCGCCCCATGACCAGTTTTCCAAGGAAGCAAGGCGCATATTGAGTACGTCGGCGACCTCCTGAAGAACTTCCTTGTTTCGCATGAATTCTTTGAGGATGGCTGACTTCTCATCACTCAGTAGGTCGGTCTTAATCAATGCTTTGGAGACCCATTCAAGCTCTTTGGTATCAAGCCAGTCTCCTTTAGTCGCTAGATTCGATCCAAATTCCTTCATACCCTCACGGAACTGCTTCAACGCCTCGCGTGAAAGCTTTGTCTCCTTGAACAGATCATCAAGGTACGATTCGATGGTTTTGTCGTCCACGTCATTTGCATCATTAAAGACCAACTTCTCCCACGTGGCGCGCTGCTCATGCATCTCTGCACGGCCCACATTCTCAAACGCGGGGTCGGACTTTGTGGACTCATCATTCTCATTTGCAGTATCTTCCAGGTTAGACAACCACTCTGTAACGAGTCTGCTGTAAAAATCGGCATGCTCATGCTTAAGCTCGAGGAAGCGCAAGTCTTTTTCTAGCAGAGTGATCCACTCATGCAAGGTGACGTCAGATATCGAGGCATCGTAGCGACCTTGGAAGAGGAAACGGCGAATGTTTGTGTGATCGGCTTGGAATAGCTGGCCCATGCCTGGGGATGTAACGTCTTGTTCGTCGTCTGAGTCATAGGCGGAGGAGTCGCCCAAGTCTGAGTCGCATTTATCCAAGGCATTTTTGGGATACCCCTTTAGGCGTGAAAGTCCATCTACTAGGATGCGAACTCGGGTGTACAGGTCAGGTGCAGCTTTGGAGGTGATGAGGATCTCTTCTTTTCTCTGGTCAAACAGAACTCGTTGTTTTGAGAGTTCGGAGATCTTGGTCGCTGTGATGGATTTGAGGGTTTGAGGGAGAGCTCCTGTGGATGCCATGATTGCGGTATGGTGAATTGATGCGAAGGTGATGTCGAGTTTGTAGGAACAGAGTTGGTGTGAAAATGGTGTAAAAAATAGAGTAAATGTCGTAAAGAGGGTGTATTAAAGGATAAGATATGAGTTCAAGAGGGTGATGTTTGAGTTTAAACTGGAGAGGAGCAGATATTTATGCTCAGATGTGAGGTGAGAGGAGGGAGCTCTTCGACCAAGAAAACTCAGCTGCCTGGCTAGTCTCGTTTATAAAATGACACGAAGAACTCGACAAATACTGCAAAACAAGTGAAGTCTCTTAGTCGGGGACTCTTTGTGAACAGGCGGGCAACAAATCAGTCCTAGTGTTTACAGCCGCAAAGCAAAGTCTGGCGCCACTTACCCCACTGTCGGAAACCTAATCGGGTCTCCGAGGCTTATTCAGCCCCATGTCCTGGAAGCTAACAATTACTTCTACTAGAAAGACTTATTCATAATGAAAATGATGATAAAATTGTTCTAGCACTGAAACGGCCCTCAAATGCAAATGGATAGAGACAATAAGAACAAATGGAAAAGAAAAGTCAAAAATAAACCAGACATCCATCAATGCGACCCAGCGCGTCATCTATTAAACAGGGGTAGAAAACGCCAAAGGAATGACAGCCAGGACAGGAACAATGCTTCCTCCGGTCTTGTTGATGGGTGAGCATCATGAATCATGAAATCCCATGAAGATAAACAGAAGAAGAAAAAACCAAAAGATAGCGCCTATTCCCAGATGACCTGTTCTGTTCGATGTCCAGCCGAATAAAATGCGAATGGAGTGTCAATGACCCGTTTCAATGCCGATAAGATGAAGATGCAAAATGTAAACTCAACCAACCCTAAACTAAACAAGGTGCGTGATTGTGATTGATTGATTGATGATGATGATGATTGATGCTCCGGTGAACCAGCCACGATGTCTTTCCCAGTTGTTGACTCCCGCAAATGCGATGGTTATGGTGGCTGTTCCGCCGAAACCGATGTAAATCCATAGATGACCATGCCCGCAAATGAAACAAAAAAAATAACAGGAAAAGGAAAAGGAAGATAGAAAGCCTTCCAAAGCAATCGAGTACAGATGTAAAAATAAATGAGTCATACACGAACAAAACAAGGGGGTATCGCTGCGACGGTATAGAAAAAAGCAACAAATATTCCGTGATGTCAACAGGCAAAGATGGATGTTAACAAATGCAAAGAGTGTCTGGGCTGTCGTTGGCCGAGATAGTAGGAATGGTGGGATGTGGAGAGGTGAGGGGGTGGGAGGGGATAGTAGGCGGGTAGAGGGTCCGCTCAAGGGACAAAAGATGAGGTTGAGGTAGTAGAGACAGTCGGAGTAAGATTCGGTGAGCTCTCCCTTTCTTCGGGGCTCACAGGCTCACTTCGTTCTTGTGCCGAGTCCTTCTCACGATCTGTAGATGACGAGCGCTTGAAGACAGTCTGTCCAATCTGGCGCAGAATGCCCGTACGGACGGCGCGGAGTTCTTCCAGGTTAATCCGCTGGGCAGGGATAGGTTCTTCTTTAGAGATGCGACAGAAGAGTGTTGAGAATAGGTATTGATCGCCTTTGCCATCGTATAAGGGCAGGTAGCGGTATCCCTGAGACAGGCTGGTAAGCTTTGCAGTAAACGTAGCCAACTGTACGCTGTTATTGTTGCCAGCACTGCGGCCATCTAAGGAGCTCCAAACCGTCCAGCGCACGAATACCAGATCAGGGTACTTGGTTTCAAGAGATAGCTTGAATCGATCGTTGAATACAGGGCTGTATCCGTTGCTTTGCTCGATCTTTGTGCGACGGCGATGCGGGTATCCAATGCCTGACATGCCGCTGCGGGCGGAGGCATCCATACCACCTTCACCGAAGGCTAGGCTCTGGCCACGGTCATCTGCGCTGAAGATCTCTAGTTCGACGTAGGGGTTAATGTTGTCCTCTGGTCCGATTGTGCGAGGTCGAGGAAGCTGTTGCGCCGAAATGACATCAACGGAGAATCGAACAAGTCTTCTTTCTGTCTTGCGTCGCTGGTTTTCGTTATCTGAAGCGGGAAGTCGGAGACACTCGGGCTTGAGGATATAACCAGTGCGATCGGTACCAGCTGCAAACATGGCTTGGTTCATTTGCATTCCCACGTCGTAGGTCTGCCAGTTCAACGCCGCCATTTGCACACCGCGACGCCAGAATTTATTGGGGTCGAAGTTAGACGAACGAAGGCGGAAGCCGGAGGGATAGACTCGTGTGAGATATTTGCGGTTGTGAGCTTCAAGAGCGACCTTGTTATCGTGAGTTTGGCAGATGCTTTCAAAGGATCGTTCCGCGAAGGAATATACGTGGTTATACTTTCTGCTCTCGGGGGAACTGAAGCTGTGCCACTTATAACCTCGGCTGTAGACACCAAGATCTGAGAGCGGCTTTGTGATTTTGCTCTTCTGTCGGCGCTTCTTTTTCTTCTCGCCGTGAACAGAGACTAAGCCTCCGTCACTATCTTCAGTCGCACTGCTCATGCTTGTTGCCGTGAGAGAACGTCTGTCCTGGGAAATCAAAGGACCAATACCATCAACGCCGCTACCTATCATTGTGGGTGGGCTTGACAGGGATGGAAGTGGGGTATTCAAAGACTCAGGCGGAGGAGTTGGGCGAATGAATGGGGAGCTGGAGCTACGCTTGCGGCCGTGGGTACCAATAGTGGATGAGGTGATAATACGTGGATCATTCGAAGTCTCGTCACAAGTCTTTACTTTGACCAAGATACGTCCCTTGAGTTCTTCGGGAGATGGAAGAATGAAGTAGTTGGTCATGAGAGGCTCCAGAACAAGTAGTTCCTTGAATGTATCCTTCATGATCTTGACCATAGCCAACTGCTGTTCTGGGTTGCAGTGAACTTCCAAAGATAATATGAGAGGGAAATCAGACGAGATAAAGGCGTAGCGGTTGATGACCGTAATGCAATCCGCAAATAGGACACTTGTGGTCATTGTGCGACCGTGAGAGACAATTGGACGTCCATCAGCACCATCCCAGCAGTCAATCTCCACGCATCGGCAACCTTGTTGGAGAGCGCTAATATAGGCCTCAGTACTGGAAGCTCCAGCAACTTGGCGACCAAGCAGGTAGGTATTGTGGGAGCTGGAGATGAAGTACTCGTTCAATGGTCGATCAAATCGTGACTGAGGAGCACGTGATGCGTAGACACCGTTGCTTGGAGAAGCTAAATAAGAAGAAAAGGTGTTCAAGTTCATCCGTGGCTCGGGGCGACCACTAGTTTCCGATCCATCAGAGCCACGACACCTGGATCTGCGGACAAACTTGTCAAATACCGCGATCCAATGGGCACGATCAGAATCGACATCCTCCTTCTGAACCTCACGGAGGAAGCCGAGGAACTCATCCTGAGTCATACCAGTCTTTGAATCTTCAGAACGGCTCTTGTAAACTTCCTTCACATCTTTGCGTTCTTTGAGACGGTAGAGGAAGTCTTTAAACTCAGTATAATTCAGCTTCCCATTGCGACCAGCGTCTGCTTTGGAGAATTGCGCTCGAACCATGTTCTTCGAGCAGTTTATATGCAAGGTGCGGCAGACACTTTCAACAGCGGAAAGGTCAAGGCTTTGTTCCTCACCAGGTCGTGTTCCTTGTGGGAATAACCGTGACATCTCGCGTTGCCAGTGGGCCTGAATGACGGATTCACTTTGGCTCGAGCTCGCCATTCCAGCCATAAGACCGATTCGATAGCGAGCAATGTGCTCCAGAGTGGTGGTCCATAACTCAAGAATGCGGTCATTGGGAGCAATAAGATGAAGAGTCTTAACTGCTCGGCCTTTGAAACGTTCCGAATCCGCAATGACAATGGTGAACCATCGAGGCTCCAGTTCATCGGCAATTTGATGCTCTTCGCGATAATTGCGCGCATCAGCACCAATGCGAATTTCTTTGATATCGTCAATATAAAAGCGCTTGGCGGGATTTGAAAGGTCCCAGAAGACCTTAGCAGCGTCCAAGTCCAAAAAGAACCGAACCTGCTTATGGCGCTTCTTGGTGACCTTCCCTAAGATAGTTCCACGTTGTAGCGCAGAATCAACTTTGGGTGCAATGACGGCTGTTGGCGTGGCAGCTGCAGTAGCAGTTTGCGCAGTAAGATCACGAGCAGATGCCATTCGACTTTCGCTACGAAGGCTTGATGGTTCAGACCCAGCCCATGCGCCGAGACCATCCATCGCTTCGTTAGCGTCATCTTCGTTGCTTGAGTCCAATGCTGTGTCGCGAACAGGCTGGGGACCAGTCTTGCTGTCACTGCGTCGGCGGATAATAACAGGACCGGAACTTCGGTCTCGTTTGTCATTTTGTGATGCCGATTGTCTTCTTCGTGTGAGTTTGTTGGCCGCGCCACGGGATATTCTGCGCATCAAGCCAGGGCCCTTGGAGCTTGGGGCCATCCAATCGTTAGAATTGGAAAGGTTAGGATTGGGGATCTCCATTATAGACTCGCCAAGCTCCAGAGGAGCAGGTATTTGGAGAGGATATTCGAAATTTTGGCCGCGAGGTCCCTCGCTCGGCGGCTGTAGAGGAGTACCGGCGGGAGTGAACCCATTTGGTGTGCCGGGACCTGGGTATGCGGAGGCGGGAGTAGATGTAGGAGATGAAGTGAAGGATGGGGCAGCAGAGGTGGTTTGCCCTGAAGGTAGAGAGGTGAGGACATGGTGTAATGAGGTAGATCGGGATATAGAGGTAGCCAATGCCAAGCTAGTTTGTGTTTCGGCGTCCAGAGCCGGTGGGGAGGTCGCGGTAGTATATGCCATGGCGACGGTTTCGTTATAGAGACGACAGCTCAGCTGTCGATATGAAGATAGGACTTTTTTTTTCTTTTCCGTCCTTGATCGTGGGGCGTAACAATATCCGAGTCACCTGGACCTCTTTAAATGGTAAAATGTGTAGCAGGACAGGGGACCAGCCAGCCTTTCAAGAAATTCCAAAAGCTAGGTTTTGAAAAGGGGATCCGAGCCAAGAAAAGGAATAGGATTGGCCGGATACAGTAAGAAAGTAAAAGATGATGGTTCAGCCACGTTCCTCAGCAGAGATGACTCGTTCTTGAACTGTGCATCTTGACTTGACTGAGATTTCAAAGCGGAGAGCTCTGCCGGAGAGCGCTTCACGGAGAAAAGCCGAACGAGACCAGGAGGAGGGAATTGGTATGAGATAAAATATAGAATCGGGGCAAAGTCCCTGATAACAATTGCAGAGGGCACTGGCCCCGTGCAACAGTCGATCTCTCAGAAGGACCGAGAGGGGACAAGGAAAAGGGAAAAAAGAACAACAACGCAGGCCCAACCGATTCTAACCACGATAAACGTCACCCTCTAACGAAAGGGGGGAAAGAATCAAGACTGGGGGTCAGGGTGTGATCTCCGAGTCCAAGGTTCCGGTCCGCAGCTGTACCTTTCTCCTTTGGAATAACCAGCTGAGAGCAAATCCCTGATAGTATCCCAATGATAACCAATGCGACCCCTCTTTCTGTCGATCTGCCGGGTTGCGTGGGGAAAGCTGCGCTGCACGCAAGAGGGGGTGAACGGTTGCGATGTGGGCCAATTGATCGCGCAAGGACCGGACGAACGAGGGAGGGGCAATGCGCCGTGTGCTCGGTCGTTGGAGCGGAAGGAGGGTTGACAACGCAAGTCAGAGGTCGGACGCGCTTCGCATATGCGGGATCAATCCCGGCGATCAGGAAGAGCCCCAAAAAAGTCGCAGTCGCGTGTTCGGAAGGCGGCGCCAGCAAAGCTGTACTGGATGAGGGCGCAAAAAAGAAAAAAAAATCCAGGGATTATGACCTAGTTTCTACCCTCGCCGACTTCGATTGGCTGACGACGATAAGCTAGTGATGCAACAGGCGAAGGGAGTACCCGTGCTAGAGCGCGGGAACTTTTTTGCGGCGCAAGATTGAGGGCGAAGATGGAAAAAACGGGTATTGCGACACTGCCAACGCAGTCGATGCAGGGCGTCCAAAGAGGAAACACGAGTAATCGGCGAAGGAGCCGAGTTGGGGCAAATGAGTCGCTGATGTTAGATTTTGATGTTGGTCAGGTTTTGATCTGGAATTTTTCGCTTTTTATTATTTTTCTTCGTCTGAAAATTTTGCTTTTCGCGGATTTTTTTTTTGTACGGGGTGAGCTGATCCAGTTGCTGCACGGTTACGTGGTAGCCACTAAGTATGCGCGCGAGGTGGGTTGGAACTGCTTCCTGCAGGCGGTAAAGGTGATATGCAAACGGGGACTCTTCAAGAAAAATGAAGAAAAAATAAGACAGGATAAGACCGGCGTGATCCTGGAAATCTTTGTATTTCTTTGATGCTGAATGTGAAAAAAAAGGATGGTCAAAGGTCAGAGGGTGTTTAACGGAAGAAGAAGGGGGAGAAAGCAAGGAAATAATTAAAAACTTATGAAATCCATCAAATCCCAGAGATTCCGCTTGGAATTGAAGCTGGAGTGGGTACTGGTACTTACCGCAAATGCGACCACTGTACTGGGTACCCGTACGGGTTTGGTATCGAGCCACCCTGGGTGGGGCGTTTGGTAATACAGGTGAAAACCCCGTAATTTTGATCTTAGCGGTTTCTGTGGATACCGCTCCGTACGCGAGATCTTAGGGATATTCGAGATAATATGGTGATTTATTGTGATTGAGGTTGAGGTTGGGATGGATATGGAAATGGAAAAATCAGGGAAGAGAAATAGAAATAGAAATAGAAACAAAATCAATCAATATGAAAATGCCTAATCAAAGACGGTGGGGGAGATGTGCCTTTATCTATAGCCGAGATGCGGCTTAGAGTGCATCATAAATAGGTATAAATAAATTGGAGACGGAATCCTTTGCCAGGATCAAGATGGGGCGAACCTTTATAGGATACGTAAAATATATGTAGGGGAAAAAAAAGAAGAGAAAATCAGCCGCATCAAGGGCACGAGGGCACTTAATTAAATAATTCCAGGAATCACACTCTTTTACGGTGTATGAACAGCGCATAGCAACGGCCCAAGGTTGAATCATGTATTTAGGGATCTAGGATTCGCAAGGGAAGCAATTTCCCATCGTTAGGTACCTAGGTACAGTACGACTCTATGTGGTCTCGCGAAAATCCGGCCCCTCTCCTGAATGATCCTATCACGACGTTCAGGCCAGCTTGGGTAGGAGATGGGATGACGATGTGGAATGACTGGCACGCCAACGCCAACGCCAACCCCGGTAGATCTTAATGCATGTGTATTATTGGCCGATCCCTATGCATTCCTGGGGAATGTTATCGGCCAAACGGGGGCTGATCAGTGTTTCGGATGCGTTGAAAGAAGGATAAAATTAAAATTAAATAAAGAACAAAAGAAAAACAAATAAAGAATAAAGAATAAAGACAAAAACAATAATTCAAAGGTTATTCCTTATCCAGGTTCCAAAGGTACTATCAAACAGAAACATTACCACCTGAAATGACGACTACTTGCCGAAGGAGACAAGGGGGGTGGGTAACTTTCAAGTTGCTACTCCATCATTGGAAGGTATATCGTGCATCGGGGGGCAAGAAAGGGGATAGATGGTGTCGTCGGAGGATTTCTTTGCCAAGTGGATCCCACACTTGGGCATTCTACTGTAATTTCTTCCATTCAGACTTCAAAGTTTCCATAGTCTGGTTTGAACTGTCCACTATAGTATACACTAGGTCAACTATAGTATCCGGACTCCAGTTCCCCCACATTCGCCATGTTTTTGAGTCAGTTCCTACTACTGTAATCCACCATGAAGTCAATTTCATCTTTTCATGTTTCCTTTTTCCCCTTTTTTACCTTCATATTTACTTTTTCTACAACTCGTGAGACCCATTCCCCCAGCTGCGATCAATCGATTCGATCCATACTACTCCGGACATAAGACTGGAGACAGCGCAAGACCATTAAAGGTATCCCTGATACCGGCCCACTTCGCCGTCATACTGTACCTTTATGTCATGTATCATGGATCAGTGATTCAATGTTTCCACCCAGTGCCAATACTGGCACCGACACACTGGTCCCCGGGGGAAGAATATGCGGAGCCCTCGGATTCTTGCGTCTTGCGTTTTGATCTCGGAGAACCACCTTCATAACTTGAAGAAACCTTGTACATCCCTTTCTCTAAAAAAAACCTTTCGGTACATAGTAGTGTTTTAATTTTAATTTAATTTCATCTCTATCATGACGATAGGGCTTGTTTCTCCTCGATGTAATTTGCGATTGTCGGGCCCCCTATCTCTGCCCAACAGGCTCTGCCGGACGAGACAGGAGAAGGAACTCCGTGAAGGTTGTGTGTGCCACAGACGGTCGATCACGATGCACATCATTATTCCCTCTTATTCGACCAAGAACACTAGTAAGTGGGGAACAAAACAAAAAAAAAGGAGAGGGGCAAAAAGTGGTCCGACGAGTACTACCTTGTTTGTCTTTTTTTCGAGTTTTCTTCCAGGATAAAGAAAGAGGTAGTATGGGAATGCGATGGGATGTACGAAAATTGGTTGTAGCGACACACCGTCAATTTCCAAGGTTCTCGGGGCCGAAATAAAAACAAAAATAAAGAAACCAACCAGATTGTCTCTGCGAACCCTGTGAGGCTGGAGTGTGGCAGTGAAACGGTTGGGCCGGTGCAGATGGAGCTTGGTGGATCCCCGCATTCGCTGGTGCGAGAGATCGTCGGATGTTTGGGGAGCCCGTTCTTTGACGGACCGTCTTAGTGGAGGTTGATGGTTTTACTTTCTTGTCATTCTCTTTCGAGGTTTTACTCTGTGTAATCGGTATTTATTTTTTAATTTCAGCTCTACCGAGTCTCATGTGGAGAGACTTCATCATTATCCATCCGAGTCTGTTTATTATGATCTCTTGACCGCTGTACTTCCCAGCTGAATCTATGAGTCAAATCTTGGAATTGGAAATTAAAAAAAGAGCGGTCTGTAGATAATGTCTTATGAGGCTTAACCATGCAATTTGATTCGTCACCTTCTTCAATCCTACGTCCAGGGTTAATTTACATCAACATCTTGGGCGTGTTAAGATAGTAGAAGACAACAATCTCTCGTCGTTTCTCCGTCATATGATGATGAGGGGTGATGTCCTCATCAGCTCCGTACCTGCGGTCTTGCCTGCATTCGTATCAAATAGCAGTATGTACTGATAGTAATAAAAACTAAAACTAGGCACGATCCCGAAGTGCGTCAAGCCGCGATGCAGCTACTAGTATTTCTGATAGCGGCGCCAGTCTACTGTAAGGCAAGGCGCGGGGTTAAACCCCGCGCTACATAGTTGATGTGTTGGCGAAGTTGTCTTTCATTTCTCTTCTTTCCTTGATTTTGATCATTCTTTCTAGTTTTCTGCATGTCGTTTTTTTATCTTTCTTTGTCTCTTGGCATTGCGTGCATCCCGCTATATCCGGAGAAAGAAAGAGGTCATCGCATCCATGCGACAAAGAGGGGGAAGTACGGAGTGGGCTACTGTACTGTAGAAGCCCCTCATTGATCTGATCCTCGCTGCAGACCCAGTGCAGGGCGAAACACTTAGCGCGACCAGACAGCAGGTAGCCATTCTGTGCCAATCGTTGAACCTCAGCCCGGCACACGTTGACAACATGACACCGGGAACCGCCCGAGCTACAATTATCCTCGGAAGACGCGACGCGGGATGATGTTCTAAATCCCAAATCTCCAAACATGGTAAACATCCACCGTACTCGGAGTATTTCCTTTGTCTTTGTTCTTGCGTTGTTTAAACTGTACTTTGTTTTTGCT